TATGTTCTGCGGTGATGAACAGTACAGTCCAAATGTGATATGTCAAACGATCAAGTGGGTCTGCTGTCTGAAATTAAAAGCTGACAAGAACATAAATATGAAAATCTCAAGAAACTTTTTAAAATTAATGAGCTCATAATGAGGATGCACATAGTTTTCTACATCCTCAGAAAGGAAGACCTCCAGCATTTGAACACATGGGCCTCTTTTTCCACATGATCCGTAGTCAAAATTAGTGATAGGAACACCTGAAACTAATCCAGCCTCAGAGGAAACAGCTGGCTAATTTAATATTTAAGTAGTTAATTTTAGTTAAAAAAGAACTTTTTAAAACCTCAGAGTTACTGCAGCCTCTAATCTAAGAAAGGTAACAAACCAAACCTCTGGTCACTTCAAGGGCTTTTATTTTGGTAAATCTGCAAGGCATATTTATATGAAAGCTAAATAATGCTCCAACAGTCCCTTGACATTTATATTTGATATTCACAATTTTATTGAACATTTTGATCCATATTTAACCTTTTTAATCAGTTATGTAATGCTTGGATTCAGTGTTTGAATTTGTGTTGAACACTGAGATTAGATATATAACAGATTTAGATATGACTTCAAGATTCATTCTACATTTATAATATGCAGTGGTTTAAATTTTGAATTTTATTGAACATTTTGATAATTTTGATATCAAACATTAACATTTTAAATTAAACATTTGGATTTATATTTGATTGGAGTTGTAATTTAGTTTAAAATTATACATTTAGATGTCAATCTAACCTGTAAAGGTCAATTTAACATGAAAACTTCAACTTATCTTTAACATTTTGATGTAATGTTTAGACATATGTGGCATTTTGATGTAATATTACACAATCTGAATGGTTAACATTTTAGGTCAAGGATTTAGAGTTGTACTTGAAATCTGGCATTTGGATTCAGACATATTTGTAACATTTATACTCATATCATTAAAATCGTCATTAAAAGCTTGAAATGCTTTTAATGGTGATACAAATATGGGTTTTGCAAAAGTTATGTAAGAATGGTGCTCAGTGGGCGAGGCTTTGTGGTTTTTAAAGAATGCAGTTTAGTTCTTTCTGAACAGTTATGATTTGGTGTCACTGAGGAGACATTTGTTACACTTTTTGGAAATATTTTGACTTCAGATGGCCCAAAGAATAAATTCTTACATAGCTGCAATTCTCTGACCACGCCAGTTTTTCTATGTTTTGGGTTTTGTGAGGAAGACTCTGCGACACCTGCATTCATGGAGTTTTCCTTTGCCAAAAACTGTAAAACATTATGTTGGTTTATTTTCATACTGGTGAATTATTTCAAAATAAAGATCTGACATAGATGAGAAAGCTAGAAACTTTTATATAGATCAACAAAACAACAACCATCCAACACATTGCAGATTAAAGACAGTAAAATCTCCTTGTCTAAACCACGTAAAAACTATTTTAATGAGCACATCTGACCAACCTCACAGTGAGTGTACAGGCTGTATTTCATCTGTTTTCAAGTTATCTGAACAGCTTTAGATTTTTATGGTTCTGTTTACTCTCTGTGTTACAAAAATAATCACACGTATTACTGCACTTTATAAGTGGTGCCTATTAACCAAAACAACAATCATTCTAAAGTACCTCTGCGACCACAGTACCCATCTGATCAGAGAAACTCTAAAAGACTTCACTATGTTAAAAAAAAAGTTTTTAAAAAAATGTTTCAAACCAAATTTCAACATAAAACCCTGCTAGCGCTCAAAGTGAAGAGGCTCCGGCAGCTCAGTGTGCAGCAGACTATCAGAATAGAGGAGGAAAAAAGGCCAAAAACACAAGAAACACACCAAAAAAATTCCATATACATGGGCCCTGAATGAAAGCATTCATGAAGTACAATATAAAATATTTTTAATGTCTGTGACAAAAACTATGGATAAAGAGTGAATTCAACCCTCAGTTTAACACTTTTCTCTGTATTTTGGCTGAAAATCTGCTTCAGGTGAGATGTGCTGCTCATGCAGATAGTCCAAACAAGCTAATCTGTTAACACGCACGCTGAAAGCCACACCTTTCCCAGGTCATCATACACCTAACGGGCTTCCTGTAAATTTTGCTTTTTTATTTTTATTTTAAGCTCGTCCACCTTAACACAACGAGTATCACCATACACCAACACTAACCTACACAGGCACTGCAGGTACCAGTCTGTTATATAAGACTATAGTTTTGTCATTTTGTTCATTGAGTCTGGACCTGAACTTTTAAAAATTGATGTCAAAATATTAGTCAGTCAGTTAGTTATTTAGTTAATAAGTTAGTTAGTTAGTCTCATAGTTGTATACTTTGAAAATGTAGTTGGGGATAACTTTCTTCTTTTGCACAGATATGTAGGAAGTCAGACTCTAAATGGCCTGAGCTCACTGTGCATGCTCCAATGTTGAACTTTGACCCTGATGTTGAACAGAACTAATGTGTTTTAGGAATCTGGGTAGTAAACAAAGGATAACTTTTTAAAAAGATGAGACGGTCATATTGTATATAGGAAAGGTTAACAACAGCTTTACTGGTAAAAGTTGTCTGCAGCAGAGGTGGACATACTTTGGTCAATAAATCAATTCTTGTCCAGTGCTAATAAACTTGGACAAAGACAGTAGTCCACCTGATTGAGTTATAACTGTAGACTTAACTGTGCTTGGAAATGTACTGAGAGACCGCTGTATTGAACTTAAACCCTGTGGGTGGTTCTGTCCCTTATCTAAAAAAAAAAGTTTGCGGTTTTTCAGCAGACTTACTCAGAGAGAATAAAAGGCCTCACTCATTTTTTGCCGCTTTGTGTGAGATGCCAGTTTGTCCTGCTCACACTGAAAACAAGCTGACCTTCCAGCATCTCCAGGTGGTTTGAGTAAAGCCCCTGTGCATAATCAAAGCCGTGATGTGTTCCCTGGCGTTATCTATCAGACTGATCCTGGGCCGTCTGGCAGTGTGTGTCCTCTAACATCTGAACTCTCTCACATAAATGTGTCCAGAAGAGAAATACCGGCATCATGTGGAGGGAGGAGGGGGAGGTTTCCACTGAGTCAAGGCTGCAGCTGAATCCTATCAGGTTTTCTTCATTCCAGTCATTTCATCTAAAAGACTAATCAGATGAAAGAAAAACAAAATTCATTTCTCATACCAACAACTGAAACCTTTCTCACAGACTTTATCCTTCTCTTTCTGAGGAGACGTTTCTGCAGCAGCGCGAGCTTATTCTGGAACTTATTTTTAAGCGCCAATTGACAACAAACGTTATCTGCAGACGCTTATCAAAAAAGCTGGTCTGGTCTATCCTCTATTGAAAAGACTCGGTGTAAAGATGGGATTAGACTGAGCCCCATCTTGTAAAATTAGACCCACTCTCATCCCATCTTCAACCACATGAGTGAAACACTTTACAGCATTTATCAAGTTAACGCCGAGAGGAAGAACTTGCTTTAACAGGCAGCAACCTCGAGCAGAACCAGACTGATGCTAGACAGTCATCTGCTGAGATTGAGCTTGGTTTAGTAGAAGTCAATGCAGAGATCATTCAAACCCATTATTTGTTAAATTGTAGGTGTTGAAATTTAAAGAGTTAGTAGATTTCAGTATGTTGCAGATTATGTATAAAGCTCATAGGAAAATTTTACCACTCAACACCCAGAGCCGATTTGAAAAAAGAGAAAGTTGGTATAATTTAAAAGGATTTGAAATATCTAAAAAGCCAAGATTCAGAACTAAACTTAAAGAGTGCTGTGTTACAGTGAGAGGAATTAGTTTGTGGAACAATCTGAACAAAGAAACTAAAGAAGCTAAATCAAATTTTATCTTCAAAAAAGTGTCAAAGCCAGTATGTTGAGTAAATACAGGGAAATTTGTTAATCTAAGTCTTGGTATGTTTGTTTTGTGAAAAAATGTGAATTAATGTGGTCTTTTCTGTTCGTTTTGTGGGTTGTTTTTGAAAATAAGAAATAATGAACTGTAAAAAGGCATATTGGCCTGCAGCTCTTGTTTATTTTTATGTATTTAGTTGATTCATATTTTATGAAGGAGGGGCAGACTCTATAAGAGTTTTCTTCTTTCTGCTCCTTTTCATTCACGTTTGAGATTTTTCCTTGTTTGTATTGAATGTTTTAAACATTAACTGAATAAAATAAAGTATGAAAATGAAAATGAGATGGAGAAAGAGAGAGATGGACAGACACAACAATGACAGCAGTAGTACATACAGGTGTTTGTTTACAGTACTGGAGACAATAGTACGGTGGCCCTGAGGTGCAAAACACAACGGCAAATCAGAAAACCCAACACAAAAAGAAAAAACACAATGGCAAAAGAGAAAACAACAGAAAAAGAGAAAACACAATGGCAAATCAGAAGACACAACAACATTAACCATTGTTTTTTCTCTGTTTGTGTTGTATTTTCTAATTTGCTGTCATGCTTTGCACCTCAGGGCCACCGTTTAATAGTACATGAAGTCTTAACAGGAACAGCATGATAATGACAACAGACTGGTCTTAATTTGATTTATGGAAAATGAAAGTGAACAGGTCTGTAGTATTGTTATTACCACAGTGTGTTGGATTCGTTCCGATAGTTTATATTTGATTTTTCTTTTGTATTGTTTCATATTTCTTGAATGCTTATTATTTTTAAATATTTAGTCGTTAAAACTTTGATCTGCTCTCTATGTGACAGTTTTCCATCGACAGACCTGATTTGGTTTCTAACTTTAACCCTAGTTAGACTTTTAGAAATGTAAATAACACTTGTAGCTTCATATTATGTTGTCATTTTATTTTATTTTACATGTCAGGTGGTATAAATCAATCCTGCTGCCTCGTGTCGGATGACGTCACCCACACCGCCTAACTCCCCCCTCTATTTTTTTTCTCCGTGCGCGAGCTCGACAGTCCAAAGTCTAAAGTAGCACGAGCGCCTTAAGTGAGGGAAAAAAAGTGCGGAGAGTGTACAGAGGGACTCACGCAGTCACTCACACACACACACACGGAGGCAGCGGCGCGTACAGACACACACACAGAGAGCAGAGAGGAGCAGCAGCAGCAGCAGCAGCGGCGGAGGAGCGGCGCGCTGAGGCCGGGCTGTGTTCATGACCACTCGGAGCTGCGGACATATTTACAAGTTTCCAGCAGAAAATCCGCCGACATGGAGCGGGAAGTATGGATTTAAAGCGCGCAGGAGCTGAAATGGGCGCAGTGCTGCTGCTGTGGAGCTGCCTGTTGTCCGCGGCGCACGGTACGTTCCTTTTTTTCTTACTACTCGGTCCTTTTAGAGCAGCACTGAGGGTTAATAACCGATAAAAACATGGAAATAACCGACAACAACAAGCAGAGAAGTGAGCGAATCTCCGCTTGAGCTCCAGACTGAGCCGAGCGGAGCGCAGCGCAGCGGGCTGTGATTCCTCCTCTCAAAGTTCAGTTTTTATGTCCCAAGGGTGCAACTACACAATAGTGGCGGTGAAAGTGTGGAAGTCTGCATTGTTCGAGTGTGTGGTGATGAGAGGAGGCTAGAGCTGTGCGGTTATTTAACCACCCGGAGTGTTGCTGCTCCTCCGGTGCAATTTTTTGTAGTTTGTGTGCGTCGGAGCAGAAGTGAAGTTTGGAGCAGCTCGGGTCTGAGGGGCCTCGGCTGCTCCAGCCATTCCTGCTCGGTGTCGGGTGTCAGGCTGACTTTCTGCTCTCGGAGGGGAACTCAAGTCAGATTTTGGTGTTTATTGAGGGGGTAAAAACGCTGCCGGACACTCAGAGAGTAGGTTTATGTCTCTATTTTGATGCTTTTCTCTTCCTTTCGGGTCATTTGTGGTGGGAATGTTTAAAGTGAGAGTGTGCAGTCAGAGGCGGAGCTTCGCCTCCTCTCATATGGATGCATGGAGGCATTACATCAGGGCCAACAGCTACACACTACCAGACTGCTCATATATCTGCTGCTAAATCTACAAAGTCCAGGCTCGGTTCATGATCGAGCAACCACCTGTAAACCTGAACTACTTAACTAAACTCTAATCTATCGACTTCAAACCTCAAAACCTGCTGAGGGGAGTCTGAATATTTCTCTTTATCACTTTGATTTCTTTGAGGTGGGTTCAAAAAACCTCTGCAAACTACAAAGTTAGGTCTATAAGACATTTGATGCATGTCAAGCTCATTCATAAAGCTTCATTCACACAGAGATTAAAAGTGATTTATAAAGAGAATGTTTCGAACATAAAACATGCAACAGTAGAGAAAAATAAGATTTTCAGATTGTAAATATTGTGTACTAAAATGTGAGATTAACAGAAGTATATTTGTATTAGTTAAACTGAAGGATTATTGAGTTTATGATTTAGGTTATTGAGTTTATGAGTAAACAGCTAAAAAGATTCAGCATGTTTTAAAAAAGGTAATCAACTGAGGAAGTCTTAGGTAGAAAGTTATAAGTCAAGAGTGAAACTGCACAAAGTCAAAGCAAAATATGCATTTTGATTGACAAACAGCTCAAATATGATGAAACTAATAAAGCTGCACAGTTAATCCATGCATGAGAAAAGACACAATATAAGAGCATAATGACAGCCTTTAAAGAGAGATGTCAGGATGAGTCAAAATCTTGAGAACAGAGTTTACAGAGCGCTTTCCATGAAACAACAACACAGTAATGACAAAATAGTGTAAATATTAAGTACTTTGAGAGATAGACAAGATTTAAAATCACACACCGATTCCAGATTTAAATATGAAACTGATTTTGTCAATAAAGTCCCCAAGGGCTTTTTTTAAACCCTGCCCTCCAGATGTGAAAAAAAACTGTTTTGTTTTCCTCACACTCAAACTATAAAATCACTCTGTTCTCAGGACTTCAATTTTTTTTTTATCAGTGAAAACAAAAAAAGAAAAAGAAAAACAGAAAAAGTGACGGACCAACAGTCCCTCGGTCATTCTGGATCCCATCTTATCCACACAAAGGTCTAAATAACCATGAAATATAAAATGAGTACAGTAAATAGATAAAGTGGTTCTTATCACTGATTACTGTAGTAGATTAAAGTCATCTTACAGTGACTATGTGATCTTTAACATTTATTTATAATGAAGAGTCTGTTTTCAGTTTCAGTTTGAGACTCTTTATTGATTATAAAGTCTATTTTTAGGGCACCTGTCATATGAGAAATGCAGTTTAGAGTGTTTTATAAGAGGAGAATTACAGACTGAATATAAAAATGAACAACTAGAGCTGATAAAGTGACATGATGGAAAATAAAACATGATAATAATTGTCAGAATAAGGTCATAGCAGATGGGGAAAAACAGAAAGCACAACACAAGGAAACAAACAACTCGATTAAAAAGACGATGAAATTAAGATGAAAATAAAATACCTGATAACAAAGAAAAAACAGAAAATGCAATGTTGAAAAACAGGACAAGGTTTAAAAAGCTTGTAGTTTAGAGACGTTATGAGGAGAAAGTTTTTAATTTGCTTTTTTAAACTTAATTAGGTTTGGTAAAAGTCGGTCTGTGTTCGGTCCTAGATCTGACTGGAAATTAAAAATGACAAAATTTGCCAATTTGGTGTCCAGGATAGGGATGGGCGATATGGGCTAAATTTATCACGATAAGATTTGCCATTCTGGTGATAACGATAAAAGTCCCGATAAAAAAATATTTTAATTCCAATCTATATTTTTGACTCATTTTGTCTTGAGAACACCAGTTGGAGTAGTCAAATAAGATACTCAACCCTAAGTTTGAGTGGTAGGTTATTGAGAAAACTAATGACATCAAACAAGTTGAAATTTGAAAACACTTTCACCACTTATTTAAAACTCTGGTTGCACAGAGTGAACAACATCAAATCCACTGTCTGATGTCAGACATACTTGATTGCATTCATCTAAGCCCCAATCTTGAAGGAAATCCCTCATGTGGAGCCTCATTCAGTAATGAGCAGCTCAGAAACGTTTTCTTCACCATCTTCAGCCATGTTTGTTTGTTACTCGGCTCTGTGCGGGCTATGGCTGTGAGTCAGTCTCTCGCGCTTACGTTATCAACTTGCATTTATTGTATTTATCATGAGATGGCAAATATTTATCATGGAGGATTTCTCTGATGATGTACGGTAAACGAAAATTTATTGCCCATCCCTAGTCCAGGAGTCCTGTTTCTATGGCTGTTATATTGTAAAAGGTATCTGTAATGTTTGATTTTCATTGATATCATTGTGAAACTCAAGATTCTGGCATATGGACGATGAATCATCGACTGACATCAGGTTTTAGGATGATGATGAGGTAGCAGGTGGGATGATAGCCAATACTTTGTGCTGACTTGTTGTCTTTTTCTCTAGTTTGTTGTAGCTAGGAGGATATCTGCAAACTTAATCAGCAAAATTCACGTTAACTTTGTGTTTTTACTCTATATAGACTCATTCATCTTTTTGCACATTGATTAGCTGGATTATCAGCATCTAAACATTATACCACTAGGCTGATATCAGCGTCATCTTGTCTCAACAGAACCATGTTTGTCTTGTCCTAAATCACAGCACAGCAAGTCCAAAACCTGGCTTGTGTTAAATCTAAATGCTGTTGTGTTGTAATAAATAACACAAGTTATTATATTTAATATTAGACTAATGCAGTTTAATTTTTCTGCTGACATGAATATCAGTCATGATATTCCTCTGTTGTGATATTTTATGGAGTCAAAAATGTTTCTGACTACATTATTTAATAAAATCTTTGTTCAAATTCAGCAATTTATCTTTCTCTTTTCTGTCTGACTATCTGAAATGACTAAAATAGAAAATACAGAGTTAATTTAGGTTTTAAAATAAAAACAAAGAAAGAAAGTCGCAAATAATGCTTTTACTCCAGTGCTTATATTAATCTGATATTCAAGGTTTTCTCAGTCAGTAACCTGGTGTAGATAAAAATATGTTGGGTTATGCTTTGGATTTTAGATAATGACAGATATTCACGTCTGAAGGATTTTCAAATGGCATTATTTGTATGAAACACTTGACAGTCACTGTTGTAGATTTGAAAAGTGTGAGTTATAATTCTGAGGAGATTATTGTGACATTGGCTTTGTGGGCGCTGATGTCTACCAAATTCTTTCAAACTCTCTAAATGAATAAAAGCTTGTTGTTATGTTTGAAATCGAGTCATATTTATGAACTATTTATTTACTTGTTTATTTGACAAATGTATGAGACTAGCCCTGGCTTATTTGAAGTTTAGGCGGTTAGGCATCCGTCATGAAGACAGAAATGACAGAGTATTAAGTTTGAAATGTCAGAAGCATTGAAAACATACAAAAAGGTCACTTTAATCGATGAAAAAGAGCTTACTCCTCCAGACCAGACAGAAACACGAGCCTGAGTCCATAACAGACATTCACCAAACACAGTGCCACTGATCTCTGCCACTCCTCAGGAGTCAAAGGTCAACAGCAGGAATGGTTTACACAAGCACCGTAACACAACAGGACTGTAAATATTTACAACAGCAACTCTGAACTCAGCAGAACCCGGTCTGCAGGAGGGCGAGAGATTCATGTTCACGACACGCACAGCAAATACACACAAACCACAACTGTTCACACACAAACTGTGATGTTCAGGATTAGGTACACAGTGTGTCTGTCAGAGTGGAAGAGTTCAGAGGCGACCATGTACACACACTCCTCACACACTTCACACACACTCTGCAAAATCACCAACTCTGTGTTAGTGCAACACAGGCAAACGCCGCAGCAGTGTGTGAGCACGTCAGAGAGAGAAAGAGCGAGTGTGTGTGTGTGTGTAATCACTGTGCAAATAACTTAAGCTTTGCATTACACTCACTGTCATGTTTATTATACATAAATCAATGGGTGTAAGGTTAATAAAATGTCATAAAATTATGAAAACTATCAATCAGTGCTTTGAAAGGTTGGGACAACATTCATAACAAAATGCAGAGCCAAAATCTCTTGAGACACGAGTAACTGGGAACTGAAACAAGCGCCTAAAATTCTTTGTATCTCATGAATAAAATTTTTCAGGCCTTTGGAGCTGCTGGCTGGAAGGGACCTGGGTTGACCGCTCCACTTATAACCCTTGTGTACGGGGCGCATGTTTTGACAATTGGGCCAGCAGCAGTGCCCTACATAAGTTCTACTCCAATCAGTTCAGTTCACTGTGTTTTAGTGCCCAGCATCCCTCACTTCCTCAGTTTCACCTTTCTGTTGTCACTGCACCCCCGGATAAAATTAGTTAATCTACATTGAAGTTATTACATTATGAGCCAGTATTGAACTGTGAGCCATTATTACATTATGAGTTTTTACAGCCATTCAGAGCAGTTCAAAACAGATTTAACAAACAGGAACAAGAGTGGTGCAAGCAACAATCAACACCAGAGACAGGGGCACTTGTGCTGCACTCAAAGCCATCAGTAGATGCAGGCCTCAAGGTCCTTTCACACCTTGTCGTGCAAAAATTTCGTACGTCAATATTTTTTTTCCGACGTCAATACAAGCGTTCACATCTGTGATATTTTCCCGTCCTGCGATATTGTGGCATTTATTTTTTCGGATCATGGTCAACTTTTCTAAAGTTTTGCATACTGTGTGTCCACCTCTGACCAATCAGATTGCGTGTTGCTGTGACATCTGATTCACCAGTATATCCAACATGGCTGACTGGCTGATAGTTTACGTGTCGGAGAATAGAGTGCTTTTTGATAAACATTATAAACATAACGACCTGAAGGGTTGTGGAGAGTCAAAGCGTCGGATCTCTCATATGACGATGGTTTGTGTGCTTTAACAGTTTCCTAAACGTCTTTGTTTTAACTTTCATATGTGCTAACGTAAGCTAACGGTTGTTACCATAGTTTCATGTACTTATCTTATCGCCTCTGATTGGCTATATGTGCTGGCCATTTGGCTTGTGAACGTGTGATGATGTTTCCAGCTTTTCTAGCCAATCAGAGGCAAAGGAGGCAGGACTTTCCCCAGGAAACGTCTTCTTCGGGATGCGTCTTTCCCCCCCCGGAAAGTCGCAAAATCGCAGCGGGCTTAATGTGTATAGTCAGACGCGTCAAAATTCACCTCTCAATATTTCGTAATTTCCCGTTCTATATTCGAGTGTTCCTTCTGTTTCAAGTGCATTTTTATGGCTTAGATTTGCGATCCAACAACTTTATTTGCCTTTTTTTTTGCTGTGGCCTTTGTGGAGCTGTGCTCTCTGCTGGGGCGATGTATGATCTAATCTATCTGTATGAAACTGAGCCTGTTTCCAAGTGCATGACTGTTAAAGATTTTACTTGAGCATCTCCTTCTCCATCTGTGTGTCCTCTGTGATGTCTGTGAGTTCAGCCCTGCAGTCTTCCGCCCTTATTTGGACATTAAAGGTGTGTGCTCCTGCAAATAAAGAAATACCAGCAAACATGTCAATCATTAATATGAGAACACAGTTTGGATGAAACTAGCAGATGAAGAACTGAGTCATAAACCAGGTGAAAGTTTAGAGAGAAGTGGAAAATCAGACTTGTGGAGATGATGGTTGGTACGTTTCACTGCAGATTCAGGAAGTGTTTTTTTAGTGACGTGACTGTTCTGGATTTGTCTGGATTTTATGACCTGAAAAGTCAACTCATGGGACTGTCAGTCATCCACGGAGACGTCAGCTGGTTTTAGTTCCTGCATTTTTCCGTATCGGTTATCAGTTACTGCAGAGGTGCTCCCAGTAACTGAGCAAATATCTATTAGCCACTTCAGATGTGTTGTAGCTGTAAAAGGACATTTTTATCCGTGCACTTAACTGATGTTTTCTAAAATCTGCGCTTAAGTTATCATTTCTTATTTGAAATGGCAATACAGACCTATGTCATCATGAAATTGCTGTTCATTTCGGTTCTTCATGATATATGTATACACAGTTTGCTGCAGAAGAGCATCTCTCTCCTCTCTTTGTGTGCAGCCTGGTGACAGTGAGTTACCATGGTAACAGGACACGCTATGGCCGTCACTCTCAGACTTTCTTTTAACTCTGATTTGCTGCCATAGAATCTGATTTAGAGGTGGAATAAAGCTCTGGAATAGGATCCAATCAGCTCTATTACTTATAACTAAACTAGAATAATTCCAGTCATGTGACTCAAAACTGAGCTGTACATTTAAAAGCTGCAGATGTTTAAACTGTGCTGAAACGGTCAGTAATTCACAGACAACTCAAATTAAACACACTTGTCTTTGATGTGACATGATGCCAGGTGAGCAAATACAGAGGCTGAAGGTGGAAAAATATATTAAAAACAGAGTGAAAACAACAGACAATGATGAAAAATAGACCCAAAAAAAGCAGGAGAACCCCAGACCCTCACCCATTTATATTTCTTGTGCTCGGGGGCTGTAGTTCAACTCAATCATCTCTTTAATAATACACAGAAAAGTTTCTCTGCGGTTATAAAATGAGGCATTTGCAGCACCCTGCATTTTTTTCATGTTTTTCTGTCCTCTTCTAATCACAAACCTGCTCCTGTGTCCTCGCTGATGTCCTGTTTGTTTGACCCCCAGCATCCCTCACTGCCTCCATATGAGGACATTCATGCTGTTTCTGCAGAACGTTTAACTAGCCAGAGGACAGCATCTAAAATTGATGTTAAATGGGACCACAAAGGGTTATATTTTGACGAGTTTAATGACCAATCCACCGTTTTTGAATACTTTAGACTGAGGAAAAAAACTGTCCGACACATGTAAACACTGTGGAAATGTTTTGATTCCTGCAAAAATCTGCAAGGATCTTTGAGTATTTCTGTAGCTGCTGCACTCATCATCATCATCAGCCTGCACAGCTGTACATTCACTGTACACCCCCCTGCATTCACTGAATTCAGTGACTATAGTTCACCAAAGCTGCGTGTGAGTCTGTTGTTTTGTTTGCACGAAGGAACGCTCAGAATCAACAAACCAGGGCGAGACCTGACAAGGCTGACTGACAAGAGAGCAGAGCCAGTGCTAATGCTAAAGCTAATCAGACCGCTGAAAACAAGCGTATTCACTCTTCAGATGAAGTTTAAACAAACCTGGAAAAAAACATTTTCAAATGTGATTTGAGTCTGCATGGAAAACTGACATATTTTACAGCCATCAGTAAATTTTAAGCACCTATTTTGTTATTTGTACAGAGAAAGCGTAAAGCTGAGAACTGAGATGCAGCAGAACGAAGCCTCTTTGGCTGCAGGTGAAGAAAAGACGGGAGTTTGAAAGTGGAGGTCAGGAGAAGAGATTTGGTGACAGTGCTGAGGAGGAATGTAAGGAAGAGATTGATATCTTTTCCTGTTTGTGTTGCACTGGTGTGAAACTGCAGAGCGGTGCTGTGCTGTTTGAATTTCATACAAACCCAACAGAGTCAGAGGAAATGGGAGGATGGAGGAATGAGAGGAAAAAAAAACTGCAGGGAGAAAAAAAGAAAGAAGAAAGAGGAGAAGCAGAGGTAAAAAGAAAGACTCAAGGGTTTGCATGCAGTCAGCAAAAATGTGGGATTTAGTTCAATGTTGTCAAGTCTCAAAATGCTCAGTATGTACAGAAAACTGGCCTGTTCCGATTTTCAGAACATAAAACTGTACATTTTTAGAGTGAGTAAATCTTAGGACCGTTGATTTAATAGAGTTGGAGCGTAATTTTGACCAGTGTGTGAGGGCGAGCAGCCAGAGGGAGTTTGAAGTTAAAGCCAGGTAATAAATAACTGTTTTCTGTTGTTTTTTCTTCAATCTTTATCTGAAAAAGAAAATACTCCAGACCTATGTAAAAATGAAAAATGTCCAAAGCAAGAGTTGGCATCGATTTGCTTACTCCTGCATTAAGCTGTCTCTGTGTTGGATCACTGTTGAAACTATAAAAAATCCACAGACTGTCAAATAGCAATAATAATATGAATAACTTATATAGCACCTTTAAAAACATACATTCACAAAGTGCTTTAACAGATAGAACAAACAAAGGCAGAAACAGGCAGAACTCAGAGTTTCTGCATTTTCTTTCAAACTACTGTCTGTCCTTCTCTGAAATTGTGAAATACACTGTAAATACATTGTAACTGCATAATTTAGATTTATATTTCAGTCGTTTTGCAGTGAGGTTGTATGATTTTCAAGTCTCTACAAAGTGTTTAAGCCACAGTGAATGTTGGTCAGCTCAGCACTGCAGGGGGAACCTGCGTACAAGCTAGGCTACAGTTTTCTGTAAATGGGCTGAGACGTAATTTAGCTCATTTAGAGAGACTCTGAACCAAACACTGATTTCTGACTGAGCGCCTTAACTTTGTTCACTAGTTTCAGTCCTGTCACAGCCTTTAGTCGCATATCTTCCCCTCGCTTTTCCCCTACACTTCCTGTCTCTCCTATCTAATAAAGGGGGGAAAAGCCCCCTAAGAATACATAAGAAGATGTTCAGAGTAAATCTGAAAAATCTAAGAAGTCTGGAAACATGAGTCAGGGTACCGAGGAGGAAGTGGACCACCAAAAAAGTTATATATTTTTTTCAACACCAGCTTTTTTGATTGCCCTGAAAGTTGTCCACAGACAGCAAATGTCAGAATTTATTGAGGAAAAAAGTGTGCTGACACCCTGAAAGTTTGTGGTAATCTGCTTTTATTCTTCACACACACAAACACTACACATACATTCAAACAGACACACACACACACACACACACACACACACACACACACACACACACACACACACACACACACACAGATGCACACATGGGCTGCATAAACACACTCCCTGCACTCACCACACAATTTCTTTTGTCCCAACTGAGGAGGTGTGACAGAACTCCCCTCCTTCTTACAACAGTCCCTCTAAGACACACACACACACACACACACACACACACACACACACACACACACACACACACACACACACACACACACACACACACACACACTGAGAGTTGCATTGAGATGTGCTGTGATAAGAAGTGAGGGAGCCTTTTAGCTTTCTTACTGCAGGGAGAACAAAACAGGAGTGTGTGTGTATGTGTGTGTGTGTGTGTGTGTGTGTGTGTGTGTGTGTGTGTGTGTGTGTGTGTGTGTGTGTGTGTGATGGGGGAGGAGGTCATACTGGGGTGGCAGCTTGCAAAGAAAAGGGGTCCCAAAAGAAGTTTCTAGAGCAATGCACCGCTGCACCCCTTTCTACACACACACACACACACACACACACACGGAGCGTACTTTGATTGTTAATCCTTTTCACAAACTGAATTGCAGTTTTTTGGTCTGATCTTTTGTGTCACACCGCTCTTGCACACACACTTACACACACACGCACAGTTGACACACATTTGTAGCGTCTTCAGTCGGAGTTATTGTGGTTTTGTTTGACTAAAATGTGTGAGGACAAAAAGAAATTTAAACAAATCTTCACAGTGAATTCACTTTTTTTTTCTCTCTCTCTCAAACTATCAAAGCTGCAAATTCTTCACCAAAAATTACGAAAATAAAAGTAACACAGGGTAAAATAATCAGCTGAATTACCCACAGAGGTCCCACTCTCTTAGAAACAAACAGACATGGTGAATCAAATCTGTACTAACACTGAAACATAATATTTGAAATTAAAATCGCAGTTTCTCCAATGATCTTCAGTATAGCTGAATGAGTGAACTCTAAACAGATGCTATTTTAGCTTCTCTCCCTCAATAATCCAAACTAGTTTTCTAAGCAATCACACAAAACTGCTTTAATGAAGTTTACTTTTGATTTACACATCGGATTAAGGCAGTCCTTCACCAATATCATGTTAATGTTAAGTACAGTTCAGCCTTAACTACTGCAGAAAATGCTCTGAAATCAAAAACTTCACTCAGCATCAGTGTGAGCCCACAGCCTGTATGTCGGAGCCAAATGGCTGTAGGCACAGTGTGTTTCCAACAACCAGACTGCAGCTAATGGTTGAGACCAACCATTGTCTAACTGTGTATGAATAATAATAGCTGTCTTTATGTTTTTAGTCTAATCGTGTTTTTTTCCTCCCCAGCAGGCAGTATGTTTTCATGCACAGGAGAGTCCAGCTATGGTTATAGCTTGATTAAAAGCTCTGACTGGACTACTGTCCTTGTTCCAGGTTATAAGCACTGAGCAAAAATCAAATTATTGACAGAGGCGTGTCTGCCCCTGATAAAGTACAGGGATGAGAATTGATAATCTTAGAAAACTAATATCATTATTGAGACTCCTAAATAACTCGAGTCCTTAACAATACCACTGAAGAGTCTGGTTTATTATATAGATTTTTTTCAGTAAAAAACATTTCTTCTTTTTCTGGGAGTGACATTTGAACACATCCTGATGAGGTGTTATCTACTTTTGCCTAATTCTCCTTTTAGCGACCTGACCTCGAACACCTCACAGTGTATAAGTATGTCGCTTCAGTTAGTTAGCTAACCAGCTTTCCCTTCTACGGTAGGCGGTGACATCCCCCTTTTTAGCTTATTACTGTCAGGTCGTCTCCCAGTTGACGGATTATGTTTTAAATCAGTTAGTAAAAGGCATTAGCTTGGGGCTAACAGGATGTACTACATAATTACAGCTCTGTATGTCTGTCTGTCTGTCTACAGTCTCTTTGTTTTTATGTTCCTATGAGGTTTTGTTTACTTCGGAAGTTTTGTTTTGTTTACTATCCAGCTCCTGGGTGACGCGTTCACGCTGTTCAACTTCTGGCTCAAAGCCTGGTGTGCGAACACTGGAGCATGCTCAGAAGATAGTGAGGAAGATAGAGGCGTAAACATGGATGAGAAAATCAAATCCCAACCACTAGATGTGTGTGCATGACCTGGGTGATCAGTCTCAGTGTTTCCTGTCCTCATCAGGTCTCATTGTTCTGTGTAAGTGTTCAGTATTTGGGTCCTGCAGTCTGGACTTGTTCTCTCAGTCTTTAGGAGACCTTAAATGTCCCTCAGAGGTCTGCTGGCTCTCATCCTTAGAAGAGTGTCTCTATGAGGACTCAGCTGACCTAAGGAGACCCTCTCTGTGTGGTCCCTCACTCTGGTCCTGGATCCTCTGTAGCCTGCCTCTGTGTGAACAGATAGTCACAGTGACCCTGTGAGGATCTCCTGACTGTACTAATATTTTTGTTTACTGTGATAATTTCAGTCATTCAGTCTCATGTTGGCGGTTGTTATCAAAGATGGGAAAAATTAAACGCATTAACTATCTAAAAGAAAGCCGACGTATCTCCTGCATGCCCGACTTTCTTGTCCTCATACTGCCTCTATCTCTTCAGCTTTACTCTCAAACAGAGGGAAAAAGAGGCAAAAACAAGTGAATGACACACCACATTAGTGATACAAAACTGATTTTTTTCCACAAAGATGCACAATCACAGCACTCTCTCCAAATGCTGCAGGCAGGAGAGCCTGAATGTGAAAAAGTAAAATAAAGATATGAATATAAAGTTACATACATGAAATTGAAATGTTGGATCTCACTACTAAACATGTACAAAGTGTCAGAGGTAAATTCATGTTGGAGTAAACTCAAGTGAGTCTGCAGGCTGCTCTGAACGACTGGTTCAAAAAGTCAGCAGAAATATACAAGACGGGCACAAGGTTTCCTCAGATCCTGTCATCACTGATGATGAATCTCCTTAAAGGGATATTCTGGCGTAAATTAAAGTGATGGTCAAACATACTGCAACAGTTAGACACCCCAGAGATGATTGTTGCCAACTGCTTGCTTCTCTAGTTATACCAACTTTAGTGACGACCACACGATAGCAATACAAAGCGGTCTACTTCTCCACGTGCAAACCTTAACCAAAACACCACTCTATAGCCACAAATGATGCTCTAGCCATAGCACTAGCCATCAAACATCTTTTTAGCTTTGCCTAATTTCTTTGGCAAAAAGACCAAACACAACTAGCCCACTCTCCTCCAGCAGCCGCTTGTTTGTGGGGGAGCCCTAACGAGTCGATCACAGAGTGCAGCGGAACGTTTATGATCATCACGTCATGGAAATACAATCAGACTGAGACACAGAGGCAGAAGAACTACTGTGTCTGCAGTGCACATACAAGATATAAAAGAAATCTTATTTCATTTTCATCAAGTAATAATTATAAATGTTCTTCCTTGAGCTGTGGCATTAGTAACTGGTCCACCTGTGCCTCTCTAAGTCTTTTTGTTTGAATAGTTCATTTGGATCCAACAAATAGAACACAAAATAAATATTACAGAAAGAAAGAACTGTTTCAACAGCAGATCAGCAACAACTGTTTTCTGTAAGCGACATTAACAGTGTCAGACTCAGTCTGCAGATACAGGAGCTGTTTGTGGTTGATAAATCCTGCTCCTCTGTAACAACAGCTCTGTTTCTGTAATAACAGTCTGAGCCTGTTGGGGGCAAAAGTTCGAACTCAGTGGACACATTTTGACCCACCAAGTGAATATAACAGATAACTGCTTCTTTACCTGCTGCAGGATGAAGAAATCTCCTGAAGCAGATTTCATCATCCAAAGACGCCTTAAATGACAGGGTTTTATTTTCCTTTTGTTTCATTCATCTGATCATATTTTCATTCATAGCTGTCTTGTGTTGAGATCTGGGTCTGTTTTTCCAGTTGGAGGCTGTTGTGTCTGTGGATGATGAGCTGCAGCTGGTACAGGAGCTGTGGTCACAGGAGTGTGTTTGTGTGGACTGTAAACAGACGAGTTCAGAGTTCAGACCCAGACTGAAGTCTCTTCATGTTTTCTATTACTGACTGAGTGATGAATTCAGTAAACTGGATGGATCTCAGTGTTTGTTTGGGGACAGGGAGTTGTTGTGGCACAGATTGACAGATTCACTGTGTGCTAACGCCGAGGGATCAGAGGAGGCCGAGCCCAGCCAAACCACAGCTCTGCCACCCGGCCAGAAGAAACCACAGGCTGTCGCAGCTGCAGGGACGACTGCTGCTCTGTACACTCACTCACACACTCAGACTCACACACACACTTTCATAATGTTAATGTGGTCAGGGAGCAGTTTACTCTGAAACATCCTGCAGAAAACGGTCAATTTATTTCTACAAAGTTTAATCATCAAGTTGAAGGTCTCGTGTTTTTGATGACACATATTCAGTTTGACGAGGTTTGAACCAGGTAAATTTTATACCGTGACACTCCTGAAGTCTGGGTTAGAATTGGAGTTGGAATCACTTCTAAAAATCAACCCCGCATGTACAAGACCTGCAGACAAAAGTGAGTCCTTACTTCGGTTCTCAATTTCTGCAGGGAAAGACCTCTTTCATGAAGTGAACTTACCCTGACTCAGAGGACAGACCCTGGTCCCTGCACAGTCTGCACACCACCTGCACACCCGTCACACTGCTGCTGCTGCTGCACACAGATGGTATCAGCTGGATGATCTAGACAGGCTGCACTCCCTGAGAGTTTGTGTTCACTGGTTTATACTACAGCTGCGTGTGGTGTTTGTTAATGAGGAGGACATGCCTCAGAGTTACTCTTCCAAATCAAATTGAATTTAACATTGTGATTTTTATTGGTACAGAGGAAAACAAAACTGCAACTTTAAGACATAACTGAAAAAAGATGAGCAGAGAAAAGGTTCATGGGTCCAGTCTGACTGATGGCTGCAGTGTAAAAGGATCGCATGGATTATTGGTCTGGAGTAGCTTGTGGTAAGACCAGGATAGATATTAGACAGTGTGAAAAAGGTAGAGGCAGAAAAACTGGTCAGTTAACTGTTTTTCAAACTTTTTTCTGTCAGTATCTCCATCTGCAGCACCGTGTGTGTGCTGTATCCTGCACAGGAGACGGGGAGCTCAAAACATTACTGAAACAGGTCATGTTGGATTGATTAGTAACACATTTTAACTTTGTATAGATTAGCTCCATCCCTCACACTTATAAAATGTGCCACTGAATCCCGGTGATTCGTCAGTGGTGTTAAAATAAAATGAAATAAGATAAAACTACAGGTCCTTGACTATAGCAGCCTCTGCCAGAACAGACTACTGTGCAGTCTCTGATAAACGTACTGCAGAAAGTAAACATGCACATGACGCCGTTTCTGCAGATTCTACACCAGCAGCACATGTGCAGTGTGAAAATCTGTGCAGAAGAAGACATTGAGTCTCTGTCGTATTATAAGCTCATATCACAGGACTGGTGATGCTTATAAAAAATAATCAGGAGTTATCTTGTGTTAGTCCTCTCCTGTTTTAGTGAAGTAAGGTGTAGCTTCACATGCACTCCTGCATCTCCGTAGGATGTTGGTTTAATGTAGAGGCATAATGTTTTTTTTTTTACGTACATTAAAACACAATGTATTCATCTGATATGATTCCTGATAGTTCTTGCAGGAAGAAAAAATGTTGCAGTGTTTTGTTTTTTCAATGTTGTCTTGTTTTAGATATTGTCTTAGACTTTTGCTTCATGTTTGTATATCTCTGCCTGTTCTGACCGACCTCTCTGTTAGTGAAACAGACCTTTAACTTCTGCTTTCTGAGTTTCCATTTGAGATCTGGTTCATGGTTCAGTGTGACAGGTACAGATCCATAAGCTCTGTCTCCCAAAACTTTACTATCTTCAGGTTGCTGAGGTTTCCAATGTTGAAGTTTTCTTTCAATCCCAGTGGAATTCAGGAAAGATTTCTGTTTGTTTGGTGCTCGCTGCTGGACCTTGCCCTTTAACATCTTGGTCACTATTTCACCAACATGAAGTCTCACAGAAACATCACATTGTTTTCTTGTTGGTAATATTCAACTATATCCTCATGACTCATTATAAAGGTTCTGGGGTTTTGGCGTTCTTACCCAAGACCAGGTTGATGTTTTGTTGATCCAGTAAAACCCAAAGGCTTCAGTGAAATCGTGGACAGGTTGATGGTTGATTTGGCTGCAGATGGTTTTATATTCAAGCCAATGGCAGCGGTAGAAAGGGCTCATAAAAGGTTTGAATCTTGTCCTAAAATGTCGTCTCCTCTTCCTCTTCCTCAGGCTCTCCTCTCCTCCTCTTTGCAAACCGGCGTGACGTGCGACTGGTAGACGCAGAAGGCATACGGGGCGAGTCGGCCATCGTTGTCAGTGACTTAGAGGACGCGGCAGCTGTTGACTTCCTGTACTCAGAAGGTTTGATATTCTGGACAGATGTCAGCGAGGAGGCCATCAAACAGACGCACTGGAACCAGTCGTCCAACTGTAAGGCTGCAGACTAACTGCTTTACCTGTCTTTGGACGTTCGTTTGACTCCTCCTCTTTCTCACTGTGTCTCACTCTGTTTGTTTCTGCAGCTCTTAAAGAAGCCCTAGGGACGGGTCAGACTGTGGTGGTCTCAGGTCTGGACAGTCCTGATGGGCTGGCCTGTGATTGGTTAGGTAGGAAGCTTTACTGGACAGACTCTGAGACAAATCGGATAGAAGTGGCGAACCTGGACGGCTCCTCCAGGAAGGTCCTGTTCTGGATGGACCTGGACCAGCCGAGGGCAATTGCTCTCAACCCAGCTCAACGGTAACCCACATAGACTCTTCTTACTTGTAAACCTGCTATCAGAAAAACAGGCTGCAAAATTTTAAAAAGTATCTGAAGAAGTTTAAATGGTGTTGGAGCAAATGTGCTGCAGGAAGTAAAAGCATAACGACTAAACACTCACAAACAGCAAACCTCACAAACAGGAATCAGTGCTTATCTAGATTTCCCTACCAGATTCAGTTTCAGTTCATTTTATTCATCGTTCTGAAAGTGCACGACAAAAGCTAAAGTAACCCCAATAAGAAACTAAGAATTAACTAAAAGAAGCAGCTTTACATATTCTGCAGAGCTACAGCAGTTCAGAAGTGCAAGAATTGTTTGAATTAAAGCATTTAACATTGGTGTAAAAAGGATGAATCTAAAGAGAACTCCAGTCTATGACATGATGCAAATCTTTCTACCATATAGTAAGATATGATAGGAAAAGTCATTATACAGTACGATATGATATGACACCATACGGTACAATATGATACGATATGATACAATATGAGACGATACAACACTATACAGTATGTACAATGAGATACAATATCATAGACCGTATGTCACCATTTGGGCAGTTTGTCTTAGAGTAAAGTGCTGCACATGCTCAACTGCATCCACAATAGTACCAATGAAAAAGACAAATGAACAACAAAGTGTTAATATGATCCATATAAACAGAGAAAACACACCAAAGAGTTCACAGCAAACAAGCAACATGTGAGTAAGAAACACATTCAAACAACTCCAAGTTTATTCAAACATGTTAGAAAACTGATAAATATTTAAAAACACAGAAAGTATTTCAAATATAAGCCTATTTAAAGGAACATAGTTTGGTGCATTTACTGTATTTATGCCAGTCTTAGATACTCACAGTCCCTCTGACCCTCCACTGCTAGTTCATGGTCACTCTTTGAGGAAATTGTGCATTTAAATGTGACCTTTTTCACATAGTGTTGGACCAATATTTCTGTCTTTAAATAGTAAATTTCCTCTTTCCCCACACCAGATACATGTACTGGACAGACTGGGGGGAGGAGCCCAGGATAGAGCGTGCAGGGATGGACGGCAGCAACAGGTGAGAGATCTGTTCAGTCTTCACTGAATAAAAACATGAATGATGAGCAGCTATGAGCTGATGATCACGTCTCTGACAGGAAAGTGATCGTGGACCGGGACATTTACTGGCCTAACGGTCTGACCATCGACCTGCTGGAGCAGAAGCTGTATTGGGCAGATGCAAAACTGAGCTTCATCCACAGAGCCAACCTGGACGGATCAGCACGGTAAGGACTCTGGTTAAATATATGTGTGTGTATATGTAGAGACATGTGTGTGTTAGAATAAAGTTGGTCATTTTCTCACAGACTTAATATAGAATAGAACCTGGTCGTATAGTTCAGCACTCTCCTTACCCTAAAAGCAAATATGCAGTCAGAAATAGAGGTATAGTTACAGGGAAAGATTTTCCCCCAAATGTCTGGAATCAGAGTGCAAAGGTGGTGACCAGTCTGTGTCAAAGCTGAGAAAACACCAGTGATTAGGGCTACAGATAAACTGATGTGTTATAAACTGAGTACATGAAGTGCACAGTGACAAACTGTCAAATTAATGTCTCAGGGAGGACTGCCTGGACTAGCTCCTTTTAAGGGTAAAACTGGAAGAAAAGCAAATGAAATATTCCTCCCAGATAGTTGATCTCAAAAGGGTCACTCCTTCTCCTTCTTCTCCTCCTCCCCATCCTCCACCGCCTCCTCCTCCTCATCATCATCATCATCTTATTTTCTTATAACAACAACAACTCTCAGGCCTCTAGAGGTCTCTAAATACGGTCCCTGAGTATTTTACTTTCCCCTTTGAACAGAGCAGCAAATAAATCAGCCCTTAACTGCAGTTCTTCAATAGTCCACTAGAGACTGTCTCAAAGTGAATCAGTCACCATAGAGCTCCATGTTAAACGTATGACATAAATTAAGATTTTGATAGTTTAGTGCAAAAAAATGTGGGTCTTATTTCTTCATTCTTGACAAGATCTTAAAAGAAAGTTCACCTCAGATCGAGAATCAAACACTCCTGTTTACATTAGTTTATAGATTGAACTCACCTCTATACGTAACATCACATTATTGTATTATAGTTGGGTTAAATTAGGGGTATGGCCTCTTTGAGTGACAAGTGGCAGCTGCTTGCTGTCTGCCCTGGGTCTCCTCACTCCCTAAACTTTTCAAGGTGGTGTTTGTGTTGTTGGAGGTTAATTAATGTTAATGTTAGATTTAAAATCTGTCCCGCTGTTTGCTTTACTGACTGTCTACCAAGTTTGATTTTCAGTTTTGATGATGTTTTGACATTATTCATGTGTCAGCAGTGTTTAGCAGATCTCTGTGTCCGTGCTCATTTGACTCTTTCTGATTTTGAGCAGGAATTAAAACCTTACACTCATGTATTAAACTTTTGGCCTCCATAGATATTGCCATGAAACTGCTCAGGTCTGCCTCTTCAAACTTTAACGATCAGCAGAAAATGTTCAGAGTATTCACCCTCTTTTCTTTGCAACAAAGAGGTGGAGGAGGGGAGGAGAAAACGAACTGTTCAGACAGAATGAAAGAAAAATAGAGCGAGTATGAGAGGGTTGTCCAACACAAACAGAGCTGTGGTATGGAGGCCCCAGTCAAAACACACACTCTCCACACACACACACACACTCCCACTGCATCAATCTTTCCCTCTCTCCTTCAGGCATCTTATCATCCCCTCTCTCTCTCTTTCTCTCAGCCTCCCTCCATCTTCCTCTCTGTTCTACTCCTCAGTGGAAATTTCCAGACACTTGTATTTTTTATTTTTTTTCACCATAGTTAAATATTGAAAAAGCTCCATTTCTAGATCATAACCTCAGGAGGAGAAGAAGAAAGTGCCAGAAGGTTTCACATCGAACTCAAGCACATAAAGAACCGCTGTCAGTCCTACAGCATCCAAACATCTGTGAAATCATTTAATCTCAAGTATCGACGCTTTCTCAACAAGGAAATTCCAGCAGAAGTAAAGGAGAACATTTAGAAACAGGAAGGAGGACAAAGGTTAGAAATAGAGGCTCAAATCTTGAGTGTCATCGATAAAAACAAAGCACTAAGATTAACTTTAAATGAAACCAAACTACAGCTGACTGATTTAGTCCTTGTGGGTCAGCCCAGAGGAGTAAATAAACATCTCTAAAGGGGCGTCACCCGAGACCTATAACATACAAATTTAGCCCACATGGGACCGATCCAGCGCCCATGTTTGCTATCTAAACACTGTGTCCATTTCTCAGACATATATGTTCTTTTAGGTTACTTTTCTGTAGTCATCATCTACAAAAAGTAAAAAAAAAAAACACAATCAAAAGATTGAGAGAATCTGGAGAAATGTCTGTACTGAAGAGACAAGGACCATAACCAAGATTGGGTGGTCCTGATCATCAGGCCCTCAGGCAACACTGAATTCAAGACAGACAGGACTCAGGAGTGGAAATCACTGTATGGGCTCAAAATCCCCTCCAAAAACCAACAGAGTTCATCACTTCATCTACAAATTAGGTTAAAACTGAACCATACACAGAGGAAACCAGATAGAAACAGGATCCAGGAACACCAGAGACTTCTCTGGAGCTGAGCCCTTTTAAGGTGGACTGAGGGGAGCGGTGGACACTGCTTCGCCTGTTTTACAAAGGGTCAGTGTCAAAAAAGACTTTTATTCTGGGAATTGTAGAAGCTCAGTTCTAAAGAAGAGTCCGAGTAAAATCTGGTACTCTTTCTGGAAATCATGGATGCTGCATCCTCCGCTCTAAAGAGTAGAGGGTCCATTCAGCTTGTTCTCAGATCCTAGTTCAAAGCCAGCATCCTTGGGGGGATAGGGATCATCAGAGTCCACAACCTGGTCTGCTGCGTTCACTAAGGTTTAGAGAGGGTTGGTAAAAGAGCTGAGGACCCACAACGATAAAAACTTTTTATCATTATAAAAAACATTTTATCCTCTATAAAAACTTTTTTAAACAGGTTGCTGACCTCAAATAAAAAATTTGGATATTTTTCATATAACTATGAAAGTTTTTAGATTGTTTGAACTGTTTCAATGAAATAGAAATGATTTGTAAACTTTTAAAATGTGTTTTTACATAAGAATTTTCTTACCGCAATTTCCTTCATGCCCGTAGTATCCAGGAAATCTAGGACCCTGTAGATATTCTAGGTATTTTAACTCATGGAAGTGCCTGGTTTATGGGATAAATTGCTGTCCATGAACTCCAGCACTGGGCTGTGGACTCCTGTTGTCTTCATCTCCTGGAGTGGAAACCTCTGACGTGTTAGAAACATCGGCCAGAAACTTTGTTCCTATGGCAGCAACACACTCCACTGTACGCTCTCTGCTTAAAGCAGCACAACACAATATGTTTATGTAACCACAGAATCCATCAGGCTGTCATGACACAGTGTGTGTGTAGGTGTGCGAGGACGGTGTGACGTTTGTGTTCACAGCTGAGACACAAACACACACACAGGCGCACACACGTACAACTCAATTAGATGTGAAGGCCCAATCTGCATCTGCCTGACAGGCTGAGTGATGAACTAATTTAGCTGTTTGCCTGTTGGTCTGTTGGTCACACACACACACACACACACACACACACACACACACACACACACACACACACACACACACACACACACACAAAACCTGAACAGAGCTTTGAAATCTGGAGTTGGTTAAAATTTGTTCTTTCTGTTTTCCGTTAACCACCGCTGGCAGACTCTGATGCAGTTACAGAGCACGCACACACTTAAACACTCTTAAACACACACACACACGAACACACACACGAACACAGGGTGAAAAAATGATGATTGATGAAAGCCAGTTTCTGCTGTGTTGATATTCTAAATACAAGCAGCTTTGATCGTGTGCCGCGGTGCGTCGGTGTGTGTGCATTTTCCTGTAAGTGATTCTTTAAGACTGTTAAAAAAAAAAATTAAGAGTCTTCTGATCAAACACACACACACACACACACACACACACACACACACACACACACACACACACACACACACACACACACACACACACACACACACACACACACACACACTTCATGCTGTTTGCAGGATTTTGGCCTTAAAGGTGCAGGGAAGAGAAGAACTTTTTGAGGCCTAGCGTCTCTTCTTGTGGAGTTTTATGGAAAAGTTTGAGGAGGTAAAACTGATCTGACTCCTGAGGTTTTTGGCCCTTTATCTAGTGTCTAACTTGGATCCATATTTACCGAGCAACCAGAGAACTGTTTTTGTTTTAATCTGACCATCATCATGTTGAATCATTCTCCTCTGAAGACACACTTTTCGGTTTTTGAGACCTTTCTTTCAGGATCCTTGTTTTCTACCACACTTCACAAAATTCAGGTTAAGACCTAAATGATACCTGGACAAATTATATATAGCTATATATGTGTTTTGCACAACAAAATAAATGTATGAACTCCTTTTAATCTGAAACATTTACATCATTAAACTCTAAATTCCAAGTATTAAAGCTTTATTACAAACTTGCAAGTCTTCTTACTGTAGTCATTAAAAATATTCAAAACTAAGTTTTTTCAGTGTATAAAACAATTAGAGTATATATTTTTTTGATAATTTGACTATAAATTTATGGGGGTGTAGATTTGTTAAAATATTCAGTCAAATTTCTGTCAGAGTGCCATTAAAAGTTTAAGTGGAAAAAAGCCTTTGTAGACATTTTATGGTCTTGAATTTTAAAATCTTTTTAAAATTCAAAGGAAACCTTTGGGTCTACAGATGATGTGGCAGAGTCTGCTGCTTTTGTTGCTTTAATCTTTGTCAAAAACTTTGTTAGTCTATAAAATATTTCAGCGTATCTGCAAATAGATGGAGGCAACACAAACTCTTAAAACAGCAGATGATTCAGATCATTTAAGACTAAATGTTTTTAAGAGCTAAAATGTGTCATTAAAATCATTTAAAGTCGTGCCTGTATGTTTGCGGCACATTTTAAAAACACCCATGGAGTAATTTTTGTACTTAAAATGGAGTGATGCATAAAATTGTTTAAGGAAAGGGAATAAAAGGAACAAGTTTTAACAACCATAAAACATTTGAATGAAAGTTCAGTGGACGTTAAAATAACAGACCTCCCAGTAAATTTTGTATCTAACTTAGTGACATCCAAAATCAACATGAGGCTTAAGAGACAACCTGTTATTTTCAACAATGCCCAGGTTCTTGGTTAAAGCACGTCCATCTTTCAGTTTTAAAGTTTGCATTAAAGACTTGGATCAGTGCTGTGGATCTGCTGCAGCATTGAAAAAGTCTTCAAAATCTGCTAAAATCGTGAAAACAAGAGTTCGAATAAAGTAAGGAAAGGAAGTAGATGAGATTATAACACCTCTGCCTGAGCAGTTTGCAAACTGAAGAGTCTAAGTTTGGAGGAGCATGCTTCACAACTCTCTTCAAGAATTCCAGTCCAGTACTTTTAAGTCCACATTGTGTATTGTTGTAATGAAAGTGGAGTGCAGTCACGCTCTTGGTTATGCAGCTCGCTGCGTTTTGCTCTGGTTGTGGAAATGAGCTGTTAGCATCCCGACTTTGCAGCTCAGAGCTGCACACTCACAGTTATTAAAGGAGCTCAGATCTATTTGTTTTTAAGCTTTTATTTTGTGCGCCCTGCAGGGAGACGGTGGTGGAGGGGACCCTGACGCATCCTTTCGCCCTTACGCTGTCTATGGAGACCCTGTACTGGACTGACTGGCAGACCCGCTCCATCCATGCCTGCAACAAACACAGTGGAGACAAAACCAGAGAGATCCTGAGTGGGATTTACTCCCCGATGGACATCCAGGTCCTTGAGTCCCACAGGCAGCCGTACAGTAAGTTGAACGCTTTTTATGTTCTCGTATATATTTCTGTAAGAAGGTGTTTGTGCTGGAGCTCATCATGTTTTTGTCTTCTGTGCTCTCTTTGCAGTCCAGACTCCCTGCAGCAATAATAACGGAGGCTGTAGTCACCTGTGCCTCCTCTCTCCAGTCGAGCCTTTCTACAGCTGTGCCTGCCCTACAGGAGTCCAGCTCAAACCTGATGGCAAGACCTGCAAACCAGGTATGGACCCCAGCCACCTGTTGGTATGGTTAGAGTTTCTACAGTGCTTTACGGAGGCTCAGAGCTGTGAAACAAAAACTCTACGGCTTTTCAAACCTGTTTGATCTGCACATAAAGACAGTCTCCAATTTTCAAATCAGACTTTTTCCAAACTAGGTGTCACCAGCAAAAAATGTCAAAATGTAAATTAAGTGTTGGAACTGAAGTCCAGCAGTGGTGGACACACACACAAGCACACACAAAGAGAGTCATTAGCATTTGCATGTTGCTGAGCTGCGTCCTCATGGTCTGTGGTGTGTATTGTGGTGATGCAGCTCTGAGTTTGTGAGCGTGAAAACAGTGAAACTGACCTGTCTGCTTGCAGAGTGGGATATTAACTGACCAGCCGCCATGTTGATTCCCACCATCCTGAAACAATAGAGCCTTATTCTGCAGAGCCCGGCCTGTGCTGGAGTGTCTGTTATGTGAATGTATTTAATTTGAATGAAGCATGCCAACCAATCAGTCAGCCACTGTTGACAATAAAAACAACAATGCTCCATTGTGTCAGCCGCTGTGTGTGTGTGCGTCTCTCTGTCCGCAACCCTAATTTGTTTTGCTTGGCTGGTTAAATTGAAGGCGTTTGTTATTGCGCTGGCAGCAGTGAGAGAGAGTGTGTGTGAGTGAGTGTGTGTGTGTTTGTATGTGTGTGTGTCTGGGGTCTTTAAGTGTCTCAGAGTTAAGTCAAGCAGAGAGGAGAGTGGGATTACAGGCGTTTTCCCTCCTTCCTTTTTATCCCGTCCCTCGACGTGGTCATTTAGGTAACGATGGAACAACTTAAAATGTCAGATCTGATTGGCCGCTAAGCCGAGGGATGCCACATATTGATTGGTTGTTTGGGTCCAGCTGGAACAAGAAAGAAGAGAGATTTACATGATTTCCACGACCTCATTTTTTTCTGGATCTTTAATAGATGAGAAGTTTCCTACTTTAGTTGGACTGAAGTACTTTTGATTTATTCTTGAATATTTTCTGGTCTAAATGACAGAAAGGTCCAAAACATTTTGACTTGCATCAGCGATACATGCTGCATAGACTGCAACTAAAATACATATAAAATAAATACTGTAGATAATAATAATAATGCACTTTTCATTTCTCTGTTGGACATATTGGCCGTTCAAGTCTTAATCTGCTGGTCAACAGTATCCCAAAACTGGTTCACTTAAACCTGACTCTCTCTGCAGCCCACTTACACTGTGAGGCTCTGTCGTCATTGTTGGTGTGACCAAGAATCAACATGACAGAACCACAGTGAAGGATTTCAGGGCAGCCACTCCTTGGTGGTAGTTGTCTGGACTTTATCTTTCTGCATCTTCAGATTTGTCCCAGGAAAATACTGGGGTGAAAGTTTCTGCTGTTTACATTCAGACTTTCAGAGCTCCCTGAAAATCTTGTAGAATTTTTTAAAGTTTGTGTACATGTGTGAATACAGCTTTGGAGCATTTATAAAGACATGGACCATAACTCCCACGGAATCCAGGCCTTCTCCTCATAGAGACAAAATCGATGTATTGCTGTTTCGTTTTGAAAAAGTTTTTCCGTAAAGACAGAATCTTTTAAGAATATCCATGTAAACACGAAACCAAAGAAAACGACTAGAAACGATGTGGTGCACATGCCAAGCTAGCGCTGTAATAGTGCCCTGAAAATGCACCAAAAGACAAAAGAAGAGTACGGAGCACGTGTATAAAGGTTTTTGTGCCGTAGACAGTTCAGTTCCACGTAGGCGCCTTAGGAAAGTTACGCTGTGTATGATGGAGACGAATCGGTGATCGTACACGGATTTATGGATTCTGGGGCCAGTTTTCTAAAAGTATTGTTTACAGTCACCTGAAATGCCATTTTTGTGCAGATAAAACGCTGATACAACAAAACAACTTTTGTGTTTACTCTTGAATTCATGTCCATGTGGACAGGGCCTCAGTTATAAGTTTGTGATGAATTGAATCAGGCCGTTTAAAATTGTTTTATGTTTTAATGGATCATCTCTGATGCAGCCCATAAGTCAAAATTACACACTGCTCTGTCACATGACATCTGGCCTGAGCTTACCTAAAGTCTCTGTAAATCTTCTGTGGGGTGAAAACTGTGTTTGTGTCGACTTTTAAAAGCATTATACTGGCTGTTTAAAAAAAACAAAAACAAAACAGATTGTCCTCTTTTTAACATCTCGGCAGGGGACAGGACCAGACACCCAAATAATACTTAGTTTGTCGATTGTATGAAATCTATTATCTTCTGGACTCACTCTGAGTATCAGTATGATGTTTGCCACAGAGCCAGGTCTTTGTCTTTGGGTGAATTTATCTGGTAAGTGAAACAGGAGGAGAGAGGCTGAGGCAGAGCAGGGAATAGACAGAGAGAGACACTTTGAACTGCTTTAAATGTGAGCTCTTCACAGTCAGAGGTGTGAGAGACGGAGAAAAAAACAGTTAATTGTCTCCCATGAGGTGAGTTTGGCTCCTGTTAAATCTAAACCAACAGGCAAACAGTGGAGGATCCCTCCGGACGGAGAGCTCTTTGTTTCCAGACTGGATAGAGGAGAGAGAGAGGAGGAGAGCGGGGCTGGGGATTGAACTGTTTTCACCAAACATGGATGAGCCTCTGTGACTTGATTCATTTAAGGGAAATTATTTTTATTGAGCCTAATACCTGCTGCTTTCTCCCCGGCTGTTTGGGCATTGATGCATCAAAACTAAAGTACAATTTTCAGGGTAGTTTGACTGTCACTACAGAACGACTCAGTCCAGACTCTTCTTTACTTAACATGCAGGAACAAGGACTTTATTTAAACCCCAAACCTCTCATTGTAACTACAGGAAAATGGGCAGAACATTTCAGCTAAAGATGCATTATTATCCCATGTGCCAATGGTTTTAAACTCATTTGAGCAAACATGCTTCGCCTTTGGTTAAATGACCTAACACAGTGAAATATCAGGTTATTTCAACATGATCTGATTTATGCCTGCAGCAGCATGGAAACTGGTGTTGCTTGTACAGTTTGTGGTGTTTGTGTTGGTTCAGAAAGGTGCATTTTTTCAAACAAAGACCTCAACCTCAAGCTTATTCTGCAACATTTACACAAAGGGAATCATAGCCTATCTGATCCAAGAACTAAATGCTGTATAGTTTTCTCAAGAAGTGGGTGTTATTTTAGGTTTTTCCCTGCATGATTATTTGTATTTTAATAGTTTTACACAGCTACAGTTAAAGCTTTGTGTGGTAGTAAAGTGTAGTCTCCAGAGAGCAGTATTGACACAGAATGACCAAATTAAGTTCTGTTAAGGTCAGTGACTTGGTTTCATCTGGAAAAACAAGACTCACTTGGGCATCAATGAGAAGTCAGCAACAGACTCAGTTCACTGTATGGACTACAGCTGCTAATGGCACCAAAAACTGGGCGTCATCCCTATCTACCCTGTCCCAGGATCCAGGTTACAGAGAGTATTGGATTGATAATCGAGCAAACTTGCCCATTAATGTTTTTGAACTGTGTTCAGTTTGCTTTCGTGTTATGTCAGATTGTGGTGATGAGCTGTGAGCATCTCCACTTTTTTTTATCCATGTCCATTTTTTATTGACCACAAAAAATATTCTGAGTGCAGAGTGTTTTTTTTTAGCTCTGCAGGACAGTTCAGGGAGCATTCAACCTTTTTTATGTGCTTTAATGTGAATAACTTGGTATCATTTTTTTTCATTTGCACAACTTTATCTGGCACATAACCCGTGCATTTCTTTGGTGGACTGTAAAAGACTTCTGACATAAAGACGTCTCTAATGCCTTCATTTGATCGACCGTCAGTGTGAAAGTGACAGTCATCAGCGTGGAGGATAATCAGAGATAAGGCAGAGTGATGAACTTCTCATCTTGTTGTTTGTTCAGGAGCAGAGCAGGTTTTGCTGCTGGCTCGACGGACTGATCTGAGGAGGATCTCCCTGGACCTGCCAGACTTCACTGACATTGTCCTGCAGGTAAACACACACACACACACACCACTACACACTCACACACTTTAAAGTCCTGTGTTGTTAAACCCTCTGATTGTCTCTGTTCATGCAGGTTGATGACATTCGCCACGCCATAGCCATAGACTACGACCCCGTCGAGGGTTACGTCTACTGGACTGACGATGAGGTTCGAGCCATTCGGCGGTCTCACATCGACGGCAGCAACGCCATGATGCTGGTTACCACGGAGATCAATCACCCGGATGGTATTGCTGTGGACTGGGTGGCCAGAAATCTGTACTGGACTGATACTGGAAATGACCGCATAGAGGTACACGGTTACTGCGGACTGTATTCAGTGTGGAACGATCGTTTCTGGGATGTCTGAAGTACTTTAGTTTTAAATATTTCATAATTTCAGAAGCTCTGAGAATGTGTGCGGTGGATGTCTTTATTTGGCTGTGATGGCTGCAGTGTCATACCAAAACAAAAGAAAAACATCTACTGAAAGTTTCTGGTTTAGTCCCGACAGGCTCAGATTGTTTTTCTAAGAGTTGAGCAGCATTACAGAAATGATGCCTATAGAGAGAGAGATTTTTGTAAAGAGGAAGAGGATGATTTGAAAAAGTAATTCTCATTAAACTAGAGCATGACATCATCTTCTCTGCTCATCTGCCTGTTTGGCCAGTGTTTTTTTTTAAGTAACTATCCACTTCACAGTCACATTGACCACAGTGTTATTTTATTCGACAAAAGTTGACTTAACTGGCTAGAATTGACCTTAAACGATTACGATCACCTTACACACCCAAACCAAGCCTTAATCAAATCTGTAAATAGTCATTTTGAACCCTCTCTTCCTTGCTCCTCTTCCTTATTCAGTTTCATCCTCAGCCTTTCTCTTTAGCTATCTGCCACAAAGCCTCTCCTATAATTGCACAAACACACAAATAGATCTTGACTGTAGTCGACTAGAAACCAGACACTTCTGTGCCTGAGGTAAAATTACTGTTTTTTTTAATTAGCAGTGACTGATTTCCATCAAGAGAGCGATGCACCTCAGGTGTGTAAAACTAGGGCTCAGGTTAAAAAACTTGAAGATTTAATCAGTAAAACACACAATACAGTAAGAGATGGTTCTGAATGTGGGAAAAGCAGATGTATCTGAACAGTCCAGATGAATATTAACAGTGTTGTACTTTGTGTTTGTCGTATTTTAAGACTGGTCTGTGTTTTTTGGTGTGTTAGGTTACCAGGCTGAATGGAACCTCCCGGAAAATACTGATTTCTGAGAACCTTGATGAACCTAGAGCCATCGTCCTGGACCCTGTCAATGGGTAGGTGTCAGCATGTGGTTTAAGGGTTTTAGAGATCTGGAGGTAAGGATTTGGGAAAAATCAGGAAAGACAAAAATAAGGATGTGATAATAACATCAGCTCTAAGATAAGTTTTTTGTCAGAGACTGTTCAGATCCAGAGGTAATCTGTGCTGATTTCTTTATGAGGTTTAATAAATTAGAGTCAAAGCCCCAACGACAATCTCAATAAATCCCTGCAAAGTTAAGTCTCTGGTTTTACTGTTCCTATAACTCATTTCTGTCCTCTCTCTCTCTCAGCTTCATGTACTGGACTGACTGGGGCGATCATCCAAAGATTGAAAGGGCCAACCTGGATGGGACAGACCGGGTGGTACTCCTCAACAGTTCTCTGGGCTGGCCGAACGGACTGGCTTTAGATCTCTCCGCAGGGAAACTCTACTGGGGAGACGCCAAGACCGACAAAATAGAGGTAAGAATGCTATTGTTATGAATGCTGTTTGGACTGCTAGGCCACAGAATAAGTGTTCAGCAGAGCCCCGTGGTCCTGATCCGGTGGGCTGCAGAGTTTGAAAAGGTGGAGAGACTCCTGCAGGGTTGTGTTCAGTTGTTTTCATCTGGTCTGATGAGATCTGGGACGGCTAAGTTTGCTCTTAACTGGCCAAGAGGTTTTTCACTTTCTATCTCTGATATATTCATGTTCCTGTCACCTGTTTCCACTTTGTCTAATCAAATCAAGTGTTTCCTCAGATGAAGAGCCGGTTTGTCATAAAACTGGTCCCAGAGCTTCAAATGCTTTTGATGTTTATGAGCAACAAGTCTGCAGGCGCTCGTTTCACACAGCAGCAGACGAGTTTAATCTTCTGTTTCCTATTTGGCTTCAGACAGCTCATCAGTGGATCATGACGAAACCTCACGGCCAAAAGAGGTCCAGTAGCTCTTAGTTAGATCATTATTATTTTATTTTTATTTATAAAAGGGTAAAGAAAGTGGACTTTAGTGAAAACTAAGATCCCTCAGACTAGAGGCCATGTGCTTTCACCCTGATGAATATTAAATGTAGTGTTGGGGCCGATCCCAGTTGTAACCCTTAGCCCTTGGTTTTGCGCATTCACCTCAAGGGATGCACCGATCCGCTTTTTTCACCTCTGATACAGAAATCTACGGTTTAATATCGTCCGATACCGATCTGATTCCTACACAGAAAAGCTGCGGTTAATTACTTGACAAATGGTCTGTCCCATTGTGTGGAAAATACTGGGATCATTCTGTTGTGCATCACACTTGACTTAACAGATATAAATGAGTTACTTATTTATTCAATAACTGTGCATCAGTACAACAATCTTAAACCAACAACAAAATATGACAAGTGTAGGAAAAATGTCAGATCTGGAAGATAAAATCCAATGTAAAATAAAATAAAATAAATATTAAACAATAAAGAAGCTGAAAAAAAAAAAAACAGAAACAAGATTTCTAACTTAACCTGCATAAAGCCTTTTTAGATTTTTCAGTCTGTGTAGTTAAGGACTCGTAATGCATTTGGAAGGGCAGGGATCTCCCAGAACAGAGCCACACCACCAAATATAACTTACTGCATGAAGACAATAATCCTCAATGATAAAACCTTTTTTTAGATGTTTTTGAACTATTTTATACAAAATCACACATAACATGTTTTGTAGATCCTTGACTGAAATCTTTAATCTTGTGGCTGATTTAAAAATAAATTAGAGAGTTGCAAAAGATCAAAAAAGTAGAATCAGTGGGTTTGTTCACTTTTGGTTTGTGTAACAGTAACTTCTTAAATCCTAAAAACAAGTTAATTGTTGAGGAAACTGACACAGTAGAGTGTTGGCTAGTGCTTGTTGATTGGCGTTTGTAGACTGTCTAGGGTTTTATTTTTTTTTTCATTGAGGGTACCACAGCAGTTTTCCGGTGGAGGAGAACTTGTGCATGTTTTCTGCAAACATGAGAAAACTGTGAGCTGATCTGTCAGTGAGTTTTAAGGCTGTAATTCAGTTGAACTGGTCTGATTTGTTCTTGAGGAGGTCTGCACGCTCAGTCTGAGCTGCAGAGGAAACCGAGTGAATCAGGGCAGGGGGCTTTTGTTGTGTTTGCCCTTCCCCCTCTCACTTCTCTAGCTCCTTTAGAGCAGGTGTTTCTTTTTTGCTCTCTGTCCGTATCAAACCTTATGTCTCTGTTTAACTCTGCCCCTCTCTTCCCTTTAGTTAGATTTCTCAGTTTTCTCCTCTCTTTCCGTTTGCATGTGTTGCTCCTTGGTGAGTCTGTGATGGTGTCTGGTTAGCGTTGTCTGGTTGTCATCGCTGCGTTTCGCTTGTTTGGCTGTCGATGTGGCGTCTGCAGAATATCTCAAGTTCACTCCAGTTAACATATTTCCATCGCAGCAGAGAGAGGAAGAGCAAGGAGAAGAACAAAAGAGGGAATGCCTGAGCTTTCTGGCTGAATGCTTACCAATTGAAAAAAGGTGGCTGCTCTCTCCCTCCCTCCCTCGTCTCCCCCTCTCCTCCCCCCGTCAGGGTGAAAGGACCCACCTCAAAGGGCTTTTTCACGTTTCAGCCTTGTTTTTATCCTGTTGAAAAGAAGCTGCTGCTGGGTGTGAAGACATTTCCATTGTATGTCTGCCTGTGTCTCGCTTGTGCGTGTGTGTGTGTGTGTGTGTGTGTGTGTGTGTGTGTGTGTGTGTGTGTGTGCAGAAGTCTGATTTTGAGCTGTGTTTGTTGCAACTGTGCACAAAGACACAAAGATTTTCAGAAATCTTTATATACCACGATATCCTTCCTCCCTGAATACCTACTTTTACAAAAATCCAACATATATCTTCGTGCTGCTGCTGCTTAAAGACAGAAAAAACAAACAGAGTCCATATTGCACACAGTAAAATACAACTGTGTAATCCAGCAGCAAAATAAGTGCATAAATATTACCAGCTCGCCGTCCTTTGGTTTATTTTTGATCCTGTCTGATGGTGTTGTGGTGTCATGTAGCCTGCGTACATGCAGCAACTTTTTGATACAGAGAGAGGCGGATGGTTTTTAACATAGTGGCAGATTTAATGTCATTCAGACCAAAATATTTTAGTGTTTCTTTGTGTTCCAAGCAAGTTCAGGGACACAGAAGGAGGAAAAAATTTACATGAGCTTCTCCAGGATCAAAGCTGAAATCTGCTGTGTAAATAGTAGCACCCCTGACTGCAGCTCCACCCGGCTCTTAAAGGAAATCAGAGGGGTTTGATTCTTGTTACACCAAAAATACATATTTTTTCCATCGTTAAGCAAGTTAGTTTTAACTCTGTGCCTCACGTAGTGATCAGACTGTACACTGCCTCTTGTTTGAATCCTTCAGCCTGTTAGGAAGCCAAATTTGGTATTATTATTTACCAGAAACTGGACTAGTGACTCTCGTTGTATTTTTACCTGCTGATGTTACTCAATTGTGGTCCCATCTCTGGGTTTTTGGGTGGTTGTAGAAGGACAGCTGCTTTGCCCAAAGTTGACATTCTGCCCTTACTTTGACTTTCATTTTGCTTTCTGCGTTGGAAAACTGGAAATACTTCCTTGAGATTCTTCTCAGATGTTGTGTCGTGATCATCTGCTTGCTTGTTCACATCCACATCCTATTTTTTGTTTTGAGAATCTTCTCTGCATGAATTTACAAAGTCAAGAGTGCCATTCAGTAGTCAGGTTACGACGAAAGTTGCCCCCTGTTGGAATAAATAAACTTCATAGGTGAGTTTGAACTTTTCTTTGCAAGTTTCATCGAAGACCGCCCTTAAATAGACCGACAGAAAGGAATGGTCGTTTCCAGACACTGGAAGAGCCTACAAAGTGTTTTGAACCCCTGACATAGATGACACTACTCCATCTCCCACTATTTAAAAGATAAAAGAGGTCAAAATAAACATGTGCTTGGATAAAATTAGTTTCTTTTGAAAATATAAATAAATGTATGACAGTTTGGTTCACAAAGTGCAAGAAATCAAGTGTTTGATACTCTAAATGCTGTGCAACAAGAACAAATGTAAGCAAGACGGTTCAGGTGCATATTTACAGATGTTATGTATGTTACTGTGTTGTTTGTGGAGGTCTGGCTTATGTTTTTCGGTGCGGTACGTAACTGTGAAATCTTTTGTTTATCTCGGTACAGGCAGTATTAACAGTGTGTGCTCGAATATTGTGAGGGTACATCTTTACAGACAATACGGTGCATGTCAGAGAGCTGAAAGGTGCTCAGAGCCCTCCAGTTTACCTTTTGAAAGAGAGAACAGAGAGAGAATGATAAATCACCAAGGCAGACAGCAGACTTTGACCAGGAGCGCTAGAGTAAAACTGGCTTTTATTTGTGAAGGTAACGCTGTGTACAATCACACACTGAGCTGATTTTTGTTTGGAGCAAAAACAAAAAAGACAACGTAACTCTGAGGTTCCTTACAGCGCTGTTGTGGACTCTCTCTCTCTCTCTCTCTCTGTTTTCGAGTATTTTTAAAGAAATCTGACTCCCCCTCTGCAGCCTCCCGCACCTCCCCCTCCAATGGAAGAAAAAACCCTCTGAAGTTACCGCACGGGCACCCTCCTTTTCAAAGAAGTGTGTGTGTGTGTGTGTGTGTGTGTGTGTGTGTGTGTGTGTGTAAGACGCAGAGTTCACCGCTTTGACTGATGTGTTACTTTCTCTGCACACACACATACACACTCACACAGACCGGCTGCTTTGTTGTGATTATGCAGATTGACTATGCGTAGCGCCATTCAGTCACACTGTGGAGCCATATGGTAACACTTTTTGTTTGTGTGTGTGTGAGTGTGTGTGTGTGTGTGTGTGTGTGAGCTGGGTCTTGCAGAGCTGGGAGGTGTCTGCTGGAATTTCCCCTCTGAAGGCCCTGCACCTTGTTTGAATAGCGCGTCTCTTTACCTGAGTCTTGTTTCTGTTACCGTGGAGTCCGACGACACTCTGAGCCTAAATGTCAGCGCTCAGAGAGGTTCAGAGTTGTACTCCAGTTTTAAGCTCTTTTCTCTCTATCTGTTTTTTTTTTTAAATTTATATATTTTACACTTTTACTGCTTCACATTATTTACTATTTTCTGTCAAGTTTTGTTTCTGCGCGGACCAGAAGACACAGTTTACTTCTGGATCTTCCTTGCTCAAATTTGCGAAATCATGTGTCTTCATTCTTGGTGTTTCAACACAAATTCAACGTTTCCCCTCAAGAAACAAGAGAAAAACAAACTTTATCCTCTCTCAAGGTGTTTCTTTTTTCAAACTTAGCAAACTTCTGATGTGAACAAAGTTTTACTGAGATTTCATCTTAGCTCAGAACCAAATCCTAGAAACACTGACAAGCAAACTTTGACTGATTTAAACACCTTAATGACAAACTGAGACAACACTGTTTTATTTTTCTGAATTTTCTGAATTATGTGTATGTATTACCAAATAACGTATATATTACAGATACCGTATTGACCCAATATGGGTATATTTTGGGGACTATCTAGTAGGGAGAGACTTTTAAAGACCAAACTAGTTTGTACAGAAAGCTATTTTAATTGATAATAATAATTAAATGCACACTTAACAGAAAACAAGTCGTTTTTGAATGTCTGTCAAATACAATAATGTTTTCAATATCTATGAATGACAGTCACAGCTCAATTTAATTTAAAAATCATCACATGTACATGAAGTGTCCTGAGGATTGTTGCGCAGAGACGGCACAGATTTACTGAAACTAGAACTAGCCGGACACTACAAATCTGTTCAAAACTGTTCCATCTGCTCTATTTCTGTGCTATTAAAGTGACCTCTGTTTCAGGCTCTCCTTACAGGACCTTCACAGGTTAGCTGACTGCAGGAACAGCCTCTGACTGGTCAGAGAGACGAAGTTCAGTTGACATTGTGTAGTTGGCTTAATGTACACACACCTGGTTTAACCTGAGAATTGTTTGGATGTGAGTATTAATTGAAGCATTTAGATAAAAATACTAAATAAATGAAGAGAAGAGACCTTTTGAAATGTAAATGTGCTGTGGAGAAGATAGTTGTTTTAATTTCACCCTGGAGGTGAGAGGATTGGCTGATACCGACGTGGACTTGTGGTCATCTTTGATATCATGCTGGTGTTTTGTTCCCTCCTGCTGGGACAACAACCCCGTCCGTTGGTTTCGTTCCTCTGTTTTTGTTTTTTTTAAATGCAAATATTTAAACATAGTTTTTATCCTCAGTTTATTTTGCAGTTTTGTCTCCATTTAGACATGAAAAACAAGAACCTCAAAGTCATCAGTGTGTATAAGTGTATAAAGTCTGAGTTCAGGGTTGGTCACAAAGGGACAAGAAAACTGTTTTAAAATGCAGATTTTTCAGCAGGGTCTTAGTGTTACATCACTCAACTGTTTTGGTCGCCTCTCGCTCACAGAAAGTGGAGCTGTGCTCAGTTCAGTCAGATGTTTGAATTGGTTCAAATTTGTGTTACAGTTTAAATGTTTGTGTATTTGCACGGTGAGCTCATCTGTAGATGGTTTTACAGTGAACCCACAGGTGTGAGTGAACCAGGAGGTGAGGGGTTAACCCGACTGTAAAGGGCCTATTTTAAAGCTGGCATGTGTTGGGTGTAAATATAGTGAACATGTATGACCATTGGAACATGTGACTGGATGCACAGGGAGCATGGTGAGCAGAATAACATGAGAGGAGAGCACTGAAATAAAGAGGTCTCAGTCTGGGTGAGACCTGAGTGAGGATGAAGATGAAGACGAGAGCTTTGTGTTTGCTCTGCTCTTCTCTGATCGCTGAATGGATCAATCAGATAAAAGATTGAACTGAAGGTTTGTGTGCTCGCTGGCCTCTGAGAGGTTCTTTGCTGCCCCAGAGCTTTATCCCGGTGAGGGCCGTGAAAGATGATTTGAGACGCTTTGAGAGCCGCTGAGCCGCTCTTTAAAACAGCCTCTGAGCTGATAATGGAGCCGGCGGCCAGCGACAGGAAAACACACGGAGGAGATCCAGCTCTGACAGGCAGCAGCACACTGAGCTTCTGTTCACTGCTCTGAGCTCGAGACGCTGATGAAGCTGAAACCAGGACGGCTTGAATAAGAGGAACCAGGCCCTGCTCCAGCCCGCTCTGCTGGTGCCATGAGGACAGTTTCAGAGTTTACATCAGACTCTGTCCTACGCCTGCTACAAGGCAACAGGAGAGCATGTTAATAAAACTGATGAGAAACTGGATCCTTAAAGAAGAGAGGCTGCTCAGCTACTGCAGCCGGGCTGTCATGCACCAAAACAGTCGACAAACACGTCAGCAAAAGGCGAACAGGCTATATGTCAAACTGTGAAAATACTGACATCTTTATGGCTCTGTTGGTTTTCCATCTGTCACTTTTTGATGCCCCCTCTTTCCTAGTGGGCTTCCTTCTATTCCTTCCTTCTTCCTACTATTAGTGCTGTTCAGAGCCTTACCTGTACACTGTGCAGCATGCTCAAACTACCTCCCTTTAGTAAAATCTTGGTTTTTAGAGGTCTTACATTTGAGTTTTTCAGATGAAGCTGTTTCTGTAGCGTTAAATAATAACAGGCTAACTGAGGTTGATGGTTACAATAAAAAGCTGAATAGCATCCTGTCACAGTGACACAGAAACATCTCATCTCAGTCAGACGGGTTGGAGTTATTACAATCACAAAATGTGCAGGATGAAACACGTCCAGTCAGCTCTCTTTATTCTGTTAATGATCGTTACAGGCAGGGAGTGTTACTGCATCCTACAGTGTGATGACAACACTTAACCCAACCCATCACAATAACCTGAGACCGTCCTGATCCAGATCCCGAGTCTTCGCCCTTCAGCTCCAAGTGTTCGAGTCTCTGCTGCGACATGTTTCCAGAAACCCTGCTGAGCTTCCTGCAACCAACTCGCACTTTTTAGACAAATCACACACACACACCTGTTGTTGTTCAGAGTTTCCACGGTGACCTGCCAGCTGTGTGTCGCTCTCTCCATCCCTCCATCCTGCTACGACAGACTGACAGTAGCCGTATGTCTCATTTCCTGAGAGAGCTGTGTGTGTGTGTGTGTGTGTGTGTGTGTGTGTGTGTGTGTGTGTGTTTGTGTGTGTGTGTGTGTGTGTGTAGTGGCAGTTCTCACGTATTTCATTAGAAAAGTTATATTGTGGTCTGATGTAAGCAGTGTTGTGGTGAACAGGCAGGAGCAGCTCTCAGCCCACAGCTCTGTGTTTGTGCGTGTTCGTGTGTTTTTGTTTCACTTCTCTCATATTGACGGGATACGACAGTCACCTCTTTCTACACCAGTTACAGAAATGCAGTGAAAGACAAAACATGTGTTGTAAGGTTTCAGCTAAATTCGGTGTCCAACAATACTTAGTGCACTGCTTGAGACTAAAATGTGTGCTTGATATATTTTACAGACTAATCTAGTTTCTCAAAATCCTTTGAACATGCTGACTCACTGACAGAATGCTGCAGTGGATCGGAGAGACCTACTGTAAATCTTTACGTATTTATTTTTCTGTATTGTTTTGTACTAAACCACACCAACAATTTAAAGGTCTGTTATCCTGTCTCACTAGTGTACCCTCACATACCAGGAAAGTACTGGGTGATAAAACAAAGACCTACCTGTTTTTTTTTTTTTTTTTTCTTTTGGTCTAAAGTGCCAACACTTTCTGCTACCTCGAGATAGCTACTCACCACCTGTGTACCTGACCACACCTGGTTTTAAGACCAACACACCCACTGGTGCTAACATGATGTAAGATACACAGCAGTGGTGCTGGGCGTAAAAATGCAACTCTACAAGTTGGGCCCCATACAGTGGTAACAGATGGTTCCAGAAAGAGCTACACAGAAACACAAAAAGTGCATGTTGTGGACTTAATTGAACTACATGACAAGAAGTTTTAACCTTGACCCCCATTAATAGAGCAGTGCGTCTTATATTCTGGATTTTGAGGTGGTACTGACATCCTGATCCCTCACATATCTGGGACTGCAGTGTGTGTGTTCATGTTTATCTGTGAATATGAGGCTGCATGAGCGTATGTGAACTGTCCTGCGACGGTCTGACTTCTGCCGGCGTGTCCGATCAGACCTTTGTTACTTTTGTGTTTGCTCGCTCTTTCTGTCTTTTTGTCCTTTTTTTTCTCTCCAACGTGTCCATCAAGAAATGAGACGTTCTCACACCCAAAATGAAGAAAGACGGGGGTAAAAAATCACGCTCCCAGTGCATAATTCTTCCTGAAAAAGGCAGCGTAGAGAAAGAGGGAGCAGGAGAGGAGGAGAGGCAGAGAAAGGGAGTCTCTCTGCCATCTTTTCACTGGGATGGCCATGTCTAATTGTGTCACAGTGATAAATGAATAGGTTTTTTGTGGAGGGGTTGGGAACCTCCCTTGGATCAGAGGCCCATCAAAGTGAATGGTTTATTTTTTCTGTTTGCTCACCCCCGCCCTCTGAATGGGTATTTAAATTAGTATTCACTAAACAGATAGCTGGAAACACGGCTGCTCATCACAGCAACAACTCTCATTCTTCTGACTCTGCTTTTTTTTCCTCTGGATCACAGCAGAAGGACAAATATTTGAGGTGTGGAGGTCCGGCTGAAATCAAATCCAAATATGAGGTTTATTCAAGGCAATGTTTTGTGAAATCCAGAGTTACTGGAACTCTTCAGTTCTTACCAAACTCAACCTTTGTTACAGGCAGGACTTTTTGTTTTTCATGGACACAAACTGAGGTGTAGCAAGAGTTGTTTTTGGCTTCTCAACCCTGAAAACCTTTCTGTAGTCCTTTCCTTTAAGTGGAGACTCTGAGTTTCAACCCCCAATGGACCATTTCCTGTGTGTGTACGTGTGCATGCGTGTGTGTGGACAAAGGAGTCAGTGTCTGTTGGCATCCACGCATAACTGTGAATTTCTCCTTTTTGTGCATCTCGCCTTCACTCTTACTTTTCATCCTCAGTATTTCATCGTACAGGGTATTGCCTGGTCTCTCTTACACAGCTACTGAACATTTGGACAGGAAACCATAAGCAGAAAAAAAGATCTCATGATTATCACATTTGTCACAGAATAACCCATTTGACTTCGCCGATACCGAAGTTAGTATCCTAATACCCAATATTGAAATGATACTAAAAACTTAAACAGTACTGGTTCAGTTTCCACGACTTGATCAAGCAGAATCAGGGTGTCCAAGCCTCAGTCAAGTTTAGATTTTTAATTATGACAATATTTAAACACTGTAAAAACAATGTAAATCATCCATCCATTATACTTTTCATTTAATCTAAAAAGTGATTCTCATTCATATCGATATATCATATTAAATTACCGTTTTAAAACAACATTTAAAACAAATATATACGACTAAGTATGCTTAGCAGGGTGTAATCAGAAATAGATCGGTCCCCGCTGAGAATCTTGTGTTTTACTGTTTTCTTTCTGAAGACATGACCGTTTCTTTTAGTTCGATATATTTGTTCATACTATATTTATACAATTATTTATTATATTTATTTGTATAATGTCGGTTTAAGGCCAGTGAAAATACAGTTTAACCCAACATCACCAAAAAGTTGTAAACACACAGGCTGCCATCTTGGTGAATGCACAAGGAGCCCAAAGCTTTCATCTGTGCCGTCCACACGAAAACAACTAAGTGGGGTTTAAAAATCTCCACCTCAGAAGGCACGTCCTCCATTTTCAGTGAGCTAAAACTGTTTCTGCAGAGACATAAAACACAGACGAACAAAAGCACACGTTCAAAAACTTCTGCTAATGTGCGTGGATAGAGCCTCAGTCACTTCCATCAGATCAGTCATTTAACCAACATAAAGTAGCCGTAACTAAACTCTGAGGAAATTCTTATACTTTGCTGTTGAGAATAAAAAGTATAAAATATATTGAAATTTGGGTTTATAGTGTGACACTCATCAAAATATTTTACCACATTTTCGACCAGCTAGCTCTTCTGTTTGCAATTTCTGCAGCTGGATTTATCAAGCTGCCATCCAGTAAGAACAATGAGACTGAAACTTTTACTATCAGCTGTTTGAGTTAAACTCACTGACTAGAACTGAAGCTGGAAGGAGAGAAACTCTAGTTATTACCGTCACAGATTGTTGTCCTACAGGACCTTTAAACGCCGTATGGTGGCGCATTTAACAGACTAACTGTAGGCACACTGCACCCTTTGAATCAGTCTGTCTTTTTCCTAACTCCCATGATTCCTTGCATGGGCTATGAATTTGTCTTCTGGAGATGTGATTGCTATTAAACTTGGTGTTGAGTCCTTGAATTTCAGAGTGAACGTACACAGTGTGACTGACTTTTGCAACAGCACCGTTTGCTTTGAAAGCCTCTTTTTTGAAATCATGTTTGGCAGTTTGTTGGGATTTTCCAAGAAAGAAAGAAAGAGTGGGATGACATGCAGCAGAGGGTAGACAGCTGTCAGTGAACCCGGGGCCAGTGTGAGCAGGACTCAGCCGCTGCATGCAGGACAGTCAGTCTTGAGCTCTTTAAGATCACCCGTCTTATCCTTCACCCCAGAAAATCCAAACTACCATGACCCTGCTCATGTTATCAAGCCTTATCAACTGTAAATGTTTGCGTGCGTCTGATTTTCCTGAAAAATCTGGCAGCAGAAATCAGCCAGAGGCCTTGGAGCAGAATCATAGTCACTGCGAACAGGCTGCACGCCTGCCAGTACACACTCTGCATTACACACACAGACCACAGGAAGAAAGAAAAACACTTTGCAGATGAGTGTGTGTCTAAAATAAAAGCCTGAGTCTATTTCAGTCCCTGTCAGTCCAGTAATAACCCCAGCACAGAGGAGAGGAGGGACACACATGGGCTCTAATTGTAACCTTGTAGATCGCAGCTCTCACTCCTGCACACACTCACACACACTTAAACACATGCACACAGGAACATGTTGGCTGCGGTGCCTGTATCCGCTTTCAGTCTAGTAATAGAAGCCTTGTGACTGATTCACACACACACGCACAAGGCATTGGTGTGTTTCTAACAATGTTAATGGTGATTTGACGAGCGGTGCCTAACTTCATTTTCATGGAACTTACTGAAAAATAAACTGAAGACTTGAAAACATAAATCATCTTGTTTTTGTTACCACAAGAGTATTTGGGCATTTCAAACAAAAATACCATCTAATAGTGGAAAGGCGCTCCTACAAACACACACACACACACACACACACACACACACACACACACACACACACACACACACACACACACACACACACACACACACAGACTCAGGCTACACACAAAAGCTAATGTTGCTGTGAGCCTGTTTTGCATTATGAATAAATTAAAGATTGACACTGACTGACGCACATCAGTGAAATATATAATCACACTTTTCAGCATCTGGGTCTGTAAGTTTGTTTTCTCTGGTTCTGGTTCCTCAGCGGTGGCTTCACAGAGCAGATACCAGCATTACTGTGATGCAGCAGTGTGGTGTGCGTGTTCAAATTTTACAGTTATTCAGACTGTACACTTAGCACTACACCCATATTAACCACTGACTTTATGAAACATAACAGAGTCTCAGTGAAGCCAGTCGTTGGTTTTTATAAACAGTGGTGGTCTCCAAATGCCGTCTTAGCCAATTCAGGGTCAACCCAGTAATGGGGAAAGAGTGGAGCTGAGTCAGAGTTGACTTAACCCACTTGTTAACTCATCTCAGACGCCCCTCCCTGTAAATATGCATATTCATGCATAACTGTGAGTCTAGAGTCTGTAAACAGACACACACACACTCAGTGATTGAATAAAGAAATAAGTCAAAACCTGTTTTCAGTACCAGGCTGCAGTTTTGTTAAATACTGCTGTAAACTTCGACACTTTTACGGTGCTGTTAAATCAGATTCCCCAGCTGTGGCAGCTAGCCTCGAGTGGACACTTGAGGAACTGCAGTTTTCTGCACTTTTTTGACCCCAGAACTTGCTGCCAACTCTGGGTTGGTTTAAACTGGTGGTTACTTACACATATTCTTTTTATGCAGTTGGTAAAAAAGTTTTAGGGTGCAATAGCCACCTGCTGGAGGGGTTCAGAACTGCAAGCAGTTTTTCAGGTGACTGAAGAACTCTTAAATACTGAATTCATGACAGATTTAAAATGGCTTCAAACTTTTCTGCTGAGGCTGCAGCGTATCCATTTTTCTCCTGCTGTAAGGTCAAAGTCCTCTTGACTGTAAAATGCATTTATTTAAAGAAACTTTTTCAGCTCCTCTTTAAAAGGAGCAGGACCTCCTCTGTCATCATGTACTTAACTTTGAATTTGTCATCACACTAGGGAAGAAACGGGCTGTAATAATGTCAGTTTGAGTGGAATTCCCCTTTAAAATCCCTCCGTAGCACTGTTATTTTTGACGCATGGGACGTACGTCTTCCTGTGGACGTCCCCATTTTCTCCCGCTCTGTGTCAGTGGTCAGTTTCTCCCTCCATCCTGTTTCCTTCAGCTCCTCTCCTCCCTTCCTGACTCTTTACCCCCAGCCTTTCAGTCATATTTGTCCCCCCTCCCTGGGGTCAAAGGTCGGGGCAGCAGTAGAATAGAAGCTGTGGAGCTGGAGTAAGCTCAAGGACTTTTCAGTGAAGCTGTCACCACATTTTCAGGACATAGGAGGAAACTTTTTACCCCCCTAATGTGTTTTACAGTCACTTTACAGTTTAAAGGAAAACATTAAACTTGTATTTTCCAAGGAGAAATAATGAAAAAGGTGTTAAAGTCTGTTTTTAAACGTTAAACTAAAGTGCTAACTTTCTCCTGTCCCCTTCCTCTTTCTCTCTCTTTCTATCAGGTAATAAATGTGGACGGCAGTAACAGACAGACCCTTTTGGAGGATAAGCTGCCGCACATCTTTGGTTTCACTCTGCTCGGAGATTTCATCTACTGGACCGACTGGCAGAGACGCAGCATCGAGAGGGTCCACAAGGCCACGGCAGTACGAGAGATCATCATCGACCAGCTGCCTGATCTGATGGGGCTGAAGGCGACCAAAGTGACAGAGACCCATGGTGAGGAGTAGACGGTGCTGGAAGACAATTTTAAAGAGGAAATGAAGTGAAATGATGACTGATGAAGTTTATCTTTCTCTTCCAGGTACGAACGGCTGTGCAGTGGATAACGGCGGGTGCAGCCATCTTTGTTTCTGGTGTAAACAGGTGGTCAACTGTGCCTGTCCGATGGGGATGGAGCTGCTGTCAGACCTGCAGACCTGTGTGGTGCCTGAAGCCTTCCTGCTCTTTACAAACAGGTGAGCTGCTCTTACCTGCACAGAAACCCGGCTGCTCCTGAGATATGACCAGGTAGTGATGGTTCTGACTCTCTTTCAGGGACAACATCCGCAGCATCTCTCTGGGTACGAACAGTAACGACGTGGCCATCCCTCTGAGTGGAGTGAAAGAGGCGTCTGCACTAGACTTTGACGTGTCGGAAAGAAGAATTTATTGGACAGATATTCAGGCCAAGGTGAATTTGATTTTGAGTTTTGTCCAAATGGTTCCTTTTTTTCAGGGCTGGGGGTCTATCTGCTAATTAAAAGTGTACACTCTTAAACCCTCAACCTCATCTCTCTGTCCCGTTTTTCTCTCAGACCATCAGCCGAGCATATATGAACGGCAGCTCTGCGGAGCACGTCATTGAGTTTGGACTCGACTACCCAGAAGGCATGGCGGTGGACTGGATGGGTCGGAACATTTATTGGGCTGATACGGGCACGAACCGCATCGAGGTGGCCCGGCTGGATGGACAGTACCGCCAGGTTCTGGTCTGCAAGGAACTGGATAATCCCAGATCACTGGACAACCCTCGATCCCTCGCTTTGGACCCTGCCAACGGGTAAGAACAGGAACTCCAACACTCTCTGAACACCCTTAGATAATAATATCACACTTTTTACCCTCTGCTCTATCCTGTACTTTGGTTAGTTGTTTAGGGAGATTCTTTGGCGCCCCCTGTGGACATTATCTTTAGAGCTCTGGTAACATGGATTTGATAATCTTACAGTTTGTATCTTATTCAGAGTGAAAAAGTCCTAGTTTCTCTTTGGGAGAGCAGGTTAAAGTAGGCCGGGTAGCTGATCTTAGATGGAAATAAATAGGCAAATCCCTATCCAGATCCAGATCCCTCCGATCCAGATCAGATTTTCCAAACAGCCTGGCTCTGAGTTATCCTGGAGGTCCCTGTGTCTCAGAGGTATGAATCTGTGCCAATGACCTCATGTAGCGTGTGTTTTCTCTCAGTCTGAGGTAGTGAGAGCGTGGCCATGTCATCCTGTTGGTATGCAGGTACGCCAGCCAAAGCCACGCCCCCTTTTTCATAACCCTCCAGCTGAGTGAGGCAGGATGCTATTAAACCTGTTTGTTACCAACCTTGCCAACCTTACCAACCCTGCAGACACTCCTCTGCTCCTCTGTTCCTGTGTGTGTGTGTGTGTGTGTGTGTGTGTGTGTGTGTGTGCGTGTGTGTGTATGTATGTACCTGTGCCAGCCTGTCAGACCCCAGCTCCTGTCACTCACCTGCTGATGTCTTCATGAGGTCATGCCTCACACCTGTCAGCCCGCTCGCCTCCAGGCATCTGATGTCATTTAATGATCACACTCTGGTGCTCTCACAGTTGAAGACAATAAAATAAAAGTGTTTTTGTTTAGTAGGAAACAGCAGTTAGAAAGTGGAAACAGGTCATAGCATTGGGAGGGATGATCTGATGGAAGAAATATTTTTATCACAAACCTCCTCAGTCTCTCTTTGCCTCTTTCAGTCTCTCTCAGTCTCTCTCAGTCTTTCTTTAATTCTCAGTCTCACTCTGCCTCTCCCAGTCTCTCTTAGTCCCTCTTAGTCCCTTTCAGTCTCTCCTGGTCTCTCCTGGTCTCTCCTGGTCTCTCTGATCCTCTTTGGTGGCTCTGATTAATGCAGGGATTCAGAGTTTGTCTAACAGATTTTGTTCTGTGTTTTCTTGCAGTTTTATGTACTGGACAGAGTGGGGGGGTCGACCTCGGATCGCTCGTGCCTACATGGATGGCAGCACCACCAACACCCTGGTGGACAAAGTGGGCAGGGCCAACGGACTCACCATTGACTACGTAGACCATCGGCTGTACTGGACTGACTTGGATACGTGCATGATCGAGAGCACTAACATGCAAGGTGTGCAGACCAGAAATCACACTTAATCCCCCAAGGAGGCACCATGCATGAAATAAGACATCACATTCAGTCCTGAATCAGTGGTTTCCAAATGTTTTCTGCTCTTCCAGCTGTTTTTAGTGTGTACATAAAAAATTAGAGTCAGTCATCAAGAAGTACTTACACAATAAAACAATACTGTATATAGTTAAAATAGACCCGTCCCATTAAACTAGTAAACTAATCTGATCTGTATTTATTCCATTTAAGTGTGATGCTCTGAACAGGCTTTCCACAATAATCTGAACATAAACATTGCTGCCCCAGTTTTAGGCGTCATCGTACTTGATTAAAGGTTTTCCAGCAGGTTTTGACAGGTTCTAATTTCTCCTCCAGGCCTACAGAGGGAGATCATCGTGGACGATCTGCCTCACCCGTTCGGTCTGACCCAGTACAGGGATTTCATCTACTGGACCGACTTCAACCTGCGCAGCATTGAACGGGCAGACAAACGCAGCGGGCTCAACCGCACTGTGGTGCTGCAGGTACGAAACCCAGATATTCAGCAGCAGGTTTGATCGGGAGAATGTTTAAATCTCACTCTAGATTTAGTCTAATCTGAAGTTAACTCCATAATAAATCGGTTCAGTGGGGAGATTTGAATCAATCAATCAGATCAGGAGATCCTAAACTCTCCCTGTCCTCTGACTGTGTCCTCAGGGTCAGCTGGAGCTGATGTTGGACATCCTCGTCTTCCATTCATCACGCCAGGAAGGAACCAACGAGTGTTCCCATAACAACGGGAACTGCGCTCACCTGTGTCTGGCCACGCCCGCTGGTGCTCGGTGCCGCTGTGCCTCCCACTACACGCTGAATGCGGATGGACGAAACTGCAGCTGTGAGTACAGAGCTGAGAGAGAGACATGAGTTTGATTTGGTCTGTAAAATTGATGAAAACCTGAACTGGGGGTGAACCACAGCTCAGCAGTCTATGGTCTTTGTTTTTTAAGGATGGGAGAAAGTTCAGGTAAAAAGTTTTCTATCTGCAGTTTGTGTCTGTAGAGGCAGCTGTTGTCTCCCTAAAATCAGCCTCATGGCTCCACCTTCAGCCTGTTGGTTCACATTAAAGCATGCTTCAAACGAAAAACTCCACCCTGACAGATGGATATAAAAAACACCATTATTGTTTCCTGCCTGGTTAAAAATTTCCTAGAAATAGTATTCGGTACTTTTTAATGTCTCTAATCCAGGCAAAAAAGTTAAACAAATACAGACGTTATAAGACAGTTTCAGCTTTAATCTTAAAACTTGTCCTGATAGAGAAATAGAACAGAGAAGGCAAGACAGAGGGAAAAAAAAAGAAACAACGAAAGAAGGAATATAAATAGAACCAGAAAGAATCGAGAAAAAAAAAAGGCAACAAACATACAAGCAAGTAAAGACAAAAAAATCTCTTCTCCCCCTGCAGCTCCCTCCAGTTTCCTGCTCTTCAGTCAGAAGGCGAGCATCAGCCGGATGGTTCTGGGTGAGCAGAGTCCCGACATCATTCTGCCCATCCACGTCCTGAGAAATGTCCGTGCCGTCAGCTATGACCCGCTGGACCGGCTGGTGTACTGGCTGGATGGACGGCAGAACATCCGCAGGGCGAGGGACGACGGAGCCATGGTAACACCCGACATATGATCAGACAGAAAATACATCCGATCATCACTGAGTTTGTAATGTGGATTTAATGAGAAAATATTTACCAGTTTAAATGAAGGACAGTTTTTTACACTAACTTCCCTCAGTAAAATGATAAAAGTGTCCCTCTGTCATATTTCTTCCCTGAATCTAAACCCTCATTTCCACAAAAAAACAACATCTTATACCCTGTATCTCTGTTTCCCTGCAGTCCTCCATGATAGTGAGCAGCACCGTTCAGGACAACCAGCTCCACGACCTGAGCCTGGACCCCTACAGCCGTCATCTTTACTGGACCTGTGAGACCACCAACACCATCAATGTGCAGCGTATGGACGGACACATGGTGGGTGTGGTCCTGAAGGACGACACGGACAAACCACGCGCCATCGTGGTCAACGCAGAGAAAGGGTGAGAGGCTGTTGTTGAACTTGGAAGCTGTGGTTTTATTTCACATGCACCTGTTGATCTCGACACTTTCTTCTGGCTTTAACACACACAGACACACTCTGGGAACCGACTGCATTTAATACGATGTTGATGGGATGATTTTTACATCTATGATGAAAAGTTGGGAGGGAAGCACTGATGGAGAGCACTGACTCCTACTGTTACAGGCTTTTTGTTTTCTCTGCACCCTGCAGGTTTCTTTTCCAATATCATCTCAAATGAACCGTTTTTCCTTTCAGAGAACATTCAGTCCATGATCTCTCTCTCTTTTTATTGCACGCAAACGGGACTGTGCAACAAATGTACCAACTCTCCCCCACTAATAAGTTTTTTTTTTTTATTGACAACTGAACAAGGAGGCTGACATATGTACGCAGTAGACTAGCAGGTTATATAGATATACGCACACGGATGTACACAGTGAGGCCATTATTTATGTCTGTCCATCTGTGGTCTAACTGTGTATTCTGTGTCTCACTTCATCTGCTCTCCCTCTCTCTGCAGGTACATGTACTTCACCACGGTTCAGGAGCGCTCAGCGAAGATCGAGGGAGCCAGTCTGGACGGGACAGAGAGAGAGTCTCTGTTCACCACCGGCCTCATCCGACCCGTCGCTCTGGCTCTGGACAACAAGCTAGGGAAACTGTTCTGGGTGGACGCTGACCTCAAACGCATTGAGAGCAGCGACCTGACAGGTCAGTTCACCATAACAGGAAGTAAATAAAGCAGCAAGATCAGAGGACCAGAGAACATTTAGATTCAGTTGTCCAACATCAGATGAAATCTCTTGTTTCATACGTGAGGTCTTTTGTCCCCAGTGTGATGATGTGTTCATTCCATTTGTCCATCCCCCTCAGGAGCCAATCGCATCGTCCTGCAGGACTCCAACATCCTGCAGCCGATGGGTCTGACCATCCTGGGAGATCACCTGTATTGGATCGACCGGCAGCAGCAGATGATCGAGAGAGTGGACAAGCTGACCGGAGACGGACGCACACGCATTCAGGGACGGATCTCATACCTGACCTCCATCCACGCTGTGGAGGAGATGGACCCTCAGGACTTTGGTAAAGACTGAATGATTGAGTTTCAGTGTCCATCTTTCAGAGTACCTGAAACAGTTCATGGCACTGTTGTTAGTGGAGAATGTTTCCAGAGTTTAAGTGATGTCTGTATCTTCTGTCCAGCATCACACCCTTGTTCCCGTGACAACGGAGGCTGCTCTCACATCTGCATCGCTAAAGGAGACGGTACGCCTCGCTGCTCCTGTCCCATGCACCTGGTATTACTGCAGGATCTGCTGCACTGTGGAGGTAAACCACACTCATTATGCTTCAGCTTCATCACTCTGTGTTCACTCCTACGTTTAGTCTCACTCTTTCTCCCCTCCTTCCTCCTCAGAACCTCCCACCTGCTCCACAGAGCAGTTCACCTGTTCCACAGGTGAGATCGACTGTATCCCCATGGCGTGGCGCTGTGACGGGTTTCCCGAGTGTGACGACAGCAGCGACGAGGAGAACTGTCCTGTCTGCTCTGCGTTTCAGTTCCAGTGTGATAAAGGCGGCTGCATCGACGCTCAGCGCCGCTGCAACGGAGAACCCGACTGTGCCGACCACTCTGACGAGCAGGACTGTGAGAGTATGTTCAAGAGGATCTATGCATCAGCTCTCACCCAGTCATTTTATAACATCTGATACTTGGAAATAAGTTTTAATCTGAACCAAATGAAAACAATTGAGCTGGTTATAAAAGCTTCAACTTCAAATTATTGCACTTGTAATAACGGTCGTACTTTGTTTCTGTTTCCGCCACCTTGCAGCCATCTGTCCTCCAAACCAGTTCCGCTGTGGGGATAACCAGTGCATCACCAAGAAACAACGGTGTGACAACTACTCCGACTGTCCTGACGGATCAGACGAACTCGCCTGCGGTAAAATCTAAAGCATTTCTACACTTGTCTCTGTTTTTACACCTCTCAGGTTTGACTCTGACTCTGAGTCCTCTTTATCTGTGCAGGAGAGTTTGTGTCTCCTCCATCCAGTGGGCTCCCAAACACCGGTCCCAACACCATCGGCCCTGTCATCGCCATCATCCTGCTGGTCTTTGTGATAGGCGGGGCTTATTTTGTGTGTCAGCGGGTGGTGTGTCGGCGCTACAAAGGCCCTAGTGGGACTTTTCCTCATGAGTACATCAGTGGGACGCCTCACGTGCCTCTCAACTTCATCGCCCCTAGCAGCTCACAGCACGGCACCTTCCAAGGTAACAAACAGACAGGTTTAGAGCTGTCATGTTTAGAGTGGTAAAACTAACAGATTTTTAAAATAGGAATCACAGTTTATCTGGAGGAAAAGGTCTTCAGACACAGTCAGGAGAGACATCCCTGCAACAAAGTTCTCCACCTTTTGTTTGGGATTTGTTAGCCCCCCCAAAAAGGAGCTGATACTCGTCTGAAGCCCCCCACTGAGCATCTCCACTGAGTGCACCATCTTCAGTCTGATGGTTCTTATTGATACATGCTTTAACCTCCAACACCACCATGATGGTTCAATTTCAGAACTCTTACATCAGTGTATCTGTATCTGACAGATAATCAATCAAAAGATGCCTGTTTCAGTCCTGGTTTCAGACCACACCGATGCAGCAGTGCTGCACTTATTCAAATAATAAATCTAAAAGATAATGAATGATTTTTTTCTTGTCGTCATTTGATTCACAAATGAAGACAGTAGTAAGAATTATTTTAACTGTTATGATGGACATGTACAATAATGAATAATGAACTTGAATTTTTGGGGTTACTGCAAATCCACAAAACTAGTCTGGGTCATTTTTCGTCATTACTGCAGCGGGTATCAGGCCTTTATTTGAAGCAGGCTTGTATTAGAGACAAGCCTCTATATTAATTCCTCTCTGTCTGAGAATTATAATTCTTTATATTTTGATATAAAGTGGTGTCCTGATTCTGTAGAAGGACTGAGTGGCTCGAGTGCCCACTAAACCTGTGCATATGGGTCAAAAAGACATTTTCAGATTAATGTAACTCTCCACACACTGCACAGAGGAGCACATATCGTCACCGTGCACCTTGTGTCTGCAGACATTGAAATGATCTGAGCTTGTGATCAGATTAAGAAAAATGTACTGGTTAGATTCTTGAAATAAGATATTTTCATATTTCAATAACTTGAAAGGTATTTTTTTCTTATTCCACTGGCAGATTATTTTTTAGTCATTGCAAGCACTTCAGCTCTTTGTCACATCCTAAATCACATCCTAAATTGTCTGTACTTGTCAGGTGAATGTGGCTTAAATTAAGCCTTGTTTTTTTGTCATCAAAATAAGAAAAAGACTCTGTCTGCAGGGAAGCATTTAACAAATGTATCACACACACACATCATTGTTTGTTAATCTATCTCAGTGCTGAGGTTTCAGGGTTGAAAGGGTTAAGACTTTTCCACGTAAGATGTTGACTTTTCATATCCTTTAGCGGGTTAACAGATGTAAAGCCTCTCTTCACCTGTGCTGACCCTCACTCTTGTTGTTCCTGGACTGTCTGATGTGTTTTTGATAATGAAAACAATAAAAATATGGTTTAGAAAAACAAAATCTCATAAGTGACGTGTCTTGTGGCCGTGCATGTGCAGGTATTTCCTGTGGTAAGTCCATGATGAGCTCAGTCAGCCTGATGGGCAGTAGCAGCAGTGGAGCGCCGCTCTACGACCGGAACCACGTGACCGGAGCCTCATCCAGCAGCTCATCGTCTACCAAAGGAGCTTTCTACCCTCAGGTAAACACACGCACACACGCACAAGCACACACACACACACACACACACACACACACACACACAACTGCTTCCTCTCTATGCTGCAATAACACCTGCATATTTTCACATTTTGTTTCTGCAGATCCTGAATCCTCCTCCGTCCCCGGCTACAGACCGCTCTCTCTACAACACTGAGATCTTTTACTCCTCCAACAGTCCCTCCACCACCAGATCATACAGGTATGACACACACACACACTCTGAACATGTGCAATATGGGAGATGTGCAGTGTTTGTTTGTGGATTTCATTGGTCTGGGTTTCTCCTCAGATATGTGGATTATACTTTTTTGGAGGGGGTTGTTTATTAACTCACTTTTCCTCTCTTCTCCTCCTGCTCCTCCTCCTGCTCTCCTCTCTTCTCCTCCTGCTCCTCTCCCTGCTCTCCTCTCTCTGGTGTTAGGCTTACATAACAATGTTAGATAAACATATGATTGGCCCTCCCTTTTATAACCTCCAGGCCTGGAGTGTAAACATGATAACACTTGCTGACCAGAGTTATGTCACTCACCCTGATCTAAACTCTGTCTCCTCCTTCAGACCGTACCATCCTGCCAGAGGAGTGGCCCCGCCCACAACGCCCTGCAGCACTGATGTCTGTGACAGCGATTACACACCTCACCACCCGCCGGCCGGGCTGGCGTCGTCAGCAGGCCGCTGGAAGGCTGTGGGCCACGGCGGCCACGGCAAACACAACAAGTACTACATGGACCTGAACTCAGACTCAGACCCTTACCCTCCACCTCCCACCCCCCGCTCTCAGTACATGTCAGCTGAGGAGAGCTGCCCCCCTTCCCCCTCAACCGAGCGCTCATACTTTCACCTGTGCCCGCCTCCGCCATCACCCTGCACCGACTCCTCATGACCCTCTACAGCCCCTAAGTCCTGAGAGGGGGACAGAGGGAAGTCAGGGGAAGAACTCGTGCCCACTTCCATCATCACACCTGCTGCTCGCCGTCTGCTGGTTCAGCTCCAGTGCCTTGCTCAAGGTCCTGCACCTGTGGCTTATCATTCCAGTCATCCTGCTGATCTCAGGGTGACCTTCATCAGATCAGTCTGTTCTCCAGGTGTTTGCTCCCCTGGAACAGGTAATCACTGCCAGCAACTCCCTCAGTAACTTTCATTCCTTCAAGAGAAGAAGAACCTCGTCTGCTGGGCCACCAATCTGTCCAAATACGAGCCTGACTCCTCGCCACGCCTCGAGCTGCTCCCACCCCCAACTCCTCAACATGTGCATGAACTCAGACTGAGAGGTGTGTGTTTGTCTCCTCCTTCCTCACGGCACCCGTGTTTGTAGGACTGTACATAGTGTTAAAATAATATGAACAAAAGAAATCAGAGAGGAATTATTATTTTTATTCACGCTGGCTGATCCACCGCTCCTCTGAAACAAAGGCCAGATAGACGAGTGAACGGAGGAGCCATGAACGAGTGGACAGCCGTGAATGTTTCACTTGATGTAGGACATTAGATAAATTCACAGACGATGACTGAATGAATGTGTAGATGAGTGAATGAATGAATGAATGAATGAATGAATGTGTGGGTGGAAAAGGGCCAAGATCAAAGCAGGGCTGGGCAAAAACAGGATGAGCATATTTTTTCTATAATGATCAATATGGATATTTATCATTCTGTTAAATCTGATGCTGCCAGTGTAGAGAGTATCCTGTAAAGGATGAAGGTCAGAAGAAACCACTTTAGATCAGAGCTCAGAAACAGTATTGTACTAAATTATACTTTTTTTAAAGTGCAGATCACATCAAGATTTTAAAAACTCTGAATGAAGCAGTTTTACATCAAAAAGTAATGTTTGTTTGACTCTCTTAGCAAACACAGGAGTGGGCTGTGAGCTGAGCTGCCACTAGAGACATTAGCTCACCTGTAATGTTGTTATATTCCTGTTTTTCAACCATCAGTCAGTATCCACAGGGGGTCTCCTGAGACAAAAGACAACCCCTCAATAAAGATCCAGTCCAATAAAGCAGCTTTAGGGTTAAACTCTGTTTTATGTAAGGACCTTCATCATAGCTTCGGGGGCTGCCAGCTGAGCTGCTGTTAAAGCTGTCAGCTCAGTTACAGGTGTCTCCACCTCGATGAAATGTGAAGACCTGGGGATTAAATCCAGTTTAAACAGAGAAGAAGCAGTTTCCTATAAATCCAGTGTTTTTTCCAGGATCCAGGGGGCAGCCTGCTGAGCTGCAGCTAACGTCAGTTGATGTCAGCATGAGTAGAAACCATTATATGTTTAAAAGATAAATATTAATTAAAACAGCAGCACAAAGTAGTTTCAAAGCATTTAAAAAAGTGTATGCTGTAGGCTCCAAGCTGCAGACTGATTGGCTCTTGTTGTGTTTACTGTCCTCAGTTTTACAGAGTTATCAACCTAAATGTCATCTCTGATTTTGTCTTGGAAACGTGATTGCCCAGCCCTATCAAAGTGTGAAATCTTCTGTGCATCGTTTGAAAAGGTCCCCTCCCATTTCAAATCATGTTTTCTCTGTAGTCGAATGTTGGACCTCATGAGCTTTTCCCACAAAGACACTACAGTCCAGTCAGTGTCCCACAACATCACAACATACCAAATGACGTGTAAAGCTATTGTACATATGTGTAATGAAGTCAATGATTGAGTTGTGAGAAGTGAATCCATCACATTTACCTTCACTTTGCCGTTTACCAAAATTCTGTTTGCTGCTATTGTGTACATAATCTACCAGTTATTTTTAATTATTACACAGAAAAAAAAACCCAAATTACCACTTTCATACTGACCATAGATCATGAAGCTATTTTACAGTTAATAACAGATTATTCTTATAGTGAATTTTGTATTTCTGTTTGTGTGTAGATCTTTGTGTGTCAGTGTTGTCGCTGTGTTTGTTGGTTTGAAGGAGTCTGTTTGAAAAGGGTCGAAGAGTTTCCACTGAGACATTTGAGCTCCTGAAATCACCTGAAGGTCTTATAGGACACCTCTTCACGCACTGACTGGCCCCGCCCACTTTCACACCTGGCCAATCACAGTGTAAATTAGGCTCTAGTACCTGACACCATGCATTCATGTGCAACTCTGTTGGTCTCTTGTATAGAGTTTGAAAGTTGTTCATTATTGATGTCTTTAAATATTCTCTAAATTGAAAGTCCCACTCCAATGGTTTTCTAATACAATTTAAAGTGTTCACAGAGGTCTGTAAATCGCACTTAATGAAGTTTTTTGCCAAAACAACACTGCCTTTGCACCCTTCTCTTCACGCTAGCTTGCAGCCTAACATTGTCAGTGTAGTAGAAGGGGTAGGTATCATAGGAGCTATTCAGCTCTTGGACACTAATGTCTTTGGGGACATGATGAAAGTTAATATCATAACTAGCTTTCTTATGAGTATTGCAATCCACTACTGCACACACTTGTTCCACCATCGTCCATCTACTTCTCGGGGTCTGGCCTGCAGAGCGGGGCGCCAAGGGCGGAGCATAGATTTGTGACATCCAAAATCCTACTGTGTCTGAACCTGCCGTTTGGGCAATTTTGCACTTAGTTTTCTCATGATATGTCCTCTAGCATCAGAAAAATGCCATATGAACATGTAGACAACAAGAAAAACTTGATTTTCATCGGAGTGGGGCTTTAAGGTACTTTCTTGTTTTCAGCCCTTTTTTTGGCCAGTGATTCAGCCTTATGTTGACTCAAACACCTGTTCATTTGAGGTGTTTTGTCTGCACTGAACCAGACCCAGAGGACTGTAAAAAGGATTTTAACAGACTCCTAAGTCACTGCTCTGTCTGACAGATTCAGACTATAGAACAGGCAAAAAAAGCAAACAACCAAAGTTTTTATCCTGACTTTATCCAGACTTTTTACAGCTTGGTTAAATTTCTGTGTAAGCAAAAAATAAAGGTGATTGGACACAAGAATGCAGGCGTTTTGACGAGCTCTTCAGTTTTTCAGGTGCTCTTCTCCAACACAGTGAACCTGGGATAACAGTGAACAGACAGAGATTCTTTATCGCCTTACCGGTCCTCTGACCACTTGAAACATCAACTCTCACACATTGATTGTGGTGCCTTCAGGAGCTGTTAGAGGTTTGGTGTCATGTCAAAAGACACGCCAAACCACTTGAGTTTCTAATGAGTGGGAAACCTTCAGCACCTCCAAACGTTTTTACTCTTTTTTTATCCAGCTCACAGGATTTAGACTGTTCCTACTGACCTGCCATCAGCTGCCTTCTGCAGACACTGTTCTCCTTGAGTATCTGCATACAGATATGTTATTGCTGCATGTAAGAAAACTAACATCTAAGATTAAACTCCACAAACCACTTTTGATAAATGTATAGATTCATGCAGAGAAGCAGGGCTACTTATTTTTTACCATAAGACATTTTTCTGGACTTGTCACCTTAAATGTTGCACCAAAAAATAGTTGTAACAAGGGCTCAAAAACCTTTAATATGATGTATTTTACAATGAACCTTCGCAGGCTGCAGAGCTGTTTCAGAGTCAGACTGTTTTATCCTCTGCTAGAACAGAAAAAAAACACCAAGCTCTCCGGTCTTAGTCATCTGCTATTGTCTCCTACTGTCATCAGAAACCAGCGTTCATCAGTGTGGGTCCAGTTAGGTTCACCTGTGTTTGTCAAAGTGGGAACTCTTTGACCGGTTTTATATTTTGGGCTGTTGGCCCTGCCTCAAACCACTGTGTCAGTAAAACTCCTTAAAACCTGTATCTGTCGTCTCGGCTAAAAATGCTTTGTGTAATTTACACTTGTGACATTTTTTGTATCAAAAGCATTTTTATATAATAAAGGTTCTATTTTAAGGAATAATGACGTGTCTCTGATTTAAGCTGAACACTGGTGGATCTCTGTTATCTCTGCAAAAATCAATCACAGGTGACTGTTTTTTAATTTACAGGTAATACCATTACATAAGATAATTCTCAACTGAACCCAGAGAGGAAATCGGGCGTGTACAGCAACACAAGCACAGTTGAGAATACAAAAGGAATAATAGTAGAAAATAGGCACCCAATGAAAATAAGTGGTGTGAACAACTATTACATAAAGGTATGAATAAAGAAAGGACATATTGGAGGCTATAGAGACAGGATATGATATGATAAATAGCAACAAGGTCTCCCAAGGTAATGGAAACAGTTAGCTAATGTATAACAGAGAAAATGATATGAATAATTGACTGTAAGGTAGTGGTAGTTTAAGGTGCTTCATATAGTGGCAATAAGTAGTACAAAAATATCATTAAACAGTGCATAGGATAAGGTTAAGTAAAAAATTGTGTGCCATGCTTTCATGGCATTCAAAAAAATGCAATAAATAAATAAATATTGAAATGTGACTTTCATCCTTCTCCTCTGAAAACTAATCTTTAGTTTTGATAAGCATTGCAAGAAAAGAACCTTGCTTCTTCATATGATATGTATGAAATAGTCTTAAATGTGTACCCAGAGTGGTTCATATGGATTAAACTATCTGAAGAATTATACACTGATATTCAAAATAAGGATTTTTTAAGTACACCTTTTAAGTACACCTCTTCATTTTAATTCTGTATATCACCCTCACTGGATATGAACTCTTTTAATCTACAAATATTCTAGAGAAATGATCAGACTGGATGCTTTGGTTTGAAACTGAAGAATTAAACACATTATGAATGTAGTGGTAATAATTGTTCAGATACATACAGTATAAGGCTCCAGAAGGCTTCATGTTATAGCAATCTTTATTTTACTTCTTTAGTATATTAAAAGTGGAGTTACACAGGTTTTAAAGCTTGTAAAATATCACATATCCATGGCTATGACTGTATTTTTTGTCATCTTCCAAAATTCTCTTTGTTTTTTCAGTGTAGAGGGTTAAGGGAAATGCCCAAGTTTTGTGCAGTGCTGTAAAAATGCTACAATAAAATCAGAGAGCTTTAAAGGGTGTATTTGTACTATTTAGATATAGGCATAAAGTCTGCAGCTGTTTCCCATTGATTGAATGATATTTTTGCTTTTTCCAGGTTTTACACATTCTTTTATATATATATATATATACACACCTTCATTATAAAGGTTATATCTTGGGACGGGCTCGTTTATTTTCAGTCTGTAGGTAACCTGTAAAACAGTGATGACACTACTTTTATTTGAAAAAAAACGTGGGCTCGTCCGGGATTTGAACCCGGGACCTCTCGCACCCAAAGCGAGAATCATACCCCTAGACCAACGAGCCGCTGTGCGAACAAGGAAAACTCAACAGTATTTAAAGGCTTATAAGTCACTGTCGGGTTTCTTTTACAGTATTAGGATGACATCTACTGGTCAAACAAAGAGCTTCTACTTATTTGATTTCCTTTGGAGTTAGTTTGTTTGCCTAAATTGCCCGTCAGAAGTTGGGTCTTTGTCATCCCGATACAATTTGGTGCATCAGTCACGATTAAACTAATTGATAGAGACAGAACGGGTCTAATCGATTAATAATATAATTTTCACAAAAAGTAATGTTTTGCCATCAAACCTTGTAAGGTAAGGTTTTCACCGGAGTGAAGTTGGTGTTAAGTCTGTCGAATTTCTAACTTAAAACTTACTTCACCCCAGTAATATACCGTATTTTTCTCCTCTGTTTGAGAAGTTGCCCTCAAGGAAAAGAGGCTCCCGAGACACAGAGTTGATCCTTCATTTGTCATGTTTTTACTATCAAAATCTAGTTATTTGATCAAAACAGTGGCTCTCTTCATTAAAAACTTTACAGAAAATAATAAGAATACCTGCCACTAGTTTGTCCTTTCTGTGTTACTGTACAAAAATTTGCAAGATGGCGGGCTTTAAAGGGGAGGATCCACCAGTGGTCTCAAGGTAGAAAAAAGGCTTCATTTTAAGTTCCCAATACCTCAACTATTTTTATAATCACATTAATAGAAGCATTTTATTAACGTTCCAACTCTACCAAATCTGCTGGGATTAATGTAAAGTGACTTAATTCTAACCTTGTACATAAGGTTGGTGTGAAAGATGTCTTCCTTATCTCCCCTGTTCTGGGATTTTGTGGTGTATTTCTAAGCTTCATGTGATGGGTTTGATTTCTTAATGTGTCTTCTGGATTCTTACGTTGTTTGGGTGAACTTTTCATGGCTTTCTTTTCTGCTGTTGAGATTTGGTCTTCTTGCTCTTGTCTTAAATGTTGTTTCTTTTTGTGCAAACTGTCAAAGCATTATGTGAATCCCCGTTTTATGAATGCTACAAATGAAGAAATCTTTTTCATAGTAACACATTTTGACAGTGCAGGATAAGAAAGTACTCAGGGCTTGGTAAGGTTTTTTATTGAGATATTTTTTACTTTACTTTTGCTGACATTTGTGAAGAAGTGACACTTTTACTTGAGAGCTGTTTCTGTCTACTCTACTCATTACTGTCCACCTGCTGCACAGACTCCAAACGAACAGTATTAAAGTAGCTTACTTTGGCTTTGCTTTTGTACAGTGGAAGGAGGTAGAAACATGTTGTTCATGAACTGCAGTCAGCTTAAAGATTCCCATAACTGGAATAATGTTATCCTTGTTCAGCTGTCAGTCCTGTCAGCGGTCCTCATGTTCGTCTGAAGGTAATGACCCCTGCCTGACTTTGTGCTGCAGACTTTCCCAGGCGTTCAGCTTCCTCTGCTGCCTCACCTCCAGGCTACCTGCAGCTCTCTGCGTCCGTCTTCTCCTCTGAGGTGAGAGGGAATTTCCCGTCACATTGTGAGTCTGTCCTCCTGGTGTCCAGCAGAGGTGACACGTCTCAGTAATGATGCCCTCAGGCCTCAGCTCTGCAGCAGGTACAAAGACTCCCAGCCTCACCTTTCTTTTGCTTCTTCTGTACCTCTATTGTCCTAAAAACACTGCAGCTAAAGGTCATTTCCTCTCTCTGCTGAAATAACTAAAACCCTTACTGCTAAAGTCACTGAACTGGATGCTGTCACATAATCTGGGAACCATCTACACTTACAAACTCCTGTGATATGGTGTCGTATTATCTGGATTTAACACATATTGTTTAGGTCTGCTGGAGAATGCCTGGCATGCTTTAGTTAGTCTTTGTTAGTCCCTGCCTGGGGGAACAGTTAGTATCAATAAGAAGAAAGCTGTACAGGTCTAAACCTGGCTTTAGATGGGCTTCAGACCAGCTGAGGGGTGGGATGTCTGCAGATTATTTAGACTTGTGTGTTAACAGATCAGAGGCCTGAAACCAACATGCTGAAAATCTGCAGAATTGGCTCAAGTAGAAAGTTTATTGACCTGGTACCAAACACTGCTGGGTGCTTTTCAAAGTAAGAGTCCATCAGAGGTGGGTAGTACTGCATTACAATAACTGATATCTTTTAAATAAAGTCCCCCCTCCAGCTGTCAGCACAGTTAGGACCAGAACTTCACTCATATAAATGCTCTCCCTGTCTCATCTGTCTAAATGAGTGTTCATTTGTTTTACCTGTACTGGTGTAAATATCAGCAGTGGGAATATTTTAGAGAGTGAAAGCAGTCAAACCTGTAACACGATCATTTCCCAGTGAGGTCCTTACCTTTGGACTGTGATATCCCAAAATAGGGTTTTCATGTTGGGTCAGTAGGCTGGGGAAATATCAAGAAGAGAAGAATATGAAAAGATTTGAGTTTTTTAGTGATGAGGTCAAAAGTGCACCTGCTGACCGTTAACTCAGACAGATCCTATGAGTATCAAACGAGTAGATGATGCACAAACAGAATAAAGATAATTTTGAGTATTAACTGAAGGCCGTTGTTATACTGAGATGAACTTGTCCAGGTGAGGTGGGAACTTTCCAGTGCAGGTAATCCAGCTGGCAGACAGGTGCTGAAGGCTGAACAGAGGCAGGGAAGAGGAGGAGACCAGCAGTACGACTTCTTCAACTTTTTGTTTTTTCTTCTCTTTTCTTCTCTCTGTGCGCTTGCCGCTCTGTAATTACACCAGCTGCCTGAAAGCTGTGGCTGTCTCTCCCTCTCTGCCTCCCCTCTCTTCCCCATTTTACCTCTCTCTCTGCCCCTGAAATTCTTTAATGTACCTCTCCTCCCTCACCGCTGTTCATTCCCACAATAAAGTCCAGCACCTGCCCACTGACACACCTTCAGGCCTGCACAGTGGCAGACTGCAGCCAAGCATGAATGTGAGATCTGACAGAGGTACATTTAAGCGGGAGCACAATGGGACAGGTCACTGCAGTAGGATTTACTGCTCTGCAACAGGTGACACTGCAGATCGAGGGTTCATCTATGTCAAAGGTCTGAACTTTCAAATACAGTCAGCTGAGCTAACAGAGAGTTATCTTCTGACTGTTTCCTTCTCTTCAGCCTCTCTGAAGAGGAAGAGGAGGACTGGCTGTCAGGTGGAGTAAACAGCACAGCACTGAGACAACAGAAAGAAGCTGATGCGTTACTGTGGCTGACATCCAGCCTGTCCAGCTGATCAGGGGTCAGAGGTTACCTGGTTAACTGTGTGTAAACAAACAGGGTCTGATGCAAAACTTGTACAGACTGATCCTCCCTCTGCTAGTCCAGAGTCAGATTCAGAACACCTGTATCACCTTCTCTGTAAAGACCATTAAATACATCTAGATTTTTTTTGGTCATTCATTTTATCATGCCCCCAGAGAGCTGAATAGCTCCTATGTTACCCGCCACTTCTACTAGCTGGCAATGTTAGGCTACAAGCTAACGTGAAGAGAAGTGTTGAGAGCAGCGCTGCCTCCCCCCATGACTCAGAGGCAAATTGCTAATGATCTACTGGAACTCTGCAGAAGCAAATCCCTTGAAAATGACACAGGTAACGTGATTTTGGCTAAAAACTTCATAATCACAAAATTAACGACCACTGAGAACACTTTCAATAACAATCACAAAAAAATAAGATTAGAGTGGGACTTCGAGTTTTCACTTGTTGATTTCACTGATAAATTTTACACTTGAATTTCTTCTTATTTTATGACTTTTTGTCTAATAAAAGTCTTAACCTCAACTTTTGCTTCTTCATACGAAGCTGCAAATTTTTCACTTTTATTTCTCCAGGTTGTGTTTTTGATTCTATAATCATGACTCTTAACCTCTCAGGTGCTCGATACTCATTGACTCCTTTTTTTATTTCTTTAATTTTTTCCCCTTTTTTGACTGACAGTAATGGGCCTCCATAGTTTCGCCTCCTAGTATTGTCCACCTGTGTTTCCCACAGTTCTAGCAGATCGCTGTCAGACAGCCACAGGCTGAGACTCTGAGGTGTCAGGGGGAGGAGGGTCTGATTTTTATTCAGTCAGAGCCGAGAGGGAGGAGGAGGGCAGATCACATGTTTCTCTCTGAATATGAACATATGGCGGAAGGATCTGAAACTCATCATTAGTGCTCTGAGGGGCTGATGGGATGGTGAGCTGCTGGAGTTTACATCACTCTCATGTTTCCATCCTGGCTGACAGCAAAGGCTGAGCCTCCATGTCATTTCTAAAGGTTTCAGACAACGAGGCCAGTAAATAAAAAATGTTATATTGTGAAAGGTGCAGTTAGTAAATTTTCAATCATGTTATCATCCTCTAAAGACACCATGCAGAAAAACTCTGTATGTGAACTAAACAAAACCTGCTTCAGTGGTTAAAGATAGCTCTAAGATGCCATAAACTGACAGTCTTCCTAATGTCCAGCAGGGGGGCGACTCCTCTGATCATTAACGTCAGTCTGATTATGTGGAGGTCTATGTGCAAATGGTCTAAAATCTCAGCTAATTTAATCCCTCATGTTTTCCCCTATGAGTTTATGGTCTTAATCCCTAGTTTATTGTTGTCCTCATTACACTGATAAAAAACACCTTATATCATACCTACAACCATTTGTCCCTATCAATTCATCAGATCGTCTGTTTATAGTTTGTGGAGAGTCTCAGTTTCTTTGTAAACACTGTTTCAGGGGCTTCACTCTGGCTTTCTCCAGCAGTATGAGCCTTAAACAGAAACTGATGTTGTTGTGATGATTTCCTCATTAACAGGTCTTCAGTTTGCTTAAACAACAACATCATGATGCAGATTAGTCCAAAGTCCAGCTTTGTCGGTTTTTCATCTACTTTGAAAATGTTTGTTTGTTGAATGGAGGTCAGATCTTTCATTTTTGATGCATTCAGGGAAGTCAGGAAATCTGAACTCTCAGCATCAGTCATTTTAGTGTCCTAGTGTAAACATTTGTTTTAAAACAGATTGTTAGCTGACCTTCATGCAGATATCTGTTCATACAAAAAAGAAATCCTCCTCCTGTATGAGATTAAGACTTGATCCTCATCAGTACCCGTCACTCACAGACCTCCTATTCAGCTGCTGGTGACAAGATGCATGAGCACTGCTGGTCAGATCTGCCACAGAGACATGTTACTGTTTTCATCTTTAGTCTGTTTCTGCAGAGCACCAAAAAGAGGACAATAACAACTCTTACCAACATCCATGTTTACAGAGTATGAGTTTCAGTCTGGATGACAGGATTTGCTCTGTTAATCTAGACCAGAAGTCTGTCCTCTTCACATCAGACATTAAGGACTCTCAGACCTGCTGTGTTTGACAGAGCTCCTCCTCCTCCTCCACTCAGACCTCTTCAGGGTGTCTAAACAAACCTCCACCCACAGGGAGTTTAGGATGGAGGTCTGAAGAGGTTAATTTAATCCAGACTAACATATGGAGAAAATGAAATTGTGGAAATAATCATGAATCAAGCACTCAGTATAAACCATAGTATGGAGGTAAAGCATTGTCATTATAAGTGTTTTTTTCAGCAGTTAAAAGACGAGACTGACAGAAAAAGCAACAAACTAAAAGTTTATTGAATTAGGATTCGTAAAGATGATTAAAAAACAGTTAATCTATGAACTAATATGACTGTAAAACAGGACGCACAGTGAGGGTCACTATCAATGGAGATACAACCAGGTCCTTACATCCTGGCTGGTCTGAAGGGTTGTGTATCTTCAAAAAAAAACCACTACTTTGTCCACAGAACAAGAAAAAGCGATACAAGTGGGCAAAAGCTCACAAAAATTAGACTTATGATGACTAGAAACAAGTTTGCACTGTTTGGTTCAAAATGCGGAGTCTATGTCTGCAGACAAACTGGTGAATGTCTGAAAGCACCATGTGTTACACTCACAATTCAGCATGGAGGTGGTAGTTCCATGGTATGGGGATGTTTTGCAGGTGATAGAGTAGGAGATTTGTTTGAAGTAAAGGGTATCATGAGGAAGGAACAGTACCACTCCATCCTCCAGCACCATGCTGTTCCATCTGGACTCAAAAAACATCAGCTCAGGTATGACGCTGAAATCTCCCCCCTCCTTCAGTCATCCACCCTGATCGACCTCTGAACCATCAGAAAGTCTACAGCCTATCCTCATGACTCTAGTTAAACATTGACATTAAAAAGCACGTGAAGGTTCTGTGATATGAACTGAATATGATCCTGATTCACTGTGTCATAAAGGCAGACCGATGTTTATGTCTATTGAGATGTAAAACAGGAAAAGTTTCACCCATACATCCCACAAAGAGCTGTCCTGGATCTGTGAAAGGACCAGATGTCCTCACAGAGCAGCAGGTGCTTCACCATGTCCCACTGCTGAATTCCCATACTTCCTTATACTGTCTGCATTTATTCATCAGACAGTCAGGATGAAGCAGAAACACAGCAGGACTAAAGTGTAGAAATATGGTGCTGCTGTGGGAGTGCAGGTGAAAGTGTCCTGAGGAGGGCAGCAGGACCTCCTACTGATCAGGACTCATGCTCACAGTAAGACAAGTTTAAACAGATTTTAGCAGCATGTAAACTGTGGTTTGGTTTCTTGGATTAATAACGATGAAATGAGAAACGATCAGATGGTGGAACAGATTCATGAATATGTCAGGGAGACGGGTTATTATGAAGACTTCTTTTTGGAGGAAGTTGCAGAAATCTCACTGAGATACAGAGCTCTGAGGAAAAGGATAAAAATATATCTTTTGAATAGAGAACACATACTGACATCACAGAGTAATATAAAGTTTGTTTCAGCCCTGACTATAACCGAGTGGAAGCTGCGATTAGGGTTAACAGAAGCAGAATTCACATCCACTATATCAACAATCAAACAACAGTGCCAGCAAACATCACACAGTGATGATCACCCTGATAGGCAGGTGCAGTTCACTGCTTTTGTTTATCGTGGCCCAGGTCTCTTCTATACTGGTGTTACGTGCTCAGTGTTGCAGCTTTGCAGGTGCCAGTGTTTCAGAGAGACATGTTGGCGGTGCTGCAGCTGCTCCTCCTCCTCCTCTGTGAACGCTGAGACTGACGCTGATAGTGAAAGTAAAAGTGTTTTCTTATTGTCAGAGGTGTAAGAGTCATTCTGTGGTCAGATGAGTCACTCTTTAACCCAGACAGGTTTTCTAAAGGCCACGTCTGATTTATTAAATGTATAAAATGCTTGAACCAGTACCAGTACCAGTGTCACTACCAGCCTTTTTTTGTTTTTGTTGATCAGAAGTTTGTGTCTCTAGTTTTTGTACACAGAGGAATTTAGTGGTAACACATTTTAAAACGACTCTGCAGTTTCAGAGAAATGTTTGCAGATGACACGAAGGGGGTAAAAATTGGGAAATTTACTGTTTCCATACTGTGCAGGCATGCCCTCACAGTATGGAAACATGCCTGCACAGTATGTACAACATAAATAGTATCCTATCAGTATCCTAAATTAAAGTAAAAAAGTGCCCTCTGGATGCCCCCTCAGTTTAATTAATCTAAGTTAAATTCTCTCACTTTGTTAGTTTAAGTATTAAATTAATTTACAATATCATCCAGTTTTAGAAAATTTGATTTAATTTAAAAAAAACAACAACAATAAATCAAATCTATATGAATGTGAGCTTAATGAAGGAAAAAGTATTCATGGAAAGGCGTTTACAATTCTTTGAAAAGGGCAGATACTCATTTAACAGAACTTGCTGTGCGTCGGTGTCCATAACATACTGGAGGTGCCTTTGTTTCATCCCTGCCCCTCAAACAGCCTGAATACACCACTGCTTTCTATTATGACTGTAATAAAGGCCAAAGTCTTGTTAAAATGAAAGTTAGAGATAAAGTCAAATCATATCAAGTCAAATATTTCTGGTTTATTACCAGCTCAGATGATTTCTCAATGATCGGAGTCTGGATACCAATGGTGACCTTTGTCTTACTTGACAGACAGCAAGTGATCTGTCATTACAGGATAATATAACAGGCTGAGAGTGGCAGAAAATACAATCAGACTTCAAAGTTTCATGATTTTAGCAGCCAAGCAGAGCCATGGCTACTGTGTACAGAGTTAGAGTGGGGTTTAGGCTTAAACAGTGTGAGAACCAACATAGGCAACCCAGAAAAAAATGATATTTGAAAACTATTGAAATGGTCAATTATCCAGACAGGTGTGTTTTTTCACATATGAAGAGGGTCTGCACTAACAAAACTTTCCCTGCCCTTAGTCAGACTGAGCAGAAAAGGCCCTGCAAATAGAAATAAAACAGTCTTATACCCTTGAATCTGTAGATGATTGGGTTACTAGAACTCCCCATGAAGAAAGAGACTACTCCTCACTGTCTCTGCTTTCCTCACCTGCTACAACCACAGTTTCAAGAAAGCAAGGATGCCGGTACTTCCCCTGATGATCTGTTTGTTTTTCAGTTGTTTTGTATTGTTGGAAACATCTCCAACTCATGAGGTGAATTTCCACCAACAAGTTAGTACCATGACTGGGTATAAAAAGGACATTCAGAGAGGCTCTCAGAAGGAAAGATGAGAAGAGGTTCACCACTCTGTGAGAGACTGCGTGAGCTAATAGTTCAACAGTTTCAGAAAATCTTCCTTCGTGTCAAATGTGAAAGAATGAGTGGATTTCATCATCTACAGCACATACTATCATTAAAAGATTCAGAGAATCTGGAAAAATCTCTGTACTACAGGGACAAGGACCAAAACCAAGACTGGATAGTCCTGATCTTCAGGCCCTCAGGCAGCACTTCATCAAAAGCAGACAGGACTCTGGAGTGGAAATCACTGCATGGGCTCAAAATCACTTTGTCTGTGAACACAGCTCATCACTGCATCCACAAATTAGGTTAAAACTGAACCATGTAAAGAAGAAAGCATATTGAAACAAAACCCAGGAACACCAGAGACTTCTCAGGACCTGAGTGTATTTAAGATGGACTGAACGTTTGAATGATGTGAAAACCATTGAAATCAGTTTTTATCAAGATTTTACACAGACTCCCAACTGTTTTGGGGTTTCATTTGAATAACTTTGTTCTTTACTAGGACAGACATGTCTTTGAGTTCATGGTATATAAACTCCACAAAATGTGAATCATCCATATCAGTCTGATATTCACATTCTTCATGTGTACAATAGCTGCTCTACACTTATTTGTGCAGCTTTATTCCTCAGCCTTTCAAAACGCTGAAATTGCATCTCTGAAGGCAAAAAAGTCCAACTTCATCTTTTTTCATAGATTTCACATTTTTCTAAAGTTTTTCAAAACTTCCAACTTTGAAGTCCAGCTGTAAATCAATTATCGGAGCCATGATGTGTGAAATGCAAATAACTCTAATCTGGTGAACAAAGGATCATTTGGCCTACTTCATAGCAGAGTCTGTGGGCTACGCTTAGTGTGTGTGTGTGTGTGTGTGTGTGTGTGTGTGTGTGTGTGTGTGTGTGTGTGTGTGTGTGTGTGTGTGTGTGTGTGCGCGCACATTGCACACACTCTGCAGCGTACACCATTGTTCAGTGAAATCTGTCTGGCCTGTATTGTCCTTATGTGATGGTATTGTTGGTGGTATTGTTTAAGCCAGTCAGTTTGTTCTCAGTTCCTGTGTATCTTGATGGCCATTATGCTGCTGGAGGCCATGCCATGTCAGATCGATCGAAGCGTAGGGGAAACAAAGAGACAGCACAGCTTGGCTTGAACCTCGGGTAATGGGCTGAGAGAAAAGAAAGACGACGAGAAAGCAGAAAGCTTGAGGTGGATGGGCAGAGGCATCATGTGGGTGAGAGGTGACACAGAAAGAGTGTATGAGGACAAGCTGATGAGGAGGATCACAGATGTGTGTCATGGACATTAGATCAGGGATCGAGAAAGTCACACAAGTTTTAAGGTCCACACAGACCAAAAAGACTGCATATATCTCTTTATTAGGAAAATGATACTTGGAGATTTTCCTTGCAGTATGTCAAAGCTTTTAACAACAGCACACCAAGATCTTTGTGCTTCAACCACAGTATAAACCACCCTGAACAAGTGCTCTTGTTCGCTAGTGCCAGTACAGTAAAGGGGTATTCCGGCATTTTTAAAGTCAGGTTGTATGAGTTCTGTGTAACCAATTAGTGTTTTAGCTACAATGGAAGTCGGTCAGCTCAGCCCCTATACTGAGAAACTGCAGAGAGGGGGGCTGACACATGAGGAAGGCCACAGTTTTCTGCAGAAAGGGCTGACTCTGCCACAAAATTTAGCTAATTTTCTAGCTGACCCAAACACTTACCTTGGTTTTGGTGTGCCAACTACTAAGAATTTTTCAGCACTTTGCCATCAGGAAGTCTGTTTGATTTTGCACTATTTGTGACACTAAAACATACAAACTCCTCTGTATGCAGAAGGATAAAGCTTTCTGGTCTATAATGTACACGTCCCTAGCATATTGTAAAATTGTCTCTTTACAGCCTGCAAACCAAATATCTGATCAATTCAATTCAATTTAATCTGTACTGCAGGTAAAGCACGTCTTTGTGTTACATCTGCAATTAGTGCAAAACAATGGGCTTTCTGCTGGAACAGTACTGAAAACCATATACCTAAACTGAGGTAAGTGTTTTGTGTTAAAGTCTCTTTAAACTTGCTCATGTACCTGGCAGAGTTGTCCCAATTTGCAGAAAACTAGTCTAGCTTACATGCAGGTTGTCCCATGTCCCATGTTTTCTATGATGGACACTTGATATAGCCTAGGGGCATACGAAGATTGCGTAGCTCACCTGGGGGATGCATTGTTTGAGCCGAACGTTATCACAGTGACTCTCCGCGACTCTCCGAGAGCATACCGACATACCGAGAGCTTTTTGGCTTCAATTGGCGGAAGGTGGAACCAAGTTGTCCATAGTATATACAGTCTATGGTCTCAAGCCATGTCAGACTGGGGTCACTAGGAATCTGAGGGGGTCATATCTCCCCTGTCCCCAGTGCATCCTGTGTGCATGCAAACACCATCAATTCATGTCAGTGGGGCCTGGCATGCTCTGCTCTTCCTCTTGCTTAGAGGCGGTGCACCAGCTACTATAATAACTGTTGTTTAGGACTGTGCACAACATGCTCATGTGCTTCCTTCCTACCTACCTGACTACCATAATAACCATTGTTCTAGTATACACACAAAATTTTTTTCCTTATTCATGAAACGCTAGAATCAGGGACATTTCCGGGGAAAGCTTTAGACAGGGACAGGTCCTTGAAAACAGTGTCTTTCTTATTCTGCACTTTATTAGATGTCGTCTTAGGAGGTCTTGAGCTCCTTCATCCCGTAGGTTCCTCTGAATCCTTGCTGCAGACTCTAACTGCTGCAACTGTTCATATCAGTCTGACTTTTATTATCATAAGTGTAATCGGGAATGTGAATCTCAGAGCTGCTCAACTCTGCACGGTCAATATCGTCAATATATCATTATTAAAAATCTGTATCATTGTGACAAAGCTTCCTGTAAGGGACTGCACCAGTTCACCCTGAGTTTAATAGTTCATGGAGAGGCGATCAGGGTGGGCTTGGTCTTATAATATATGGACATAGACAACAATGATGATAATGATGAACATCATAATGATAATGATGATGGTGATGATGGCAGCTTCATCAGAAGGAGGACCGTCTCTGAGAAGGAGAAGGAGCGCTTGGCGTCAGAGGTTGCTGCTGCTTGCTTAGCCTCAGCAGGAGGGATGGCCTGCTTCATCGTCAGCTGAATAATGTCACATAAAATTAATGTGTCTTATCAAGCAGAGACTCGAGCATTGTGATAGACTGGAGATCCTTTTCCCATGTCTTTATCACACACACACACACACACACACACACACACACACACACACACACACACACACACACACACACACACACACACACACACACAGTCCTGATGTTTGATGAAAGTCTGGTGGGATCTTGGAGGCCCACCCACATAGTGACCCTCTGCAGTCTGTACTAATGAGTTCAAATCATCATCATCATCATCATACTAACTGTCAGTTCAGGACAAACTCAATCATTTTAAAGGGCTGTTTCACATTTCTTTTACAGTTGTATTAGTTAAGGACTACTGTCTTAGCTTGGTTTCCTACTTTTACTTCCAATAAAAACTGATGTCAGTAAACTCAGAGTATATGTTGGGGAATCAATTTGCAAACTAAATTCTAATGACTAAACAAAGCTGATGGTGTCAATCAGGGGTCACAAACCTTTTTGGCTGAGAGAGTCATGAAAGCCACATTTAAAAATGTATTTTTGTGAGAGCCCTATTATAACTTGTAACACTAAATACAACTAAATGCATGAATTTCTAAGTAAGACCAATAATTTTAGTGTACACTAGGTCTCTGAATTTATTCTTTGTTATAGTGTTGTTATACTAAAGCTAACCAATAATAAATTAAGTACTTCTCACCAATTATGCGACTTCTGGTGCTGCATGGTTTTTCTGATGGCTTTGTAGTCTGGTTGGTACATGGTAAGGTCAAGCTCCATGTAGGCGTTGAGACTCCCATCCATTAAATGTGATCGTAGGTTGGTCTTTGTGTTTTTTAGATGTGAGAATGTCTGCTCACATGCTTACGTAAAGCCAAACATGGTCAATACTCAGGCAGGACTGTATACTGTAGTGTGTGGTATGTGACAGAAAGTGCATTCCAAGTTTTTGCAATAAGCTGGTCTGCGGGTTTAAGTTTTCTGCCCACTTGTGTTTGCTTGCCAACTCTGCTTGCTATCGTACAAGTCTTTCCAAATCTTCATTCAGTGACTTGGACTTATTCACCCACATGTCTGAGGCCTTCAGGTCAGCAACTTCTAGGTCAAAATCTCTGATAGAGACAAATTCCGGAAACCATCCTTGAACAGAGGTGGTGGACTAAGACACTTCCTATCCCTCACTTACCGTTCAGCCTTGGGTTCCATTCAACAACAATCGAAACAATGATTTTGTGCTGGATCACAGGCTCCAAATCATGAAAGCATGGCAAACCTGAAGAAGCCCAGGAGGGCACCCCTCCAGGTGAAACCAGGTGAACAACCCAGCTAACGACTTTCTGGTGACCAAGCTGGTAATGACTCTCAGGTGACCACCCAACTTTTTTACAGTGGGAGGACCAACAGAGGCTTCGAATCTCCTACTTTGGCCCCTGTCATGTTAGAACTGAAAAAGCCTTTTGGAAGAGAGGAGGAACGTCTTCAAGAACCTCAAACAAGTCCAGTTGCCCTTTCAATGAAGAATTGGAGAACCATGACCTGGATGAATAAACTTACACAGACATTTGGTCCGTTGTTATATTTCACAAGAAAACCATTGTGCTCCCATTCAGGAGACCTTCATCTCAGTGGAGGACCTTCTGGTTCTTGCTGGTCATATGTTGAGCCAGCTGCCATGGCTGGAAAAGCATGTTCTGTGTGTGATCTGCTTCAGTCTTCCAGCCATGTGGGAACCCAGATTCCATGCACTTTTAGTTTTAGATATGAATACAGTATGTACTTTTACAGCCCTACAGTCAGGTCACAGAAATACACTCACAGCTGAAACTCATGAAGATCCTGAATGCTTGTTTGAGCTCAGAACTTTGAATTTTACCTCTCAGCCACCTTTCTGTGTTGAAACTGAGCCCTGCAAACAGACTGACTCTTACAACAATAAACCAAACTACCAGGCTGCTATTAAACCAAGCAGAGAGTGTTTACATTCACACTCAGGCACACACACAAGCACACACACACACACGTTGTTAGGACATCAGAGAGCCTGGTGTTCGGATAGTCTGAGCGTCCATGCTTCAGTGGACAGAGAGAAAAGTTCTCCAACACATCACAGACCACAAGACCAGCTGGTTGCCAGGCAGGCAGCTGGCATCAGCTGGCATGGCTCTGTGTGTATGTGTGTGTGTGTGTGTGTGTGTGGGTGGGGGTCCCTCTGTGCACTCAGAGTTGCGCTGCTCCACACACACTCTGTGTTAACACAACAAAGAGCAGAGAGCAACAGGGTGCGTTCAGGGGACTGAGAAAAACACATCATAATGAGCAGCACTGACTGGCTCAGTGTAAAGATCTGGTTTATCACTGCTCAGGTGCTTCAGAGAGGTGTCAGTGAGAGACAGTCAGAAGTATACTCTTCATATTTTATACAGGAGGTCCAGTTTCCTGCTGGTATAGATCCAAAAAGGTGGACATGAACAGGCCTCCATCGCAGCCGTGTGGCGTAAGCCTGTTTGAGTGAAAGTTATTTAGAGATTAAAAGTTTTGACTTTGACTTTTTCATACTCAACTTTTGATGTATGTGTTTTTGGAGAAGAGGATCTGTGAAAAACAAACATGTCATTTTAAAGTATGGGAACACTACAGATTTGAAATGAGAGAGACAGACGACTTCACAGGTCAGGAGCAGTAGCAGGATGACTGACCTGATAACCCACCTACACTGGTGACACAGTGTGACTGTAGAGGCGTCTGTTCCCTGTCATCCCTTTACCTTGAATTTGGATCTGTCTATGAGTACAGGCCCCGGGTGCACTGATGGACAGCAACAGCATCACAATGAGGTTAGAAGCTTAACGACAGTTCTCAGTAGCTTTATGGTAACACCCCTCAGAACAATAACCTACAAAGCTGAACTAATGGCTAACAGCTCCATTAGGTGATTTAAATGGACTACTGTGCTTGTCTGTGCAACTATTGCATTGACAGTAGATGACAACATGTCCTCTTTCAGCTCGTTACTATCAGGCCATCTCCTGATTGCCGTATTACACATCCAAACAGTCATCAAAACTCTTTAGCAAGAGGCTAACAAGATGTACATCAGAAGATGTAAACACTGTCACTTATGCAGCGCTGTACCGTTTGTTTTTACGACACAAATCTTTTTATAATTTTCCCATCCTTTCTTCATCTATAGAGGTTTTGTTTGCTAAACACTGATCATGCTCAAAACACTAGTTTCAGTTTGATTAAGCCATGACAGAGAAAACTGATCCCCAACTCCATCATCCAGGTCTGTTATAGTCTGATTATAAGTAGTTTGATTCAGTGTGATTGGACTGATGTGTTTACATGATTTTTGAGCCCAGTTTCACTCGGAGTAGGGCAATAAAAGGATTTTTTTTTTAACTGCATGTCAACATACTGATTTTTTTTCTGGCTTTTTTCCGTTGCTTTGCTGTTTTTTGACCACATAGTTTATTATATTCCATTATTTCTGTCTGTGATGAGTGGAGACACATGGGTACAGTTTCCTCACCAATCATAATTTCATCAGTCAGAAATCTTTCAGGAATAAGTGTGACTTTTTTTAATTTCAGAGGAGGAATTCCTTTCTCCAGTGGGAGACTAGATGAGTTTGAGGTTGAATGTTAAACTCACAGACAGACTTCAGGAGTTTACTGTCAGTATTTTTTAAGCCTGGAGACATCCCAGAATCTTTTAAAGCTTGTCAAGGTCTCCCATACCTCATCTTCTGACATTGGTAAAAACGTAAAATGGTAATTTATAGGAGAATTCATACACTGGAGAGGACTGCTGTTGGTTGGTGAGATATTCACAGCAAGTGTAGGACCAACCTCAGAGAAAAGTCCACTGAATTTATGGGCACATAGCTGGGGGTCAGTAATGATACCCTCATTTCTGTCCATTCTGCTCAGAGATAATACGATGGGTATGCAGTGTGGTCTGTGATTGCACATTTATGTCAGAAAAACTAAGTCAAAACATCAGCCAACCTCCTCTGTGAGTGACATCAGTTTACCTGCACAGCAGATGAGGCTGAGGTGTTTGTTCTGTGGATGCAGAGATTGGGAGTGGTCTCTGTTATTTAAAAAAAACTGCTCTTTGTACAAAGGAACTCCATATATGGGCTTCCTGCAGGTGTAGAGAGTGTTTGCTGTTTAAACTTCAGTCTGTCTATCACAAACACTCCCTGCTCTGTGATCCATTTAACCTGTTGGAGCTGTTTTCTGAATAAAGGTTTGAGCTGGTCTGATAAAGAGAGATAAGAGTTCATAGAAAACATGCCGACAGTTTTCCTTTGTGACTCAGACTGCTCTACTTTCCACTCTGCTCTGGCAAACATCCATCCCTCTCAGATTTACTTTATCTCTGACACATACAGTTATTTTCCAGAAAAGACATGACCAATGATTTACAGTGTAGGTAATCATTATACACAATATTCAAATAACAACTGAATAAAAGTTTTATACCAAGTCGAAAAAAGTCAGGATGCTTTAAAAAATGTGAATTAAAAAAAAAACAGAAAATATTTAAATCCTTTCTTTGACAAGTCAGGACTGCAGGCGGACCAGTTTCTCAGCAGGACTCTTCTACTACAGAGCCATGCTGTAAGCAAATGTGGCCTTTTTTTGTTTAAGTTCTGTTTTTATAGTTCTTGTACTGTATCTGTAACTGGTAAAGGTTTTTTTATGCAGTTATAGTACTGCTATAAAGAATGCTTCCCTCTGCACATCAGAGCTGTGGATGCAGCGTCCATGATATCCAAAAGGAATGCCAAATTTTAACTCATTGCACTACAGGACAGTTTTCTTCTTTCTTTCAGTCCATTACTGGCTTTTGAGCAGTGTTGATAACATGCCTGGTGGTCTCTGTCCATTTTGAAGTGGAGGTCCATCATTTCCTAAAAGGAACTCAGCTCAGACACAAAATGGAAAAAAAAAATCAAAATGAATAACAATGGGGTAATTTCCTCCCCAAAGAAGTTTCAGTCTCAGGGCTGCTGATGTGGATAAATCATAGATATGAACATTTTTAGTAACAGATGATGACTCATTGACTCTGTCTCTTCTGCAATAATGAGTAACCTCTGGCTGTTTGCCAAAGATCTAAACATAAGCTGATTATACATGGTATCCAAGAGTGCAAGGGATAGTTAAAGAGTGAGTGTATTACTCTATCAGCTCAGCTCTGTGCAGTGATTTCCACTCCAGAGTCCTGTTTGTTTTTAATGCAGGGCTGTCTGAGGGCCTAAAGATCAGGACCATCCAGTCTTGGTTTTGGTCCTTGTCTCTTCAGTACAGAGATTTCTCTAGATTCTCTGAATCTTTTACTGATATTATGTAATGTAGGTGATGAAATCCACTCATTCTTTTACATTTGACACTCAGGAACATTATTCTGAAACTGTTGAACTATTAGCTCACACAGTCTCTCACAGAGTGGTGAACCTCTACCCATCTTTCCTTCTGAGAGACTCAGCCTCTCTGAATGTCCTTTTTATACCAAGTCAGGGTACTAACCTGTTGGAGGAAATTCTCCTTATTAGTTAGAAATGTTCCTCCAGCTGTTTTAATTCACTGTGAATCATTTACTGTATTTTAATAAATATTTTAACAAACGATTTACTTCTTTACAAATCCTCACACAAACAGCCCTGTTCCTTATGCACTGTGTCTTATTCTACACAACGACCCTGCAGCACATGCTTTGCACAGTTACAGAGAAAATGCTTAGGTCAGCAGTTTAAAAAAAGAGACAACAGATAACTGACTAACTGACATGCAAAACATGCAAAATGCCCTAAATGCATCTACTCACACCTGAGGGGCAAGGTTTGAAGAAATGTTTCCTTTATTTTACTTTCTCTCACAACAGTCCAACTTTTACAGAAGAAGAAACCAGAGGAGGTCAGAGGGGTCACCAATGAGCATTTAAACTCACAGACCATGACACATCAGCCTCATCATTTCTTCTTCCTTGGCCTTAGTTCACCCCAAACTCTACCCATCACCCTAAACTGCCCCCATCCACTCCACCCCACCTCACCCTGCCCCCCGCCCCAGCCTCACCCTCTCTCTGCGCTCTCTCTTCCCACAGTCTTGTGTATGTGACCTTTAGTCTGTCTATTGTTCTGTAAGTGGGCCAAGAGGAACCAGTCATCTGCTTATTGAACCAGTGGTTAGCAGAATGGGGCTGCGCTAAGTGTCAGTTATGGACTCTGTGTGTGTGTGTGTGTGTGTGTGTGTGTGTGTGTGTGTGTGTGTGTGTGTGTGTGTGTGTGTGTGTGTGTGTGTGTGTGTGTATGCAGGATATGAACCATATGCTGTTGGGTCTTAATCCCCTGAGGATATCCTGTTGTTTATTTAAGGATTATGGATAAGAACCATGTGCATATGGTCTGTTACATAATTCTGTGAGTACTGACAATTACACTAATCTCTTCTCTTAAAAAAAGGAGATTTAACAGATTGTAACTCACTGTGTCATCACTTCTACAACCACTTTTACATTTCAGAACATCTGTTAATGCTAGATAAGTGTCTGTGATCGCTGTATTTGGGATGATTTAGGAGGGAAACTGAAGATGTAAACCAGAACTGAGAGTCGCTAAAGGGCTGATATGCACCTGCCCTTATATTTCCAATTTCATAACATCATTTCACATTAGAGAAATGGACACCTGATGCTGCTGATATTAAAGTGATTGAAATACATACATTATTCTGATCTAAATATATCTCCAGTCTCAGCCAAATGTATGACTCCAAAAAGATAAATAAAGTGTTTGGAAAAAACAATCTTGATAAATTACAAATCAATAAACCCAATATGTTATGATGAGGAGAACAGCATAATAATGAAATCAACTTTTGGGGTTTGGAAAGTGAAATGTTGGACTGCAGGCAGACCAGTTTCTCAGCAGGACTCTTCTGCTACAGAGCCATACCTATGAGATACACATGACACAGACTTTGATGATCCCCATGCCATCAGGGAGTCTGGATTTAACTGAGAGCTGAGAACAAGCTGAGTGGTTCCTCTACTCTTTAGACAGGAGGCTGCAGCATCACAGGTTTCCTCTTCCCCTCAGTCCAATATGGGCTCAGGTCCAGAGAAGCCTCCCCTGTCACTGGATCACTTTTATAGATGGTCATATGTGGCAACCATGATTTCCAAAACCTGTAGATATTGCATTCATGGAGCCTTCACAGATGTAGATACCAGTGGCGGCTGCTGGTCTTTCAAGGAGGGGAAGCTCATTTTTCTGGCCTACATCATAATTGTATTTGTTTATTAGTATGTAACAGAACAGAGTCGCCAAACACAACGGCAGTCGTTTTTAACAAAGACAAAAGTCGCTGAGGATCGGTAAAGTCTCCGGAGCAGTTAAGAACAACGGAATGATTAACTTGGAAAATGCTCTGGTAGATGTTTTATTCTTCAAGATCGCTGATTCGCTTGTTTAGCTGTCAATCAAAAAAGGATTTCGCCTCTGACAGCTCATCCAATCATGGATGCAGAAGCTTGGAGTCCGGGAGAAAGTCGGGACCGCCCTCTCGCCATAGAACTCCAGTGAAGCTGGGCTTCCGATGGGCGGGACAAAGCCCAGCATTTATCCAATGAGCGTCTAGTTTCGCTGCTGGAACAACCCACTTTCAGCTTCCACATTGAAGTCAGCAGAAGCCCAGCGTCCGGCTGTTTAAAGCGCTGAGGCGCTGCGAGGATGAATGAGAACGAAGTTATGCCGGTTACCTGTGATTATCAGCTTCTTATCACAGTGTCTGAACAAAAGATGAAGGCTTTCTAGCGCGTATTTAGTTAATGAAATGTACACACAGCCGTACGTATTTCACCACTTTTTCTTTTTTTTGGGGGGTGACATTTTAAGGGAAGCCGAGCTTCCCTTGCAGTCTTAGAGCAATCGCCACTGGTAGATACCCATGACATAGACTCTGATCCCCATACTATCGGGGATGCTGGATTGAATAGAATATTCCTTTATTGATCCCCCATGGGGGAAATTTTTTTTGTCACAGCAGCATCACAGACAAAGATAGTGCAAAATGCAGTTATAAAAATAAAGATTGTTATTTTAAGAACTTAAATAAATATTATAATTAAGAAAAAATTTAGGAGAAAGGGAGAAGAAAATAAAACTATATACAAAATACACAATTTAAATGCCAGAAAAAAAGTGGTGGTGTGAGTCCAGTTTCATTACAGTTTGTTATAAAGTCTTATTGCAGAAGGGAGGAATGACCTGCGATAGCGCTCCATCTTGCAAGGTGGGAGTCTAAGTCTGAGCCGGGTGGACCCTCCTCTCTCCAGATTTGGATCCAGCGATCCACAAGACAGTCATATTCACGGGCTGAATATTTCTCACAATAAACTGCTGAACATTTTAAAAAGGTTTTTGATTCCTATACTGCATGTGAGGAAACACTTAAAAAACAGAAACCAGTACATTTCCACTTTTCTATTGTTTTGGACTCTTTACATATAAGTTTTGATTTTGTTGTACTGTCAGACCCAGTTAAAGCAGATCGGAGAAGAAATACTTGAATGAACCAGTTAGACTCTATCACAGTTTGGATTTGTTTTATTTGAGCATGAATTTCTTCACTTCAGAATTTGCTACTCCCCTTTTTCTACTGGGACTCAAGTGGCTGTGTATTTGTCCTCATCAGCCACCGTACTGGACCAACCACACTGACTGACTGACTGACTGACTGACTGACTGACTGACTGACTGACTGACTGACTGACTGTGCACCACCTGCTCAGTAAATCAGAATCAGAGCCAGCTCCATGGCTCAGGAAAGCGTGCACAAACTTGATATTTGACTCCAGATTTGTACATTCCTCTCAATAAGCGAACATGTCCGGGTCTGTAAATCTATGAGAGCCTGATGTTACAGCTGAGCGTGCAGGCAGTTGTCTTTTTCAAACATGGCTGAAGTTTTGAAGATGATCAAATGTGGGTGTTGTTGGCTTTCACTTTGATGTTTTTGATAAAGAGTGTGAAGGACTCTCTCCCCTCCGTTACTGCGGTTCAGCGGTGGGTCTGGACAGGAGGGGGGATGACCTCTGACCTTATGTCTTTCTCTGTCTAATCCTTGACAGCCATGAATCTAGAAGCTGAGAGAGATACATGGCTGGAAACCCCCTCTGCTTCTCTCTCTTTACTCCTCTCCTTCCTCTTTCTGCTCCCCCTCTCCCTCCTCCCATGACCCTCTACTTCCATTTTTTCCTCTCTCCTCCACCCTAACCTCCTTTAACCCTTAACTCTCATCCTTCTCTAATTCTCTCCTTTCCTTTCCTCTCTAACAGCCTGACTGCAGTGCTTTAAGGACAACATGAGGGTTTTATTACTACATGAATCTACTGAAACAGTGATGCAGCATCAAAACTGACCCATCTAAAGTGTTAGCAGCTGTTTTAGGCACAAAGACGCCAGGACCAGGATTAAATGACTGTAAAGCAAATATATATAATGAAAACATCTGAGTAACCTGTTGAATTTGTGTTAAATTTATAGGTTAAACTGTAAATAAACAGAACACTAAGACTGCTTTAGGTTTTGGTTGTGGACACTGCAAAAACCTCAACTATAGCAAATGTTGTGTTTCATTTTAAGAGAATAACAAATTCAACTGATTTAACCCAGAAAAAATCTTGCAAAGTAAGAAAGATTTTCTTCAAAAATAACTAGCTTAAACATGCGGTAACACTTTATTTGATGCCTGTCTATATAATGCATTATAAATATATGTAAAATGTGTTATGATCACATTATAGCGCAGTATAAATATAGTTACAAACACTTATAAATGATCATAATGCTTTATGGCAATAATCATAATAAATGATAAAGCATTTTATCATGACTTACAAGGTCAGGTATTATAATGTGTTATAACTGTTAAAACTCACTGACAATGCACACATAGATAATGCAATGCAACTGTTGTTAACAGTTATAACACATTATAAAACCTGACCTTGTAAGTCATGATAAAATGCTTTATAATGTGTTATGATCATTGTTATAAAGCATTATGATCATTTATGAGTGTTTATAACTATATTTTTACAGTGCTACAACATTATTATAACCCATTATAAATATATTTATAATGGTTTACAGAGATTGGCATCGTAAAGTGTTACCAAACATGCAAAAGGATTTGATTGTGCAAGACAGTTCATCAGATACTGGACCTAATGGTTGTAATTTTGTGATAAAGAATCTCTGTTCATTTCAAATTTGATAAAGCAACATGTTTCTAAAATCTCCTTTGAGAACAGCCAAACAGGTAAATAGGTGTTTAAGAGGAACAGCCAAACTGGTAAAAAGTTGCAATAGAGGACCTGAGTCCATTTAACGTGGACTGAGGGAAAGAGGAAAACTGTCCTGGAGTCTGATAAATCAAAATCTGACACTCTTTTGTGAAATCATTGTCACTGAAAGAGCAGCAACCACCTGGATTGCTATCAGTTTATTAAGCCAGTATTCATTATGTGATGTCGATTCAGAGGTTAAAAAGGGAAAAAAACAAAAAAAAAACAATGGTGTTTTATAGAATTTGAACACTTTTTAAAATTAGGATTGTCTTACTTATATTTATTTCCTGACTTCTGCAAAGTATTGGTGCTGATTTTGTAGATGGAGTTCAATGGAGTCTGGATTCTGGTTGAACATTCAGACCTCAGGGGCATAAAATGGCAGTTTGACATCACTGAACACATGAATTCTTCATCGGTTAGTGATCTTGTGCTGTGTTGAGTCTCAGCTTACTCTCTGTAGCATACAACAAAACTTGCTCTCCAGTGAAGGCAGCAGTAGCCGAGTAAATCCTGTGATCTCTGAGGAAAGTGAGTGTTTTTAGTTTGAATCATGTACTCTTATTTTGGGCTGGTCATCCTGACAGGCTGCTGGACTCTTCTGGGATCCAAACACTGTTCTTGCATGTCTTTATGGGGGGTAGAGACGAGTGTGGGGCACCCATTGAGGAGGGTATTGTCTTGAGGTTTTCCTCTTGTTAGCACCCTTGGCCTTTCAGTGTGCTGCGTCACACATACACACATACACACTCACACACACTCTCACACACACTCTGCCTCTTCTCCACCCCCTCCCTTCCCCTGTCTTTTCGGATCACTTAACAGGACAATTACTCTATCCATCTTTTCTTTATGCTCCATTGTGTCTGTACCCTGGGTTTAGAAAGCTTTTATGGGGAAACCATTTCTTTCTCTTCTTTCAAGCTTTTCTTCTCGGCTACATTCACATTGTACCGTTTCAAGCAGAGATGATAATGATTTAGGTTCAGGGTCAGAGGCAAACTCACCAAGATTTAGTGCTGTCTTAAAGGTATGTTTAAATGATAAGAAATCACTTGTTTTCAGCAAAAGGAAAAACGGAAATATTCATGATATCCATGACACTGTGTTGGTTGCAGCAAAGGGCATGCTAATGGGTTGCAAAGAGCTGCTGAACTGGCTAAAACAATGATCCAGCATTTGGGAAAAGACAGAGATGAGGTTAACTTTCATTTTGCATCAAATGCTTGAAGGAGACTGAGGCTGTATCTAGAGTTAAAACAACATAAAATGAGCTACATTAATGCGAACTGTTATGCAATAACCTTTCAACAACTCATATTACTGTAGGCAGGAGGCTGGATCTGATTTTGAATATTTGATGTTTAAAGCCTACATTTCTGCAGAAGAAAACTAGGACCTCTCCCTCATGTGTCATCATGATGATACTTTTAAGATGTCCTCACAGGAAGAGTTTATAAAAATCTTCTGAAGTTCATCTAAAATCAGTCAAACATGAATGACTGAATGACTAAACAATCCTCCAGACATTAGCATCATTATGTGAGAAACAGAGTCAGCAGGCTGTTTGTCCAGCAGGTTTGGAGTATTGAACTACTTTTTAAGGAGGTCCCAACAGGTTAGAAACATGACTGGGTATAAAAAAACACATTCAGAGAGGCTGAATCTCTCAGAAGGAAAGATAGCAAGAGGTCCGTGAGCTAATAGTTCAACACTCTCAGAATAATGTTCCTGAGTGTCAAATGTGAAAGAAAGAGTGGATTTCATCATCTACAGAACATGATATCATTCAAAGATTCATGGAATCTGGAGAAATCTTTGCACTAAAGGGACAAGGACCAAAACCAAGACTGGATAGTCCTGATCTTCAGGCAGGACTCTGGAGTGGAAATCACTGCATGGGACCAAATCATTTCTTAAAACCATTGTCAGTGAACACAGTTCATCACTGTATCCAAAAATGAGGCTAAAATTGAACCATGTCAAGAGGAAACCAAATAGAAAGAAGATCCAGAGACAAAACTTTCATTCTTTTTGGAAATCATGGACCCTTCATTCTCCTCTCTAAAGAGTACAGGGTCCACTCAGCTTGTTATCAGCTCCCAGGTTAAGTCCAGCACCCCTGATGATATGGGGATCACCAGAGTCCATATCATAGGTATCTTCCACATCTATGAAGGCTCCATTAATGCTGAACTATATCCACAGGTTTAGGAGCAACATCTGCTGTAATCCAGACAAAGACTTTTTTAGAGAAGACCTTCATATTTCAGCAAGACAATGACAAACCACATTCTGCATCTACTTCATATGTTGTCTTTGCTCCATTTACAATTAAGTAAGAGGTTAAGATGCTTTACAAAAGTTTATTTATTATTATTATTATTTTTTTTTAAAGATTTGGGGTTGTGCAACTACGCATAAAAAATCCACTAAGTTTTGTTAAGATCATTGTTTATACACATGAACAATTGCTGAGCGCCCAGTCCAGGATCTGAGATTAGTCTGTTAGTTTTTAGTTTTTGTCTAAACTTGGTGTAAAACTGTTTGAGAAGTCTGAGGATCAAGGTTCTGAACTCATGTTTTTATTTGATGTGGAAGAGCGGTGGTTGCACTACATCTGATGAATGAACTCTTGCAACAGCACCATTATCAGAACTGTTGCTGCTTTCAATTGTCCTCTAACAGGTTGGAGTGAATTCCTCAGTTTAAACCCCCCAGTGGAAACAGCTCAAACCCATCCCCCCTCCCCAGTCAGGAGCAGCGACGAGGGCTGTTGTCTGAGGGATGGAGGGCGGCGTCTCTGAGAAGAAGGCCTGCTCGTTCTCTGTCCTGGTGTCCGGACTTGATAGCCGTGATACAAGGCCTTTCATGGTCTTAAAAGACTCTGACACACCACTGAGCCGATGAGCGTCTCTCAACAAACACACAAACACACACATCAACTTCAATACATAAAGGGTATGTGGGGCTCTGCACTTCAAACCATTAGCAGGGAATTCTAATCAAGTGTTAACTTTTCAAACCATGCTAGGGCTTAATATTAGATCACTTTTATAATCACCTTGTAGTATTTAGGAAACTTGAGGCACACTGTCAGAGATTTTCTGAGTTAGTCAAGCTGCGAACTTGGGATATAAAAATTCGGCTCGTGCAGAAGACCCAAAAACTGCATTTTCCCCAATGTCCACTAGACTTAGACTTTAACTTTATTGTCCCCATGGGGAAATTCTTTTCACAGCCCTGTCCCCACTTCACAAGTCCACCACAGTGGACAGGACACACAGTGAAACATATGGGACCATCTTAACAACAGCATTAAATATTTAAACATTTAATTGGGCCAATACTAGCAAGGCCTTCTGTTAAGTGCAGCTATGGAAGTAGGTACCAGGCTCTCCCCAAATGTATCTTCACACTGAGTGGATTGTGGTAAAGTGTGTGTTTAATGGATGTGTAATGTTCTGTTCCTTTGCGTTTGCAATGTGTGCAATGGCCCTGTTGTTGAGATCTGTTAGATTTGGTGTGGGGAGGCTGATTAGTCTGGAAGCTGTGGTGGTTACGGGTGAACATGTGGTCTTGTAGAGGCTGTGTCCTGCAGTGAGTCAGTCCACATAGAGTCACATGTTAAATGTCTAACTTTACAGTAGAAATAAATATGCTTACTCTCTGGTACGAACACAGTTTGGGTCTCTATAGTTCTGCTCTCAGGTTGAATATTTTATAAAGCCATTTCCAGACATGCACTTTGGGAAATTTCAGTGGACACTGCAGTGGCCAGGATGTAGTGTTTTACAATCACATCCAAAATTGAAACCTGATCCTTTAATTCAGCTCTTCCTGAAGTTTTAAACTCCTTCAGATTTTGTTTTCTTTATTCTTGTTTTCGTCTCAGCTCCTGGAATATGTGTAACATGTACACTTATGTATGCACTTTAGCAACAGGTTTTGTTTTTACCCTTGTATCAATGTATCAGATTTATAGAACTAGAAAATTCCTTCTGGGAAATTTTGAAAGGGCTACAGGGGTTACTTCTGTGGTGTGTATGTTAGGATCAGATTCTCCAGAGATTTCAAATAATTAATACTACTAATACTGCTGTGATATCATATAAAAAGAGCACACCTACAACAAACATTCCTAACTCCAGTAATTGCTTTTTTTAAATTATTTTATTTTTTACTTGCTCCATTGATTTGAATCCAATTTTTTTCCGAAGTTTTTTGCAACTTACACTGCAAAAAAATCATATAACATAGAGAAAAGTGATAGCCCAACGATTCCAATCAAACAGCACATTTTGATTTATAATTTATCCTACAACTTTTTGAGCTTTGTCCAGAAGAGGAATAAGAAAAAATCCACATGATAACAATATTGCTCCGTGGCCCTAATGAAGTAAGTGAAGAGGAAAAGTGAGAATAAGACCATTTCTTTATTGAAAACACGTTTTTTTTTTTTTGTTTTTTTTTTGTTTGTTTGTTTCTGTGCACACATGCAGCTCACTCACAGGGAAATTTCTTAAAATTTTCAGGACCTTTGTGCACTTCTGAAAGGGGTTTAATGACACATTTTTGTATCACTCATTGTGTGGCTTCTATAAAGGTTAAGAGTTTCTGTGATATTGCTCAATAAGGTGTCTTGTATATTCAAAGGATGAGAGAGAACATGACTGAACTAAATCCTCTGTGCAGAGATAGTAAAATATGTGACTCCTGAAGTGGAAGGAGGAAAAACATTAGTGACCGACCAGACCGGGATAAGCACGAGTTAAAGAACGTGCAGCAGTGACTGACGCGCATAGAAGTTTGTTCCAGGTAATTTCAGTGGAAGGCCCTGCCCTTCTTGTGCTGCTGAAAAGAAAACATTAGCCAGCCCTTCATTTGTGATGTGTTATATAATGTTTGATAGTTTGAATTGAAGGTAGATCATTGAACTTCCTCTGATCATCAGTCTCTTTCTCTCTGTCAGCTCTGTTCATCTGCATTGAAGGATGGTCTCTCAGATTCCTCAGCACGGAGACCTCTGTGTGCTCTCTAACACATTCATCTTCAAATTATCTCTGAGTTCACACATTCTGTAGGACTCTCTCTTTCTCTGTACACCTGTTCTGATCTTAGCCTTCATCTTTGTACAGCTGTAAGCGCCTTAATTCAGATCATACCTGCAAACTGATACCTGGAAATCCAGCTGGACCAGAGGGATTGTAGTTTGGTGAAACTTTCCCGAAACTCTGTTTAACATCACATTACTTAGTATGGCATCAGCAGGAATGAACATGTTGTTTCTTTCTGTAACCGCAGACTCTCTGAACTATGTGAAGGCCTCCTCTGAGTCTGAGTCTGAAGCTCTACAGGACTAAAACCGTTCCAGAAACATTCATAGATGACACGGCAGAAGGCGAGCGAAGCCGATCAGCACAGATCAGTGTCTATTGTAGGAGGGATCAATCACGGCGTATCAATAGAATCTATAGACTGCTATTGTGCGCTGTGTCCAGAGTATGACCCTGGACCCGGCCACCCTGAGAAATGGAGGTTAGAGGTCATACTCACAGACAGAGAGAGAGGGAGACATGCATGGCTACATAGTTCTGTCTCCATCTCTCCTCAAACCATCAACCCCTTTATGTAAATCCATGAATCTGAAAGTAGATCTGTGTCCATAGATTCGATTTTAAGTCTGAGAAGTGAGTTATTTACCAATCAGCAGGCTTGGTGTGTGCAGGTGAAACAATTTATATGGGGAGCAAAAGCAGGATGTTCACAATCCACATTTATTAACAGCTTTCAAATTCATGTTCTTCTTCTTTCAAAGACAGACCTGACAAAGCTGTGACCTTCTACTAATCTGCATCATGATGTTATTTTAGCAAACCGTAGACACATAAACTGTAAGAATTAACAAGAAAATCAGTTTCTGTTCCAGCTGCATACCACTGAAGAAGCCTCTGAGTAACTTACATCTAACTGTGAAACTGAGACGCAACACAAACTGATGAACAGTAGATCAGTTTGAAGCCTTTGTAACTTTGTAACTTATTATTTACAGCAAAACTGAGGGCTGTAATGAATTCATGAACATTAAGCCAGAGTTAAGCCTCTTGAGACCATCTAAAAACGGATAAATTGGGTTTACTCCAAGGATACATGAGGTGTTAAACTTTCAGCTGCAGATGAGGAGACAACACAGAAAATCAGGTTTTGTTAATGAGTCAATGAAAACTAGAATTCCTTGACATTTGGCATCAGTTTCTAGAAGTAGATATTGCAAAGCTCTGGCAGAAGATGATAGAAGACGACTGCTAACAGGCATGAAAGGTTTTAGGAAGGAAATCAGCTCCTGTTTGAGATTAGTCTCACATTAGGATCTGTATCTTTTTGATACAGTGAACAATCATTTTTGTGAAATACACATTAGACTCTGCAAACACACTAGACTCTTCATTAAACTGAAATTCACAGATCCCGCTGTGTGAATGCTCCTGGCTGAAGTGATGGTGGCCCTCAAGGACAAAAAGCTCCTATGATACAGGGTAGGCCAGATTCTCGATTTGTCAAGTTTTTACTACTTAAAAAACATCCCTCAGTTCCAATTCTTTGACACACAACAAAACTTTCCATTTTTCCTTCCTACAGTACAGGTGCATTTCACAGGGCTGATCTGTAGAGCTACATTGGCTCTATCACCGGAAGTGTATTACTTTTCACATTAAAATCAAATGATTGATAAAATTGTGTCATCTCTGTGTCAAATGTAGCAACATTTTACATTGTGGGACAGCGCTACTTGATACAAACGAGAAAACACATGAAGTATAGCCAGCTTATAAGAATTTCTAACAAAATCTTATAAGAAATCTGAAGCATAAGCAAGATTTCTGAAAATAGTTATTTTCTAATAGAACTTAAATGCAAGAAAACTGTGGCAGTAAGTGAAAAACAGCATTGTTTTCGTAAAATCAAATAATTAAATTAAATATCATATTGAATTTCTCTCCAAACAGGCCCTACTTTTGCATGGATTCCTCATCAATGTTGAAGTAAGGGCACCGAAAAGCATATTTTAGAAAGAAAAGAAAATGCCCCGGAGCTTTTTAAATAGAATTATTGGAGAAAATCTCATTTTTTCAAAAAAAATGTTAAAAGCATACAAGGTATTTAAGAGTAATTCTTGTTTTATGAGCTCTACTAACATTGAAAATTTAGCTGAATCACCACCTTGACCTGTAATGTAACTTTTGTTTGGATTTTTTTTCATGTTTTTAAAATGCTAGCTTTAATAAAGCTTGTGGACGTTATCGTTGACTATGAAAAGTGTGCTTTTATTTTGTAGTTACAGACCGGATGTGGTATTGTGCTTTCTGTTTCATTGACGTTGAGTATATTAAATACAGCAGCGCTACAATCACAGCGCCACTATCTTCTCCTCTGGCCGTAGTACTGACAGCCCGTACGGAGCGGGATGTGAAACAAAAGAAAGAGACTCAAAAGTGGCCAGAGAAGAAACAAGGTAACTGAGAAATAGAGGGCTCACTGAAACTATCATTCACATATATTTATACAGATAAAACAAATCTGGCTGCGGTTCTTTCGCCCAGCATGTTGAGCAGCTAATGAGAGTCCATTGTGAGCAGATTCAGAGCTCCTTCAGCTGAAACAGACTCTCACTGTTTCAGAGAGTGCTGAGGTAAATGGAAGCGCAGCTGCTGTGCTGTGAGGGGGACAGGCCTGCCATCCGGAGGGCCTGCCAGGACTCCAACCTGTTGACTGACCGGGTCCTGCAGGCTCTGCTGCGGGCTGAAGACAAGTACCTCCCCGCTCCAAACTACTTCAAATGCGTCCAGAAAGAGATCTCTCCGTACATGAGGAGGATAGTGGCCACCTGGATGCTGGAGGTGAGTTTATACACGGATGTAACCTCACTGTTACAAAGTTTATCTCTCTGTCTGGAAAGTTGTATTTTCACTTTTTGGAGAGATTGAAAACAGTTTATTGATTCGGCATGCAAACTTGAACGACATTCATATTCAGACCCAAATTTAAGACATACTCACACTGCTCTCTAGCACCGCTCCTGTGTTAGTGGGTGGTAAAAGAGACTAGCAGGAGATATTATGTTATAAATGAGTAAAGTATGTATGCCGATTGAAATATTAATGCCTATTAAGTGAGAACAGCCGAAAAAAGTTTTATACTATTGCAGTCTACCGGAAAAATAAGCGGCTTTTAAAAAATATAGTGACTTTTTCAATGGGGTCTGGAAGTATGTTAGGCAACGTCACAAGAATTGCTATCAAATAAACGAACTGGGTAAACAGGAGCATGCAACAGGTTTATAAATGTCTCTTTGTAACTTCTTGAAGACGATAAGAATGAATAAGAAACTGAAGCTGCCATGTTTAAAATGTATATTTTCATCGGTTTATTCAGCTTAACAAATTTTAATTGTTTCAACAAAAGCGAATCGTCGCCGTATTCAGTGAAAAAACTGGTCCTGTCTGCTCACATGCTGGGTTACCTCTACAGTGAGTAGTAACATTAGAAACCCATAGAGGCTGTGCAGTTCAACTTTTCATGAGTTTTTTGTGTCAAAGTTAGGATCCCCAGACCACGCGTTGTCTTTGTGTTGGAGGGTCGTGAGGAGCTAAAGAGGTTCTCAGGTTTTACTGAGGCTCCATATCCTCTGCAATTAACATTATTCTCCTTTACAGCCTGTTATAGTCACGGAGACACCAGCTCTATACAGCAGGGTTGTTACTGTCTGTTTCAATGAGGGATTACTGACATGTAATGACACATCCATACAACTTATTTATGAGGAACACTTTTTATCCTACTGTCCTCACTCAACATTTGCGTTAAAGGACTTTTAACAGTCAAGAAAGGCAGACATCCTGTAGATTAGACCTGATCATTCAAAAAGGACTTTTGTGATTTTCCGTCATTAGCAAGAAACTTAACTTATTCTCACTTTAACAGAGGTTCAACTAGCTTCCTTTTGATATTTTAACCAAGGTTATTAGTTTGTTATGTCATGGCCCACTTATGAAATTGTTGCAGAGTAATCCAGTCATTTTTTTGTTTTGTCAAGGCTTAAATAACCAATGTCTTAAATGTTTCTCTCAATTATTATTTCTGACCAGGGATTAATCTGTCAGTTAGATACAATAAGATACAAACAGGGAATGTCTGAAAGTGGAGTATCAAGTGGTCACATTAGAAAAAGGAGTCTCTAAAGCAGAGTTAAAACCCCTCCTTTCCCTTTATTGAACACACGGTTTAGTTTTTGGATGGAATATCAAATTGGTGGTACTGAAAGAAGCTCTGCCCCAAAAACTACCATACCCCATGTGTTTTCAGTGTCTTTTGGACTGTTTTCACTCTCTAGTTAAAGATATTTTCAGAGTTTTGTCACAGGGCCACTCATGCATTTGCATTCTGTCACAAATTGAGCTCATTTTACCACCGCTGATAGTAATCGGTTCACAGATGTTGAAAACTGTCCAGATCAACTCTGATCCAACAGTTCAGACTTCTGCCTCGAACAACCTTCCAGGTGCTACTTTTCTCCAACCAAAATAAAAACATACGCCCACACAACAGTAACTTTATCAATGAATACTGTAAGGATTGTGGGAAAGTTAGACATGTATTCTGCGGCTTACAAGGCACATGAGATTTGACACACAAACACAACACCTGCTATCCCATATTAACAACTCAGTCATGTGTGATAGTGTTAAACACAAACAGAAATAAAGAACTTAGAGAGTAAAGAAATAAGGTTTGAACATGTGCAAATATTAAACTCTCCCTGTATAAAAGATCCATTCTTGAAATGAGACTTTATTTTCGGCACAAAAGTGTGTTTATAATGAAAAACAGCCTCCAGCTGTGTGTGTCTGATGCAGACTTTTGGATATCAGTTACAAGTCAGTCATAGCTTCATAATAATTGACCATTTCATGATCCCTAACTGGGTACTTAGGACATGTCTTACTACACTCTGAGCCATAAAAATACATTAAATTCTCAATAAAGTAGGAAGTGTCAATACAAAAACCAGTACCTGTACTACAACTATTTTGATTTTTGTCTGTGATCAAATTAGTGTTCAATTTTGTAAAAAGATCACAAAATGAATTCATGGATTAACAGATTCAACAGTAGGTCCCAACATTGATTAATAAACAGTTAAGAATAAAGCTGTTGTTGTCTGGGTTACCTGTGCAGGTGTGCGAGGAGCAGAAGTGTGAGGAAGAGGTCTTTCCCCTGTCCATGAACTACCTGGACCGCTTCCTGTCAGTGGAGTGTACAAAGAAGAGTTGCCTGCAGTTACTGGGAGCTGCCTGCATGTTTCTGGCGTCCAAACTAAGAGAGACGATCCCCCTGACGGCAGAGAAACTCTGCATCTACACCGACAACTCCATCACTCCCTCACAGCTGCTGGTAGGTGGACAGAGCGCTGATGAAAGTCTCTGTTTTTTACATGTAAGGGTCACATTAAGGACAAAAAAGTTAGAGATAGAGAGGACTAAGCTGAAATGTCATGCACGACTATGAGGTGGATTTATTTATGCAACATTACGGTTTCAGATGATTCTCTGTATTATAGCTGAGGATCTAAACTGCTGATTTACAGCTGAAACTCTTAATATTACCTGGTGAGCTGATAATCAGCCAGCTCTGTGACACTATGAACTCTGCTCAGCTGTTCTTCGGATGTGACTAGAGTGACCCTTCCTGCAGCAAAGAGCGCAATGATTGGATATTCACTCAATGGGAAGAGTTTTCTCACCTTAGCAGACAGACTAATAGGCTTATATGAGGAAACCTGTTCAGTGTAATTTAGAGACACATGCATCAACATTTTCTTTAAATCTCAAAGGGCTCAGATGTTACATAGAGTCTGCTAAATTCTTATTTGTTCAGTTATTTCTGAACCTAAACGACATGTACAGTTTGCTGGTTTGAGACACACTGAGCAGGATGATACGATGTGATCTGAGGTCACATCAAAAGAATTAAACAGAACATGTTTGCTCTGCTGTAAAAGACATAAACCTCCTGGAAACACATCCAATCTTCGTAAAAAAATGATTTCTTTAAATTTGAGCTTCATCTTGAGTTCCTCCATGATCTCTCAGACCTCGTAAACTCTCACTTCTAAACCTCTTCAAAGCAAAGCCAGCAGTGTGAGTTTCGGGAAATGCACGTCCATCACACCCTGACCCGTCAGAAACTTAAACCTCCAACTTTAGCAGAAATCAGCAGAGTAAGTGTTGGAGTTTAAAGCAGGCGGTGATGATTCTTACCTGTCAGGCTGGAGCAGGCGCAGTGACAGCCGGAGTTTAGCGCTGACTGAGTGATGTTGAAGTGGATGGCACACAAACAGAACCAAGTCAGAGAGAAAAATCATGCAAGGAGACTATTTATAAAAAACTAAAATCACTGAAATTCAAAAACACTTATTAGACTATGGATGCTTTATCAAACAGCCTAATATCATATTCAGAATTATTACATCCCACGTTTCCATCTTTTTCAAGTCTTGTGCCGGTGTTGTCTCAGATGAAACTCACACCCATCTCCGAGTCTGAGGTCAAACCATGTGACTGTTTCGCCTTAAAGTGTCTGGTACACCATTGTGTCATACGGCAAAGAAAACAAACCAACAGGAGAAAGATCCTTTCTTAAAGTAGAGACAGACTCTTCTAAAAGCCAGCAGACCACACTGACACAGGTGGTGGTTTTACCTCAAAGAAAGGGGGAGTTATTAGTCTGTCACTGCCCTCCTGAGTTTGTCTGAGCAGAGGCTGAAACCAGACTGAAAAAAACAAACTATAAAAAAACCACTCATCATTCCAAACTAAGCGGTATGTTTTGGCAGAGGGACACAAGCAGTTTACAGACATGACTGCTTTTATCAGATGAGTGGAGGAGAACGATAAAATAGTGGATTCTTGTGGGGCACAGCTATCCAAAAAGTTTGAGGAAACTTCAGTCTTCAGAGCTGAGTCTTAGATGATTTTCCAGACCGTTCTGAATTTAAGGTCCCTGGATGATGCCTGAATCCTTTCCTCATTGATCAACACTGTAGGTCACTCCCTGACTGAAAACAGTGGCTGAATTGCCCCACAGTTCACTCTTGGGGAGTGTTGTAATGGTCTTCAAGTCCTACTGATCAGTGCTTCCTCAGTGAAACCCTAAATCCAAAAACCCAACTTACACCTGGTCATCTGTCCTCTCTCACAGCAGATGGAGATGATGGTTTTGAACAAGCTGAAGTGGGACCTGGCGTCTGTAACCCCTCTGGACTTCATCGACCACTTCCTGTCCCAGCTGGCAGTCAGAACGGAGAACAAACCGATTCTCAGGAAACACATACAAACATTTGTGGCTCTCTGCGCTACAGGTAAAGACCAGTTTAAGTCTTTGTGTTGTATCCATCAACTTAACTCTCAAACTGGTCTGAATGGCACCTCAGAGGAGTTTGACCGATAAGCTCAGGTTTTAAAGGGATATTTCAGTATTTTTAAAGTAGTGTTATACGAGTTATATACAGCCTCTCTTATTAAAAACTGCAGAGAGAATGTGCACACATGCTAGGGTACAGTTTTCTGTAGACAGACAACGCTGACCCAAACTCTCATCCAAGCCCAGGGAATTTTTTAGCACTTTACTCCACCAACCGGAAGTCCATTTGTTTGTTTAGACACAACACATACAGGTGCTCCTTTTCCGGCAGCAGGAGCAGCTAATCCGGTAGATGATGTACGAGTTGGTGATAAATTCAGATGTTTCAAAATTTTTGCATCTGTTTTCCTTAATGATAATCACCAGATGCCTCGCATCATTCTTTGGAGACAGTCATGTGTGTAGTTTGTTATCCCAGAATCAGCAGTGTATTTTGGTCAGGTAAACAGATCTGAGAGCTGAACTCGGACTCTGAAGATTCTCTAATGTATAGCTTTTCTGGTCTTGAACTAAGTGGATAAAAGCCAGCGTTCAGTCTCCAGTACAGCAGTGGACTCTGGTGTGAACTGCTGCTGTATTTGGATTCCCAAAGATTCAGGGGTTTTGCTGGAACACAGTCTCACTCTGCTGACCGATATTTTGATTCTGAGGTTCTTCTCAGTTTATCTGTTTTCATCATAAATTATCCATAAAGATCCCTCTGACCGTGCCGTGTGTTTCCATCATGTGCAGACGTGAAATTCATCGCCAGTCCTCCATCCATGGTGGCAGCCGGCAGCATGGTGGCGGCGGTGGAGGGTTTACAGATGAGGATGGTGGGGGGTGCCTCCATCTGTGAGAAGCTGACTGAGCGGCTGGCTCAGACCATCAGGAGCGACCCGGTGAGTCCACCTGCTGGTCACATGATCTCTGAGACACACCTGAGCTGTCAGAGCATCACACTGACCTGAACTCTCTCTCTCTCTCTCCTCAGGACTGCCTCAGAGCATGTCAGGAGCAGATCGAGTCTTTGCTGGAGACCAGCCTCAGGCAGACCCAGCAACAACAGCACGCTGTTGTCATAGAGACCAAGAGCAGCAGCGAGGGGCAGGACCTCTCAGCTACACCAACAGACGTCAGAGACATCAACATCTGAGGATGGATATGAAGGATATAAAGACACACGAGTGTGTGTGTTCACACTCTGCAGAGGGCGAAGTGAGTGTATGAACTGTTATAACACCACGTCTGACATGAGGGACCAGGAGAGAAGCTGATTGGACAGAAACATGTCCAGGACTAACAGCAGACTGATATTCAGTGTGAAGTGGAGAGCAGCTCAAAGAGAAAAGAACAAATTTACACCTCAGAGGAGGAGGTGGTAGCACCAGCAGAGGTGTTGACCCTCCTTCCACCACTGAACCTCTGAAACCCTCTGAAGCTGATACAAAGACGACTCTCACACTGATGTGTTTGATATTTAAAACCCAGACTTCTGTTATTTTAATGCTGAGAGTTTCTGGAAACACAGCTGATCTTGTTTACTGTTTGAAAAATTCAAGGGGTTTGTTTCAGTGTTAAACACACATATGAACTTTTCAATAAATCTATTTCTAATAAATATTGAAGATAGCATGTCTGATATTTGAGTATGTTTAAACAGACACTGGATATTTATATCAGGACTGCTCCTTTAAAGAAAAACTCATAACTGATGCTGATATCACAGTTATTAAAAACAATCTGCATCACACCCACCACACAACTTTCAACCTCTTTAAAACTTAAAAACATTTCATTCTTAAAAAAAAAAAAAACAGAAGGTACCTTTCTTGTTTTTGCCTAACTGTGTAATATGGCCGAAGTCATGTGTTCTAGTACTGAAAAGGTCTGTGCATCAGTTCTGCACTTTAAGAACTTTGATTTAATATAGGTGATAATACTCACTGAATTACACAGTCAGACTGTAACTCCATCAGAAAGAGACAAAAACACTGAAGTTGACACTGTGCAGACACGGGTTTGTGAACTTAAAGTAACAAGAGACTTTAAAGTAAAACCACATCAGATTGGACAGTCTCTGGGTACTGTGGAGGTTATTTCAGATTTTTAGAGAGACACATTATCTTTGAATGTTTGATAACTAAAGAAAAGTCAAACTGAATCTCTGGTCAAGACTTCTGAGTTCAAAAAGCAAACTAATTACACCATGTAGTGCACTGTTTTCACCACCAGAGGGAGTCATTCACAGGGATACCGCAACCATTTGTCAGTCCAGATAATCAGATGAGATAACAGACTGTTAACTTTGTACTTAATGTTAACTATGTACTTTGCTCCATTTTTGCAGAAATAGAGCAAAGTACAAGAGAAGGACAGAGAGGGGTTGAAAATGGTCCTCCTCCTCTAACTAATGTCCTTTATTGGTACCTGATACGAGGCTATCAGCTTTAACAACTGTCTAATAATATTTACTCCTCTGTCTGTAACATCTTTATAAAGTTACCACTATGTTAACTTTCAGCCTCTCAAATGTCTCAGCAGAGCGTGAATTCTGCTTTTTCTACCACTAGGTGGCACTTTAAGTGTTTGGTCATGACAACCACAAGTCTGAGTTACACTGACGGGAATCTGAGGACATGGAGAGAGAAAAGTTAGTGTTGCATGATCCCTGCACAGTTTTGAAGTCATGAAATACAGACTGTCTGTTATTGGAAATAAGCATAAAGTCACAGGACGTAAAAGAGTAACACAAACCAAGTCTATAAATATAATGATTACATATAGATGACCGTCATGATTAAACTCATACCGATCCCAGCAGAAGGAACAGGATGAACTGTTCTGGGTCAAGACGACTCAGAATGGAGAGAATTCAGTCTGAACACATGCCGACTTTGATCCCGCAGAGAAAAATCAATAAAAATGGATGATTGTTTTACTTTCAAGATAAAGAAAGAGTTTAATCTGTCATTTGAGAAAGACTGGAAACACTGTGAAACAGAGACAAGGTGCACAGTACTTATACGTGGGTGAAATAACAGAAGTCATGAACTAGGTATCTGGGTCAAAAGTCACCCAGTAAAAAACACCTAACATGGTGTTTTCATGTTGTCCATGTCAAATACTCTGTAAAATTCAAATTCAGCTTTATTTATGTGGCATTAATGCATTTCAAAGTGTCTCAAAGGGGCTAAAAAGCAACAGTGAAACAGAGAGGAGGTGTGCTCTCTCTGCCTCAGGTTTTAGTGGTCCGCATGAGCATGAAGAATGGTAGGAAGCCCTCAGAGACATGCCATCAAATGTTACTGATGCATGAAGTTCCTCATTCTTTTGATAGAAGTGGTTCTGACTGAACTTCAGTTTTGGGAAATATTAACCAACTTGCACATGGTACTTGTTGTCTCACACACAGCCTGTATCTAAAATGACGTCACTGCTGACAGACAGAAGCAGCAGTTCTTCACGTTTGTTGTGTGTTTCTTAATGTTCCTGCAGCTGTGGCTAAAACCACAGAACTTACATCATCTCAGATTTCCTTACTCTCTCTGAGGGATGATCAGTACCTCTGAGAACTCAAACTAGATCCTGTTTCCTCTTTAATACCACACATTCTTACACAACTGTGAATCTTTATTGACAGTTCAAGTAGCACAAAAATGTCACGCAGGCTTGGCTGGAGGATCGGTTTAAAGGAAGGTGTGGATGTGTGTAACAGGTGAAGTGGTTTCATATTTTTAAACACACACACGCAAACTGTTCCCTCCTGCTTTTCTCGAGACTACACACCTTTTAACAGGGGTGTGACGCACACGCAGAGGAGCTTTATAGCAGCGCTGAGCTTACACTCGCTCAGTCTGTGTCACAACAGAGAGAGAAAGAGAGAAGAGAAGTAAGAGAGTGAGTGAGAGAGGGAGCGGGAGGAAAAGAGGGGCAAACACACACACAGACACTGACAGATAGACAGACGGGTGCTAGATTGGTGTAACATGTCAGAGAAACTGTCAGGGAACATCCTGGTTACTGGGACCAGCAGAGGGATTGGACTGGAGCTGGTCAGACAGCTGGTTCAGCAGGTGGGGTTGGAGACTCACCTGTATGCCTGCTGCAGGAAGCCGGATGAAAGCAATGCTCAGGTGAGACACATTTACACACCTGACAAAGACCTGAGGGCATGTAAGAGAGATTTAGTACCACAGATGAACATTTACTGACCGTCATCTGTTTTTGTGACTTTGTAAAGACTGTGATTTCAAACTGACTTTAATAAGCGCTGAGATTTTACAAGTTTGAAAAAGTTGTTAAAGGACAACAACAACCAGCTTTACTAATAACCACATGAACTTACAGTCATCATCTATTTCTATTGATGTTCTTATTTATGTTTTATCCACATCAGCAGCCCTGAGACTGAAACTTGCTATTATCGTTATCAACAAGAACATCGTTCTCAATATTTAGTTAATTTTATTAAAAAAAAAAAAAGTTATCATCATTCCCAGTATATTGTGACAGCCTCACCATGAATGTTTGTCCACAGCAGGCCCCAAAAGTCCCTTTGGCTTCAGGCATAAAAATAAAATAGCTCAGTTTTGTGTTTTTTTTTTTTTACAGTGAGAGTATCATTTATGAGGCGCAGATCAGCAGCATGTGGTTTCCTTTAGTTTGTTTTCGAGCTAATAATTCAATGAAACAAACATGCAATGAAATCTTTGACCTTTAACCTAGAGAATAATTTGTGCTGTTTGACTGGAAACAAGAGTTGGGCAGATTTAGATCGAAACATCTGCTGATAGCAGAGCCAATCTGGTTGTCAGTGTTTGTCCCTAAAGACGGTGAATATGTGGGTGTAGCTCTGGACATCGTCAGAGTCCAAATAGACTGAAAGGGCAGAGAGGTCCCTCAGTGAGCGGGTGGCTCTCCAGCATGTTAGAGTTATTTATTTTACCATCATTACAGCTGATTACACATTTACATAATATTCACAAAGACCTCCTGGAGCCACTTTAATCGAACAGTCTGATCTTATCTCAGTAAGGAGTTTATCTGCATCCTGAACCCAACGGATCAAGACAGGGATCAACTCAGTTTAGCAAAAAGCAGAAAAAACTCATTGCAGAGGGTACAAGAAAAGTTGAACCGATAGTTTGACTGTTTTATTCCAAATCAGTGCAACAGCAGGATTTAAAAGGTGTGGTAAAGTTGCACCACCATCTGTAATTTTGTAATCAAGATGGTTTGATTAAAGTCCACCTGATGATCCCACAAACACAGATTATTTCTGACAAAGGCGCCAGAAGCCTCACTCAGCTCTCTTCCCTCTGTAGTGGGGAAAGAAATGAATTTTTCTCTTTTTCTTACAGTCTAGATTTAATTTATTATTGTTGTAAAGTAATTTAATGTCATCTGCCTAAAAATGTGCAGCATTAACATTATTATAAAATATGACACCTGTTGGAGACCAACAAAATCCCAGAGAGTGACTGAAAACCTTCACTGAGAAATTTTGGAGCGCTGCAGGCAGAGGAGCATGTCTGTGCTGCATCTGCATATTATACAACAATGAATGAGCTCTTTGACAGGTGAGACAGGCCATCACTATGGGAAATTGTTTCTTAACCACAGACCTTAAGGATGCCTACTTCCAGAATCCTATCTGGAAGGGAAACTGGCGCTTCCTGAGGGTCAGCTTCAATGGCAGGATTTCTAAGTTTCAAGTCCTGCCATTTGGCATAGCTCTAGCTCCTTGGACATTCACCAGATGAATAGATGCAGATCTTACATTAATGACATGACAGGAGATCAGGATCCTGAATTATCTGGACGACTGTCTGGTTTGTGCAACTTCAGAGGATCAGTGCCATCTTCATGTGGCTCTACTCTTGAAACACATTCATGGCCCAGGATTGCACCAAAACCACAAAAAGACCAAGCTCCAGCCCTCCCAGGTGACAACATTTATGGGCATGGGTCTGAACTCCAAGAAGGAGACTGCACTCTCCCATCCTATGCAAGCTAGCCACCAGACTGTGGCAATAGGCTCTGTCCCTCTTCTGCTCGCTCAGAGTGGTACAAGTGCCAGGCCTGTCAAACTCAGCGGAGGACACCATGTCAAGGGTGGGCCCATGGGGGCGACTTCAACCTCAGGTGAGGAAATCTGGCATTGCCTGAGCAAGACAAGGGTCGAACTGTTTGCATCCAGAGAGTCAACCTGTTGTCAATTGTTCTCCTTCCTGATGAATGATAACCCTCCTCTGGGTTGGGATACCTTGGGACACACATGGCCCAGGCTTCTGCTGTATGCCTTCCCTCCTTCCGCACTACTTCCGTCCATCCTCTGGAGACTGTAGTTGGAGAGGATCAGGTTGATATTGGTGGCCCCTCTTTGGCCCCATATGCCATGGTTCCCAGCAATCCCACTCCTGGTAGACTAGATGCCATGGGAGCTCCCCCTTCAGAGGGATCTGGCATCCCAGGCAAGTGGGACACTCTTCCATCCTTTTCCAGCAGGGCTCGCGTTGGTGGCTGAGCCTGTCCCAGGTCCCTTTCATCAGGTCTACCAGAGCCTGGAGGGAGAACAATGCAGGAAGCCTGGGCACCAGGGCTGCTCACTCCTACCACTGGGGGGTTCACTGCCTGGTGTGAAGCCCTGCAAGTAGACCCTTACCTGACCACAGCCCAAAATGTCCTGCAGATTTTGCAGTCTTGGCTGGAAGCTTGGAAGTCTGCCATTACACTGCGGGGCATGGCGGGAGCAATCAAGGCAGTTTGCTGGATCAGTTTGTTGGATAAATTAAACACTGCAGTCAGTTTGTGTGTATGACCTGAGTCTAAACATAAGAATATAATTTATCTCAGGTTTGACAACTTTATGTTTTAATTTTATGTCCCATGTCTGAAGATGCTGTGTTGGAATAAACAACTGTTACACTGACTCTTTATCATCTCTGTCTATTTCTCCACCATCTTTCTTTCTTTTTCTTTTTTACTCTTCATCATGTCTTCCTCTGTCTGTCTGTTTTCCCGCAGCCTCTAAGAGACCTCGCTGCCCAGTATCCTGGAAAGATCTCAATAATCAAACTGGGTAAACTCAACCAGCACACACTGTCATGTATACACCATACATGTGTAGAACCGGAACTTCACACCAGCAGGTTTTTATCATTCACTGTCTTATACAACTATCAGCAGACAAAAATGGACCAGAGCCAGAACCCTAACCAGTGCTTTGAGACAGTAATCAGTCTGCAAGTCAGTATTCCCAAGATCAACACTGTTATTTGCTGGGGAATGACGAAGGGTTATTATGTTATTATAAACAAGACAATGATCCTCAGATGTCGGACTCTACAACTGAATATGACCACCAGGGTCAGAGTAAACTGCACCTCTAGTTCAGGAAGGATGACACAGATGCTGAATATAAGAGGCCCATGGTTGGATCCCTGAGGAACTCCCCTCACCATTTCGACTTTCTTACAAGCAGTAGTTGAGTTGAGGGGGGATGAGGGGGCATGGCATCCCCCCTGAAATGAAAATGGTAAAAATCATACCCCTTCTAAAATGGTCATCCCAGCTTTCCATCCCTTTAGCCGTTTTTATATGGAAATATTACTAGTATTTTAACATTGGAAATATTGCCACCATTTCAACATTTAGGGGGTGTGATGGAGCAGCGTCCTTGTCCCTCTGTAGGTCCAGTGTTTAGCAAGTGAAGGTAATCCTTTCAAAGACTTAAAAATGGGACGTTTATTATAAACCTCTTGTCATCAAAGTTTTGGAACTACCCAAAGACCATGAAAGTGTTGCTCTTTTCAGACAATCTACTGTCATGCAGAAAGTTTGTCAAGAAAATACCAGAAAGGAGAGTTTCGGAGGTTGCAGCAATTCATCTTTTCATAACTGATCTGATCAAACTGTATTAACACGACCTCTCATTTTGTCAGACTGAGATCGGATACCACCATTTTACAGGTTTCTCTGATCAGATGACTTTGTAGCATGAGGTTGAGTAACGTACTCATGTGTTCATGCTTGCCTGTATCTGCAGACATGTCAGATGAGGACAGTATCTTGGCAGCTGTTCAGGCCGTTAGCGAGGAGATCGGAGATGGTGGGTTAAACCTTCTCATCAATAATGCCGCGATCAACAGACCTGAGTCACCAGCTCCGCTATCTGCCACAGAGAAGAAACACATGATGGATGTTTACGAGACCAATGTGGTCGGACCATTTCTCCTAGCAAAGGTTGGTTTGTGGAATAACAGAAATATTTGTTTCAGGCCAAGCTTAAGTCTAAAGGGAGAGAAGGACAAGACAGCAAACCAGTTCAATCAATACTCGCTTTGAAGCTGTTAAACATTACATGTATATCTTTGTTACAAGCATACCTTGACACTCACTCATGACATAACTCTGTTCAACGTTGACCTTTACACCAACACAGAACATACCCATGGTTTCCTAACAATGTTCTGACTGGTTCCTTATACTGTTCCACCCTTTTGATTTTTTAGAAAAATTTAAAAGAAGAAATAAAATCACTGAAATAAAACAGATTATTAAAACAAAATGTTACACTATAGATGATCCTGCAACATCTTGTATTGCCTGAAATTCAAGGGGCAAACCTACTGGTACTCCAAAACCATCCAGTTCAACTCCTCTCTTAGTTTTATGATTGCCATCTTGGGAGATAACTGTGGCCCCCTTGGCAAGCGTATCCATTGCACATTCCTTATCTTCCCCCAGTTTAATCCTCAGTGTTGCTCTTTGGCCACATGCAAAGAAAGGCATCTGGTGTTCAGTCTTAAATGTCGATGATTTCTCCCAGCCATCTACCTCTGCCTGATGCTTTGTTAGCCCCCACCCACTGAACACACTTACTGTGAATGCCAGGAGGTGAGACTGCATTTACAGAACCCATTCTGATAGAGGCAGAGTTCATGTTTATGATTGGCAAAAATATGCAGTCCATCAAGCAAACTTTCCTAGGGACCCTGGGGTAGAACTTGTCGATGTGTAATAAAAGGGTGCCCATTTCAGTAAGATGTATTTTTGTACTATATCTGATCTCTGAAACATAATATAGCTCTCACAAAATTCATGTTTATCTACAGTGACATACTCTTGTTGTGGTACTATCCAGATCTAACCCATTGTAGCTTCTTCAACAGAGCTTGGCATTAACCAGAAAATGAGCCAGGCAGGCTGTGATTCAGTCACTCGAGACTCCGAGAGTGAAGTCTCAGGCCATGCTGTCGACAGAATTGAGGAGTTGCATGCTAGCAGGGAGTTGAGTTTGTTGTTTAGCCCATGACGTTGCTCTGGATCCCACCCATTTCTGTTATTCCAGTTTGTTAAGATTCTGTCTGAGTAGATGAAGCGTGCACATTCACAAATGCAGGGTTCAAGACTGAATCAGCTGGTGATGATAAGAAGTGGTGGGAGGAGAACTGTTCCATAACCTCCCACCAAAAACTGCAAAAATGAAATACCACAAGCTAACAATGGAAATATTGAATTTTGGGTCTCATATTTACTGCGGCTAAACCGGTATCTCTCACCTCTCTGTCTTTAGATGTTCCTCCCACTCCTCCAGAGGGCAGCAGAGAAACACTCACCTGAAAATGACAACGGTAATATCTCAACTAGAAAATTCCCTCTTGGAAATTTTGAAAGCGCCATGGGGGTGACTGCCGGGGTGTGTACATGATGATGAGATTCTTTAGAGATTTCAAATAATTAATACTATTAATACCACTGTAATATTATATACAAGGAGCACACCTACATCAAACATTCCTATTTCCAAGTATTCATACAAAAAAAAAAAGCAGAAGACATTTGAAAAAAACTAATATTGCTCTCTTTTTTTGGCTTGTCCTATTAACTTCAGTGAATTTTATTTTTTTTTTTACAGTTTTTTAATATTCATATACTATTGGTAACAGTAATGGCAAACTGATCACAATCAAACCACATGTTTTGATATATAATTTGTCCCTCAACTCCTCAGGCTGTAGGTTTAACAATGAATCTAAATTTGTCCTAATGAGGGAGCAGTCCCTGATTAGTAAATTGGTCTCAGCTGTGGGCCTGTCTGAGGCTTTACAGGTTGCCTTGGCAACTTTAGCTGGTTGCCCGTGATGAAAGACGCTCCGCAGACTAAGGCCTTGGCGCTGATCTTGCATCTGGGCTCATTCTTTAAAAAAATGGTTGCTTCTATCAGAGAATAAAGCAGACCATGGTCATTGTTGGGACTTCCTGAACGCTTTGATATGATTTTGGTGTTTCTACAGTAAATACTTGCAAGTTATAAACAGGACTCCCTTCTGCCTCTGTCAAAAATTATTTGTATTAGTGTCAATGGGAAGCAGAGAGAGACATTGCCACACTCAGTATTTAAATTCCGTAAGTATCTCTGCTTAGACAAACACATCGTTAGAGACAGAACAAGTGTGTCTACAACTGTGGAAAAAACCTGCATGTAGAGTGTAATTTGTGGCCTGGAGAAGTGTGGAAAGAGAAAAGTTTCAAACAATTTCATGCAACTTCTCTCACTCTAGCCAATGATGTCACCCACTCTGGTAATAGCACACCAATCCCAATCAAACTGCACGTGTTAATATGTTCTTTGTCCTACAACTCTTTAAGCTGTAAGACTTGTAGTGGACCTAAATTTGTCCAGAAGAAGAACAAGAAAAAAATCCACAGTATAACAATAGTGCCTCAGGGCTGCATCCTGTTTGCCCTGTGGCCCTAATTAACTCTAAATATCTACCCTGAATCATGTGAACTTGAGTTTTTTTCCCTTTAAGCTCTTAATAAAAGTTGCACCACATACTGACCAGGTAAAGCAGGACTACTAAATTCTGACTCTCGTGATCTCTCACATTACAACTGCTTTCTGCAAATAATTACTTAAAAAAAACAAAAAAACAAAAAACAAAACAAAAACAGGCTCATTCTGTAACAGCTCATATTCAGCGGTAATCACAGCCTTTTTCACTAAATGAGACTAAAGGAGACTCTTGTCCAGTCTGCATCAGTCCCTCATAGATGCTGATTTTATCCAGCTTTCTCTCTCTCTGAAAGTCTTCTGTTCTTCTCTTTATCTCCAGCCACTTGCCCTCCCCCATCATCCCCCCATCCTCCCTTTATTTACATTCCTGATGAATCAGTCTAAAGCATTTTGTACAGAGGAGGCAGGATGGGCTGTAACTGCTCTTATCGTCTCAGCTGCTCTCACTCTAAGGGCTTCTTTCTGCAGTTCCCATATCATTTTAACTTTTCTAACTTTAATTATAAGGCAGAGGATAAGAACCATGTAAAAGGGGGAAAAAAATCATAAATATATGGACTCATAACCTCACATGCATCAAAGTGTAATTTAACTAGAACAAAGTTGTGAGAGAAAAATGTCAGATTAACAAAAAAAAGGTGATGAATACAGAAAAATGTCTACATTTATTGAACAGTCATAAATGAATAAGAATAAGGGTGCAATCTAGTGAATTTGGAGAGAAAAAGTCAAATCTATAAGATTAATCATCAGTTTACAAGAATAAAGTTGTATTTTTAATGACCAAGTCGTAAAGGTAAAACTCTTAATAAAACTTTTAGGTTTAAATTTTGGATTTGAGTTCTTTTATGATTTAAGTTATAAATAAATGAAAATAAACCTACAGTTGTACATTGGATACAATTTTAGAGAACAGAAAGTTGTCAGAGAAAAAAGTCACAGATGAAGAAGAATAAAGTCTTAATTTTACAACATTTCAGGCATTTATCCATAAAATTCGAGGAGTTTGTTTACAAGAATAAAGTCCAGCACTATCAGGTAAAAACAGGTTTTGTCATCAGATCAAATCTGTATTTTGATCAGATAAAAGTAAATTTGGAGATTAAAGATGTGAACTAACAAGAACATGAGCTATATTTAGAGGTCATGCAGCAGACCTTACAGTGCAAATCTCCCTGACTGACTGTGTCTGTCTGCGTGTCTGTCAGGTGATCAAATGTCCTGCAGGAGGTCGGCCATCATCAATGTCTCCACACTCATCTCCTCCATAGAGAAATGTCCGGAGACCTTCTCCATGGCTCAGATGTACCCCTACAGGACCAGCAAGGTACTGCCGGCTCACTCCTTTAAAAATTATTCAGACCATAATTCACAGAAAAATAATTAGAATTGAGTTTTTTAATGTCAGTGGATCAAAGCTTGTTCTCTATGACCTGAAATCAGAATGATATTCACATCAAAAAACCCAAATGTGATACCAAAAAAAAAAAAAAAAAAGAAAAGAAAAAAGATTATACTGAGATATTCAGGTCGGTGTAAAAATGAGCGACACCTGAGGAGCTGAGTGTCTGTGAGGGCAGAGCATCAGTAAATACTGAGTTCAACAAGTTTTCACTTCATGCAGATGTTTTAGCATTTTACACCATGTTTGAACTTCCTCACATGTTTGAGGAATTAGAGCACACTTCTCCTGATAAAATCAATCAGCTGTTGCAGATCAGCTGAGAACACTGACAGCATTTAAAAAATTGTGTAAACTGCCAAAAATACAAGGAAAATAATAGAATGAAATATGTTACTCTGACATAAATGAAATAGGAAAAACAGAACATTAAATCAGTAAAGCACTGGCGACTTCATCCTAATGTAACTTGGTTCAAAGAGGGTCTGAATCCAATGAAGTGTCTACAGTTTAATCTCTCCTTTAGCTGAATAACTTCACTTATCAGTCTAAATGCAGTCAAGCGTCTCTGAGCATTGAGACTCAACATAAGTGTGTCAAGTCTTTGATGTCTCTGCCGTACAGGTGTGTTCTCCTCTCTGGTGTGTGCGGTCACACTGTGCTGCTCTGGTAACTCCCTGATCCTCCTGTTTGCTCTGTTGCACCTGTCAGGGCAGATCAACTTCCACATCCAACATTGTTATCTGCACATAGAGTTCAGAGCATCACCTCCACCTGACAATCAATCACTGCTGCTGAGTTCAGGGACCTCTAAACTCGTAGGAGTCTGTAATCCCACCTAATCTGTTCATATTTTCAGAACAGGTTGGACATGATTGCTGACTTCATACTAAAGAGTGAGTTTGATAGTATGTACCTGTCAGAGCCGTAGAAGTAACACACTTGGATGAAACTCAACAGCATATCGCCACACTATTAAAATAATGGCATAAGTCATTTTTTGACGGAAATGAGTTTTTGACCTAAATCATCTCTTGATAATGCTGACCATCACTGGTAAAATCGCCTAAATCCTTAGTTGAAAGGATCATGGCATGGCAATTTAAAATGAACATATTTTTACCAAACAGTCAAGTTGTCGGGTTCCTTGGTTTGATAGATTGTCTCAAATGGAGGCTTTAAATGATTTTCAAACCATCAGATTCTTTTTAAATCGACCTTTCTCACCTTTCTTTAGTTAGGTTGTATATCTTTTAAGCTATGGTGGTATTTCCTTATTCGTTCTTGTGTTTCACCAGACTGCTCTGAACATGCTGACTCGCTGTCAAGCTGAGGACTTTAAGACACACAAAATCTTGGTGGCAGCGATCCACCCCGGCTGGGTCCGCACTGATATGGGAGGAGAACAGGTGAGGAGTTACGTACACAAAGATTGAGGTCATTCTTTGAATTTTGCAGGTTTGACTGACTGGAAAAAAATGAAGAGGAGGATAAATCGACAAGTCTGTGATGGAAACATCCAGCCCTGGCTGGGGTTGGATGTTAGGTTTTAGTTTTTGAGCAGCAGTAGGGTGAAGTTGTGTGCATATGTTGTCTTCCTTTACCTGTCCTGCAGACACCTAAACCTCTGATGCTCTGTAGAGGAACACGAATAAAGCTCCCGTGGAGTCCTGTACACCTTCTGAGTTTATAATGTGTGTGTTGGGCTCACTCCTCAGACTGACACAAACCTTGTCTTTGTTACTTCACTTCAGAAAATCAGGATTGCACTCACCGTTATAAAGATAGTTTTTCTAGGTTTATAGATTTGTTTTAATGAAAATAAAAGGCACTTATCTTTCAAAGCTTTTCTTTAACACTTAATTCAAATCCTATTTGGGTTTTTGTGAAACTCCAGGTGTCACTGTTCACTGTGGTTGTTTTTTTCTCCTTTATTTTTGCTGACTCTTTTACTTCTTATGTCTCTCTCTCCTCTAGGCTCCGGTAACCACCCAGGACAGTGTTCTCGGGATGCTCCAGCTGATGTCCTTACTCTCTGATAAAGACTGTGGGAAGCTGCTGGACCGGCAGGGTAACCCCATCCCCTGGTAGCAGACAGCAGGATGACCACAAACTGAGAATTTCACCACAAAAACAGAAATAGAGATTTTATTGAGCACAGACAGCAGAGGAGTCACAATCAAAGTTTCTCTCGGCTGTAAATTTTCTCTTGTCACACTCTGCAGAGAATCTTTGATACGCTTTTTTATCAACAATGTCTCAGACTAACTTTTATATTGGAGGTGAAGTTGCACTTTAGAGGAGCAGTGTATAAATCACAGTGCCATCTAGTGGTAAATCTGCACACTACAACCAACTGATCAACCTTTTCTCCAAGTGCATCAACCTTTGGTGGTCACAACAACACCAGTAGTAAAGTGGACTCCCCAGATAAACATATAAAAAAACTGTTATTCTATAAAAAAGCATGATTGTAGTTCTGCCCTAAATATGTTTTAATATGTCAAAACCTGAATGTATTTATTTGAGTTTCTGCAAAAAGGAAACTGGGTGCAGATGTTTCATGACAAACTCACTTTACCACGTGTATGGTACTGCTTTAGGGTTGTCTGTAGTAAGGACACTCCTCAGAAGATACAGTGTTCAGATGTTATTCTGTCCAAATAAGGTCTGTCAGGTGACCAGTTTTTCACATCCTGATTTATCACATTCACGATTGTAGGTCTAACTTTCCATTATTTTGCATCTGAAAACAGAAATGGTTTCAAAATCCACATTAAACATGCACACAGTTCTTAGCAGTGTCTTTATTTGTGAATCAAACACATGCAACGAAATGTGCTTTATGATCTTGACTTTTAGATTTATGATTTAAATAAACGCCACTCTGCTGCATCTGTGTGATTTAAAAATCATGACTTAGAGGGTGGAGACAGTTTCAGAGAGTTTGGTATGTCACATACATGTCATATTCATCTAATACAAGCTCTATTTCTATTATTTTAAAGGACAGCACTGTTATTCACACTCTTATATATAGAGAGAACGAGCAGAAATCATACCGAAACGAATGCCTGTATTTATTTCACTGCTGGTTGATTCAAACTTCCATGCATATTTTAAAGAATTAACATTTTTTTGACTGAAAATCCATCAGTAGTCTCCCAAAAGCAACTTTCTACCATTGGGCTCATCATTTAAATTTCTTTTCTTTTCTAAGGTTTTTTTCAAAATTGATCAAATTTACAAGTGCAGAGTTTTACTGAGCAGCAAATTAAAATGTATATTTTGCAGTTTTTTCTTATATTAAAAGTCTTGTGAGGAGTTTTCTGATGTTAATGATGAATAAAGAAATTCATTCTTGATGCCTTGATACATGTTCCCCAAAAGCAAACACGACCATCAGGGACAAGACTGATGATTTCTATATAATATTACTCTGTCAAAAGTCAGGATGAGGAGATTTTTATTAGAAGACACTACTTCGGCATGTGGATGGCAAGATAAGCAAAGACTGCTCTGTCCACAGGGAGGCGCCAAAATGGACCCAAACCAAAAGTTTGACAGAGGAGCTTTGATTTAAATTGCACTTAGACTGATGTAACAAATGCCAAAATCTGGTTTGTTTTAGTTGGAATGGAGGTTGTTATTTTTTTCTGTAATTAAGATTGAGAATGTTCTTTAAATTTCTGGTTTTAAAATAGAAATATTGTTTTTACTCAACCAAGTAAATAAAAAGTGTTTGTTCTAAAAGCAGGAGAGCATTGCAGACAAGGTTTGTGACTCTCTGAGTGAAGTTTCAGCTGCTAAAAACAAATTAATCCAAGATGGCGTTCAGTTAGTCCATAACTTTCTGATTAGCACTGATTTCCAGCTGTAACCATCTAAGTTTCTGACACCACTTTGGCTCCGCCCACTCAACACACAAAACTGCTTGACTGGGAATAAAATACATCTGAGCATCAAATCTGAATGTTTCAAAAACCAGCACAGCATGAGAGGAAAGAAAATCAGGTTTAATTTATTTGTCGTTTTCACCCTTTACACTCCTCTCCTCTAAACATGCCTCTTACAAAAACAGCCCACAGAGTCTCCAGGTGTTCAGACCGCCTCTGCTGCAGGTGAGTCAGAACAGTCAATGTGGACACCTTTACTGATCCACAGGTGACCACACTCAGCTCCCACTCTGCAGAGCTGACAGTCTGTCCTTAGGTGAAGGTCACAGACAGGTGTGCTCCAGTGTTTGTTACCTGTCAGGGTGGAGGAGAGCATTGACGCACAACAACATACAGCCATACATATCATCTGGAATTTACACATCCATAACATAGAGATACAAGAATCAGCCAGAATTATGGGGTATACTCATAATAATAATAATAACAATAATAATAATAATAATAACAATTATTGTTCATGTCTAAAAACTACACGTATGTTTCATCTGTCCTCAAAAAAACCATCCATATATTTATATTTCTGTACTGCCGTCTGTCTGAGGACTAAACAGGGAACTTAAATATTTACAATGATTATTTTACAACCGATGGCCCCGCCCACTGAGAGGAAATGTCCTATTGAGAGTAAAAAAGGAGGGATGGGGAGAAGTGGTCCCGGTGAGAGAGGAGGGGGGACCCCCAGGATCCAGGGCCACACAGGGTTTACCACGCTACATATCAGGAGCTGAAGGGATCCAGGGCTTTGAGCTCCAGGTCCTCCTCCTTCCTGCTGCAGGGTCAGCTCCCACCCTGTGATCCAGGGTTCCCCTGTTCCTCAGTTTGTGTCACTGTCCTGCTCTCCCCCTCTTCCCCCCTACATGACCAGCAGCTGTCCCAGCACCATTCTGAACTGCTGTGTGCATCCCGCCAGCTCCCTCACCCGCTCTGTCATGTCCCGGGCGGCCCCAGGGGACGGGTACTGCAGCGCCGCCGTCTTGGTGCTGATGACGATGTCTTTGAGTTTTTCACACAGTGTGTTGCTGCTCTGAGCCACGCGCGCCCTCACGTCCGGGGACTTGGCCTGCCGGGACAGCGTGTCTCCGATGAACACCAGCTTGTGCGCGCTGAGGATGACAAACTTGCTGTGCGCCACGAAGATCTTTGGTGGCTGATTGGAGTTGACGGCGGTGAAGAAGGCGTCAATGGCGTTAGTCACCGTGGTTACGTTCTGCTCGCACTGTTCCTGGTAGAAGAGGAGGAGCTGCCGGTCTCCTTGGCATAGTTTAGAGGTGGAAGTGGAGCCTCCAGAGCCATTCTGGCCCACCTGATTGGCCAGAGGGTGATGCGGTGACGGTACCCAGCCCGTCATATCATTGTTGATTGGCCGGCTGACTTCCTGCTCAAGCCGCTCAAACTGTTTGATCTAAGGGCAGGAAGGAGCGGGTTAAAACTTTACCAGGGGTGCAACGATGGATAGGTGAAACACACACACTAGACACCAGACACACTCTCAGGTAACGTACCTGTTGCTGTTCCAGTTGTGTTTTGTGTCTGGTGATGTTTCCTTTCTCCAGAAGCTGTCTTTGGTTCTTCTCAAACTCCTCCTTACCCTGGCACACCAACACGTGCACACACATAGACACACACATACACACAAACACTCATTAGTGTTACCGCACTCACACTGCTACATGTGTGACTGAAAACATGTCAAACTGAATCATCTCTGTCTCCCTCTGGTGGCCGGTGCAGGAACTATAGTAAGATCTATAAACTGGCATTGCCTGCACTTCTTCAGTTGGGTGGAGGATTCTGGCACAACCTCAACTTCACTACGCCCAGAGAGGGAAGACAAGGATTGGAACTGCAGCAGCATTTTTAGTTATTAAAAATCTTTACTGACACACAAATAAAACATGTAAGAAATATACGAATAAAGTTGTTCTCTGACTTGAAGTTGCTGGAATTTTAAACTTTTTCATATAACAAGCTTTTAAATGATTTGTTTCACCACATAGTGCTCTGCAGCTCTGCCTTTAAAGTACTTTAAAAAGTGCGGTAGTAAGTAAAGTACTGTATGTTATATATCTGCGTGTTAATCAAAAAGTATCAAAGTCATAGCTGGATGTATGACATCTTTGTATTTCTGATAAACAAATGCTGCAAAGTAACGCAGTGTGGATATTTAGACAGCTCTCACATTCCACTGTTTTGACAGTCACACATATATTGTCAGTAAATTAGAGCTCATATTAAAGTGACTAACCTGTGAATTCATCATAGCTATGTATGTGTGTGAAAGCTGTCATTGCATGCACATAATTAACACATCACCTTTTTGGCCAAAATGTCAACATGATCATACTAATAATATCAAGCATCCCTTGACTCAGGTCATTTCTGGTGCATCTCAGAGTTCTGAGCTCAGAGTTTGTTTATTAATCTGCAGCTTTTGTCTGATTTGTCAAAATAAATTTTGAGGAAGAGGTAGTTGACTGTATGATTTTTTTGTGTAATATGCATGTCCATTTACCTTTACAACAAATAAAAATAACACAAACATAAAGTAAACCACTTAAAGCTGCAGCTTGTCTGCGCAGCATGTATAGATTAAAGCTCTCCCTTGTTATTTATTTGCCGACAGAGAATATTTCCTCTAAACACAGTCATTCATTTTTTTTAAAATGCATAAGGAGAAAGAAGTGATGTCATGTAAAGCACTGCAACATGTTCATTCAGACAAAATGTCTGCCCGGCTCTGTGAGGAGGGGTGAGGAGGGTCTGGAGCTCAGGGTCTAGAGGGTTAAGCTAAGATAGTTCCAGAACTCCAGAGAGGAAGACACACAGCGGAAATATTTCAGTAAATGCTGCAAAAATTCACAGAGAAGCATTTTGACTCCTGAGCACTAAAAACGTTCTCACAGCTATAAAAAGATATGCATGTGCGTGCATGCGTGTGTGTGTGTGCGTGTGTGTGTGTGTTTACACACCTGTAGATGCACATAGTCGTAGTCCTCCATCCAGCCTTCCTCTGTGGTCTCATATGGCCGGTCCACGCCCTCCTCTTCCTCTGCAGCTGTAAACTTTGGCGGCGAGGGGAGGGGCCGTGACTGAATGTTCGCCTTCTCTCCACCCTGGTAGGTCCCACTTCCTGATCCTGTCATGTGACCACTGATCTCTCCGGGGATTGGAGGAAGTGGCAGCTGCTGCTGCTGCCGGTTGGTCCGTTTGAAGAGCAGCGAGGCATTACCGTGGAGAAATGAGGCGAGTTGCTTGGCATCGTCAGGGATGCCTCTCGCCGTCATGATTAGCCGGTCCAAATCATCCCCTCCTGGCGGGGGTGCTGTCAGTGCTGCGTGTGACCAGGAGATGGCGTCTAAACTCTGACTGTGTCGGATCAGACTCTGGAACACCTCCTCCATCTTCCCCACTTGGCGACCCAGTTTACTCTGCAGAGAGCGATCTGTGGCCTGAGCGGCATTCGCCACTGCTCCACGGGCAAACTCCAGAAAGTCCCGGACTGCGGCGCGGACCCGGTCTGCAGCCTGATGGATGGCCGAGAGGTTCCCCTCCAGGTGAGCTGGGCTCCTCCAGTTGCCTGTGATGAAGGACATCATGAGGGACACACTGGACTCCACTGCTTGCTGGAGGCGAGACAGACGCTCCATGGCCTGCTCCAGGTCCAAGATGAGGGGTTTCGCTGGGGTGGAACCAGGGGCCGGAAGTGAGGAGGTGTCTCTGACAGGAACCATGTCTAAGGATGAAGCAGAGTGGTTGCTCCGTGTGCTTCCTGTGCTGGAGGCGGACAGACGCTTGAAAGACATGGACAGGTCCTCACCTGTGGACTGAGGGTCACGAACCACCTGTAAACAAACACAAACACAAACACACACATATGTTGAAATGGCATAGAGGTACACAGAGTTTGTAAATATCTGCAGCAGGTAAACAGTGACGGAGGATTACATTGAACACATGACAGCTTTTGTTTGTGCCTCTTGAGTGAGTCCACTCATAGTTCTTGTTTTTGTCCCTGACAGGCTCACGTTGTGATATTTAGTGGATTGCTACAGAGACAGACATGTCTTAGAAAGAGTTTGATGATTTTTGGACGACAAACAGCTGTTACATCACTCTCTGCACACAATCCTGACTACACTGTGTCTTTCCCAACACTTCTGGGTTCACTAAACCTTAGTGAACCCAGGAGACAGACCAGTTTCTGGAGTTTGGAGAGTGAAATGTCCAATTCTTGCCTGATAGAGAATTTCAGCTGCTCAACAGTCAGCAGCAGGACTCCTCTACTACAGAGCCATGCTGTTGTAATCCCTGTTGTCAGAATGTGGTTTGTCATTGTCTTAATGAAATATGAAGGTCTTCCCTAAAAAGATTATTGTCTGGATGGCAGCAGATGTTGCTCCTAAACCTGTAGATATTGTTCAGCATTAATGGAGCCTTCACAGAAGATACCCATGACATGGACTCTGATGATCCCCATACCATCAGGGATGCTGGACTTAACATGGGAGCTGAAAACAAGCTGAGTGGACCCTGAGGAGGATGCAGCATCACAAGTTTCCTCTTTCCCTCAGTCCACCTTAAATGGACTCAGGTTCAGAGAAGTCTCCTCTGTCACTGGATCACTTTTATAGATGGTCATAAGTGGCAAACAGTATCAAATATCTTAACTATCAGACCACAGAACAGTTTTCGACTTTATCCTGTTTCTATCTGGGTTCTTCTTTGCGTGGTTTCCTCCAGCTTTTTTTTTTTTGCCATTACACATTTTTTTTTACCTTTTTGGTTGTTTCTCTTACATTTTTTTAACTGTGTAGCTGACATTGAATTGAAAATAAGCAGGATTATTTAATGAACAATAACAGTTTTCTAATTCATTTTTTAATGTTTTCGTTGTACCATTTTCAGTTCAAAATAGACTCATAATGATTCTAATTTTGTTTGTATTAACAATTTACTAAGTGTCCAAACTATTTTAAAAATTCAATAGATTTTCGTGGACTTGTCTCTAAACTTGAATGGAGCTGACATTAAAACTAACATCATTAATGTTTAAAGGCAAACATTTAATCACAAAAAGAAAGCATAAATTTGCCGGACTGTCCTTTTAACTGCCGTACCTGTGGGGGGATGTCGTACACGTATTGATCTCCTCTCTCTCCCCCCTTCTCCTCTCCCCCACGGGGGAAGTCGTAGACGTCTTGGGTATGATGTCCTCCAGTTCGCAGACTGGCTGGGATGTCGTAGATTTCCTGGCGAGCCTGGCTGACTCCGCCCCGGTCTCCATGGTAATGCTTGTCAGTCAGGATAGGGGGTGGGACATCGTACACATCCTCTGGTATCGGTGGCTCATCGTCATCATTCGAGTTGTTGTGCAGGTACTGGCCTGAGGGGGCGGGGACTGGGGGTTTGAGTTTGGCAAAGTGTGGGGGTACGTCGTAAGTCTCTTCTCTGATTGGCTGAGCATCAGGAACATCTTTACTGACAGATGGCGGGAAGTCGTAAACCTGCAAAGAGAGAGGAAGAGCGTGAAGTGCTTTATTTCTGTGAAGTTTGGTGTTTAAGTTTGAAATTATCTCTGCAGGAACACTTCAGACTCTTCTCTGAAGTGCTTGCAGCCTCAAAATTGAGAACTTAAAATTTCTATCCTCATTTTAAGAAATAAGGGGTCAGAATTAAACAAAAAGGACAATTTTAAATTGGATCAGAAACAAAAAGGACAAGAAAATTTTAAAAAAAGGAAAATAGCATTCTTTTATTGAAGCTTTCCAAGAGCATGCTGGTAGATATTTTTAATCTTCATTCACCAAATTGTAACAAACATTCATTTAAAAGCCTAAAGCAAAAAAGAAGATCTAAAGGATATTTTAAGAAGTGAACAATAATGTTTCATAACAAAGATTACACAGATTTTTGTGCTGCCATTTTGGCCAAGTCACTCTTGAAAAAGAGGTTTTGAATCTCAATGAGTTTTTTTCCTGGTTAAATAAAGAGTATTGATTGACTGACTGAGATAATATATATGTGTGTACATAAATCCTTTCAAACTGAGACTGTGATATATGAATTCATGTTAATTTACCGTCTGCTGTGTGTTCTTGTCTTTGCTTGCTGGGGTGTCATATATATCCTGACCACTAGAGGGCCCCTTTACAACCATGGGAGGAGTGTCATACACCTGAAACACAGAGGAGAAAGATACATGTTACACACTACACTAATAAAAAAAACATTACTCAGAGTAATAAAAGGTTATCAGAGTACAGCACACCTGGACCATAACGGACCAGACTTTAACACCTTTATGATCAGACACAGAATGTCTTTGAAACCTGTTCAGCAGCTGCATGCAAATACAGTTCTATATGTGACTATGGCAAGACTGAAAATAATGCAGCCTGGGCAAATACAGTTATCAGATGTGGTTAAATTAATTCATACTTTTAATGTATTTATTCATGTGGTTATCTCGATCAACCCAAATAACTGGAGAATAACCATACATATATAGTCACAATGACACTGTCATCATCATCATCATCATCATCATCATCATCATCATCATGACCAACACCATCATCATCACCATCATTATCATAACCATCAACATCATCATAATGGTCTCTATTACTGTCACCATCATCATCACCATCAACATTATCATTACCATCATCATCATCATCATTATCACCAGCAACATAACCATTACCATCATCATCACCATCTCCAACATCTCCATCACCATGACAATACCATCATCACCATCATTATCATCTTCATAATCATGATGGTCTCTATCACTATTACTATCACCATCATCATCACCACCATCACCATCACCATCATCACCATCACCATCACATCTCTATCATGATCATCGTCATCATCATCATCATCATCACCACTACCACCACCATCATCATCATCATCATCATCATCATCATCACCATTAGAATCACCAGCACCATCATTATCATTACCATCATCATCATCATCATCACCAGCAACATAACCATCAACATCATCATCACCATCTCCAACATCCCCATCACCATGACAATACCATCATCACCATCATTATCATAACCATCGTCATAATCATGATGGTCTCTATCACTATTACTATCACCTATCACCATCATCATCACCACCATCACATCACTATCATGATCATGATCATCGTCATCATCACCACCATCACATCACTATCATGATCATGATCATCGTCATCATCATCACCACTACCACCATCATCATCATCACCATCATATCATCAGAATCACCACCACCATCATCATCATCATCATCATCATCATCATCATCATCATCATCATCATCATCATCATCACATTACCATTTCAAACACCACCACCATCATGATCATCATCAACATCACTATCATCACTGTCACCATCATCACCATTATTATCAGTATCATTATCACCAGCAACATTATCATCATCATCATCATCATAATCATCATCATCATCATCATCTTTATCATCATCATCATCATCATTATTATTCTCATCATCAACATATTTTGATCATACATTGCAGTTGTTTTACTTTCTGGACTACAGAGGAGAATAGATGAGCTTAAATGCTCAGGCGTTGTCTTTAAAAGCTGATTTCAAAACTTCCTCTTGAAGGAACGAAGGGACTGCAGGTGTGATAGTTTAGTCATTCATTTCACCACTGAGGGACAACAGAGGAGAAAAGTCTGGCAACTGACTAAAGGTCTTGTTGTAACGGGCAGGATGGAGTGTAGACCTGCATTAATCAGCTCCTGCAGATAGGTAGGTGCTGATCTGAAATTTAAGTAACACACAGACTCTCTCTCTCTCTCTCTCTTTTGACCCTCAGTAAAAATAGATGTAATATTTAGAGATTGAGAGGCTAAATATTACATCACATCAAATATTAATACTAAGCAGAAAAGACAGACGACCTGCAGCCTGCCCTAACACACCTTGTTTGTGAGTGTGTGTAAAAATACACACTTTGGTGCAGTCCTACCTGTGTGTTGTACTGCTGGCGTGTTGGTGGTACGTCGTAGATGTCCTGCTGGGTTGGCGGCTGATGTCTTGGAGGGACATCATACTCGTCCTGCTCAGGTTTCCCCGTGTCATACACATACACCTGTCCGACCCGAGTGGGAACCACCACCTGAACATAAACAACAGAGAGGAGAGGCAGGTGAGGGGCAGGTATGACACAGGTTTACACCTCCAAAAACAAGGGTTAGAAATGTCCAATAATCATGTCAGAGACTTAGATTTACAGTCAGAAATAACTGCTGAGATATGAGAGTCAGTGTGACCACAGGAGCCTGTAGAGGTCACAAACTCTTTTATCAGACTCTGGAGTCAGAAAACAAAACACTTCTTCACCTTTAAAGGCTAATTTATCACCTCCTCCCTTTGACCGAACAAAGACTTTAGGTCGTTCAGTTTTATTAAAAGAGAAAGCCGCAGACTCAGGACAATAAAAACAGAGCAGGGGTCCTGTCAGAGCCGACGTGGGAACCAGGCTGTCCCTTTGTGCGCCTGTTTAAACTCTGTATTATACTGTGAGAGTGCAGAGTCAACCAGCCTGTCTGGAAGCACAGCAGCTGGGATACACAACACAAACACACACACACACACACACACACACACACACACACACACACACACACACACACACACACACACACACACACACACACAAACACACACACACACACACACACACACACACACACACACATACACACTGTTCTGAGGGTTTCTTGTGGGCAGGGAAAGTATACCATCCTTGTTCATGTGCATACATGGACAAGCCAAGGCAGGGAGAGCAGCAGCAAAGACAGACCAGGGAATAGACCAGAACAGACATCCCTGACATTTTAATGTACATCATAACAAACAAGTCGGATAGTGTTTGAACATGATGTTTGAAATCTGAAGGTAGGAACAGGTTAAAAATGATGATTAACATGATTGGACTAAAATGATGTATGATGTGTGTGTGTTTGTGTGTATCTGCAGATGTAATCTAAATGTTTTATTGTTAACACACTAATCAGCTTCAGAGCTAACACTGCTACGCTAACATCCTGTGTGAGTCAGATGGTTGTTGAATCCTCTCGGCTTGCTCTGATGGATGAAGCTCTCTGATAATATTTACTCAGTGTGTCGGCTGTCAGACCAGAGTGTGTGTGTCTGTCTGTGTCTGTGTGTGTATGTGTGTGTCGGTGCGTCTGACGGACAGAGACAAACGATCACAGCCTCCATCTGACAGCCTGTCTGTACTCATGTGCTCTGACTTCAACTCACACACGCACACACACACACACACACACACACACACACACACACACACACACACACACACACACACACACACACACACACACACACACACACACACACACACACACGCACACTCATAGGAGAAAGGCTTTGAAGCTCGTCTCTTATGTCACGTTTTAATGACAATGAAATTAAGAAAAAGCAGAGGAGGACTTTCATATTTTATCTTAAATAAATCAATAAAATAATTTATTAAATACACATCTTTAGCTGCTCTGTGTGTGTCTGTGATCCTCACAGACACAGACAGACACACACACAGACACAGACACACACAGACACACACACACACACGCGTAAACACCCCACTACTCATTGTCAGAAAGCTTTCAACAATATTGACGATATTCGGCTAAGTGCCAGATGTGTCCTGCATGTACACACACACACACACACACACACACACACACACACACACACACACACACACACACACACACACACACACACACACAGCCTGCCTTCTGTTAGATTGATTACCCATGTTATTGATCGCCTGTCTGTCCCCTAGAGAGCAGAAACACACTAACGCTAAGTGATCTGTTTATGTGTGTGTGTGTGTGTGTGTGTGTGTGTCTGTAAAGACTAGTCACAGTAATAGCTTGCTGAGCCTTTTAATCCACCTATGAGATCAGAGCCGAGGGTCGTGGGTAACCCTGAGAGACTTCACACACTTAAGATGACTGTGTGTGTGTGTGTGTGTGTGCGTGCATGCGTGTGTCTGTGTGATTGTGACCTTTGTCAACGCTAACATCCTTTAACAGCATTGTAAGTGTTCTTGCTACATGTGATGTATTTCACGAACTTGTTCTTAAGCTCTGAGTAAAATGCATGACTTGATTGATTGATTTATTGATTTATCGAATGATTGATTGATTGACTTTTTTGAGAGGAAAAGTAAAACAATATCCCTAAAAATCTAATCGAGAATATTAGCCTAAAGTTTACTGTGCATTGTACTACGTTGCCATGACTACAGTTGCGCATTGAAAGACAGCATATCCTGCTGCTTTAATCCCCGATCCGGTATCAGTGTATGGGGTTACGGTTATAGGTCTAATCCTTCACTGTATGTGTTTTTTTAGTAGTTATTATAATATGCATGTGTAATACCATTGAATACACCTCAAGAGACAGAGAAGTTTGTTTCCAAGGCTGGTTTAATGTTTATATCTGTCTATGAAGCCAGCAGTGAACTTGTTCAGTCAGTGTGGAGTACATTTCTCTGATCAACTTGTGGAGACTGTGATCATGCCCTCCTAGCTTGCTGATTCACTTGTAAAACTCTGTTTAATTGTTTGTTCTATTTCTACTGCCAGTACAAGAAACACCTCTGTACCGTCCTTACCCTTTGCACCTATGCACGGTTCTGAGCACTCACTCTGGCCCAATAAGCTGGTCTTTCAAGGTCATTAGGGGTCAAACATGCCTGAATACGGTAGTTTGCTCTGTGTAGGTGCACACTTTACACAAACGATACTGACGTCACCTGACTCTGCTGTATAAAACTACAATCCAGCAAACATGGACTACAGGAATGACAGTGTGTCTTTAGCGTGTTGTTTCATGCAGCCAAAGAAATAGTGAAAACTGGGTGAGAAATATAAACTCACATGAGTTTGATATTTCATGAGTGGATTTTAATCCCTTATTTTGAGGTATACATGTGGTGACACATACTTAGAATCAGGTTAATTGTTTTGGTGTTTTGGTGCTTGACTGTCAGACACATAATAATAATTAGCATTTATTCATAATTATTATTATTTTCTTCCCTGTAATCAAATTTGATGTTACCCCCAGAACAAGGGTAGGGACAAAGGGTGTATACATATATATATATATATATATATGTATATATACATATATATATATATATATATCTATCTATATATATATATATATATATATATAGATATATAAGGAAGACTTTGAAATAATTATATTGTGTGTGTGTGTGTGTGTGTGTGTGTGTGTGTGTGTGTGTGTGTGTGTGTGTGTGTGTGTGTGTGTGTGTGTGTGTACAGATCACTTTCTCTTTTTTTGTAAAGGTCGGTCTAGTCTTTCCTTGGGGAGATAATAAAGGATGGTTCAGTGTTTCCTTTAGGAGATAAAAAAGGCTGCTTCTGTGTTTTCTAAAGGAGATAACATAGAAAGCATCGAAGCTCCTTTCCTTTTTCATTTATCATTAGGAGAAGTAAAACAGCTCTTATCTGGTCCACACTCAAACACTTCCGGGTTGTTTCTCACAGTGAGGAACCATCCTACCCGATGCACCCTTTTATGTTCTTCCTGCATTCGTTGGTTTGTACTGCTTAGTTTTGAGTTACTGGTTGTAGGTCGCTCTTCTCCTTTAGACATTATACTTTGTCTCTAAAAACACTTTAAAACTGGGCATGTAAATGTGAACCCCTTCAGCTGTGAGAGACCCACAAACAGAGCAGCTCTGCCTGCAAACTACAGCCTCCTTTCCTCTGTCTCCTCACACAAACTCTGGCCTGAGGACCAGTTTACTTTCAGATTTACTGACCTACATATCCTGCAGAGAGAAATCTCTGTGTGTCGTGTTCTCAGAATAAATCAGTGGCCTCGTAAAAGCGGCAGTGACTCTGACCCACCAACAATAAAATGCCTCCACACACAGTTATTTATGAGGACTCAGAGAGGGAAGATTCCTCCACACTCAAACCCACACTATGACACAGAGGGCGGTGTGTGGCTCTGGCTTCATGTTCTTTTGTTTCGTGTGTGAAATGACGTCAGGATGAGTCATTGTTTAACAGGCGACCTCTGCCCCTGAGCTATGCCTCTCCCAGCAGCTCCTCCGCTCTCCCTCTGTTTGCCTCTGCCTCAGACTTGAAGACCAGCACCGGACAGGAGCGAACGGAGGTGGGTTCGGCTCAGACACAGAGTAGTATCTGATAGTAAATGCAGAACATTTCCAAACCAAGCTTGAACTCTGAGCTTCAAAAGGACCACACTGACCACACATAGAGGAAAAAATAGACTTCTATACATGCAGCTGCATCAGAGAGTGAGTAACTGACAGAGCAAAGTACATCCTTACAGCACAGATGTGGAGTGCAAGAGTAGAGGAGGTAAAAATAGAGAGAGGCATAATTACAGCAGGAGGGTGGTGGACGTGGAGACTCTCATCCTGCTGGTTTCTACAGATCCAGAGCTCAGGGCAGAGAGTCTGAAATAAGGCCTGCTCATTAACAATTGAATTCTTTTTTATAGGATCTGTTGAATAAATCTGAGGGCACGGATTTAAGGATGAGACGTGACGAGACGAGACATTCACCATCTGAATGGCTAATCGGGTTTTTTTACTGAGTCACGAAAGACAGTCAAAGTTTAGATTTCCTGACTTCCCTGAATGCATCAGAAACGGTGGATCTCACCTCTTTCCTTCTCCTCTTAAGAACAGACCCGACAAAAGTGGACTTTGAACTTTTGACTAATCCGCATCATGATGTTGTTATTTCAGAAAACTAAAGACCTGTTAATGAGGAGAATAATACAAGGACATTAGTTTCTGTTTCAGGTACATACTATTGAAAGAAGCCAGAGTGAAGCCTTTGAGAGACTGTTTACAGAGAAACTGAGACTCTCCACAGACAGATGACCAGTTAATATTTTAGTTAAATTTCTCCTCTTGATTGACGTGACCATCATCACTTCGGAAGTTTCTGATCAGATTAGGGCTAGGTGATAAACCGAATATGTACCGATACCGAAATTTACGACAATAACCGACGTCATTTTGCCTGTGTCAATATATTCGGTGTCAAAAATAAATAGATAAATAAAAGTTGTTTTTGGATGTGTGTAGGTAGGCTATGGTTTCATGTCCCTTTAAGACACTGACCTTACCCCATCCAGGCCGTAACAAAGATGGAAAGACAGGTGAGGAGATGGAGGACGGTTCAAAAGTTGTAGCGTCTGGAGCGGCGGCTGAAGTAGACGAAGTTAATGTGGGAGGGGGTGAGCAGCTTGTGGAGTAGTTATCGTCCATTTATGGTTATCGATAAATGTCATTGGCTTAAAACACACTGGACCAATCATAGCTCTGTAATTAGAGTAAGGCAGGCTCTATCAAATGACAATATAGGAGTGCTGCTTTAGCCTTTTCCTATACAACCAAGATGACAGCTTCCACCACAGGGGGGTCTGTTAAACCCATTGACTGCAGCCTTATTAAATGCACTGGTTGATTTAATCTTAAATGCATGCTGCTGTCTGTTTACATTTCCTGCTACTCTGTGCTGCATCAGATGCGGCATTGCTCTGATCCGACCACTTTCCATGCAGCTCCTGCTAATGCCTACTGGAAACAGGAACAATGATCAACGCCAGGTTAGGTTAGCTGGATAAACTGTTTACTGCAAATGCCATCACCACATTTCTCCTCTGCTGTGAAATTACCTGAGGTGCAGCACTTTCATATCAGCTCAACTCCACTTCTTGCAGACAATTTACATGTGAGTTTACAGAAAATGTCGAGTAAAGTTGAGGAGTGACTTTCAAAGAATAGGGGTCAGAATACAAACTGAATCACCTTAGCGATAGAAACCAAAACAGCGATGTCTATGTTTTAGAAACAACTCGAGAAAGATCTCAAAGAAGATATTTCGAGTAAATGAAATACGTTTGATCACAGTTTTAAGGAGAGGCTTACACGCTTGAACTTTAATTAAAATATTTCCACCAAAACAAAGACTGCAGAGAGTTTTAGAGTCACCACAGAGACAAAGAAGTAAAACCAACAACAGCCAAAGGAGAAACAATGAACGACAGAGAGTTAGACACACAGGCTGTGAGTGCCATGCCAGCTATGTGGGGCATGTGGCAACACACACACACACACACACACACACACACACACACACACACACACACACACACACACACACACACACACACACACACACACACACACACACACACAGAGGCACCAAGAGGCAGTGTGGGGGGCTTAACAGATTAGTGCAGTGGGGGTGCATGTCTCCAGGAGAGCACCAACACACTCTACCCCCCACTGAACTGGATTCCAACACCACATGGCACAACTGTGTGTGTGTGTGTGTGTGTGTGTGTGTGTGTGAGTGCTCAGATCATGTGTGCATGCTCAGACTGGCTGTCTGGCTGTTTTGGCACGGTGCAGATAGACTGAATCACCTCCAGGGTGCTAAGAGACGACAGTATTCATTATAAGGGTGTCATCATGTTGTGCATGTTGATGAAGCAACAATTAGAGCTCATATCAGCGTCTCACAGTACACATTGTGCTGCATTGTGTGTCTGTGACCCTGATGCATTGTTTGGAGCATTTTGTCATGATGGCAGGGAGGCAGCTCTTTTTCACTGAACTGACAGAGACGCTCCCCTCGCTGTTTGTGACAAAGAAAGAGCATCCTGCAGCAGACTGTCATTTTAAACCTCCTCTGCATTGGAGAAATCTGCACTGCCAAAAACTGAATCATAAAACCACTTTCACACAGGCTTCGCACGTACATACACACTCTGAAACAACATAATTCATAGAGAAATATCAAAGTAGAAATTTAGTTTAAATAGCCTGTCTGACAGAAAAAAAACGAATTTGTAGACCAAACATACCTGGAAATATACAGATCTCTAGGTCCTGAAATGATCCAGAAAATGTCAGAAAAAAGATGATAAAGTCCTGTTTGAATACACGAGGCATTTGACAGTCACATGTAGGAGACGAAAGGGACAAGCAAGAAAAAACAAATGTCCAAATGCACACTCAGAAAGTCCAAAATCATTCACAAAACCAGGTTCTGAAGGCAAGTATTTCTGGCATGTCTATATAAATTAAACATAAAAGATGGATTCAGAATGGCCGAGCAGGTTAGCGCACCCCATGTATGAGGACCACGGTCACCGCAGTGGTCGCAGGTTCGAGTCCGACCCTGACCATGTGCTGCATCTCTCAATCTCCCCAAATTTCAATCTATCCTATCAAAAAAGGCAAAAATCGCCCCCGAAGAAATACTTTAAAAGAAACAGCTTATGTATGAGTGAAACAAAAAGATGGATTCAGATCTTCACATCACAGAGATAAAAATAAAGATGATTAATGAACAGTCAGTGCTGACAATGAATTTTGTCTACTGCGACAAATAAGTCCTTTGTGTTTTTTTGTACTGACAGAGGAAGTGAAAGGTGACCACAGAGTTATAAAAAACAGGTGATATCTCTGAAATCCAGAAAAGGGAAGATTTCAGTGAGCAGACTGCTGTACGGTCTCTCTGAAATCCACTGGAAAAGGTCAATTATTGAACTCAGGTAGATAACAAACCAAAACATTTCAGAGGGGAGGTGGTTTGCAGGCTCATCAGATATCAAAGAGGTTCATGTGGGACCGGATAGATCCCCAGTTTTATTGATCCTGTGAATATACTTCGGTACAAAAGAAGATAGCAAGGCTGTTCAGGTGCCGGTGTCCTGGAGGATCATATCAGCTCCTGGTCTTTATCTCACCTCTACAAAAAACAGCTACAAAACTACTAAATCTGCAAAATAAAATCTGAGAACAGAGAAGGTTTTGTCTGAATGCAGTGCAGGATGGCCAATGCTGCAGCAATGCACCCTGGGACATGGAGGCTCGAGCCCTTTTCATATTTTACTCTGCAACTGTGCAGATTTGTTCTCTCCCATCATCTCACCTCTTTACTGTCATGTTAAAACTATCAGAGGTGCAGACACGCTTTGAGCTTGTTTAGACAAGAACAGCCCCATGAAAAAAAGGAAAGGTCTCAAAAAAATCAGAGTTCATGGAAACGCTGTGAAAATGATGTGAATATGAATCCATAATAAGGACAGGAGATGCTTGAATATGTGTGCCAGACCAGTACACCTGTACATAAAAATGTTTCTCAACAAAGCAGAGAGTATGAACAACCAAGAGGATGAACATCTATGTGCAGATGTAACGCCACCCTGTCTCAGGTCTGTATTCGCCAGTTTACAGTGATGTAAAGAGTGGCGATTTCAAGAGGACTTTTTGCATTTTCAGCTGACCATGACACCAAATCTGTGTAATATTTTTGTTTATGCTAAACATGCAAAATATTCTGCTGCAGACTCAGAAAGAGCATCAACACTTGCAGAAATTCACCATAAATCAGAGTAACAGAGAGCCTCAAAACCTAAAAATGCTGCAAAGAGATAAACTGCATTAGTAACAAAAGATGCACTTTTCTACTCCAGGCCTGAGTGTGTGTGTGTGTGTGTGTGTGTGTGTGTGTGTGTGTGTGTGTGTGTGTGTGTGTGTGTGGTTGTGTGTGTGTAGTCATTGCCAGATATGTGTGGGAGAGTGCCAGACAGCTGTATTGACTTCATTAGTCTCTTTTTAATCTCTCAGCGTGCGGTGCTGTTGAACGGATCCTCAGCATTCGCCACAGAAAATCCACTGATACAGTTCATCATCTCAGAGCAGGGTGTGTGAGTCTAATCCGCTATGCTGTGGACATTTTAGGGGATATCTCCACCATTTACTCCCAGTATGATCTGCAGAATGGAAAGTTTCTGCATCTCTGGTTCTTTATGTAGTCACAACAAACCAAACAGGGTCCTACTGTCACTCTTCAAACCTGCTCTCTTCAAAAATTTATCAGAGACTCTGTTGAGAGCGTTCATCTGCAGGACTTTACTCTTTTTCTCACCGATCATGAGGTCTCAGCTTTAAATCATACACTCACTCAAAGCTGCAGATTTGAAGACGCTTGAACAGAAATGGTGATAAAAACACACACACAGACACACACACACACACACACACACACACACACACACACACACTTTGTCTTCAGCTGTCTCTCTGTGCATTAGTGTGTGTGAGTGTTAAGACCTGAGAGCTGGTGCTGCACGTGGCTGCTGACACACTCACTAACACATTGATGCCTTTGATGACAGCTGTGTCAGCTGACAATACTGCACGACACTGTGACACACACACACACACACACACACACACACACACACACACACACACACACACACACACACACACACACACACACACACACACACACACACACACACACACACACAGAGCTTTGGAAAACAACAGTAAGCTTTCCTTTGGACTTCTTTAGATGAGAAAAGGCCCAAATAGAAACATCAAAATCCATCTTTGTTCCTGTGACAGCTTGATGAGGATGATCTGCTTGAATTACTAAAAATCCTGGAGGAGGCATGGGTAGAATTTGAGTGTTTAACATTTTTTATCTTTATGATTATTTCTTTATCCATTCCCTGCATTTCAGCACATTTCCAGCCACAGTTTGATACGGTAAACCCTGATCTTGCTTGTGTATCCACAGCAGACTGTACCGTATTCTGGCGCTTCAAGCAGGAAGTGTGTTAGCTGCATGGCGGCCTGGATCAGCCAATTTTTTGGTGTGTATGTCAACAAATTAAACCTCACAGACCACTGACGTGAGCAGCACATTACACCTGATTTCTTTATTCAGCAAGACCTGCAGATTTCTGCTGACAGGAAAATGATCCAACTGAGGGTTGTATTCACTTAGTTTAATGTATGTATATGTGACCAGCATGAAAAATACTATGACTGTACTTCCTGAATGCTTTTCAAAGTAAAAGCCTGCTCTGTTTTTTCCTGTTGAGAGATCCACAGACATCGATGCTGCATTGGTAATCAAAACTAGTAGATGATGAAACCTATCACACCAAACAAATCTTAAAATAAATTGTTTTGATATTTGATTATGTGAAAATAGTAGCTTTGGATCCTGCTGGCTGCAGGTAAGCTACATTAGTTACCAGATAACATCAGGTCATAGTTTGTGTAAGTTATGCACCAATTTATAAACCCCTGATCATGAAAATTAGAGATACTGCCAAGACTGACCTTTGAGATGATAACTGAGCCACTGCCAATGATTCTGCATCACTGCTTTGTGTTATCTGTCTGAGCTAAAGATCTGACATCTTCAAAGAGTTCCCAGTCCTTTATGAGTTCCTCTTAAATTTCCGCTTGTTCCTGATTTTTCTCAGAGACTGTCGTATTCTCACTCTGTACACACTGATAAAAATCTCTTTGAATCTGCCGAAAGTAGGAAGAACTTTCAAGAAAGAGAAGATAACATGAAGAAACCATGAAGAGCTGTGGTGTTTGGTGTTTTTTTGCAGAATCTATTGATATTTTCTCATGTTCCACAAGTTTAAATCATCATGTATCAGAGTTTTAATGGTCTACTGCTGATCTCTGCAGGCTGGAGAAACTTGAGTGTTTCTGATTTTTACGGGAAAAGTGTTGAAAGACATGCTGGTGGCTCCACCCTCTTCATCCATGTCGAAACAAACACGGCATGTTTCATCACTCTGCAATTACTGCACAGCCCAGTGTGTAAAAGGGTGTGTAAAGGTGTGTTAGTGTGTGTTTGAGAGAGAGAGACAGAGGGGGAGTGTGTGGAGTCTCTCTCAGCAGGAACTCCTTATCTAAATGACGAAGTGGCAGCAGTAAACCCTGGGTGTGTGTGTGTGTGTGTGTGAAGGAGGTTACTGAGCATGAGAGCACCGCTAATAAGAAAGTGCACCAGCAAAACACACACAGCATCAGACACACACATTTGTTTGCACCCACAAGGTGGACAAACATCAATGATGAAGTCAATTTCAGATAAATTTGACACCACGCAGAGTAGAGGTGGGAGAAAAAAATCGATTTTGCATAGTATCGTGATATTTTGTCTCGTGATATATTGTATCGTCTCATTTACCAAGCATCAATTTTTTCAAATTCCTTGTTAATATAGAGTCAAATTTATGATAATGGAAAAATTTTCCTCTCATGGGAGCAGAGAGACAGTTTCTCCCTCTGAAGAAGTCTCTCCATCAATTCTGTTGACCCTTCACAGCAAATCAAAAATATTAGGCTGTCACATCAGCATCTCTGTCTGTTTATTTCTTTGATTCAAAGAAATGATCTTGACTTTATTTATCTGTTGTTGTGTCAGAAACTACTCGGTGTGATTTCTCGATCCATGGTCAGAGTTTGGGTTTCTTGCATCAGTTTGTGTCTCTGTGCACAGAGCAAGTCCATCCATAAATTAATCTTTTTCATGGTTTTCTTTCAAAGAACTCTCCGGGTCTACTTTTGGTTTGATAAATAAGTTAATATAGATGATCCTCAGTCCTCATTTTTGTTTAGATGCTCCTCATGTTGGATCAACTTTACATTGTGATAATGACTTCTTTATCATATAATATCAACTTCATCCTAGCAAGATTACCTGATTTTCTTCTCATGTTAAAACCAAACTCTTCAAATCCCAACAAGTCTTAAATATAAAATCCTCTTCATGCTTCAAATTGACCTTTGACAAATGACTTTTGACAGTCAAACGAATCATTTACTGAATATTTTATGTGGAAATTGTTAAAACTGGGTTGTACTGATTTCAGACATTAAAAACTACAAAATAAAAGTTGTCAATCTTGGAGCTGATGGTCTTGTTTGTTTTTGTAAATAAAAAAAAAAAGAATTTCAGCCTATTTCAAAAACAGGAAAAACCTCCTCATATAAAATTTCACGTGGCTTTAAACCTCTGAGAACAAATATATAAATACATTTGACATGTCCTTTTCAGTATAGAAATATTAGGTGGTAAAAAAAAGCTGCTGGTCTGACCAAGCTAATCGATTATTGTGTGACTTCTGCACATGAAAAAACAGATTAAAAAACAAACAAACAAAGCCTCAAACCTGCAGCCTCCACATTACAGAGTCTTTAAAGAGAGCAGTTTCTGATTCAAAGTCTGCAAGAACAATCCTTCACTAAAATAACAGCTCTGAAAAAACTTTACTGCCAGCCTGCAGGTAAAGCTTGATGCACACAGATATATTTGAAACAAACACACACACACACACACACACACACACACACACCTTCAGAGTCCCATGATGCCTCTGTGATGAAGCGTTTCATTAGCCCTTCACGTTTCAGATCCTGCAGATGAATTTATTATGAAGCATTCAGACAGACAGAGAAACACAGATGAGCTAACGTGTGAGGGAGCAGCTGGACCCAGCATGCACAACATCAGAGATGCACACCCACATGCACTCACACACATACACACACACACACACACACACACGGCTCAGTGCATCCAGCCTGGAGGGTCCTCCTCCTGTGAGGACACCCAGCCGTCACCTGCTGCTGCAGCAAAGAGCTTACTCTACCAACCACCAGATCACGGCTGAATTATTAACTATCTGATTATTTCACTGGTCTGCGTCCACACACACTCACAAACACACACACACACAAACACACATTCGCAAACACACTCTCACACAGCATACTGTATATCCCTCTCTGTCCTGCTGCCATCTCTCTTCTCGGTCTCCCGGCTCTTTAGTATTCATCTCGCTGTTTTCTGTCTCGTCTGTTCAGCAGGTTGTTTCGGTGCAGCGCAGCACTGTGATGTGGAGCGTGAAGACTTCAATTCATTAAGGTAAAAGAGCCGCGCTGGGACTTTATCTTCAGGACAATTTACTTGTAAGTTTTCCTACATTTACAAGCCTGAATGTCTATCTTTGCTCTTCTTATCTCCCTCAGCAGCTCTGATTAAACTGACAATCTGACGCGTGTGTGTGCATGAAAAACTATCTATGTATTTCACCCATGAGTCTGTTTCCTGAATTCTCTCTTTTTTTAAAGACTTACTCAGGTTTTAGCTGCTTATTCAAGCACCTGCATGATATTTCTTTGTTACGATGCATTACATGGGTCAGTACAGTATGCATTTTTTGCATTTCCTCTGTCGAAAATGAAGCAAAAGTGTATTTTCACCAAGCTGTCTTCCTCTGCAGACTGCACCCCTTTGTCGTGTCATGACAGCCTCTGATGTATGTTAACATGCATCATTTAGACTGCTGGGGTGAGCTGCACATCTCAAGCTACATGAATTTCAGCCAAATATACTATCAAAAAAAGAACAGGGAGCTGTGTTCACTCTGGATCAGCTATGTCAGAGCATAAAAATTATACACCCAGGCGGAGAGAGCAGCAGCAAAGGCCTGTCAGCTCTTTTCTGAGAGCTCCCTGGCCCCTCCACAAGGGTATGAGGACTGCAAACGCCTGAAACAGGGAGAGCACACCCCCTCTGCTTCATGTGCAGACATATATATATACTTCTGAAGTCAAATTTCTTCAAACCCAGTCACAAAACACAAAGAGATTCATTCAATAAAATAATTACAAGAAAATAACCACAATAAGAGCAGGAGGGACTGCAGCAAGTGCCTTATCCCACTTATACCAACAGCTATACAAACATCCACAACTCCAGTCCAGATTAATAGAACAACATCCACTGTTATCTGGTACACATGCAGAAGACCCTCTTCCTTGTTCCCTGCATTTCTTCCTTCCCTTCATTTTCGCCCATTTAAACTAAAAACTTTCATCCAAGCAGCAAAGATTCTGCAGAATTATTCTCTAGTTCCTTCCTTCCTTACCTTGCCAAGTGGCTTGCTGCTGCTGTCCCAAGAGGGGGGCACCTGGTACACATCCTGTCCAGCTCCTGTCCCCCCTGCAGGGGCCTGCCCCGGTCCTGGTCCTGCAGAGGGGGGCACTTGGTAGATGTCCTGCCCAGGCAGTGTGTACTGTCTCTGCGTCAGAGCTGGGGCCTTGCTGGGGAGTCCAAGCTTGGCCTTTGGAGGGGGTCCACTGGGCCCAGAGGGGATCTGGTACAGACTCTGAGGGCTCAGTTTAGGGCCATGGGAGGGGGGCATCATGTAGATAGAGTCAGGGGTGGGCTGGGCGGGGCTTGGTGTGGAGTAGGCGGGGTGCATAGACGTGTACTGAGCTGAGGGAGGGGGCTTGACGAACCCCGGGGAGGAAGTGGCGATAGATGGAGGGGCAGGTGAGGGTTTGGAGTAAGCGCTCTGAGGGGGAAGGGGTCTCTGCTGCTGAGAGGTAGGACAAGAAGCAGCCGGATCTGGCGTGGAGGGCGTGGCTCCCTGCTTGTTTTCGTACATGCCCACCAGGATCTTCAGACGGTTGCCGGGAACAATGCCTTGGCGACCGTGAAGGGAGCAGAGCCACCAGCCGTCCAACCCCTGCGTGTCGCGCTCCAACACGGTCATGATGTCACCTTTTCGGAAAGACAGCTCGTCTGGAGACTCCGCCACGTTGTCGTACAACGCTTTCGCCAACACGTTCTGCAGAACAAGAAGAAGAAGAGAGAAAAACGTCAAAAACTGAAGAAAAGTGCTGAACAAACAGAAGTGACAAATGCAGCATCATCAGAGGGAGACTGAGAAAAACATGATGTCCCTGAGGACGGCGTGTCAGAGATCTGAGACTCTGAGGAGGAAGGAGAAGAAAAACCTGCAGAGACACAACAGCTTACTGTGCAGTCTGAGGCTGTTTGTTCAGTTTCCACTCAAACTGTGTAAGGAAAGTGTCTCATCAACAAGATGGTGTTCCTGATTTTAACACGACTTTACTCAAAAAACTGAAAGCAACACCATCCAAACATGAGAACCTTAGAGCTCAGGCCTGAACCCGCTTACCTCAACCAAACGCCACTCTATAGCCACAAATAATGCTCAGAACAGCACCTAACCTTATCAACAGTTATAGGGTCCAAGCCATAGCACTAGTCACCAAACATCTTTTCAGCTTTGCCTAATTTCTTTAGCAAAGAGGCCAAACACAACTAGCCCACTCTCCTCTAGCAGCCACTTGTTTGTGGGGGAGCCCTGACGAGTCGATCACTGAGTGCAGCGCAGTTCTGCAGCTCAAGGAAGTCGTGCAGTCGTTACTAAAGTTGGTATAACTAGAGAAGCAAGCAGTCAACAATGTTCGTCTCTTGAGGGGGTGTCTAACTTGGTGTTACAGTGTGTTTGACCTAAATTAATTTTACACCGGAATATCCCTTTAAGTCTTGGTTTGACTATCTGTAACTGAGGAGGGCTGACCGTCTCTCTTTACCCAATTATATTTTCCAGCACAAAGTACAGCCATAAAAGGAACAGTTTCACTTTCTAAAGACACTTATTACGCTTATTTATCAGTCGGACCTGCAAACGAACAACCCGCTAAAACAGAATAAGAGAGAGAGAGAGCGAGAGAGAGAGACAGAGAGAGAGAGAGAGAGAGAGAGAGATCCCACACACAGCTGTGCACATAATAAAGCATCAGCACTTTGCCCTGTTAGCATTCATTTTCATAAATGACCCTCTGCTGCACAACACTTACACTAACCGGGCACACACACACACACACACACACACACACACACACACACACACACACACACTGGAGGCAAAGTCCAAGGACGCTAAAGTGATGTCTGTTTGAACTGTGATAAAGTCTGCAGATGAATAAAAACACCTTAATAAAAGTGATTCAACTGATAAACATGAAAGCAACTGATATTCAAAGGTTTCTGATTTACTTTTAAACTTAAGTTAATAAAATAAAGACAACAGCGTGAATTTAAACCTGAGCTCAAACTCAAACAAACTGACTGCAGAGTTAGAAACTCCAAAGAAATAAAAAGTCTGAAGTTTAATGGAATAAAGCAAAAGAGAAACAATTGCTTTAATGCCTGCCCTGGAGTCACACACACACACACACACACACACACACACACACACACACACACACACACACACACACACACACACACACACACACACACACACACACACACACACACACAGCTCTCTGAGTGACCCAGCATGCAAACAGAAACACTCCCTCCGTCTCTCTTTGAAACTAAACCAATATTTGTCGTCCACGTCTGAACTGAGGCGTCTCTCCTCCCTCTCTCTCAGTTTCTCTGTTCCTCACCGACTATCTCAGACTGGTACAGCCTGTACTGGCCTTCTGCCAAATACACACACACTCACAAGCACGCACACAAAAATCTCTGCCCACTGAAACAAGGCCATGTAATTGGCTTCATGTAGATTCACTGGGAGTTTCTCTCTGTGCTCCTCATGACTCAGAGAAGAGACTGACAGAGTGATTTGTGACCCAAATATCTTCACTTCACCTCATTCATTCACTAAATTCAGATGACACACACTTTCACAGATGCTGTTGATCAAAAGTCAGATTTAAAGTCAGTATTCTGGTTTTCTGTGTTTACAAGTTCGTCTAAAATTGTCCCTTTTAGACATGTTTCCACCAAAAGTACCAAGAACTTTTAGTCAGAAGAACTACCACTCAAAATAACGAAGTTTTCCTCCATCTTTATTGCCTGATTGGGTTGTGTTGCCACCCAAAGTACCAGAAACCTCTGGCTTCGGAAACATCATTTTCTGAAAGTTAAAAAGTTCTTTTCGCCAACAGTTTTCTGTGTTTTAATCTTAATTTCAAACATGATCTTTGTGTTTCAGCTTCACTTAAAGTACCAGGAACCACCCTGCAGAGAACAATGAAAGTTCCTTCAGCCCACTGTTTATGTGTTTACAGCTCTACCTATAGTGTCCACTTGTTTTATACCAAAAGAACCTGGAACTTTTCAATTGTCGAAAGATTTTGTTGCAAAGTTCCTTTAATTTTCTGTGTTTACATCTCAATCTTAAATTGCTCTTTTTCAGTTACACTGTCACCTTAAGTACCAGAAACTCAAAGTCAGAGAAACAATATTTAAACCCGAGGTAAACAGTGTTAACACTTTCAGTTAACACTGTCCTATTGGGTCAGGTTTTACAAAAAGTTTCTGGATCTTTTAGTCTAAGGGTTCTTTGTGGACCCCAGAAAGGCAGCCATTGCCAGTGGTATTCTGTTGTTATGAGGTTTAAATCACCTCCTCTCTCCATGGCATCTTCACCTTAAACCACTGGAACTGTTAGTCTAAAAAAATCCCCTTTAAGCAACAACAAAAGTTCCTTTAGTGCAGTTTTCTGTGTTTACATCTCAGCTCCTTTGGTAATAGTTCTTCCTGTTCCTATCCGGGGTTGAACTTCAACCAAGAACAAACACATCAGTATGAGAAGCAGCAGCTGTTTTAAGGTGTTACTTCCTTCACCTTAAATGCTCCTGAGCTTTTTCTGCAGCAGCTTTTTAAGGCCAAAGACAAACTCAGAGCTGTCTCTGTGACAGAAACACAAAGGTTCAAGGTGTCGGAGGAAAGTTCCTGCTGAGATAACTTTACCTTTATTCCCTCTTTAGTCCAAGTTTTTTGTATTTGAATTGTTCTCCTCTTAAATCTTGAACTAACACACCTGCATTAAACCAATTTACCAAAATTCACATAATTTTGATTCTGGAGGAAGAGGCATCAGAGGAAGTTACCCTGAGTTTAAATACATGAAATATCAACTTTTTGAAATACTTTTTATGTGCTCATTTTCATTAAAAAAAGGGAAAAAACACAGACAGTAGATAAGTAGCAACATGGAATCATATCTATAAAAGACTATATACTGAAAATATTTATACATATTCTGCACAAACAGAGGTGCAGAAAGGTCAAACAAACATTTTCTAAAAAGGTTAAGGAGTATTCTGTGATCTGAGATCACTGCACAAGTTATTTAAAGAAATATATCATCTCTAAAATGTGCTTTTCTGCTCTTTGTCATCCGTCTAAGCTGGTTGCTTCTTCCTTGTTGGTCGTTTACTTAACTTTTTCAGTCGAATCTTTGATGTTTTCTGAGCTGAACACGCCGCGCTGCAGGTTTTTATTTTTATCCTTCAGTCCTTCATCAAAATCATGAACCAGCTGCTCTTCAGATCAGTGTCAGGATCACTTTTAGTTTCGAACAGCCTCTACTGTAGCAGGGAAGTCACTGAGACACACTCACAGTACTACTTGTGTGTTTGTTTTATTATTGTCCCTCCAGGCTCCCGTAGTATCAGCCCGTACTGTACCAGCAGCTGAGTGAGGAGATGATGAATGCTTCTCTCTGTCTGTTCTGATTCTCACCGAGTCCCTGCAGAGCAATGAATACAGCTACTGAGGTCACACACGCACGCACGCACGCACGCACGCACGCACACATTTATAGAAATCCCCCTGTGTAGTCTGATCCAGAGTCCAGAGAAACAGGAAGTGTGTGAGGATGATTCACACAGCCCCCTGATTGGTCAGAGAGTCTCTGACCCGATCCTGAGGTCTGAGAATCACTCTGGACTCGTTCCCATGCTCTCTCTCTATTTCTGGAACTTTTCCAATTACAGCTGAGCTTCTTTTTTTGTCAACTTTAAATTCAAAACGTTTTGAGTAAAGTTTTCCATGTATCTGCTGAGAGTTGGGGCCTGTGTCCCCTGACAGAGATCATCTCAACAAGGACAACATTTCTCCATTCAGACTTAAGACCTCGGTTCAGTCCTTCCAGTTTTCTTTCATTCAGGTCCAGGTACAGACTTTTTATAAATCAATTTTCTAGAAATCTTAAATTCGCTCCCGTCCATCTCTGCTTTGTATGGGTTTCTTTGAGCAGCTATGTGTTGCGTACCTTCCTACACTAAAATCTTGAGGTGTTTCTACCAAAAACGAACTCTCTGCTATTGTCCAGTTTGACTTTGAAGCAGCCATCCTCTTTAAGTAGAGATATGAACCATCTGTATCTACATACAGGTATCAAACCGTCTTCTCGGGTCGTATTTCCACCCAGGAAAAAATGGAAATTTCAGTCAAAAGACTGAAAAAAATTAAAAATGTTTTCTGTAATTAAATGATCTTCTTAAACTGCCTCTTTCAGCTCCATCTTCTCCTTAAGTACCAGGAACTTTGTGTTTGAGAAACTACCTTAAGTGGGAACTATGGTTGTTTTTGCTCCTACTTGTGTGAACATTAAAAATACTTCCATCCAGCAGACATGCTGCACCTATAAACAACCATGCACATAATTCATCCATCAATTTCTGGGTGGATGATTATACTGACATTTTGAATCTAAAAACAGAAAAGTTTCAGTAATTCATCAAATTTGATCAAAAACCAACCTATAAAACTGCAACTGAAACCAATTCATAGTATTTTGATTGTGTATCCAGTGCAGTATGTACTGATTCTCTGTGGTGCACTAATATTTTCACCCTCGAGCCATGATGAAAGAAAACTGTGCACAGTTTGGCTTTGGCTGGAGAAGTCTTACTCTTTAAGTCATTGAGTAATGCTGTACTTCACTGTGAGACCTCACACTCTGTCCTGAAGGGGAAACATGAGGAAAACATTTAAGGACAGTAGAGATGTGTGGGGGATCAGTCTCTAAGAGGACAAACAAAGTTCTTTCAAAGTTTGAAGTGTCCTCCAAGTAAAAGCTCTTTCTGTGTCAGTGAACCTTAGTTTAGCTCTTTGACTCCTGATTCTGCAGTTTTACTTTTTAAAGCTCCTCTCAGCTGTGTGCCGTCCTCCCTCTCCTCTCTCTCTCTCTCTCTCTCTGCTAATCATCGTGAGAAACTCCTGCAGCAGACGCTCGGACATCCTCAGCGGTCTGCAGAAATGAGAGCTCAGCGGGAGATAATCACATTAACACAGACCTCTCCAATCCCAGCAGCAGCAGCAGCTTCAGGCCCTCAACAATGTACTGGTACCATGACAACCAGTGCCAGGACAACCAGAACCAACTTAATGACGCTAAAGTTGAATGAAGTCGTCTGGATCGAGGCAGGTAGATGTTTCTCTGTGTTTGACTGTTTTCTGACTAAAAAAGTATTTAATAAACTTTTTATGATGCAAATATAAATGAACCAAAAAGTCAGGAGACTAAAAATTGTATCATCTTCAATCATTTAATGTGATTTTAAAGTTACTTAAGTGCTTTTGATATTGAAGGAAAAGTTAATTCTGAAGAGCTGCTGTTCCAGACATTCACTTCTTCATAGTGATTCAAAATACTTGAGAGGATCTCCAGCATTTATATCTGAAACGGTTACCTTTTGATGTGATTATGCATTGAGTATGATAAAGACTTAAAACATTACATTTAAATTTCAGTTTTTGCGGAAAAAAAATTCAACAATAAAATAAAAAAATGGAGTCAAACAGCTGAAGCTGAGACAGGAAGAGGAGACACAGAGAGACGCTCACTGAGGAGGAAATAATGTGAACAGCTGCTGGTGTGAGAGCTCCGAGCAGACAGGTCACTCATCTGTGTGTGTGTGTGTGTGTGTGTGTGTGTGTGTGTGTGTGTGTGTGTGTGTGTGTGTGTGTGTGTGTGTGTGTGTGTGCAAATTGCTTTTATGTCCTTTGTCTGTTGCCTTCAGTGTGACCCCTGAGGACAAATAAACCTGCCATGAGAAGTGACTCTGACTACGTGTGTGTGTGCCTGTGTGTGTGTGTGTGTGTGTTTCTCAGACAGCCTTCTGCAGAGAGCAGAGTAAAAACTATCTTTATAGCCCCCCCCCCCCCCTCAACAATGTCTTTGTCCATCTTTTCTCCTCCTCTCAGCCTCCTCATGAGCAGCTCCATGTCCTCCAACCTCAACTTTCACTTTTCTCAGAGAGTGCTAACACTATGAAATCAATACCTCGCCGGAGAGCACTTCCCTCTTAATATCCAGTTAGTTCGACTGGTCTGAGTGCTTCATATCGTGCTTCATTCTCGTGTACTGTCTTTGCCCTGTACAGTCTCTGGAACAGTACACTTACTCATGCACAGTATGCAATCTGGACATGACGTTAAATCAATGCTACTGTTCAAAAACAATGGCATCAGGAGGCTCCTGAACAAAACCATACAACAAGCTGTAGAGTCAGTAACATTTCAATTGTGTTGGTCATGTTCATGCACAGTAAAATGGAGCTGCAGCCAAAGCTCGATGAGACAACTTGACTGGATTACTAACCTCATCCCAGTCTACAAGCACCAGGACAGAATCCATTTATTGACTCAGTATGTCCACCTCTGCTACAGTCGTTGGTGATACTCATCACTGTTGGTTTGTCCACATTCTAGCTCATACACCAAAACAGCTGACAAAGGCAAGAGGCTAACTGATTGATACTGAAGCATCTTTCCTATCTGTCTTCCTACAATGCATTTATGCTGTTTAACTTCAGGGTCAAGGCCTGACATGAACTGTGGAGCACATTCAGAACGCTCAGACTATATTGAATAAGAATGAGACGAACATGACAGAGACATCTATCCCCAGTTACATTATCCAGGTATGTGAATCCAACTGAGAAGTTCAGTTCTTCCGTTTGTGGTTCTGGTTTGGATGAGAAGGTTCAGAAATGTCTTCAAGATAAGAGCTGAGTGAGTGCTCGGCATAATAAGGAAAGACTTCCTTTGTTATCGATGTCCTTGAACAGGGGATACTGATACATCTTAGCATGATTAGGAGCTCCAAAACTCCTTATTTATCTCATTTCTGTGAAAACCCAAATTTTAGCTCTAGGGGTGTTACTTTTTACACAGCCATGCAGTCAAGAAACAACCTAAAAGCTGTGGCCTGTTATAGCAGTTACAGCTGCTGTTATGGCTTGTGTTTCTGACCTTCATAAAGGTCCTTCCAGTAGAGCAGCTCCATGTTTCAGTAACAGCTGAGACTCAAATCCAGCTCGTACTGGTCTTTGTTTCCAAAGCAGTCATGAGTGAAGTGGCGAGCGCTAACGGCTATAATGTGTCTGTTGATGCCTTTAAAAAAAAAAAGCTCCAAACTTCCCACTGTTTTCTGGAGCCTTCGTCTTTGGAGAGAGAAAGTGGCTGAGACTTTTCTGCAGGACCAAAAGAAGACTGAGAGGAACTTCAGAGATATACTGAACCAACAAAGAGCACAGGGAAGGAGGAACTGAACTACAGGTGGGCGTGTCTGACTGGACAACACAGGTTGTGACTATGTTTTTAAACAAGCCAGGGGACTCATCCTTCGATCTCATTGTTTTGAGACTTAATGGAGATTAACTGTCAATATTTAATATCATAACTGTGTTAAAGTTCAGCATAATGGGTCTCCTTTAAAAAGAGTATCTGCTGCTACACTGACACATAAAGCCTGTGCTGTAGAAACAGTTTAAAAGGCTGCTGACCTCCTTTCATTGAATCCAGATTTGCATTGATCTGCTGAGAGGATCAGTGAAATCCTGTCTCACAAACCTCACTGCAGTTATGGTCAGTGCAATATTTTGATTATTCCGCATGGTGCAGATCGTCTTCTCAGTCAAACAGAAACTTTACTGAAACAGATTTATGTTCAGGGTGCACAGCAAACATAAGCTGAGAGTCGGATCTGCCGCTCTGCTGGAGCAGAAACGTGAGCAGACGGTGAGGAGTTTTAGCGCTGTGATGATACCAAACACGCCACATGTGAGCAGGGAGGAGGTAACAACGATGCAGCAGAAACACACGCAGAGCCGTCAGTCTGCAAACACCCAGAAAACAGAAAACAGTCATTAGAGACCAGACATCCCTCTGCTCCGTGTGTTTCTCTAACAAATTTGCTGGAGTTTGTTTGATTTATTTCAGGTACTTTACTTTGCATCACACTGAGAGTTCAAGTGCAGAATAAAAAAGGAGGAAAGCACACCACCTTTGTTTGCAAAGCAATGCAGAGAGGTTATAAGATTTTCACAACTGTAATGCGTGAAAAATAATGCAGTAAGTGAATAGTTAAAACATTATCCTAACATATCCTCATATATCCCTTTAGCTAAAGATATATGTTGCTATGGGGAACCATCTCTTCTCAAAGATATCCAACCGTAACTGCAATTGAGCAGCCTCCATTCATACACCTCGCTCAGATTCTGTTTCCACTGTGAATTCCTCCATTGAATTCCTCCATTTTACTGTCATCCTTTTCTCAGCAGTCATCAAGATTATATGTAGCAGGTATTTTTGGTCTCTGGTGTACTTGTCTCCAGGGGTTAGATCGAGAAGAAACTGACTTGGGAGTGAAAAGTACATAATTTCCCACAACTTAACCTATCTTGCTCTTCACCTCTGTCCAGAAAGGAGGCAACACTGGGCAATCCCAAAATATGTGTGAGTGGTCACCAACCATCCTACACTCTCTCCAACAGTATATTGCAGCAGGGTTATCTGCAAATTTAGAAACCACCGAAGACACCTTAAAGTCTTCATCTTCCAATCAAACTCCTTTCACATGTTACTATTAATACTCTTATGACATCAAGTGCATATTGTTCCCCACTCTAATCTTCAATTACAACATTTAACTTAGGCTCCCATTTATTTTTGAGATAGAAAGTATAGTCTGGTGTATTTAATAACGAGCAGGCTCTTTGTTGGGTTGCTGATGTTTAGTTAGACTAATAAAAGTTAGTTTCTCTGTTCGATGGAGCATTTTTATAGTATTCCAATCTTTATGATTTGTGATATGATGCCTGATCTGAAAAAAAAGAGAGAAAATCTCTTCGGGGTGAAAAGATTGAATATTTCTTGAAGATATGAACATGGCTGTAAAACATTGTCACGGAATAACAGGTCAATAACCTCCAGGTCTCTGCCTGCCCATGTTGTGGTGGTTTTGTTATCAGGAATAAAACTGTACAAATCTACAAAAACAATCACTTGAACCTGTTTGGAAAAATAAGGAAGCAGGAAATCATCAGATCCCCTCTCTTATTTAACAGCTGATGCATAAAAAGCTGTCTGACAGATATAGATATAGTCTGCTACTAGTTTATGATCAAGTTGAGGATGTAAAGCTGTGTCTATATATGAAGACTGTGTTTATGCATAGACACAAAACCCTAAAAACACTCTGAATTTGAGATTCTGATCCTTAATCCAGGATACAAGCACCGGGTAGGAATCTAGTTCTTGACCAAGAGGAAGTCTGCCCCTCTTTCAGCTCATCATTATTGGGCCAACTCCGAGATGATCTTTTTCATTATGTACCAAAATAACCAACAGAAATTAGCAGGAGACTAACTGATTCTTTGTTGAACAGTGAAACTGAAAAATTTGATTTATTGTGATTTCAATCAGACTAACGTGTATTTTTAAAGTCCAGTTTCAGTCAGACCAAAATGATAAAGGAACCTTTTATACAATATATAAATAAACTGAGTGTGGCTTTAACTGACTGATTTAGATGTCATGTCCCAGCTCCAGAAACTCTCTACCTCTTTGTCTAACAGGAAAACTTCACACTCTGAAGGATGTGTGAACACACAACTTTAAAACAACAGAAAACAACAACCTCTCTCACTGTCTTCAGTGTTAAACTTCACTGTATCTTCTTTTCTCCTCAAACACGTTACACTGGCAGAGATCTGTCTTTGTTTCTGTCTGCTGAAGTCTTTTTAAATAAAGTTTTTCAGTTTTTTTATTTTTTATTTCCCAGTTTTTGGCGTAAACCAGCAGATTCTGTCCTCTGTTTTTGAGTCCAGGTGTGTGTGTGTCACTGCTATTACTGAAGCAGGCCTGGGCCTGTCTGTAACACACAGACCCACACACACAGACCCACTTACTACAGCATTCCTCAGCCTCCACATACAAACACACAACTCTCCTATTACAGCACATTCCTGAGGTGTCACAACACACACATTTACACACACACACGCACACATACACACATTCCCACTCACGTACACACACAGACGTTAGATATTTTGCATTTCATCACAAGAATAGGAAAAAATAAAACAAACGGCAGCAGAGATCCTGTTTTTCCTTCCTCTCTTTGTGTTATTCTGCTCTCTCTCTTTCTCTCTCTCTCTCCCTCTCTCGCCCCCTCTCTCTCTCTCCCTCCTCTTGTCCTGTCTTGGCACGTCAGCTCCTTGTTGAGAAATGTTCTTGGAGCTCCCGGCTGATTTGTAGAGCAGCAGGAGGAATCCTGGATCCTGCAGGACTCAGACCTCTGCAGCAGTTCACAGCCTTACTTAGCGAGCTCAGACCTCTTATGTCAGCCAAGCTTTACTTTATTTTACCCACATTTCTGTAAGTATCTGTCAGGAGCCCATTATACTCAGATTTCTCTGAGAGCTGAGAGCATAAAGTCAAAAACTGTTTGTTTGAGTACAGAGTTAAAAGGGTTAGGGAGAAGACCTCCACTCATGACTGTGAAGTTTTTCATCCTAAAAGAGTAAAAGCTTTTAGCGTTTTTGAGAAACGCTTAGAGCTTTCACTGACAGGGACCTGACACAGTCTGGTGAAAACAATTTTAATGTCTTTGTAGTCCTGAAGTAGCTTTTAATAAGCAGAGGAAATAACCAGATTATTCAGATCAGACTTTACAATGACATGTTTTTCAGGGAGAATATTAAACTGAGGATGAGCAGTTCATGTGGACATTTATCGAAACAGCTGATAGTCCTGTAACTCAGTCTGCATCTTTACTCCTCCTATCTGATGAGGCAGAGGATGGGGAGCTGCTGCTCTGTTCAGATCAGCTTCAGAAACCCTCCTTGTGTCTGACTGAAGGTCAGAGCTGTGATTGGTCACCTGTGCACAGGTAAACTCAGATGAAGGTCTTCTCTGAAGTTTCATCAGTGTTCATTTTTTAGTGCGGAGCTTTGAGAGGAAACTGTCTGAAATAAATCTTCAATGAGGTTTTCAGCTCCAGCAGGTAAACAAAGCTAATACTCCAGTATGTTCCTCTACATCTGTAAATCTGAGAACTAGAGGGGCGGCCAGAGGAGACTGCGAGATCCCATTTAGAAAATCTGTATTTGGTCAGTCAGTTTTTTCTTGTAGGGCAGGCAAGGATTGGAACACAATACCACAAAACATAGGAGAGTCCAATTCATACAGAGCATTTAAAGTAAATTTGAAGAGGTGGTTACTTGAAAACCAAATTTGTTCTTATTAGTTGGTTGGCGTGCTTTCGGGTGGGTAATGTTGATGTTGTAAATATTGTGTATTATGTATGTTTTTATGTAGTTGCTGATTTCCCACCTTTTTAGATCGCCATGTTCCTTCTGGCAGGGGGACTACCAATGGAAACTAGCCTTGTGGCTACTATTGGGTCCATTTTCATTTTATCTTTTTAAAATGTTCATTAATGTACACTGTCCCTCTTTAACAAATAAAAAAAAAATTCTCCTCTGTCTCTTTGACTGATGGTATCAGAGGAGGAGGAGGAGCAGCTGCTCTCAGAAATGACTTAAATACAGACAACATTAAATCCAGACTGTTCATTCATTCACACTCTTCCACACTGACAAAGTTTCTGCTCTTTCTCACAGTTTAGGATCAACGAGATCCTCTGAACAGCAGCAGCTTTGAGTCCTGATGGAGTTTGTAAAGTCTCTGTTTTAACAGGCGATGATCCCACAGAGGAATTCATGCCTGCAGGCTACGACTAACAGCACGCACACACACACTGAACACACACAGCAGCAGATTGTGTAGCTTGCAGCAGAGAGGCGTGGCTCACTGTTGCTTAACCTGTTGACTGAAAATCCTGCAAGGAACTTGTGAAAAGCCACTCAACGCTGTTACAGGTAGAGAGCTGGGTCAAAACAGACACTCCCTACGCGCGAAAGAAGAAGATCGATTTCAAACAAAAAAGAAAAAGAAAAACACAAAAGAAAACATACAACACAAATCTCTGCTGAGCGTTTTCCCTTTTGTTTGACACCAGCGTGAAGGGAGTCAGTAGATACGTTTACACATCTGAACAGACTGAAAACAGCAAAAAGAGTGTGACCCAACACCTTCAGAAATAAGTGTGTGTCATTCACACCAATAGAGCTACAAAGCTGCACACACCTGTGTTTAAAGGCTTTACTGCCCTGCACTCACACAGGTAACAAAGAACTGCAGACACACCCTGAGATCACTGATGATGAGGAGCTGAAGCCTTCATCCTGCACTGATAACAACAGCTAAAGACACACAGCAGCTACAGGTAAAGAATAACAGATTCAGGTAAAAACCTCAGCTACAGGTAAAAACAGCAGTGTGAAGTGTGGAGGTGTTTGTGGAGGTGAAACCTCAGGGGGATGAATCCGCTCCAACCTCAGCTCTGACTCTGTTCTCTCTCTCAGAAACCTGCAGAAAGCTGCAGCTCAGACTGCAGGACAACAAACAGCAGCTGATTCATGCACCACGTTTTACTGTATTATGACAAACCACAGGTAAGAAAACACAGGTGTGCACTGAATACAGCAGCATGAGCACAGGTTAGCCTTGGAAAACAGGCTGTAAAGTCTGCAACATCACAACATTTGTTATGCTCTGTCATAAAAACATGCGTTTCTTCATCATATGATATCCTTAATTTACAAACACAGCTGTACAGAGGAGATCATGAGTTATCACACAGACACTCTGAATAACTATTTTGCAATTAAATGAGCAAGAACAGCTACACTATGACCCAACAATTACATTGTCATGTTGTGATCACTGACTAAATCATCAATAGGTCCATGTACTGAAGGACAGATCATCCTGCTGCGCTGAGAGAGAAGAGATCCCTGATCATGTACTGGTATTAAGGTTATGGACCGGACTGATTGTTCTGCTGTATGCTTTATTTCTTATGGTATAAGCCATATGTCATAAAGTAAACTATCTGATGGCAGACAGAGAAAAAGCAGTCAGCAGAGTCCTCCTCCTGATATCGGTGTAGAGTAAAAGTCTCTAAACTTCATCCTGATCAGAGACTGTATGGCTGATCATGCCCTCCTTATTAACAGAGATGTTTTTTTCTGCCTGACAGGTCTTATTGTTTCCACCGTCCCTCCGTGTCCCTGTGGTATACAGCATTTAAGTAAAAATAAACTCTGGCACTTTAGGCATACTACACCAAAGTCCACCCATTTCAACCATGCCAGAGCCAATGAAGTGCACCTCATCTGGGCCAGGTACAGAGCACTCAGTGGTTAAGGACTGACTGGAGTGAGAGTCCCAAAAGGTTCTCCGACCTGTGTGATTTGAGTCAGTCCAGAGCAAGAAGACGACCCTCCATCTGAATCTCAGTGACTCTCAGAGACTCTATAGCTTTAAAAGAGACCGGGGTCACTCAGCAGAAACCTAAACTGAAAATGGAGTCATCATCAAATATTCTGTGCATGAACAGCGGGCGTCCTGCAGCCCTGACGTTTTCACCTGCTGAGTGTGACACCGCAGAGCTGCTGATGTCCACAGTAACAGACAGAAGAAGGTAGGCCTGGACGATATAGAAAAAAAGCATATCGATAAAAAATAAATCATATTGATCGATATCGATAATTATCGATATAATTATTATAATTATTTAACATATATTTTAATTGCAGCCCTGGATGTTTTATGCTATTGCTTAATGACCTATTTTTAATAAAGAACACACAAGCACTGAATTCAAATTCAAACCTTTTTTCAACCACCTTTTTTATTTTACCACAACTGAAAGTTTTTTAAAAAAGAACTAAAAAAAAAAAAGAAATCAACTTAAGTGGCCTGAGTGACGTCAGTAAATACTGACAAACATAAAGACTAAAGTGACCAGAAAATCTGATAAATAAATATTTAAATAGTCTTTTGATGAAAATAAACAAAACAAACAAATATATAAATAAACAGAATAGCTTTAGGTGGGAATAGCATACTACCAGTTTTAACTGTGTGGGAAACTGCCCACAGCCTGGTGTCTGAACACTGAAATATTTCTCCCGGGGTCGGGAGATTTATTTTTTTTAATTATCATGTGATTGACTTAATACACAAACTAAGCACGAGAAGCAGGACTTATCCACGCCAGTGTTGTGTCGTAGAATGCACCCCTGCCGAATGCACCCCCTGCTGGTAGCCATGATCCAAATACTCGCGTCTTTGTAAAATATTAGCTCATTCTAACGTATTTCCTCCGCACCCTTCTCACCTTTTCAACCCCTGACCCATTTTCATGCCTGAAGCGCTGTGTTTGAGAAATACTTGCGGCCGGGCACTTCATATCGCGGGTCGAGAGTGGCTAGAAGCTGGTCGAAGCCAGGCTTTTCAGCGGTAGTTATTGGCAGTATGTCCCTCGCTATGGAGCATGTTACTGCATGGGTGATGTCCTTATGCCGCTCGACGCTTTGTCGTATTTTGGCAAGAAACGAAGTCCAGTTTGGTCTGCTTCACATGCTTTGTGCTGGTGCTGGCAGCGGTTCCAGAGGATTCCTCCGACGATGACGTGGAGCCGCGGCGCGGCCGACACAGCTCGTACTCCTGCGGGTGCGATCGGTTTAGATGGTAAAACAAGTTGGTTGTGTTACCAGACTTGGTTTTTACTAATTCTCTGCAAATTTTGCAAACGACCGCTGTTTGCTTCTTGTCAGACTTCTAAAAACCAAAACATTGCCATGCTGGTGAACTACTGAAACCTTTTTTCGGGACAATGTCCTCCGCTTCTCCTTGCTGTATCATTTCTTCTAATACACGTGCTGTCTGTTGTGGTTTGAGAGGGGCTGGGCTTGGTGCCGTAGCGTACCTGGTTCTGCGTTTGTGATTGGTTGGGAGGAAGTAATGACTGTAGTAAAAGCTACATGATAGGCTATGATGAAAAAGAAAGGGAAACTGTGTTTTTCTATCGAACTTTATATCGACCCGTTTTTTTTCTATCGCACCACACGTCTATCGATCGATATATATTGTTATCGAATTATCGTCCAGCACTAGAAGAAAGTGTCTTTTTTTCCCTCCATTGTTCAAAAACTACAAACTAGGTAAATGTAGGGATTTTGAATTCTGTTCAACTCAACCTCAACATTTCTGTGCTTCTGAAGGACTTGAGTGAATTCAAGAACAGCCTGCATGGACAGAGCTCCCCTCTTAGTCCTCAGTTTGGTCCAGTTTTTGAATTCTGGGTCATCTTATCCTCTAACAACTCCTTCCTGCAAACAGCAAGCAGGAGAAGTAACACAGGCGGAGAATGAATAAGTGTCCAGGTGTGCAGGGCTGCAGAGGAGATGACTCCTCTCTGCTGATGTGGTGCAGGCTTGTCAACCTTTGCAGGCATAAATCCAGGGCTCTGACACTTTGAAATGGAAATCCATGACAGGAACACAAAGCTGAGCTTGTGGTGGGTTTATACACGCACATTTTCACTGACAAACTTTTTCAAGTCGTATCTTTTTAAAAATCTTTCCATCTTGAGAAACTCTGCGCAACTTATTTGGTCATTATCCAGGAAAAATGTCTGCTGTTCTCCGCAAATCAGCAAACAGAGCTCAGGACTCATTGGTTTAGTTTGGTGAACGAGAACAACTTTAAACACAAACTAAAGACTCAGTGCATGATGTCTCATAAAATTTCAGAAGTAGTGTAAAACCTCCCACATCATGTCAGCTTTAGTTTCTATTCTGAACACACACCCACGCACACACACCTACACACACTTACACACACACGGCCTGCCAACACCTGACACATTTATAGGACCACTCTGCTCTAGTTTTCTGATGTGAGAAAAAAGCATCAGACTCTGAGACTCTGCGGTTATTCCGAGGGGTCACTGAGACAAAACGGTCCACTTCCTGTGGGGACCATCCCACAGCCTGATGGTATGTGGGTCAAAGGTCATGGTGAGCTCTGAGTCAAGCTCTCTGGCATGTCTGAGTCACAACGAGGACAGATCTGTTCAGGACGAACCGTCACGAACGTTCAGTCAGAATATTTACTGACTGACACCTGTGTGTGTGTGTGTGTGTGTGTGTGTGTGTGTGTGTGTGTGTGTGTGTGTGTGTGTGTGTGTGTGTGTGTGTGTGTGTGTGTGTGTGTGTGCATCCTGAAGTAGACGGGGGGAATTCCTGCCGTAGCGTGGGTGACTCAGGGGGTGAGTCAGGAGAAATGCTCGGGCACAGAGATCTGTTCTGACACAATGAGGCTCACAGACTCTCGGTCAGTCTGCAGATTCACGCAGCAGGACAAACAATCACATTTATGTTCATATCGAGGCTGAAACAATATCAAAATCTCTCCTCATGATCACTGCAGCCAAAAGAACGACATTAACAGTGTTCCTGTGATACCTCTGGAAACCACTAAAGCCCCACTAAAGACTGATGGAGCGGCATGTTAATATCAGTAAGAAACACACTGACTCTCTGACATGTCATGACCCATTTTCAGTGAGGTTCAAAGTTTTCCCAGCATTACCCTCCCTGTGATTAAAGCTTTTTTTTCCATGGAGACAGACTCATTTAATGGTTGTTTGTCATGCTTTTATTTTGACATTTTTACTGTCTTTCACACTGAAGAGGTTCACTCAGCCTGTCGATGATAAATTTATAAGACGGTTCATCTATAAAGGCCAGAAAAGTTAAAAAAATAAACGTTTTGTACCTCTGCAGCCTTCATCATGTGGCATCTCTGATGAAGGCTGCAGAGCGAGGTAGCCGAAACTTCTCAGGTACAAAACATTTATTTTTACCTTTCTGGCTTTTATAGATGAGCCGTCCTATAAATTTACTGTCTTTCGTTTGTGTAACAGAGTCAAATATGCAGATAGGTTTTTACACAGTTCAACTCATACATGGAAAACTATTCCAACTCTGTGCTGCAAATAAATGTAAATGTTAAGTTGTCGTAACAGGCTGAAATATTTATATGATTCTACTATTGTCTATGGGTTAGGTTGGTTTATTTCTTCGATCATGAAGTGTGCTTTTATTTTGAAAGGATGCGCATGATACTCACAGTCGGTCTTAGTGAATGAATTAGGCTGAAAGTACTGAGCAGGTAGAAGCTCCATCGCTGCTTCTGCATTAAAAGTTTCTCTGTTATAAAAGCATGCAACCATCGTACATAAGGATGCTACAGCTAGCATGCTAGAAGCAGCTGCTGCTGCTTTGTCTTTCTTTCCTTTAATAGCAGGTGACAACCAGCATAATAACCACAGTGGCCCTAAAGACTGAACCCATGAATTACAGGGTATTACAGAAGGCTTATCAAAGAGATGGTCATCAACAGCACTGTTAACTGCAACAGCCGGAATTAAGACACATATATATCCACAATAAATGAGACAACAGCTTTCAAGACTACCAAACTTTTTTACTGTTGGCAATGATTTCAACGTTTTTTCTTTTTTTTTTTAATTTTAGTTTATCGGCACATTTGTTTTGGAATTTTGTATTTCTAAAAACTTTTGCACTTCTTGCAATTTTTTACATTTGCTTTTGAAATTTCCATTTTGGGTGAGTAATTTGTTTTCTTTTCTTTTCTTTGCTTTTTTTGTACTTTGGTTTTTGATTTTATTTATTTTCTTTTTCAAAGTTGTAATTTTTTCTATTTTTGCAGCAGCTTAATATCATGGAGACTGTTTGGAGGCTGTTTCAGATTTAACCTCGTTGACTACTGTGCAGAGGGCTCCTTCTCTAAATAACAGAGTATTTGTGAAAGCCGTAAAAATACTGAATAAAGCTGCTTTCCAAAAAAAGAAAAAAAATCTGTGATTCCCCGGGGGTCCTCTGCAGGGTTTAGAGGGCTTCTCTTTGACCCTTTGCTACCTTTAGATCAGCTTAGAGTCTGATAACGTAGGACGACAGGACTGTGTGATGAACACTAAAGGCCTGCTGTACAGGAAATCATCTGAGTTTGAATTTGTCAAACTAAAAAGCTTGGAATCAGGTGAAGCTTTAAAGGTCAGCGTATTCCTCAGAGGAAAGAACAGAAGTATTTTTGTACCGATGCTGTTTTTTAGACTCAGCCTCATGTGCAGCTCCATCGGGAAACTAAACTCACACTCATGGACATCAACTACCAAAGCCATAAATCTGACGGTCCTTTTTTAACAAGCGTATACTTGGAGGCACCTCAGTTTCTTTTCATGAACATTATGAGGTTTCAGTCCCATCAGAAACACTGACAGTCTGCAGATGGACACAAACCTTCTTTTAGTGTCGGTTCCAAATCAGAAACATTGACTTTTATAATCGGGAGGAAAACTGTAAGGGTGATTCTTTGTATGAATGAGTGAATCTGATATCCTCTAACACACACACACACTTCTCAGTGGTATGAGGGGAATCCTCTCAGTCTATTTTAAACCTGCTCTGTTTCCTGGCCCCGTTAACTGCTCCTCACCTCTCAGACTCCACGTCTCTGCCGTCTTTAAGAAAAACCTGGAGAGCATTTCCACAGACTTTCTAAAGTCGAGTAGAGATGACACATTACAACGTAAACAGTCAAGCTAGACAGTACCTTAACCCAGACACCTTAATCCTGTTTTTACATCACATCAAACTCTTACAGTTAAGTTTGTGTTTGAAACAGAGAGACACACGTGAGAGTATCATGAGCCCAGAGAGCTCCAGGTCTGAGACAAAGGACTGAAACAGCATCTCTACAGTTACAGCCATGGGAGTATTTCAGGACATTAAAGGAAATGTAAAGACCTGGACCTAAACGTAGATAACTAGCCTGACAAGAAGCCTGCATGTACCTTTTTAAAGGGACACTTCAGTATTTTTGATGTAAGGTTGTCTGTAAGGATGTCACAGTGTACTGTAGCCTAGCATGTGTGCGGGGTCTCTCTGCAGTTTCTCAGTAAAGGGGCCGAACTGTCTGACATCCACTTCCAAGAACTATATATGTCTCCTCGTGTACTCATGTAACAAGCTCACTTAATAATTCTGAAATATCCCTTTAACCTTTTTAAATTTCTCAGTCTTGTGATGTTGGAAAAAAAAAACGACAGATCTTTTCTTTCTCCGTCTGCTTTTCTTCATTTCTGAATTAATGGAGCTTCTGAAGCGACAAACAGTAATTAGCAGCTTTACTGAGCTCCACATTTATCCAATTACATTCCCGGCAAAGTGAATTATTCCTGAATAAACAAATAATGAGGTGACACAACATGGCAGCGATGTGCAGTCAGTGGGAGAGCTTTGACATGGCTGCTTCTACACAGCAGCGTTATTTTATATTAATTACACACTAATCACTGCGTGTAATTACTGCTTACACACACACACACACACACACACACACACACTGCTTGACTGTGTGTGCCACATTCCTCACTGTGCAGTCACACACACACACAGACACACACACAGACACACACACACACACTGTGACACTGCGCAGAAAGCTCTCAAACAAAAGCAGCAAAGGACTTCAGTCTGCTGCCAGTTTCTCTCCATCTTTCCTCCCTCTCTTTTCTCGCTCTTTCACTTAATCTACGTCACGTTCACTCCTCACACTCGTCCCTTCGTCCTCTCTCTCTCTCTGCTCTCCTCTTTTTCTTCTCTTTCAGCCCACTGATCACTCCGCTCTGTCCTCCAGCCATAAAACCTTCATCTCTCTGCACTTTCCTCTGAGTCAGCACAAACACACACCACCACCACGGTCCTCTCTCTCTCTCTCTCTCTCTCTCTCTCTCTCTGCCCCCCTCTCTCTCTCTTTTCTTTCTTTCTTTTTCTTCCTGGAGCTGTAATAACTCAGAGCTCTGCTGGGCTCTCAGTCTGTGCAGCGATGCATTCAAGGAGCAAAGTTTAGAAGAAAACTGAGCAGTGTCTTCAGGAGGCCTCTGCACAAACACTGACTCACTTTTTATCAACATTTGGTGGAAAACCACAAAAAAATACCACAACTTAACAACTTATACATCCACAAACCAAAAATAAACTCTGTACAATCAACACAAACACAGACAAACACAAGATCTCTGGAAATATGAGATTTCTCTTTATGCAACTCTGTCCTTTTTGTCCCTCCACATTCCTCCACAGGAAAGTGAAGTTTCCCTGACCAGTGTGTGTGTGTATGTGTGAGAGAGAGAGTGTGTGTGTGTGTGTCCACTAACTCTAATCCCCTCTTGACAAACACAAACACACACATGCATAAACACACACTCACACACTCCCCTCTGAGCAGCAACAAAAGGTAGGAATCTGCAGAGAAAATGTGAACTCCACTCTCCCTCTCCTCCCCCTTCCCTTTCTTTGCCCTCACCCTGCCTCCCCCCTCACACAGCTGGGAGTGAGTCCTGTTAAAACACACACACACACACACACACACACTGAAGGAGCTCACAAACAGCCTCTCACAGCTCACACACACACACTCACCAGATAGTTCATGTTGTGTTGCTGCAGTGAGGAGCTCCTCGCTCGCTCGGTCAGTCGGCTGATCTGGGGCAGGGCTGGACCTCAGCCCCTCTCTCACTCTGCCAACAAGATCCTTCACCGTAAAGTAGATCCCAAAAGATCCTAGAACTCCTCTACTTCCCCTCCTACACTCCTTCCTCCCTTCCTTCCCTCCTCTGTCCTTGAATCCTCCTCCCTCTCTCCTCTTTTCCCGTCTTCTTGGCTTTGGTTTTCAGGATTGGAGCAGATCCCGACACATTCTGCCACTCCGTGATCTCACACAGCAGGAATGAGACGGCTGCTGCTGCTCCAACACTTACTCCTACCTCGCTCGCCCCTTCTCTCTCTCCTTCCCTCTCTCCCTCCCTCTCTCTGCCTGAGGAAAAAAAGAGGGAGGAGTGTGTAACCCGACACGTCACTTCCTCTTGGATCCTGATATTCCCTCGGCCCACTCTGGACCTCGGCCTGAGGAGCTCCTCTCATGCAAATACACTCTGCCCTCCCCCCGTCTGACCCACTCTCACCCCCTCTCCCTTCCTCTCTCTCTCCCCCTGGCTGTGAGAGGCTGACAGTGCATTAAAACACTGCTGCAAAAATCGAGAGCTGAACATGAACTCACCCACAGCTCTGCAGCTCACAGAGGAGGTTTAAACTCAATTGAAATCTCACTGATCCTCAAGGCAAATACAAAAGTTCAACAAGAAACAAACTTTTTATCTCCAGCTTTACTCTCAAAATCAAATCATCATTGATTGGAACATTGAAGGTGACAAGAGTGACTTGTCTTGGCCATGAATCTTCTACATCTGTGAAGGCTCCATTTATGCTGAATAATATCTACAGGTTTAGGAGCAACATCTGCTGACATCCAGACAAAGACTTTTTCAGAGAAGACCTTCATATTTCAGCAAGACAATGACAAACCACATTCTGACAACAGGGATTACAACAGCATGGCTCTGTAGTAGAAGAGTCCTGCTGAGAAACTGGTCTGACTGCAGTCCTGACCTGTCCCCCATTGAAAACATCTGGAGCATCCTGACACCATAACAAGGACAGAGAGCTGAGGACACACGATGGTGAACATAGGGCTGGGCGATATGGCCTCAAATCAATACCACAATATATTCAGCAGTTCACCTCGACAACCATAAACGGATGATAACTACTCCACAAGCTGCTCACCCTCTCCCACATTAACTTTGTCTACTTCAGCCGCCCCTCCAGCCGCTACAACTTTTGAACCGTCCTCCATCTCCTCACCTGTCTTTCCCTCTTTGTTATAGACTGGATGGGGTGGAGTCATGTCTCCAACGTAGGACAGTGTCTTAAAGGGACCTGAGACCATAGCCTACCTACACACATCCAAAACCAACTATTATTAATTTTCTTGACACCATCTATATTGACATGGGAAAAATGACGCCAGTTGTTGTCGCAAATTTCGGTATAGGTAAATTTTTAGTTTATCGCCCAGCCCTAGGTGAACATAAACTTAATTGAAATGTGTTACTGGCATCAAATTTGAAGTGAACATTTACTATTCCAGACAGTTCTAAAGATGATTTTACATTTTAAACGCATATTTGTCCTGAGCCTGAAACGACCACATGATAAGTTAAGTAAATTCCAAAAACAAACCAAATGAGAACATTAAAAAAAATCAAAAATATGATGTACTAAGTCAAAATGATGAGATAAGTGATAAGTACGAAATTTGGCTTAATTTCATAGTTATGACTTTTTACCAGTATCTTTTATCATGAGACACTGTTTCACCCACAGTTCAGAATTTTCCTTTCATAAAAATGGCTTTTTTTCACATAATGACTTATTATGACTGATTATCCTTTTCTATTTGGGACAGCCTCGAAAACAAGATGATGCAACTTTAGGGATTCACACTGAAACAATAAGTAAATATCACAATTTCATCTGGTAGGTTTGACTTTCTATCTCATATTTGAGTTTTTTTGTATTCTATCATTGTGACTAAATATTCATGAATTTCCTCCATTAAATCCCAGTTTTCCCTCTTTTTGTTTCACTGGTGGAAACACTCGTTCATACTTTTATGTCTTTTTTCTCCTTCTTACACAGAGGTGTTTGACAGGAAGTGATGTGTGCACCTTGTCTCTTCTGATATCTGCTGAACAGTCGTCACATTGTGTTTGCTGACCACACTGTACCCGCCATCCTGCTGCACATTCCTCACACCTACACACACTCACACACACACACACACACACACATACACACTCTCTCTCTCTACACACTCACACACACTGGGTGACCTGCCCCCTGCCCTCTCTGACCGGCGCCCTGGACAACAGCGGCCTCTGTCCTGCTGACCTATAAATGTGGCGTACATACCGCCGAGAACAGAGAGCATTCATTCAGGATTAACTGATGTGGGTCAGAGCCGGTCTGGATGTGGAGAAACAGGAAGTTTTTCACTGAGTGTCTTTACCCACAATTCAAGGTCAAAGACACTCTGACAGGTGTTTCTGTGTCGAAGACAGTCTGTCCATCTTGAATCCTCCTTGAAATCTGAATCCTCCTTGAAGAGGACTGGGTATAATCAGCAGATAAACATTCAACACTGGCGTCTGAGACTTCAGTTTAAGGTTGCCTTCACAGACACACACACACATATGCACGCACGCACGCACATGCGCTGACACAGCCATGTGACACATCTGAAACGAAACAAAAGAATTCCAGGTTTCAAATCTCTGACGCAGCGACACAATCACAGGAAATGAATGTCATATTGGTACACACCGATCCTATTATGCTGCTGTATGAGTGTGTGTGTGTGTCTGTGTGTGTGCGTATCAATGATCCCTTTGTCTGCAGCCTGCAGCTCGTGCTGAATTGGAAAACGTGCCCTGATGTCTGAAGGTTTCAGCACAGATCTGCTGCTCCCAGATTTCTGTTTCTGTTTCAAAGTCTTTGTTAAAACTCTGTCCCAGCCCCAGTCTAATACAGTGTTCCTGTGTGTGTGTGTGTGTGTGTGTGTGTGTGTGTGTGCGTGCGTGTGTGCGTGTGTCATAAATAACCATTAGCTCATTTACACATTAGTATATTAGTATTTATGATCTGATTCATGAACATAGAAATAATCTCACTGAGGTTGGAGTGTCTGTGTTTGGAGCTCTGGATTCAGAGGGATGACTTTCTGTTATAATGAGCAGCTAAATGACACACACACACACACACTCTCAGCTCATCAGTAAGTGTGTATCTGTGTGTGTGTGTGTGTGTGTGTGTGTGTGTGTGTGTGTGTGTGTGTGTGTGTGTGTGTGTGTGTGTGTGTGTCAGGCGCTGGAGCAGAGCAGCGAGCTGACAGGGTTAATGAAGTTATTAACCACAGAGAGGCTCCTCCTCACACTCTGACATCCCTCTGACTCTCTTTCTAATTCTGGATCATTTTTTAATCCACCCTAAGTCGAAGGGTTCGGACACAGCCGTGACCCTTGAGAAACAATGAAGCGAGCTCAGAAACATCAAAAACTGCAGTTCCTCAAGTGTCCACTAGAGGCAGTGTCCTACTGTGAGTCAGTCCTCTTAGAGCTCCATGTTAAACTTTACAGCAGAAACAATCATGTTCACAGCAGTCACCCTGGATAAATTTAATCCGAATCACGACCTTTGACTGTGTAAGGACTCATGAGATTTGGATTAAGCAACTGTGCACATGAAAAAAACAACTCTTTTTTTCCCACCGCAGGCGAGACAATGACGAGCTAAAAATGAATCACAGGTTTTATTTTCATTAACGAGACAAGACAATGTTGTTCAAGGTGGACTGTCAGGCATCTAAAACCAATTTTATGTTGTCCACTGTAAATCTAATCTGTCCTCTTAAATATGAGCAGCGGTTCCTGTAATGGGCTCAGATGGTTGAAAGTCACAGTGTTTATTGTCACCATCAGTGCAAATCCTCCTGTCTCATTGTTGCTCATAAACTCCTCCGGATAGATGTTGGTGGCAAAGACTAAACCGAGGTGATGTCTGATAAATGTTAACTGTTTGTTGCAGTCAACGTTAACAGTCATGATTAGGAACTCTAACCGGACTCCCTCTCTTTCACATGTATGATAGCACAGCTTCTTCTTCGTCTTCTTCTTCTGTAGAGGTTTTGTTTCCCACCCGACTTTCTATCACATTTATGCTGTTTACTGTAAGGGTTCGACATGTGAGCATGCTCAGAACGTTCAGGTCTGACTGAGGTGTTTACATGCAGGAGCTAACTCATACCACACCACAGTATAAAGGTCCTTACACACCAGCCAATTTGCAGAGCGAAGCGAAAAAGTGAGACGAAAATGCGAAAATATTCACCGGTCCGAAAAATCGCTTTCGCTTATACACACCAGGTGACCACTCTGTGGTACACACTCTCCCCCATCGTTGCTCTTGGTGCCAGTGGTGGTGTCTGTCGTGTGAACTGCAGCCGCATGGGTCTGTGACGTCATCAACAACATGACTTTTGATTGGCCAGAGGTCTAGCAGGTCCAGATATTTGCCTGCGAATCTCCGAAAAATTTGACACAAGAGCGAAAAAATAAAAGATGCTTTTCGCCCCGCAGAAAAATCGCCGCCGGTGTGGAAGCTTGCATTGACTTTATGCTGTTTTAAAAAAAGGCGAATAATTAGCCTGGCGAATTCGTGCCTGGTGTGTAAGGACCTTTAGTCCTACTACTGTACACAAAAATCAACTCAGTCCAGTTTCAATCAGACTTACTCAATAAATCAGTTTTTCTTTGAAAACAACAACAACAAAAAGCATTTTATCTTAAAAAAGCAGCTTCCAATGTCTAAGAACCAGGGTCACCTTATATTCAAACTACACAGTTCATCCCTGAATGGTCACCGCAGTCCAAAACCATTAAAATTAATTAAAACCATCAGCTGCTGAGGAAGAGGGTGAAGTATTTACAGTAAAACACTGTAAAGCTACTGTCACACAGGAGAGAAAGTCAAAGAGACCAACTCCAGGGCTGTCTGTCAACCACACTGAGGGTACAAAAGGAGAATAAAAAGACTCACTACGTGACGATGGTGGAAAAGCCTGACAGACACACTTATATATAAAGATGTACAGAGTGAGTGAGGGGTTTCTGCACAGACAGTCTCTTTACAAAAGCGATTTCATAGCTGAGGTCAAAGATCAGAAACAAAAATGATATGACTCTGATGAATGGATTTCTCTCACAGCGCAGACACAGTAAAAAGCCCCTCAGCTGAAGTGAAACCAAATAAACTCAAATATCTGCATTAAAATGAGATGTAAGAGTGAAAGAACCAGATTTTTCTGCAGTGAACACTCGCAGCAGTGAAGTCTCTCGTGCCTGCAGCCTGGAGGTCATCTGTCTTTCTATCAGCTGTAATCTGTTTCAGAGTGGGTCTGCACGCTGTGAATGCTTCCTATTCAGTGCACAGAAACAGCCGCTCTGAGCCTCTATCAGGAATCTGAGGCACGAAAGCATGAAAGCATGAACGCATGAGAGCCGTCCTGTCAGAGTCACAGCGAGCACGATACATACAGGGGACATTGTATGCAGAGAAATCCCCACTTTACAGTCTTCACACTGATAGTGTGTGCTGGCTGAAGTCTGGAGACCTGCACAAGCGCTGTAATGAATTAGAATAAAAACCAAGTCCAAAGACTGAGGATCTGGGACTGAGGCAGCTTCATTTCAAAGAGCCGCCCCTCTGCTGATAACTGTGGGTCTGTGTGAAAGCTATGGGAAGAAAATAGTCCACATTCTCTCAGAGTGGCACAGACGGGCAGCGGAGACACCCGAGGCCACGCTTCAACACTTTGTTCCTCTGAGTGTGGGACAATCAGCTCTTTGATGGCCAGGAGGATGGTGGACGGCGTGGGGGCAAGACACGCACAGACCGAAGATGAGTCACACGCCGATATCTAACACAATAGAGTAGTCCAGAGTTATCAGTTTTTTAAAGGCTAATACTGACGCCAAAGTGGGTCAGCTGATGGCTGATATATATAAAAATAGTATACAACATAATATAATGATGGTATTATATATGCTTATCTTATCCAGGAACATGTTTCAGGTGGGTTTTGAATTAATTAATCAAATATAAACATTTGTTAGGTTATGAAGCACATTTCAGATCATGACTGCATTATTTTGAACATTATAACAGAATCTATATTCAACAATTTAATATCTATCTCACAGTGAAGCTGCTTTTTATTATTACTGCTCCAGTGACTCTATTTTATTATTCTACATTTATCAATAATTCATGATTATAATCATTGTCAATCAAAGCCTGTTTTTTTTTTTTGTAATTTTCGATTTGTTTTTTAGTCTTTCATCCTTTGTTATTATCCTCTCCTTGTTCTGTTCATCTATTCATCTGTTGGTTTATTATCTCATTTGTTCCTTTTTTTTATTTCTTATTTATGATGATTTTTTATCTGCCATATTTGTCCCATTTAATCTCCAGTTCCTGTTTTATGGAGCTCTCTGCTCTGTCTTTGTCTTCTGTTGTTTAATGTTTGTTTGTGTGTTTGTTTATTTTTACCTTTTGTTTGCATAATTGTAAACATAAATAGAGGTTGGATTGTTTTTTTAACTGTTAATGTAAAATACTTTGAGCTCCATGTTGTTGTATGAAACATGTAATACAAATCTAGTCTGATTGATGAATTGATTGATACTTATTAATCATTACCAGTGACAGTTTTTGATTTGATGGACAAACATGTGATCATATCAGAGGAAGCTCACCGGCAGTCACACTGATGGAACTGCCTGCAGTGTCTGCAGATGTGAGTACATTATAGTTTTAATAGGCCTTATGAGCGCAGATACAGTCTGATACAGATTTTTTTTTAAGTACTGTTTACTGATCGGTCCACATGTACATCATACACTGTCATCATGTGCTGAGCTCTGTCTGTTTCTGCAGGGAACACACATCAGCACCACTTCATTCCTTTTAAAGCAGTCCCTCCCTGCAGTCCTCAGTCAGTTTGTTTCAAATGGACTCATCCAGGGCTGGACGTTGTACCATTTCAACATTGCAGCTGTGATGCGCACACATGCAATTATCACATAATCATGTCGTGGAGCTTTTTATTTACTTCTGGGGTCAGATGTCGGAGCAGAGAGTGATGTCACACTCAAGTTGACTGTTAAAAACAGAGTAGAAAGTGGCTCCTGTTGCTGTTCGCATTGCTGGCTGCACCGCTCATCAGGGACACAGTGTGTGATAAATACAAGGATACAACGCACAGACAAAGATTCTCAGTCGGCGGTTAAATCAGCCTTCACACTGGTTAGCTCTCCAAACCACCATGCAGTGAAGAAAGATTTATGTGACAGATAGGTGTTGGTACCTGCAGGGCATTTCTGCCTGACGCACCTCCGACGGTGCCTAGACTCCAACTGCAGGGTTGCGGCTGAGAGCCATCCTGGCCTCGCCCCTCTCCAGGTAGTGACCCTAGACTCTGCATGGCAGGGGCGTCCTCCTCCCTGAGCCAGGCTTGCACCTGACCGCATACCTGATGGTTGGGAAGCGAAGGTTGAAACCTCATGGGCCGCTTCCATCGGGCCCACTTCAGCCAGTACAGAAGTACCAGCTGCAGGGTCATCAGCTAGGAGCCATCCTTCACTGATGTTTCGCCCCTTTGATCACCAGAACATCTCAGGATGGTGGGGCAGCGGTCAGGGACGTCTCCCCGCCACTCCCTGCAGCTGGACTTCGGCACTCAGGCTTACTGTGTGGCATCTCGATTCCCCCAACTCCTGTCTTTTCTTCTCAGCCAGAGCCAGAAACTTCCCTTTTCTGCTTCCTCTGAGAGATCCTGTAGGACCTTCCTGGCCTTTGCTGCTGTGAAGCCGATGTCCTTCAGGAAGCGGTTTGTTGAGAGGCCAGCATAGCCGCGGCAGCCAACTTCAACTGGATAGGTTGATACTCTCCAGCCTTTCTCTTCACATTCTGCCACCAACTCTGCATAACGGGCCATTTTCCTCTCATACGCTTCCTGGATGTTCTGCTCCCAAGGGACCGTCAACTCGACTAACAGGACTCGCTTCTCAGTTGAGGACCACAGGACGATGTCGGGTCTCAGTGTGGTGGTGGTGATGTCGAATGGGAAGCGTAGCTGCTTGTCAAGGTCAGCTCTCATTGACCAGTCTTTGCCTGGAGTCAGGACCGCTGCTCTGTCTGCTTTAGGGCAGTTTTTCTTGGCTTGTCCCGCTGTTACAAACTGGACCAGCTGCCTCTGTTGGGATGTTGTCTTCTCATTGGCCAGGACTCTCATGTTCTCTGTGTGCTCCGCCAACTTTCTTAGCACCTGGTCATGACGCCATGTGTATCGGCCCTGGGCCAAGGCTGTTGGACAGCCGCACAAGATGTGGCGAAGATTTCCCTTGCCTGTTTCGCAGAGGCTACAGTTGTCCTCAGATCCATACCACTGTGCCAGGTTCGTTGGGCTAGGAAGAGTGTCGTATGTGGCTCTGATTAGAAAGCTCAGTCTTGCCTGAGGCATCTTCCACAGGTCGTTCCATTTTACTGACCTTGGTAGGAAGCCCTCCCACTTTGTCCACTGACCTTGCTGGCATTGGCCAATAGACTTGGCAAAGAACCTGTCTTCCTCCATCCTTGTCACCTCTGTGACCACTAGCTGTTTCCTTTCTTTCAAGGATGCCTTTGACCACATCTTTTGTGGCTCTCCCCAGCCCAGGCCACGCTTTCCTTGCTGTGTTCTTCCGACAAGCTCTTGATGTTTCAATCTGGAGATTGCATCGTCCACACACTCCTCTGCCTTCCATGCTCGGCCTGTCCGGATCTTAGCCCCAGCATTTCTGACCAGATGGTCACTTGACTGTCGGAGTTCCAGCACCAGCCTTGACTTCTCCAGCCTATAACCAGTTGAGATGTTCTTCACTGGTAGCTGCAGTGCATTTCTTCCAAACAGCGCTGCATCGGAGAGGCATCTTGGGAGCCCAAGCCATTTTTTGATGTAGTTGTTGGCCTTGGCATCCAGCTTCGTGACTGTTGTTGCCGTTATCTCACACATCTTTAGGGGCCACATCACCCGCTGGTATAGTGTGAATTGATAACACCAGACTTTGAACTTGCCAGGAAGGTAGCTCTGGTCAATCCTTTTTAACCCCTCTTTCAGTTGGTCTGTGACTGCAGCTGCCATGTGCTTGTCTGAGAGATCCGCTGTATATTCTCTGCCAAGGCTTCTGAGTGGTTGTTCTGCAAGTACGGGAATTCTCTCTCCTGCCACTAGAAAAGAGACTGAGTCCATTTGTCTACCCTTGCGGATTGAGAGGCTGCGAGACTTCTTGGATTTTATCCTCATCCTGGCCCAAGACAGCAACTCTTCAAACCTTTTGAGGAGCCGTGCTGTACACACAGCGGTCTGCAGTAGGCTTGTAACATCATCCATGAAGCAGCGAAGTGGTGGCAATCGTAGGCCTGCGCTATTGCGCACTCCTCTGACCATGGTCCTCGCTCCGATCAGGATGACCTCAAAAGCGGCTGTGAAGAGGATGGGTGAGATTGAGCACCCCATCGCTATTCCTCTTCCCAGTTGCTGCCAGTCAGTTGTATAGCTCTGCAGGGAATGGCAGATCTTCACGTCCGCATAATAGCTCTCGATGATGTTCTTGACCCCTACAGGCACATGAAAAAAGTCCAAGGCAAAACTAATCAGCTTATGTGGGACAGAACCATAAGCGTTTTCCAAGTCCAACCATACGACATGGAGGTCCTTCTTTTCTCTCTTGGCAAACTGGATCTGGTCCCAGATTATCGTTGCGTGTTCTGAGCAACCTGAGAACCCTGGGACACCAGCTTTCTGGCAGCTTGTGTCGATGTAGTTGTTCTGTAGCAGGAACTTGGTCATTCTTTTGGCAATGACAGTAAAGAAAATCTTTCCTTCTACGTTGAATAGAGCAATGCTTCGGAATTGGCCGATGGTGGAAGAAACCTGATCTTTTGGAATCAGGATGGCCACAGCTCTACGCCACTCAGCGGGGACGCTCTGTTGTTTCCAAATCAGCCTCATCAATTTCCATAGCTCTTCCAGGACTTGAGGGCATCTTTTGTAGAGCTTGTATGGAATTCCATTTGGTCCGGGGGCGGAGCTCGACCTTGCTCTTCTTACTGCATCTCTCACTTCACTCAGCTTGGGTGGTACTAGCTCAAACTCTGTGGTTGGAGCAGTTGGTTGGGGAACATGGCCAGGGGATCCAAGAGGGAGATGCCGTCCTGCATCGGACATCTGCCTCTTTAGGTGCTCCTCGAGGTCTTCCTTTGCCATGACCAGGGTACCACTCCTTTTCTCCTCCAGCAGGCTTCTGGCCATTTTAAAGGGGTCCTTTAGGAATCTTGCGCGCTGACTCTCTTTCCTCTTCCTCCTCTTTCGAATGCGCTCGGCCCTCCTGAGTGATGATAGGTGGCATTTCACTTCATCCCATAACGCCTGGAGGCCTTCCTTCTCATTTGCCTCAGCCTTTCTCCAAGCCTTGCGTAGTGCTCTTCGTTCTTTCACGAGCTGGAGGATTTCCTTTTCTCTTCTACTCATGGCTTTGGGCAGGTGTTCCTTTTTCTTCTCCTTTTGGCCAAACCTGCCAAGGCATTCATCGTAGATTATCTCACTGAAGATGTTCACTTTGTTTTCCACTTTGCCTTTGAGGACGTTCTTAAGAGTGGTTGCCAGGTCATCGTCCAACTTGCTCCAGATGTCAGAGTCTTTTGCCTTTGGCCACAAGATGTTGTTTTTTCTGCCAGGTTCTTTCTCCTTCCTTCTGTCCTCGGTTGTTGGGATCATTTCTTCCGGTTGAGGGTTCACCAGTGGGTTTGTGTCAGGGGGTTCTGATGGCACTTGACCATCTGCAACAGTGGGCTCGTTAGCGCTGTGGTGCTCAACCTGGCTTTGTTCCCTTCTTGTCTCATCTGCCTGGGCAGTGCAAGGTTGCACTCGGTCATCCCTGCGACACTTTTTGATCCCTTGGTGAATTCTCAATCCCTTGAAGGTTGTTTCCTTCATCCATCCACACGTGCACGTCCTGAGAATCTTTTCCTTTGTCGTGTCCGTTCCGTTCGTTGCCGTTGCGTCTGTCCGTACTGGTCCTTCTTTCATCCCACCTCTCGGAGGACCACTGGGTTGTCTTTTCTTTTCTTTGCTTGTAGTTTGCTTGAGTTGGCCTAGGTTGGCCTGTGGGAAGGGTAACTAGCCCGCCCACCCCAGTTGCAGTCTTCCCCGCTGCCAGTCAGACTTTCCTGACAGTCCTCCAGTCTTCCCTGGACTCCAACTGATCTATTCTCAGTAGTCACTGGTTTCCCAGAAAGCAGATTTATGTGACAGATAGGTGTTGGTACCTGCAGGGCATTTCTGCCTGACGCACCTCCGACGGTGCCTAGACTCCAACTGCAGGGTTGCGGCTGAGAGCCATCCTGGCCTCGCCCCTCTCCAGGTAGTGACCCTAGACTCTGCATGGCAGGGGCGTCCTCCTCCCTGAGCCAGGCTTGCACCTGACCGCATACCTGATGTTAAACTGCACATAGTGAGCATCGTTTTCGTTTGATGAGTGTTTGCCGCTGTGACTCTCAGACTGCTGATGTTTTGTTACAACATGTCTCATAATTATGACTCCAGCTGTTGTCCCTGCATACCTCAGACCTCAGAGCTTCCTCTGCAAAAATTAGAGATATCAGTTTTGAAGCTGATGCATTTAGCAAAACAAGCAGATTGGTTCTGTTTCAGAGCAACTTCTTCCATCCGTGCAGCTCTGAACATGCAGGACAGAGAGGGGAAAAAGTGACTCTGAATGAAAGTGTACATTCATGCCCAGAGGGAGGTGTAACTCATTTTAATGTCTCATTGTTACTAAAACATCATAAATCAAACCAGGAATCAATCACAGCTGAAACAAATCCAAACCTGATGGAAATAATGTGACTCAGCTGCCGTGTCTGAATACAAACGCATGCGTATTATTTCAGCGTTAAAGCGCCTTTTTTAAAACTTTATTAGTTGTGAAATAATTTCTGTTGGAGCAGCAAACCGTAGATCCCGGCCATGTGCAGAACAAAACAACATCTCAAACTGTCTCTACACCACTCCATGCTGACACACCTACCTCCACCTGTGGAGCCCCCTGCAGGCAGTCAAACATCCTGCAGAGCACCTGGAGGGACCACACACACACACACACACTGTGTGAATGACAATAAAAATAGAGCTGACTCAAGCTGTGCAGGAGAGCACTCTCAAAGATTAATCTGAACCTCATCGGCAGATATCATCTGAAATCTGGTCCTGCAATCCACACACACACACACACACACACACACACACACACACACACACACACACACACACACAGATTACCATGGCAACTGAGCCTGAAGGGGCCAGTGAATCAGTCTGGACTGATCTAGATTTGCTGATAACACACACACACACACACACACACACACACACACACACACACACACACACACACACACACACACACACACACACAGAGGATGAGAACACACACTTCCAGAGAGGATCACGGCTATAAATACTTCCATCAACCTGCACAGACAGAAATAACTCTGAACACTGAGAGCTGACTCTGTGTGCACAAATATTTGATGTTTTGAAGGATTAATGTTTCAAAAGAGGGAAAATATTCTGTCAGTCAAAAACATCTGCTTTGGAAATTCATCTAATAATCTAAGGTTGTCTTGCAGGATTTTGTGACTCATTTCCTCTGAATCTGGACCATAGATTCTATATACAATGGACATCTACTCCCTCTTCGCTGGGTCAGTTTCAAAAAATCCCCAAAATGTGTTCAATGATGGGAGGTCTACAGTCTATGGTCTGGACACACAGGACTTTATTTGCTTTCTCAGATATAGTTTGTCACTATCAGATGTTGTGTGATAATCTCAGTGACTCTACCTTTAACCAAGCTAAAATCTTATCTTTGTTTTTGTTTTTTTACCTCCTTCTGAAAATATAAAGAGCAAAAAAAATTCACTACTGTTTTGCTTATTGAAACCCTATCTTTAGACATAGTGGTCATTTGTCATAGTGTTGCAGTGATTTCTGCATTTCTTTAGTCTGCTGCACTTGCTGATAAAACTCGACCCTCTGCTATTTTTTGCAGAGACAGCTGATCTATTTTTAACTACATCACCCAGGAGATGGGTTTTAGTTTCTGGAGAAGCGACAGAGCCTTTGGTTGGCACCGAAACAAAAAAAACACACTGAGAGGAAAAAACATTCTCCATCTCCTGGGTTCACTGCGTTTGCTGTGAGTGTGAGTAAATCTAAACCACCACCACAGAATGAGACAAATATTCAGCTTTTACCTGCAGCAGATATCTCACAAACTCACCTCACATGGCTTCATATCTCTTTTTTGGATGCCTCAGGGAGTTTAGACAGTGGATGTGATGGGTTTGGACAGAGCACAGGTATAATTGTGCCACAATAATTCAAATGATTGAAGCAGTGTAGCATTATGTCACCAAGCTCCTGTTTTTAGCACAACATGGTCATGATAAAATGAGAGAAAGTCAGCTTAATGACTAATATTTACTCAATCTGCTAGACCGCTATTTAGAATAGCTGCAGCAACCTCAGACATTAAAGTTCAAGAAAATTCTGCATGATCCTCAATCAACTGATCAAGCTTCAGTCGTATAACATCTACCATATAAATCAAATGCAATCCTTAGAGCTTCTAAAAAAAGACAGAACACAGGAATGAATTACACCATAATTCAGAACAATGTCTCTCACTTTGTAGCCATCAGTATTAAACTGATACATGATCCTGTCCCTCTGCTTTTCAGACACACTGAAACACAGTCTGCTCTCCACCTGCTCCTCTCCCTGCTCTCCTCTCTCCTCCTCCTCCTCTTCTCCCTGCTTTCCTCTCTCCTCCTCCTCTCCCTGCTCTCATTTCTCCTCCTCCTGCTCCTCTCTCCTCCTCCTTTCTCCTCTCTCTCTCCTCCTCCTCCTCTCTGCTCTCCTCTCTCTCTCTCCTTCTCCTTTCTCCTCTCTCTGCCTTCCTCTCTCCCTCCTCCTCCTCCTGCTCCTCTCTGCTCTCATCTCTCTCTCTCCTCCTCCTCCTGCTCCTCTCTCTGCCCTCCTCTCTCTCCTTCTCCTCCTGCTCCTCTCTGCTCTCCCTCCTCTTCCTGCTCCTCTCTGCTCTCCTTTTCCTGCTCTCCTCTCTCTGCTCTACTCACAAAATTGCAGATCCACAAGCTTACAACTCACACGTTAAAATCTGATGTGTTTTGAGATCTGATATTTTAAAGTTTTTGATCCTTTCTACCTATAACGACATCCCACAAATCAGGTCCCCAGAGACAGGATCGATCTAACAACTTAAATAATATTTCTTTTTACATATTTTTTTAGTGTTTACAGTTTTTTTGTCCTTTCAACCATTTCGATGCTACAATAAAATATCAGCATACACATTTTGCAGCTGAATTGTCTATACATTAAGTTGATCTTTACTGTAAGACCTGAAGAGAAAATGATAAATTAACAGTCTTGAATCCTAAATCCTTACTTCAGTACCCTTCTTTAGGGCAAGTATGCAACACTCTGTATAGTTATCATTTATCTGAACAGCTCAAGAACATAAATGGATATTGTTCACTTGTTCAGTATAGTGGTGTTATCAGTGGTGTTTGTATGTGCATCAATTGGGTGAGTTGACACAGTATCTGTACATGGATTGTGGGCCGGTCTGGACCAAAAATTTCAAGGCCAAATATTTGTCCCAGTCCACCCCTGCCCTATGGTGATATGGTAAATTGAACTTAGATTGATCTCCCTGTCCTAGTTTCTTTACTTTATCTCTGGGAACACTTTAAGGATAACATCAGGTCTTCCTGAGTCATATTGTGTTGTATGCCTTCTGGTGTACACAGTCAATAAAGCCTGGAGTGTTGGTTCATGTGTCAGTGGTTTTCCCAATTTTCTATGATTTAAAATGTTATGTCATGTTATTTTACTAACCATTACAGTGATATATATAAGTGGTGGTTGGCAGTGCGGCATCGGCGCACAAGAGTCCCTCTTGTGCTGCAAGGATACTTTCTCAAAACCTGGCACTGAAAGGTGCTTCTAAAAAAAGATTCTAAGGACCGAAATAATTCATATTCTTGTGGTGCAGAAACAACAGAAAAAAAAAGGAGTGGAGATCTTACGTTCCCAGAACTATGACAAAGTTCCTGGTTTAGTGTTTTCAGTAGCAGCAGAGAAACTGTTTCCTTATCAAGCAGCTGGGATCAGTTAGGAAGCAGAGATCACAACACAGGAAACACACACACACACACACACACACACACACACACACACAGGAAACACAGCATTCCTCCGTCCAGACAGAGGGGACGTGATCCAGACTGTAAGTGTGTATGAGAGAGAGAGAGGTGAAAAGAACGAGAAAGGCCAGAGTATACACTTCTGCTGTGTGTGTGTGTACATGCATGTGTGTGTATGTGTGTGTGTGTGCGTGTGTGACCTCGCTGCAGGAGTGAAGCAGTGAAATTAGGTCAGGATTATTCCAGCTCATGTTACAGTTTCCTACAGCTTTATGTAAGAGGACTTCCTCCCACTGTTCCTACTGTACACACACACACACACACACACACACACACACACACACACACACAGAGGTATGTCATGTATCTCATCACCTCCTGCCTAAATGTCATGATTCTCCGTGCAGAGATCATGCTCCCAGAGGATGAACCCTAATGATTTTCTATGACCCTGACCTCTCTCCGGCCCCTCTCAGGTCAAAGTTCAACAGTGCACACACGTTCGATGTTGCTGCACCTCAGAGAATTTAAAACATTTGTTCTGATGCTCATGCAGCTGTAGTACAGGATTGAATTCTTGCAGCAGATGCAGTCGAGCTGATCTTGTGATAGTTTGGGACACGGATGCAAATGTCAGCTCACATCTACTGACCATAAAGCTGCATGATTCATCTCTGCCCCCTTTTATACTAAAGTGAAGTCAAAATGACAGCATTACAGACATACTGCAGAGTCAGAGTCCATGCAGCAGATCCAGTCCCTTCTTTCAGGGTTTGTCTTAATAATGAGAAATCTTGTCGGATAACTGACATCTACATCTTAGCTTTGAATGAACACGTGAAAACGTTTGCAGGACTGATTTTAAAACTCGACGGCAGGTTTGAGCGCAATTAATTCACTGCAGTTTATATGCTGCTCAAAGATCTTAGATACACATTCACACATCTATCAATCCAAACTTCACTGAGGATAGAGGGTTGTTCTGCATTATATGAAAAAAACCTCTGAGACCCTGCAGTGCACCAAAATAGTTTGACTTCTCTGCATCTCGTTGCGCTCATGTTTTTCAGATGCTATTTGCTTTTCTTATTACATATCAAGTATCCTGAGCTCTCCCTTTGTCTCTGAGATTCACGTCCTCTCTGCTGAACCTGAACTAGAGACAAAAACACAAAGTCTCTGCAGTGAAAAGGTGGAAACTTGAGGCTTTCGAATGTTTATGTTATAAAAGGATGCAAAAACATTACAGAAAATTGAGGTTCTGTGTAGAGCGTGAAGAATCCTCAAGTCTCCCCTGTTTGCAGCCTAAATGAATGGATAAATAAATGAATGAATGAAGCAGTGAGCATCTCTCCCCTCCTCTAAAATAATGTAGGTCAGTCATGTCTCTGTGAGCCTCATCCACTCTGACATGTGTTCCTGTCCTCCCCCTCCAGCTCTGAGCTCTGTTTATTAGAAATGTTCGGTTTTATTTAGAGACAGAGAGACAAATTCAGCCGTACAGTCAGAGAGCTCCCGCCTGGGAGCAAGAGCCAGTGATCCTCAGAGAAACTTCAACTGATACAATGATTTTTTTCGATTGATTTTTGATGATTTGGATTTTTCTGCTTTAGACCAAAGTGTTAGAGGTGCAAGGATCACAAATCTTATCTCAGGGTAGATTGAATTCACATAGTTAGTCAAGAATTAGACTGGAAACCCCCTGAGGCCAACACTAGAGTTAGGGTGACCATACGTCCTCTTTTACCCAGACATGTCCTCCTTTTGGGGGGCTGTCCGGGTTTGTCTGGGAAGTTTATAAAATCCTTTTTGTACATAAATTTCGATTTTTATGTCACGAGTTACTGAGTTAGAAGCGCGTAAAAGACACTCAATGTGACCTGAAAAACTCTCAAAATTAACTTCATGCGACTCCGTGACTACACCCCCACATAGTTGTGTCCTCTTTTTGGGAAGTCAGAATATGGTCAACCTAGCTAAAGTGTTAAAAACTGCAGTTCCCTTGTGTCCACTAGAGGCAGGCTGCAAAATCACCAAAACCACCGACACACCTACAAAAAAACTATTTTTACATCAGAAATAAACAGGCCTGCAGCCTGGTTCAAAACTCACTCCCTCTCTAAACACACTACACAGAGACCGAATGTCTATATATCTCAGTCTTTTCAGGGTTTTCACATAATTAGGGGCAGGGCTAACTTGACTGACAGGTGGGTTCACCGCAGCTGTTAGCAAGGAGGCCAAAAGTCTGCAGCTTTTCCAGCATGGTGTCTGCTGTCTTCAAAACTCTGCTTTAGAAACCAACAGGTGATGTCACAGAGACCACATCCATGTTTCTAAGGACATAAGGGGCTTGATTTTAAACTAACTTCTCTGACCAATAAAGTCAGCAGCAGCTACTTCATCTCATGTCTTTAACTCGGTATTTTCACACCTCTCATCATCACTCCATACACTGTTTTTTCCTGCACAGACATGCAGTGGCAGTAAACCCCTCCTGAAAACGCCCCATTAATCCTGAACCTCTGGCGGTCCGGGTGATCCTCATGTTCCTCAGGCTGACAGAGATCTGTTAGACCGGTCACTCTGCAGAGGTTGAAGATGAAAAGCAGATTATGCTGATCAGTAAAAGGAGCAGAAAATGACCTAATCACCTGCTGCAGTTTCTGGTGGTGATAATCCATCTGTAATCCATGTTAATCTGCTCTAATATACATGTAGCATGGATTACAGAGCAGACAGTGTGAGCTGCTCATCGGCCTCCTGAGGGGTCAAAGGTCACTGATGCTGTAGACTGTCTGAATATCATCTGTGAGGGCTGAGTGTGTGTGTATTCTTCAGGGTGTGTGTGTTTCTGGTCTATATTCAGGATGTATTCTAATTAGCCTACTCTACTTCTGACAGCCTATAAAAAGACGGCGCAGCCTCTGGAGGACGCTGAGGGACATCTGTCCTCCTGATTTCCACTCCTCTGTGACGAGGTGACATCAGTGGATCTCTGTGTTTACTGTCAGACAGAATTTATACACGCTTCAGCACAGTCGATACGGTACTTGTACCACAGTGCAGTACAGATAAAACACAACAGAAGAGTAATATAGTCTGACCACTGATGTTCGACTCGGGACCAAAATCAAAAGTCAAATTTATTTTTGATAACTGCCTTTGAAAATATGTATGAAATAATTTACAAACATCACTGCAAAGTTTCAGTTTATAAAAATTCAAAAAGATATCCGCCATAGTTGCCAAAAAATAGTCAATCTGGTCTGAATCCAACGTCAAACCAAGTACAACCTCTGATTCCTTAACAGCTGGACAATGTGTCCAACATGTAAAGAAACTGGATTTGAAGGGCTAGATAGCACTTAGAGCACTTTCTTTTACTGAAATTGATGCAAAAACAACTGATAAAATGTTAAAACTGAAGGACGTTTTTGTTTTATAAAAAATTAACTCATTTTAAATGTGATGTAGCATGGTTTCAAAAAGGTGGCACCTCTGCAGAACGTGGTTTGTCATTGTCTTGCTGAAGTATGAAGGTCTTCTCTAAAAAAGTCAAGCTGAGCGGACCCTCTACTCTATAGAGAGAAGGATACAGGGTCCATGATTTCCAAAAAAATGGCAGATTTTAGTGATCCTCCCCCTCTTGGCACCAATCGAGGCATTGTCCAGGATTTCCAAAAAGAATGTCAACATTTGGTCCCTCTCTTCTTAAGAGCAGAGGATGAAGCGTCCCTGATCTAAAAAAAGAGTCAAATTTTGGTGGTCCTCCTTTTCTTCAGAGTGGAGGATGAAGGGTCATGTCTTGATTTATCAGCACACACAGCACAGTTTTCCTCTTCCCCTCAGGTCCAGAGAAAGCTCTGGTGTTTGTTTTCATCTGTTTGGTTGTTCCTTTTACATTTTTTTCAATACTTTGCTTCTTCAACTTTAAAATGAGCAGATTTTTCATGAAGCAAAAGCAACAATGTTAATGAGATTCTCATCCATGATCACTGATGACCCCCGTTTCTGTTACAGAAGTTACAGTATGTGCAGCTGCTGTTTTCCTGAACGACCACAAATGTGGATCACTGCAGCTCAAACATTAACACAATCACATCATGTATTTCAATATTGTTTGTCACTTTGCTGCAGAGTAGTTTGTGTGTGTGTGTGTGTGTGTGTGTGTGTGTGTGTGTGTGTGTGTGTGTGTGTGTGTGTGTGTGTGTGTGTGTGATGGCTGACTCAGTGTGTTTTCTCTCAGTCTGCATTCTGTCAGCACACACACACACACACACACACACACACACACACACACACACACGCACACACACACACACACATTTACAAGTACATTTCTTTTTATGTCCTCTACTCTCTCCTCTCACTGTCCTTTGTTACACACATTAGCTGATAAACAGGGCACACACACACACACTCACACAGACACACACACACACACACGCAGAGGTCCTAATGAATATAACATGTCCGGGCTGATGTGTGGGTTGTTTCTGGAGCCGTCAGCAGAAACTCTGGATGTTAAAGCTTCACTCAGCAGAAACTCTTCCACATCGTCTACATGAAGTTCTGCCTCCATCTCTGTTAACCACAGCCGCTTCTACTGAAGACTGACCACACAGGTGACCTTTGACCTTGGCGGATGGGGTTTCTAAAAGTTAATATGAATATAATCTTTCCCTATTGGTCAGTATGACAAGTTATATAACCTTTGTAAAAGTTTTAAGATCCTCTGAGATTTACTGATAAACCTGCTCTAACTTTTTACAGGTATGATGCCTTTGTCAGCCCGGGGCCAAATCTAACAGAACCAGAATATTTCTTCAGATGGAGAAAACTGGATTAAAATTATGAATAATTCAACAATCAGTGTGTTTAATAAAAGTGCAGTTTTGTCCATAAATCTCAGCTGCTTCTGTTTTTGAGCCGAGAGGAGTGAAGGAGAGGAAACAGTCGATAACCTGAAGATCCTGATCAGACGGACCGACAGAAAGAAAGGAAGGTGGCTGAAACCTGCGTGGTCCGTCATGTACACCACACACTGACACTCACACACCTATACACACAAAAACACAACACACATACACACACAGCGGTTTAATCTGCAGCTGCCATCCTGTGAATTGGTTGTGAACCAAGAGGCCAAGCAATTTACTCCCAACAAAGGCCATTCTACACCACTGAGCAGAGAGAGAGAGAGAGAGAGAGAGAGAGAGAGAGAGAGAGAGGGAGAGAGGGAGGAGAGAGGGTGTGTGTTTGTGTGCGTGATCAGGTTGGGGGGAAAATAGATGGAAAAGTGTGGTGGTGTATCAGGAGGATTTGGAGGACAGGAAAGATGATGGGACTGGGAGGACTGGGAAGGCTGGATGGAGGAAAGAGGCATGATGGGAGTTAAGAGAGGGAAATGAGAAAAGTCAGTGAAGATGCTGTTTAGGGAGGAGAGAGAAGGGATGGACAGATTCATGTGGAAAGAGAGGATGTCTGAGTGACTCTCTGGTAAATAATCGGCTGGTTCATGTTTTACCTACAGTGTGAGTCTGACCTGTGTTAAATGCAGAGGTCTTTGGCATATTATCTATCAAACAAAAGTGTTTTTTTCTTTTTACTTGATCAAACATTACCCACAGTAATATTATGTATATAAACAGCAGTATAAAAACGCTTTGAAACTTACAGAGGAGTCAAAATAATGAGACACTGTGAGTATCAGAGTTTGGAGCTGGCTCACAGAATAATCTCTGCAGACAAGCAGACTGAGGTTCAGACCACTAAATGTGGATTTACTGCAGCAAGGGAACTGAACAGAAAGCTATTTCAGACTTTCAGTGTCCATTTTTCTGTATACTTGCTCTTGATTGTATCAGCAGGTGTCAGTCAGGTGTTCAGGGCAGCAGAAAACAGGCTCAGATGGTCTTGATGTTGCTGGTCTTCAGAGATTCTGACATTGCTAATCTGCAGAACCTCTCTGCATGTCTGTAAAAAGTTCTCGACCTTCCTCACTGTGTCTTCAGAGGTGGCTGTCATGTGTCGCTCCCCAAAATAGTGTTTTTTTTTTTTTGTTTGTTTTTTTTTGTTTTTTTTAACTGATCCCCCCAGTCTCCCAGCAACAAACATTTGCACCACACGTGATTTTATAAGCTAAGGATCTAAAACTTCAGTATCTGTCGAAGTGACAAGACCATAGACTGTATATACAATGGACAATTCAGTTCCCTAGTATACGGATTTGAAGCCGAAAAGCTCTCGGTATTTCCATGATTTTTCTCCATTTCCTGAAACCAACATTGCGCAGTAGCATTGTGCGCACTCCACCACTTGCGCAGTGGCATTGTACGCATTCGGCAGGAGAGTCACCAAGAGTCGCTGTGATGACGCTCGGCTCAAACAGCGTGTCCCCAGTGTGAGCTACTACACAATCTTCGTACACCCATAGGCTGAATCAAGTGTCAATCAAAGAAAACATGAATCCCCGAATAACTTTTAAAAACGGAGCTGTACAGAAAAAAAAGAGGACTTGAGCACAAACCAGTCCTAGAATAACTAACATTGTATATCCTGTGTAATCAATCTCTAAAGTTTGTCCACAGCTCCATAGGGATTGCTGGAGGAGGCGGGATTTATGACCTATACTGCAGCGCGTCAACAGAGGGTGCTGTTCTCGGGGTGGCTCACCGAGCGAGGAGGCAGACGGCGTCCATTCTATATACAGTCTATGGACAATACTAGTTGTATGTAAACGCTGCTCCAGTGCTCTACTGATTGACCACAAAAAAGGGGGCGGGGCCAAAACATCGAGCTCTGCCCTCAGCCAACCTGAGCTAGCTAGCTTCAGCTAAAACAAAGGCTGAAATAATGATATTTTCACTCGCCACTATGAAAAACAGGAGGTTTTTTTTTATCTAAAAAAACATAAAGTTATTAAAGAGGTATCAGAGAGGAAATGTAGAGTCTGAAAAAAATTTATTATAGCCCCCCCCAAACCAGATGGATGACTAGGAACAGAAGAAAACACGTCATCTGCTCAGTGAAAAGACAGACGTCCTCAGAAATCTGTTTCTGTGTCTGTGAGAGAGACAGACTGCGGAGACTCTGACAGACTCTGAGCTGCAGCAGAGGACGAGGTCACAGCGGCTGTTTGTCCCAATGGAGCTGCTCCTGTTAGCCAGCTGCCTCTGACTGCAGCAAGGCGACAACGAGGAGACGACTGAGGACACAGCTGAGGAGACATCTGAGGAGATGACTGAGGGAACGACTGCAGATTGAACTGAAGGGAGGAAACAGAAGCTGGTTCTGTCTGAGGCTGAATCTCCCTCAGCTGTCTGCAGAATAGATCTGACTGAACCCTGACTGACTGTAAATGAAAATCTGCTTTAGCTTCTGACTTAAAAGGTGTGTGTGTTTGTCCAGAGCAGCATTTGACTAGGAAGCATTTCATACCCTGATATTTCAATGCTGTACTTCTCTCTCTGCAGTCACCCTCAGCTTAACTGAGACTCTACTTTTATTTGATTTTGGAAATGGATGAAGGACTTAGAGGTGCACAAGAACAAAAGCGTAAAAGTAGAGGTAAATTGATGCATGATACAGAGATCTATAGTAACTGTTTAAAGAAGCAGTTAGTCTATCTTTGGATGAACAGAATCAGCGCAGCCTCCATCCGTTTGTTCTGCTACACTGTGATAGACCTGATTTAACCATCCAAACACACAAGTCAAAATAACATCCACACAGTCGGGTGGAGGATGCCGTCGTCCTTCCTCTCTCTGCTCTGTGAGAGATGGGGAAGAAGACGAGTGCAGACAGGAAGTGAGGGATGGTCCACCAGAAAGATGGAATCCATAACAAGAGAGAGGATCTGCAGGGAAATCAAGACCTCCATCTCTCCGTTTGTGATCTCTCTCTTTCTCCCTCTGCATCATTAATCTCTCTCTCCATCCATTCACACTTTCATTATCCCCCTCTCCTCACACTCCTCTCTGCCCCTCCCCCTCCTCTCCTCAGTCTGTAAATCATCCAATCAAGCGCAGTGTAGACCCCATCATGACGGAGGTCAGAGGTCAAGCACAGACAAACTGGAAAGAAGCCTTTCCAGCTGAGAGGAGAAAAGGGAGGAAGGGGAGGATAAATAGATGGATCCAGAGATTCAAGGAGAAATGAGACAAGGTGGTTAGTGAAGGATTCAAGGTGAGATCGATGAAAAATACTCAGAGGAATCAACCAGTCTGCTGATTATTTCAGACGTTATATTACTCAAATGTTGAAAAATAACCAGAGAAATGGACAAAATGATTACATTTAGTCAAACGTTCAATATTTAAATTTCAGTTTTAGGTGAAGCAGAAACCTTTGAACAGACCGACTGTAAAACTGATCTATGAATGCAATCCTGATTTCACATAATTGATTTCAGACCATTTTTAACCCAAACAGATGCTAAAACTTGGCTGTCAGATGAATGTTTTTTTTAACCCTGATTAATCACATGATGGTCCAAAATTAACACATAATTAATCCCAAATTAATCCAGGGTCACTACTGGAAATGTAGCTTAAAGGGACATTTGTACGGTGGCCCTGAAGGTCATGACACAGACATTTTAGCAAGACAATAAATAGATATTTCATTAAAGATAAAAACAAATTAAACACAAAATCACCCAAAACTTTTTATCCTCTGTGCTTCACCTTTTATGATGGAGAGTGGCTCATTGCAGCGACCTCTCTGGCATTTTAGAAATATTGGACTTTGTGTTTTTATGTTTGATTTAAGAATGCCAGATAAAAAAATCATAGATACAGAGCTCTTGAATTACTGTCAGAAGGACAGGCCACAAACACAAACTCTCTCTGTCTTTCTTTCTCTCGTTCTCTGACACACACACACACACACACACACACACACACACACACACACACACACACACACACAGGCACCTTTAATGGAACACTCAATATCATAAACTGCCTCATTGCACCAAACGAGCGTTATTTGCCAGCAGGGTTTTCTAAGTGTTGTTGATCGATGCCGGTTCACTGAGACTGAGTCGGGCTAACAGTGTCCCTGTGCTTCCAGTCTGTGTGCTAAGCTAGGCTAACAGCGTGCTGCAGTACGCATACATACAAAGAAGAGGAACTTTAAAAAGCTCAGCTGATGTAAATATATTGCAAAATCACAGCAGTGCTAACATAAAGACAGGTACTTAATGCAAAAGCTGCATCACTTTGATAAACAGCTACAGAATACATAAAGATTTAAATCAAAGACTCGCACAAAATAGGTAACACTGTTTTATTTGTTGCTGTGTGTGGATGTATTTGGGAAGGTTTTTAATATGTGATGAAGCTGTGTCACAGCTGAATTTCTGTTTTCTTTTAGAAAAGACAGAGTTAGCTTATCTTATTATTGATTATATTACTGCAGTAACACACAGGAGGCAGAGAGAAGATGAAGATATGTCAGAGAGTAGACTGTGAACGCTGATCTGTAAATACAGCCTGCAAGTCCACCAGTCAATACAGCTGTGAACCAGCACAACAGATAATCAATACTAAAGCATTTATGGCTAATGGAGGCTAAGATTACCACACCACATCACACCAACAAGAGCCCTGAATCACAACCCCCCAAAAAACTGGGATACTTTAAAAATGTTAATTCAAACAGGGCTTGATAGGAAAAATCATGTCAAGTCTTTGTTTCATCAAAAATAGTATGGAGACAAAACTTCACATGTTTTTAGTGGACCAACCAAACAGATAAAAAGTTGTTAGAGAAACAACCAAACAGGTCAAAAGTTGTGTAATACTAAAAACAGCCGGAGGAACATCTCTCACTAATGAGGCGAATTTCCACCAGGTTAGTAACATGACTGGGTATAAAAAGACATTCAGAGAGACTGAGTCTCTCAGGTTCACCACTCTGTGAGAGACTGTGTGAGCTAATAGTTCAACAGTTTCAGAATAATGTTCCTGAGTGTCAAATGTGAAAGAGTGAGTGGATTTCATCATCTACAGTACATACATAATATCATTAAAAGATTCAGAGAATCTGGAGAAATCTCTGGACTAAAGGGACAAGAACCAAAACCAAGACCGGATGGTCCCGATCTTCAGATCCTCAGGCAGCACTTCATTAAAAACAGACAGGACTCTGGAGTGGAAATCACTGCATGAGCTCAGATTCCCTTAAAAACCATGACAGTGAACACACTTCATCACTGCATCCACAAATGAGGTTTAAACTCAACCATGCAAAGAGGAAACCAGGTAGACAGGATCTAGAAACACCAGAGACTTCTCTGGACCTAAGTTTATTTACGGTAGACTGAAGGGAAGATGAGTAAAGGAGGATCCCAGTCCAAATCCAGCATCCCTGATGGTACGGGGATCATCAGAGTCCATGTCATGGGTACTATCTACCACATCTGTGAAGGCTACATTAATGCTGAACAATATCTACAGGTTTAGGAGCAACATCTGCTGCCATCCAGACAAAGACTTTTTCAGAGAAGACCTTCATATTTTAGCGAGACAATGACAAACCACATTCTGACAACAGGGATTACAACAGCGTGGCTCTGTAGTAGAAGAGTCCTGCTGATAAACTGGCCAGCCTTCATTCCTATAAATGGGACAACATTCACTTTAAGACTCCAGAATCTGGTCTTCTGGGTTCACTCAGGTATACAGAGTGTTGGTGGAAGACGGAAGATAATGGTACAACCTGAAAACGTTTGTTCCAGGTTTTCTCAGCTTTCCTCTTGGTCCTGATCTCTGAGTGAAGCTGTGAAATGATTTCATGGTGGTGACAGAGATGTGGGGGCTGACAGCATATGACAAGTTGACATCTTTGTCACATTTTATCAGCTGGTGATCATAAATTCAGTCAGTGTGCCAAAATGAAATTCCTGGCATTTAATCTGAGAAAGCGACTGTTTCATAGCTGTCAATCATTTTGAACAGAGGATGGACTGATGTCTGATTCAGATAAGGTCTTTATTTTACGTTTTTCTTCTGTGCACTGTGCAGACTTTGTGGTTTATACATGTATTTTTATATCCTTCAATTTTTTTATATTTTATTTCAGATGAATAGTTCTCTCCAAAGAGAACCAGTTGGCAAAATAGGACTGCAGAGCACAAGAAAAATATTCGACTCATATCTTGACTCGCAGTTTCAAGGTCTATCTGTTGTTCTTCATGTTTTACACAATACCCCTGACTGGATTTGGGGACTGCGTCCTCTTAAGGAAGCATTTTCAGACTGATTGTATCACAGACTCCGTCAACGCAGCACCCTTTAGCTCAAACATGAAAGACGCATCACAAAAACCCAGCACATCATTTTGCACATCCTTAAAACAGCAATGAACCGATTCAAATCCTCCTCTCTAAAAATGAAGTGTGCATTATGAATGTTTTTGTTGCCGTAACAATAAAAAACAGTTACCTTTGCAGCCTCGCTGAGACTGCAGCCCTGAGAACATGAGGCGGGTGGATGTTTGTGAACTAACCATGAATAAAGACGTCTTCAAGCACATTAAGCAGCAGAGTGATGGAGAGTATAGCAGCTCAGAGGATTACACACACACACACACACACACTGACTGAGTGTAAACACTGATATGAAGGTGCAGGTGCAGAGCTGCAGAGCTATCAGCACATTTCACACGTTGCTGCCTCTCTGTAAACTTTGTGTGTGTGTGTGTGTGTGTGTGTTAGTTTCTACCTAAGACTTGTCTGTGACGTTTCCTCTAATCGCTCAGTGTTATATTCTCTCCTTCCGCCTTTACCTGGTCTATACAAACCCATACACCTTCAACACACACATACACAATCATACACGCACAGTGATGATGGAAACCTATGGATGGTGTTCCCATGATAATATAATGATATCTATGACTCATGTATTCAGCTCATATCACAACGCAAACATGCTCAGTAATGCATACACACCTCCTGTATGTGACAGACACACTGCGCCGACCCTCCTGTTGCCCCTGGCAACTCCCTGCCGAGAGCCAGGAGAGCAGGGATATTGAGATGCGAGGCATGTGTATGAGTGTGTGCGTGTGAGCGTGTGTGTGAGTGTGGATGGAGGCAGGGATTCTTTCTCTAAGTAGTGATGATTAATATGGAAGTGAAAAGCTGCACACAGACAAGAGTCCCTGTACATAGCCCCAGGAAACCCCGCCTATCCTACTACAGGCTGCTGTACGCATCTGTCCTCTGAAACACACACACACACACACACACACACACACACACACACACACACACACACACACAGGCTCATATACCCTGCAAGGGATGCATTTAGATTTCTTTCCTGCACATTGCTGCAGCATTGTAAATCCAGGAAATCAGTGTGATCTGATCCTTCTGTTTCTTTACACTATTGTATTCTATTATAATGGGATTAAATGAATAAATAATGACACAAATACATACATATACATGTATTTTAACAGCACTATCAACGCTTTCTGCTGCTTTTTACTCTTATAAAGCAGGGCTGATGTTAAAGCATCTCTAAATTGACTTCAACACCTAAAATAGGGGTTAATTGGCTATTTTTTTTATCACATACTATCCTGAATATAAGACAACCTAAATGATAAGAAGTCTGCATACTTTTGTTTCTACAAATCAATCAATCAATCAATCAGTCAATCATCTGGACATTCTTTAACACACTCAGAAAAACTCTCAATATCACAGAAACTCTCCTGAAAGCTACCAGTCCCACAGACTAAGAGCTGATATTGTAAACACAACAATAAAATGCCTCCAAGTCAGTGCAATCGACCTTTAAACCCTGAATATAAGTCAATATGTTCTGAGGATAAAAAACATGTTCTATATCAAGGTCACTGTGTGCTCTGAAAAAAACCAAGACTCCACCTCTATGAAGAGTGAATAAACCTGCATTTACCAACTGCAAAGAGAGAAACTACAGAGGGGTTTTCTGCAGTACGTCAGACTAGGTAAATAACTGCACTGAGAGAATATAATATAAAATATTTCTCCAAATACACTTGAAAAAAGTGGGATGGGTCTTGTATTTGGGATTTAGTAACTGAAGCTTAACATTTATTACAGCAGATGGTGCCACTCATGTAAAGAGAGGGTCTCCCTCATGACTGAGGCCTGTCAATGCTCACAACCACGGCAGCAAGATATGAAAGATGGAGCTAGACACAGTGATCGAGTATGTTGATAATCAAGCATTTTAGTTTCTCTACAGGCAGGTTTTTATAAAGTATTTCACACATGAAACTGTTTTGACTGCAGCTTTCTCCTGATAAACTGAAAATGTGTGAACTGAATCTGTTTGGGTTTTTAAAAGCTGCTCAGACGAAACATCTGAACACAATAACACGGAACCTTTGAAAACATGAGAGAGCAGATTTTTCTGTTATTACTGAAAATAAATCAACAGATAAACCTGAAATAAAGACAGCTACATAGCTCTGCTAACAATATCACATGGTATCCAGCGCTGCCTTTATACTCACAAAGACGTGAAGTCGTCTTAATGAAGGTTTGGTGTTCATGAGGTTAAAAGATCAGTTATGTTTTCGTTGCTTTCCATGTGAAGATGCAAAAATCGAATAATTTCTTTGTGCTGAAAATCACGATCAGTACCAGTAAACAAGACAACACAGTAAATGATCTTGATTTACACTTGCTGTGTAAATCAAGATCATGCTGTATGTCGCTAACACCGGCTACTTTTTTTTTTTCTTCTTTTTTTTTTTTGTTAAACTGGATCACACAGGCTCCACCGTTTCAGAAAGTCTCATCATAGCTTAGATTTTTTGTTTATATTGAATACATTTTACTCATGATCACTGATGAGCAATTAATTAAAACCTAAATTCAATTATGGTTACTGCTCCTAAGATCATAAAAATATGATCATTAAGACTGAATGATATTGTGCCGCCTGCAGTTTTGCACTCTTCTTGTCTTAAAGGTAGATGGGGTGCACCGGAGAAACTATCAGGGAAAGGAGCAGGATGAGAGAGGAGGAGAGTAGGAAGAAGAGAAGAGAAGAGAGAGGTGCAGGAGGAGAGCAGGGAGAGGAGCAGGAGGAGGGAGGAAAGGAAGTCAGAGGAGGAGAGGAGACGAGAGGAGAAAGAGAAGCAGGAGGAGAGCAGGGAGAGGAGCAGGAGAGAGGAAAGGAGGACAGAAGAGAGCAGGGAGAGGAGCAGGAGGAAGGAGGAGAGCAGGAAGAGGCAGGTGTCTGTGTGTCTGAAATCCTCTGTCTTACTTTAACTTCTGCACTTCTGTTTCTCTTTTTTCCCATGCAGCAGCTCCAACACTATTATTTCTTTGGGTAATAAAAACTCATTCTAGATCTGATTTTGTTTTCAAGTTCATTGATAAAGTGAACAGGTACATTTTCTGAATGTGTGCGTGTGCTTGTGTGAGTGTTTGTCCTTCTCTCAGCTGGTAGAAATCAGGCTCCCCTTTTCAGTCTAAATATATCTGACCCTGCTCTGCTCTCTACTGCTGCAGAGGACTGTGTTAAGAACAAACACACACACACACACACACACACACACAAATACACACACACACATCACGCAGAGGATGTCTGTGTTAAGTTGTGTGTGTGTCAGCAGGCTTAGACGTGACTCTGACCAGGTAAAAGAGATCATGGGAACTGTTGCTGTGGAAACCAGGTGGCTGGAGCTGCAGTTGATGTTGTCACTGATGTTGTCTGAGGGGATGACCAGGAACAGCTTATGACAATATTACAGAAAACACACCTCTCCATCAGTCAGGTTAACACTATGTGGTGTGTCTCCATGGCAACACACAGCTGAGCCAACACTATCATTGTGACACCTGTCAGTGTGTGTGTATAGAGTAAATACTTCATGAATCATACACTGAACAAAAATGGAAAGAGTGGGCACAATCATCCTGGTACCACTCCTCTGATTGGTCAAACTGCACAGCCAATCAAATTTAAAAACAACTTTATCATGAAAGTGTTTAAAAGTGTATTTCCCTCTAAATATCACATGATCTGTGGGACCAGAGTTTGGTATCCGAAGTGCACTGGTCGCCACTGGTTGTGCAGCGGTTGTGGGGTAAGTGGATAGCAGGATAACAGTGTGTGTGAGGATCTCTGACATCTATGAGAAATGTTTCAGCACTTTTCCTACAAGGAAGTCCATTTGGTTTTCCAGCATTTGTAGATGCAGCACAGATAAACATTTGGCTTGTTACTGGTGCAGGACCTTCTGAAGCTCCCTCTGTGTTTGTGTTGATGTTTTTCCACCTCTGTGTGTGTCTGCATCATTCTGCATCCTCCTCATACAGACAACCTTCAGGCAGCCAATCACTAAACTGCTTCATTACCATAGCAGCCCCACCTCTTTCAATCACTATATGGAAAATGAGGTAGGAAACTGAGAGGCTGCAGATCCTCCACTGAGGCCGAATTATGGATTTTTTGCATCTTATTTTTAAACAAACTCTAACCCAACCCCCAAAACAAAACTGGATATGTTCAGTTTCAACTTCATTCACAACTTCATTCGTGTTCTTGAGGCTGCAGTCAGAGCTTATGATGGGAGTATGGAGAAGTTTACTGTCATCCTAAAACAACAGCCAGTGGATTTAAAGATTGTAAACCCCAATTTTTACCACATTCGGAACGGCCCTGATTCAGAACGGCAGCGATTTTCGCCATCCGCCAATTCCTACCGGATCTGTTTGTGAGGCGAATTTCATGGCAGATTATGGACAGCAGGTATCGCAAGAGCTCACAAGAAGATTCACGTGCAATCGCACGATAACAAGTTGTCTCTAGCCACATAAGCTAACCATAAAAGCAGTAGATTGTGTCCTTCCAGAGGAGGCAATACACTTCTTAACTTCTAAAATCAGCATCTCCTCATCCATGGTGTCATCGGGATGAAATCCTGACGGTTTGCATGGTGTGAAATACGATCTGCCTGAAACACAGAGTGTTTTATTTTTAAAAGAAGCCAGATGTTTTATTTTGTGTCTGTGCCCGACTTCCTTTTTAGTACGGGTTAATCTGTGCTGAATTTATCTGGCATGCTCTGGCATCCGGAAAAAATAGAACTTGTGCGATCAGCTGCAGAGTCCGGAGATCTGCAGCAGAATGGAAAAAAGCCGGTGGAACTTGACACATTAACTTGAATGGTTATGATCAGCTGCGATTGGTGGATATGGCCTTTTCGTACCTGTTCTGGATGCGGTGGAAATTGGGGGTCAGGGTGTTTAGGTTTTTTCTGCATAAAACAGAGTCTCTGTGGTTTTATCAGAAACTAAAACATAGTCTGGATCAGTCGTGAGGACTCTGCTGTGTGCTGTTGTCACAGAAATAGTTCAAGAAGCTTCCGGCTGAATATCTGGTACTTTGTGTACTTTCAAACTTGACAGAGTGTTTCTACATGCCAGCTTTAGCAGGTTAAAGGTGATGTCTTAATTTCTCTGCAGCTTTACGACCTGGCACTGATTTAGAGAAGCATATTTCCTTTTTTTTTTAAATTAAAAAGTACTGCCAGTAAAATCAAATGAAAGGCCCCTGCTGCAGAGATGAGAGCAAACATGTTCAGACATCTGTGACGTCCCAGAGGAGAAACTGCAACTTTGGTGATGAACCAAAGCATGAGGAGCAGGCTGGGTTATATAGAGCAGACAGGACATCAGGGACACTGAGACCAGACCAAAGGTGCTCTTTACACTAATGAGTTACTTTTTTACTGGAAATTATAAAACACATCAACATGAGAGTGATAAGATCTACGTGGGAATTTAAAAACATCAATTCAACTACGGTATTTTGATTGGAAAGTGAGTGTGAAAAACAAACATAATTGGTAATCACAAGGTTACTTTTGCAGGAAAGAGGTTCAGACAGCCCTGAGCATATTTTAATCTAAAGTGAAGTTTTTTATTATGAAAATAATCAGGAATTATTTCGAGCTAAACCACATTGTTTCAGCTGCGCAACTGCAATGTGTGCATGCACAGCAGTCCAATGGTTCAATGTCATTCAAACCTGCAGCCTGTCAGGCCGTCCCAGCTCTCTATCATCTCAGGTAAATATCTATCTGAAGTCCTTAAATCAGCCCTTCATTGAAACACACACACACAAAGAAGCTGACACTGTGCAGACAGAGTCAGAGGACTGTCAAATGTGAACATGCACACCAGTCGCTGTGCTGCTACATCACCGACTCCCAGAAAACATGTCAGTAAGTAAGAGAAATTCTAGCACAGTGTTAAATCTCTGTAGGGAGAGTAGACAGAGGGAAGCAGGAGATGAAGTGAGAGCAGAAAGAAGCAGTCAAATGTTAAACTGTTTACAAGTGCTTAGAATATCCTGGATCTATCTGCCTTGAAACTGTGCACTTTTTTCATATCACATTACATTTTGGAGACAGATATGTAATAGTAATGTAATTTTCTTCAACAGCATGCAGCCCCAGTATAAGGCTATACTTAAAAATCCGAAACAAACAGACAAACATGTCTTTGAGTATTTTCAGCGACAAGAAGAGGAAACAGAAACAACCAAATCAATCAGACAGAGGTCTGCAGTATCAAAAACAGGAGCAACATTTGGACTTTTAACAGTCAGCTGAAATATCAGAGATCCTAAAAACTGAAGACGACCTGCACTTAAAAGCACTTTATCTGATTTAGCCCAACATTGCTCGAAACATCCTCTATAGCCAGTTCCTCTGATCTATCAACCTGTCCATCTTTGTCAATACATTATGGTATACAATTCAGTTTAACTTTTTATTCAACTATTGCAATTTTCCCCAAAATATACTGAACTTGGCTCAAAAATGACAGAAGAGGATAAGGGCCTCTAAAAAATGAGTTTTACTGTTTTTTGGCTAGATGTAAACCCTGAATCTGTGTCACTGGAAATGATGGGGTTTTTTTATTTTTGAAAAGCCAGATTGACCAGTTTACCTTCTGATGTACTGATAAAGACACATTACGTTGTGTATCTTTAAATTTTTCTGAGCTGCTGATTATTTCAACGGGAAAATGCAGGTCAGCTTTTTCTTTGCACAGTAACAAGTAAAAGCTCCCTCTGCTGGACAAAACACAAAGCAGCACTGTCTCTGAAACACCTTGAGCACTGTTTTCTACTCTGCATGATCTGTCACAGAGAGGTTTTCAATCGGCACATCATGGAAAACTTCCTCCTGATGGTGATAACTTCAGGAGGATAATGCAATTATTTTAAGATTGTGCAGATGAGTTAACAATTAATATTTTCACTTATGCACAAAACTCTGTTTCTGGCTTATCCTTTATCAGTGAAATATGTACAAGAATGTCAGGGTGAGCTTGAAAAATGTCAGGAAATGTAGGGGTGACGATGTTTGAACTTTGCCAACAGAGGGATCTTTGTGCACCAACAAAAAGCTGCTGCATCCGCTTTTATGAGTCTGACAGGCAAAAGAAGAAGCCTGTCCTGAAATGTTCTGGAAATTTTCAGGAGGGCATGTGTGTAAAGGGCACACACACACAAACACACACACACACACACACACTCAGGTCCTGATCAGCGCCTGCAGGCACAGTTTGTGAGACGGATCCTGAGGAATGTGAAAAAAACACACAACAAGCTGCATCAAGAACATTTTACCAGGAACATGTGAGTGTGCAGGGGCAGCACACACACACACACACACACACACACACACACACACACACACACACACACACACACACACACACACACACACACACACAGATCAGCTGTCTGATGTGCTGACAGGCCTGCCAGGAATAACTCTGTCAGTATAGAAAGAGTGAACCACAGAGAACTCACTGAACTGCAGATTCATGCCCTCAGTGTCACACCTAAGCCTATCAGCTCATTATAGAACATATGAAAACACACAAACAGGCTGTAATATCAATATTTTCCCCCTTTTTCTTCAGACAACCAGGCGAGCAGAAGCAGGGAGGTAAAGACGGAGCCTCTGGGTGTGTAACTGGGTGTGTGCAGGATCGAAGAGGAGCTGTCAGAGTGTGTAACGTGTTCAATCCTGCTCACACACACTGCTCTGTGTGTGTGTGTGTGTGTGTGTGTGTGTGTGTGTGTGTGTGTGTGTGTGTGTGTGTGTGTGTGTGTGTGTGTGAGCAGATAAATGACAGGTTGAAGCATACTGAAGCGCTGCAGCCCTCTCTCAGGCTCTCTTATACTCACAGGGACAGACATCTTGCTGCTGTGTCTCTGTGCCTCTGCTCGGCTCCTCTCTCACTCGGTACTTCTCCAACAGATCGAGGTGTTCAGCTCGGTCAGTCCTCCCTCAGACCCTCCATGATCACAGGAAACATCCAGCTGTTGGAGCGGGTGTGTGAGCGCTGAGTGTCCGCAGCAGAGCGCGGTGTTTGCGGCTACAGCAGCAGCAGCAGAGAGAGGCCGCCTCTCCGTCCAGTTCAGCCGGCTGTCTGTCCTCCGTCCTCCTCTCTGTCGGAGTCCTTGGCGGTCTCTTCTCGCGAAAATCTGGGTGAAAACAAGGAAAAGGCGCAGAGGTGTGGAGTGCTGTCTCCGTGCTGTTGTCGGTCTGTACCGGGAGTAACGGGAGCAGTCTCCGCCTCTCCGTCTGCGTCCGTCCGTCCTCCTCAGACAGCAGCCCGTCCAGCCTTAAAGAGACCGTCCCTCCAACACACAAGTTTAGACAGTTTCTAAAACACAGCAGGGTGTCTCCGAAAAAAAAACCTTTACTGAATAATCAGAATGCCCTTTATTGTCATCATACTGAAAGTACAACGAGATTAAAGAGCTTCTACATTTCCAATGCAATAGATAAGTAAGAAAAAGAAAAACAGACACAGAATTAAGAGTATAAAATAGTTGTAAGAAAATGAATGTTCTGAATCACTTAAAGATATTCAGCTTTTTAGCAATTATATGCAATAATAATAAAAAGAATTATTGTACCAGTTAAAGTGTGTAATACATAAAAATACACATGAATGTGAAGAAGTGACTGTTATTTAGGGAGAGAGAAGGTGAGGGAGGGCTGGGGTGGAGAGTTCAACTTACCCCATACACGGGGTAAGTTGACCATAGGAGACCACTTTTTTGGCATGCTATATTATCAAGACAGTTATGTTTACACTCATTCTGTTGGTTTGCAGGGATGCACAACATCTTGAAATGTATGCAGATACACGAGTTAGAGACAAAACTATGATTGCTTTGATGTAGGGATCTGAAATATGAAAAATGGCTCATCTTATCCCACTCTCCCCTATTCGACTCTTCAACAGTTTGGCTCAGCAGGTTGAGCAGACCCCCATACCATAGTCCTGGTCTCATTGGTTGTAGAGGTGATCTACAGTACATCTAAATAAATATTTATAATATAATATTTATAAGTATAAATATTTAATACTTTTGCTCATACAGTTATCGTTCCCCCACATAACAGCAGATTAAAGTAGACAAATTCACTTCACATTCATCTGAGTAGAGTTTTATTAAGACTAAGTACTACATTAGCTTGATAATGTGCACCTCCGTCTTCTCATTCAACAACACATCTATGAGGAGAATCGTTCTCAAATTCTCAGTGTTTTTTTTCAGAAACATTCACTCATCTCTGCAAATACTTCACATTTTCAGTATTATTGAAGGTGCAGCATCAATCCAGCTTCAGTTTATTGCTTCGAGTCCCTTAACCCTATGGCTGGTCTCAGTGATAATGAGATGCTCTGTGTTTTAATTTGGACAAATGTCTTTAGCACTAAATGGAATGAAAGAGTCACATTGCTGCAGAATGTGTGATCAGACAGGAATCAAACAGAAGCAGCTTCATGCTGAGCTGATTTGTCCTCAGACAAGAAAACAAACAAACACTGAGGTTTGTTGGTGTCCATTTAGTGACCTTTGACCCCGTCCTGTCAGAGGTTGACCTGGCACACCCTGCAGCTGATGGACTGTTTTACTGTTTCACCAAACTGAGAGATTAACTGTGCAGTTTCAGTGATCCACCTGTAGACCCACTCTGATTGGAGGACAGGTTGAGTTCTCTGTGATGATGTACTAAACGTTTCCTGTTCTCCTGCATCCCATCAGTTTTAGGTACACAAAGACTACCACACACAAACGCACGCACACACACACACGCACGCACAGAGACACACACACTCACCTTTCACTCATTATAAACTGTGTGAACATGTCTGAGATAATCCCTGTCAGCACCACGCTGTGCTATAAAAATCCCACCGCTGTCAGTGAGTGTGTGTGGGTGTGTGTTTGGGGGTGGGTGTGTGTGTTGGAGGATTTAGTAGAACGACAATCTGTTTTTAGGCGACAGTCAGGATCCCTTCAGACTCTAACAGAGCGGCTGAACCCAGGAGACGTTCAGCCGCTCTGTTAGAGTCTGATACTCTGAGGGGATTACATCGAGTCAGGTAACCAGGAGAGAGAAGTGGTGTACCCGGAATGTTTGAGGCAGGGGGAATAAGATGACAGTTTTTTTTCCTAAGACAAAAACCAAAGTACCAATTTGGCAATTTATTTACATTTAATTTACTGGGTAGGCGACTGACACTTGTTTTACATCTAAAAGGCATTTATTATAAACTTGACATCCTGGAAAAGCATCTGGAGAGCACTTTGTTTACATTTGATACATTAGAAGAATATCTATAGAATACTCCATTTACATTTTAGATGGTAAAGAGCAACATGTAGGCACCCAGTTAAATTTCATACACAAGAGGAGCATCCAGAGGACCCTTTGTCCACATTTTAAACATTGGCAGGACATCACAAAGGCTGTTTCTTTTCTTTTTTAACTATTATTAGGGCAACACAGAGGGGACTTTTACATTTTATGGACCAGGGCTTTTCTCAAAGGGTTTTATCCTCTACAAAGGCTCACCAGAGGGCTTTATGTGGTTTTTTTCAGACCTGATGCCCACTGGTAGAGAGTTGGATTCTGACATACAGTTCTTTATTTTCAGTTTTTAATCATGTGTAATCATTGATTCTTCCACTCAACATTAGTTGCCATCGTTTATCACAATTCTGATTTTATTTCACTCTACTTTTTTAGTTTTATTGCCTTTTTTAAATTCTTTTCGTAATGTTTCTGAGTAGATTTAAACTCACTCTGAATTTTATTGTTTAACTTTCATGATTTAACCGAGAAATTCATCCAGACTCTCAGTCAGACCAATAAACAGGAAGTCGTTTTCTCTCTATGTCCAATCAGTGCTCTCTCCTTTCTGTGTGAACATGAACACCTGAGAGACAGGTGAGCAGGTAAACAGGTTAGTGGTCAGTGCAGTCCTCTCTGATATGATGGATCACACTCAACCTGATTGATTATCCTCCTGCTCTGGTATTGATCAGTATGGCAGTGATCAATAAAGTGTCCACACAGAAGCCGTCACTTGAATCTTAGCGTCTCACACCACCTTAAATCTTTGATGTCATCAACAGAAATAAGACATGGGTTGACCTGAAGAACAGCCATAGATCCACTCATCAACAACAGGAGCTCAGCAGAGCTTTGGACACATAGATCACTCTGATTATCTGTCTTTATGAAGAGAACTGAGTCTTACGATTTAACCTCTTAAGGTTATAACCACTCATCTGTGCAAAGATTCAATGTGATTTTAGTGTCTTTCAAAACACTGTTAATGTTTCTTTAAAATGACTGTTTTTTGTAGATTTTCTTGCTTCTCTAAACCTGAGAGGATACGCTCTGCAGAGGTGAATTTAAAGTCTATTGGGATCTTTAAGCAGCGTTGAGACAACAACCAAACTCCTTTCATTTGAATGTCATTCATAGCTCGACACTTAGCTCGGTGCTACACGCCTCTCAGTTAATGTCATTGTTAATGCGTGGATCACTCCAAAACCCTGTTCAATAAACCAGCCAAACGTTTCTCCAGAAATGCAAACAACTGAGTGTTTCATTCACAACATGCAAAAAAGAGAGACATGAACTGCTTCACTGTCTTTATGAGGTTTTTATTTAGGGGAGGAAGCTGAACCTGATAGAAAAAACAAACAAACACAGATTTTATGTTTTTATTATGAGATTTCATTTTTGTCCTGGTTCAGTCATGTGTTGCACCTATTCCTGATTATTTACTGACATATGCCCAGCTAATGAAGTCTTATTTCAAACACCCAGTGGACACACAGTAAAAAGAGTTTTATGGCATATGAAACCTTAGGTTAGTCTGGGATGCTGAAAAAAAAACTTAGCATAATTAGCAGCTCAAACATCCTTATCTATCTCGTACTGAGGTCTGGGGAAAGCCTCATTTCTTGTTAAGCCTCCGATTGAAACAGTTTGATTTGCTGCTTTAACACTGATAGAAAATCTGACACAGTTTGGGGTGTTACTTTTTACCCAGCCGATGCCCTCAACTGATGCATCGGCAAATCAGAGTAAATGTTTTTGTTTCATTTATAGTTAAACTTCACTGTTACCTGAAAAGTCCATAAAATGTCTTTTCTGAAATTTTACACCAAAATTAACCTGAAATGATTTCAATGTGTTTAAAAAAGCAAATTGAACATGAAAAACCAAGAGATCCTGAGATAAAAGTTACATATTATTTTCAGAATGAGAAGATGTCTAATTTCAATACCTACATTATTTTGTTTCCTTTTCTATTTGCAGATTAATAAAAATCGACATTTTTTCCAAACCTGTGAGATGTTTCTGGTCTAGATTAAGTTTAACTAGACTTTTTTTTTTTTACTAGAGATATGGCAAAAAAAAATATATTTTTTTTTGCTTCGTCAGGTGTCACATTTTCCACAGCTGTTACTCATGAAAAAAAAAACCTTTTAGTGATGCTTTCACAGTAAATGTCTGAGGATAACCATTAGCCCCCATTTAGCTTCACATTACACATTCTCTGCTGTTGTGGTATTGTTTCCAGCTTGTGTGTCTGAGCTTCATGACGGTCTTTCTCGATGATCAGCTCCAGGTTTTAGTACCAGCTGAGACTCAAATCCAGCTCGTATGGTCTTTGTTTCCAAAGCGAAGTAGCGAGCTCTAATGGCTACAATATATCTGTTGTCCTTAAAGAACATCCAAACTTCCCACTGTTTTCTGAAGCCTTCGTCTTTGGAGAGAGAAAACAGCTGAAATCTCAGGACCGAAAGAACATCTGTGTATATCACGGTATGTAACCTAGCTCAGTCTGTAACATTATTACATTATATGCATGTGCAGATCAGCGCAATAGGGTTTCTTTTAGTAAAGCTGAAGTCCAATAACCTCATCCAGAGCAGGTTTTGTAATCTCAAGTCTCACTTTGTCGTATATCCCTAAGGAAAAGATTAAGTTCGGTGAGCTTTCAACTTTGTTTAACTTACATTGAATTTTTCCGACTCGATCAAACTATGAAACTTTGTGCTTTAACCAAAGAAAGGCCGTAGGCCCCGAACAAAAGAGTTGCATTTACTCATCAGTTAAATTAGGTGAAAAGTGAAACCTCAGTTTGTATGATGCTAATATAAGGATCAGGAGGCTGAGCTCTGGATTCATTCAGCAGTCAGATTTTTGGGTCCTTTCTGCAGCTGTGGCGTGACTGGAATACGCTGCAGTATTCCAGTACAGCTCTGATTGGGCTCTTCGTCATGAGGTCGGCTGCTGAACTTAATGAACGCTGCAGCATTTAGCCCACAAACCAAACAGAGAGAAAGTCATGATTCCTGAGTACAGTCTTCAATTATTCATCAACAGTAGCTCCAACTTCACTTCATGCTTCACTTATCTCTGAGTCTTTGTCTCAGTGGAAGAGCACAAATTTATTCTTAATTTAGTTCAGTTCCACATACGGAAAACAGGATTTAAGGTGTTTGTATTTACTGTAAACCAGGAGCTGACGACTGATCTTAAAGCATGACTTAGCTCGGAGCAAAGAGAGAACTGTAGTTCTCTACAGGGACACCCACATACAGAGCTTGAGGCCTTTATGAACTACTTTTTGGTACCCTCACCAACAACAATCACATCTTTAACAAAACATACAGAGCTTGAGGCCTTTATGAACTACTTTTTGGTACCCTCACTACCCTCACTCAAAAACCAGCTGAAATCTTTAAAAACTTTTTGTTTGAATCTTGATTATGACTCATAACAAAACTCAAAAGGCCTCTATCTCAACACATCAGAATAGCACAAAACCCCAGTACAAATGAGTAGATTTATGATACAGCAAGGTGAACCTCCTGAAAATTAAGGGAATCTATGCTCTCAGCTCATGGTCTGGGCTCCTTTTACATGAATTTCTGCATCATGTCATAAAGCTGATCAGTATGTGTCTCTGCTGGAGTCTCACAGAGGTCCAGGTCTCCGATCGCTCCTTCAGCTCATCTGTACTGTTACTCTGGTGTCTCTCATCTTCTTCTTAATCAGACTGGTCAGCTGGACTGTCAAAGCACAGTGACACCATTGTCAGGAAAACCAGTTTCTGGTAGTTTTGGGCCTGTGGGCAGGTACAAGGTCCTACTGGAAAACTTTTTACCCATTTGGTTGTTCCTATATAACAACCTTTTAGCATCATAACGCTTATGAAACCGTGGTTGTTGTGTACCCTTCACTGTTGTTCAGAGCTGATATCACAAGTCCTGTCACTCACTGATTTTGATCGGTCAGTGGGAACGACGGTACTGAAGTAGAAAATGGGCAGACAAAAAAACATGAGAGGACACAGGCTCTTACTCTGGATTAACTAAACTGAGTTTTATTTTTGTAATAAAATCCTGTGCCTGCTTATTTCTTGGCCTGCCAGACTCCTTTTTAATGTCAATACTGTGCTCCCAGTTTCAAATAATTGACAGAGTGAACAGTATCGTGATTCAGAGAAAAACTACAGAGAAAAGACCAAACATGATATAAACCACAACGAAACCGTGAAGCTCAGCCTTAAATCAGCTCTTTGAGGGTGTAAACCAGAGTGACCTCGCATTCTGAAAACGTCCTGAGTGTGAAGGTTTGAGGGTTCTCACAAGTATATAAACACTCACCGTCACACACGCTGTGAAACTAATAATACTCCGTCCTAAAATAGATCCAAACCTCAGCACCGGTCTGAGCTCACTTCACTGAGAGAACAGAGACTGTCATTACACACAAACAGATACAGGATGCCTGCGTGTGTGTGTGTGTGTGTGTGTGTGTGTGTGTGTGTGTGTGTGTGTGTGTGTGTGTGTGTGTGTGTGTGTGTGTGTGTGTGTGAGCATCTTAAAGTGTGTGCTGTCAGTCCTTGTCATCGTTTCATGTTGCTCAGTCGTACTGCTTTCTCCAACTCAAACTGCCGATGGTCGACACGCTCCAGGAAGTTCTTCCGCTCCACATACCTAAACACACACACACAAACACACACACAAACACACAGACACACAAAGAGAGACCATTAGTTATACTTTTATCATAACAGTCAAACACTCTGCATACACACTTTTTCACCTCTAAACCACATTTCTGTCCTCCTCTCTCACAGAGGACAGGGTTACACAACTGTCCCTGCAGCCTGTGTGTGTTAAATGTGTGTTATTGTGTGTATTACATGTGTTACATACAGTGGGGACTGACCTCCTTTTTTGGGACAAAAATGAATTCTCTGATGATAAGTGTATAAAGACGTGTGATGATGTGTTTCCAAGTTAAGTTCAAGCAAAAAAGGACAAAATAGGACACATGATTTGTAGTTTGGAGCTGATATTTTGAGCAAAGATTGTTAAATTTCAGAGTGTAGTCTGGTTTAGGGGTAGGGTAAGGAAAGTACTGGTTGTGTTTTGAACAAATCCTCATTTGATAGTATTGCGTCAAATCTCTGCTGTAGGTTTGTCCCAGCCTGACCCCAATTCACCCTAAATCATAACCACATATTACAGCCTGGACCTACAGTTGGTCTGAAAACACCGCAGCGCATCTCTTCCCTGCATAAGCTTCTCTACACCAGCTCCATGTGAAATCCAGGATAGATTTTAAAATCTGTCTTCTGAGCAGCAAAGCTCTTCATGTCCAGACAGCATCATATCTTAAAGGGCTCATAGTTCCTATTAGGCCATAAGAACTTCATCCTCCCAGCAGGCAGGCCTGCTAAAGTACCTGATACCCCTGAAAGCAGTCTGGGGGTTAAAGCTTTCAGTTTTCAGGCCCCGTGCCTTCAGAATCCCCTGCCAGTCTGAATCTAAAAAGGCAAAAAACCCTCTCTACTGCTCGGGTTACAGCCCTTCTGCAAAATAACCCAACTTTTATAGACTGTTATAGACTGTCTGTACACTGTTATAGGTCCATATTGTTATAGACTCTTTGGGACTCAGACTGTTATAGACTGTTGTAGACTGTTATAGGCTCAGACTGTTAAAGACTGTTTTAGACCCAAAATGTTATAGACTTTAATAGTCTAAGACTATTATTGGCTCATATTGTAATGGGCTCACACTGTGATTATTCAGACTGTTAAAGACTGTTTGAGACCCAGACTGATAGAGACTTAGACTGTTATAGACTGTTGTAGACAATTATGGGTTCATACTGTTAAAGACTCTTTGGGACTCAGACTGTTAAAGACTGTTGTAGACTATTATAGACTATTATAGAGTCAGACTCAAAGACTGTTGTAGACTGTTGTAGACTATTATAGACTCAGACTGTTAAAGACTGTTGTAGACTGTTGAAGACTATTATAGACTCAGACTGTTAAAGACTGTTATAGACTCAGACTGTTAAAGACTGTTGTAGAGTGTTATAGACTAAGTCTGTTATAGACCGTTGTAGACTGTTACAGGCTTAGACTGATATAGACTTGGACTGTTATAGACTGTTGTAGACAATTATGGGTTCATACTGTTAAAGACTCTTTGGGACTCAGACTGTTAAAGACTGTTGTAGACTGTTGTAGACTATTATAGACTCAGAGTGTTAAAGACCGTTGTAGACTGTTGTAGACTGTTATAGACTGTTATAGACTCAGACTGTTATAGACTTAGACTGTTATAGACTGTTACAGGCTTAGACTGATATAGACTTAGACTGTTATTTGCTCACATTGTTATTAACTTAAATTGTTACAGGCTCAGACTTCTTACTGATTCCATGTTTATACTGTTCTTAACATTTTTGAAGTTTGGTTTTGTAGTTGTGTACAGGACAGCCTTTAATATTTTTTAAAGCCAATTCAAAGACTGATTGGTTACTACTATAGGTTACTCAAAGAAAAATGTGTCAAATTTAATAATATGTCTAGTTTTTAGCGTCTTCCCCAGTTCTTACCCTTCTCTGCCTCTGTTGTGGATGGCGAGCTCCTCCGTAATCCCCTCCTCTGATTTATAAGCGTCCCAGTCCATCTTTGACTTCTCCAATGTGCTCATCTTCTGTTTCTTTCCTCCAATACGACTCAGAAGGCTGCTCATACCTGCAGGACGCTTCCCACTGAAAACACACACAGGAGAGGAACACACTGAAAACACACAACAGGCAAAACTCTGCAGGGACTGAAGCACAACTGTGTAATTCAGTTATATCAGAAATCCAGAAATAACTAGAAAATTCCCTTTGGGAAATTTTGGAAGGGCCACAGTGGTTACTGCTGGGGTGTGTACATGATGATGAAGAACTCCAATAATTGCTCTTTTTTTCCCATTGACTTGCAAAACAATTTCTGCAATTTTTCGCAACTTAGGTCGCAAAAAAAATATAAAAAAAACAGAGAAAAGTAATATCTTACCAATCCTGATCAAACCACATGTTTTGACATATAATTCGTCCCACAACTCTTCATGCTGTAGGATTTGTAATGAATGGAAATTTGTCCGGAAGAGGAGAGCTTCCCTCTAAGTTGCCCTGGTGTGTTTGCCTCGTGGCCCTAATTACCATGTGTAACCTTTGTGTAGTTAAGAAATCACAGAGATACACTTTGTCCTCCTTGCTTTACATGAATGTATCTCTGACACTAAATTAAGTCAGTTTGTTCGAAAGTAAGGAGTGGCGTTTTTTCCTGCAGGCTGTTTGTTTATTGCTGCAGAATTTCAAACAGAAAGCAAAAGCAGCTGCAGAGGGAACAACATCAAATGTAACATCTCAACAGCTTTGAACTGAATAAAACAGAGAGACCCAGCCAGTGTAGACGAGGCAACATGCAAAATCTGCAATAAAAAGTTCCCTGTGGGTCAAAACGCAGTGTCACACATTAAAAATAACCAAAATAATCAATAATTAAATCTCACTTGTGAAAAGTAATCCTGTGTAATCCGGTTTCAATACTGTACTGGTTTTTGCAACCATCGGGTTCACAAAATATGGGAAAATTTGCTCGATCTCCGTTGACTCTATTTGGTTCAAGTGAGAGCCTAGAGTGAGGGAGCCCATCCAATATGGCGGCGACGCTGGATTACACTCCAGCATGTAATGAGGTATCTATGTATAAAATGTCGATGGTCACAACCGGATTAACTTCCCATCTTCACTTGCGCAACGGAAACACTACTTGGACAAACTGCCTGAACTGTGTTGCCAGGGAATATGAGATGGGTTAATCGCGTTAAAAATTCTAATGAAATTATAAGTGATGATGGATTCATCCGCATGACTGTGTTAATTTTGACAGTCCTAATATATACATACACATATACAAACTGTACATAAAAGATAAATGTCAGGATGGTGGGTGAATTAATTGAGCGCTGTTTGCAGGTTGTATTTAAAACACTTCAGTGCAAATAACTGCAAGGCAACAGGCCTCAGGAAAGAACCAATTAGTGAATGGCTGTGTGCAGGTGGTGCTCATGGGAGTTGTAGTGTCACATTGTCATGAGTTATGTTTTCAGATGCCTTTAAGGCGACAACAACAAAAAGTACAATTAAAGAAACCCACAGACTGGCATTTGGTAGATGTTATTGTCAAGCACTGATCATGTTTAAGGTCCATCTAGTTTGCTGGTTCATAAAAGCAGTAAGTGCAAAATCCTGAAAGTCTCAAGTAATCAAAGATAATGCTTATATTTACAACAAAAAATAGCATGATCAACATTTTGAGCTTAAAATGGAAAAAGGAAACATGTGGCTCAGAAAATGTGCAGCACCCTTAACCGCTGCAGAGGAAATTCCAACACCACAACAGCTCCAACCCAGAATTTAGCCCTCATTATAATTGAAATCCTGGAAATTACCAACACCTCATTCACAGTTTGAGCTCCCTAAGTCTAGTCTTGCTTCTCACAATCTGCCTCCTGTTATTCAACACTGTCTGATTTTTAAAGATTACAAATCCTCATGTTTCAGCCTCACAGCAGCATTGCTCTCTGGAGTCACTCTGGTGTTAATCCTGCAGTACCAACAGGTTAGAGAGTTCTTCAGTGCAGAGACTTAAAAAGCATGAAGCCTCAGTCTTTAAAAGAATCCACTCATGACTTAGAGTTAAATAATATTCCAGTGAGACCACAGCAGAGCACGCTTCTCATTAACTGCTGCCAGACTGGACTCAAACCACGTTAATCACTGTGAGCACTAAAACACCGCCTCATTTTGGTGATCCGCAACTACACACAGCCATAACAGACTCACATACTACACACAGACATGAGAAACACACAAACACTTAAAGTCCCACCCCGAACCTTTTCTCTATCTACTCCAAGTTTTTTGCAAAAGTCACATTACTTGTGTCATTTTTCAAGCGCTTTTCCTCTGTAGAGCTCCAGTAGCTCATTAGCTATTCACCTTTAAGTCGTGGGCAAAGACAGCGCTGCTCTGTACACTCCTCTTCCTTTTAGCTTGTAGCCTAACATTGCCGGTGTAGTATAAGTGGCAGGTAACATGGGAGCTACTCAGCTCTCAGACACTCATTTCTTCGGGGAAATGATGAAAACTAATATCATATTTAGCAAACCGCTAACGCACACCCATGTTCTGCAACTGTCCTCTCTACTTCTTACAGTCTGGCCTGCATAACCGGGCTCCGGGGGCGGAGCTTGCAGTTGTGACGTAGGAAATCCCACTACATCTGAACCTGCCATTTGGGTCTGTGAGAGGTTCACAGCGATTTGAATGCAGAAATACTACATACAACAGAAATATTTCACACTCACTTTTCTCATGATATGTCCTGTAGCATCAGAAAAATGCTGTATGAACATGTAAAAAACAAGAAAAACATGATTTTTATCGGAGAGGGTCTTTAACACAGCCATGACAGAAACACACTAACATCACACACAGATATGAGAAACACATTAACACTACACATGGCCTGCTCTCTGGTTTTGTAAATAGTGCTTATACATCTGTGTTTGCAAAGTAGTTGTGGTTGATGTCAGAGAGAGCAGCCTTTAGATTTATACATTAACTTTCTCCTGTTTTTGGGGTTCGTACGTTATTTTCCAGTGTTTTCTTATCTTTCTTATCTGATGTAAGATGGCTTTGATAATCAAAGAGATGCTAGGCTGTTAGTTTGTCATTTTCTGCAGCTGAAGTTTTCTATTATCTTTTCATGTTTGAAAAATGAATGAAACATCTCTGGACTGCAGATAGTTGGTAATGTGGTCGAGAAAGGAGGGAGCAGGGAGGGTGGTCACTTTTATATTCCACTCTGATTTCCCTTTGGCTGGACACAACAGGTGTTTGTACCTCTCCCATGTCTATGGGTGCATATTATTATTATGGCATCTCTTCAGGCAGATAACAGCTTTAAAAGTGTTTTGAAGTGTTGGACAAAGACAACAGACATATTTGTTATTGTTAAAAAAAAAACAAAAAAAAAAACCCACGATTATTCACTCTGGAATAAACGTCTCTGTCACAGGTATATCTTAGCACAAGAGAACTTTAACTCCAAGAGAAACTTTTTCTAACTGAGATAAAAGGTGCGCAAATATCCTATACAGTCAAAATTACTTTGAAAATAACAGTATTTATGATATCAGCAGAAATCAAACATCCCACATCCCTCCTCAGGATGTGCTACAGAAAGGCTGTGGCGATACCTGAACGTTTAAATCCCGGTGTTTCTTTTTGTTGCATCACAACATTAAAGAGGCTTTACTCCATATTTATCTGAACACATATCAACACACTGAGGATGATCTGCTGCTCTGATTTCCTGCTTTTCTTGACACCAGACCTGCCATCTGACCCTGCCCCCCTCTCCATCACAGATCCATGCCCCCTGTCTATTCAAGAGCGCAGCCCCCTACAGTTAGACTATAGTAAACACACTACTGTTTCATAACAAAGTCCTATCTGTGAAACTAATGTACACAGGCTGTGTGTGTGTGTGTGTGTGTGTGTGTGTGTGTGCCCAAGGTTAAGTAGGGAGTGGTGCTGATGGCTCTTTCCTGTTGTGATGGGTGTCCCCCTTCTTCAGACACCGAGGCACACTCACACTCACACTCACACACACACACTCACACTCACACACACGCGCACGCACGCACGCACGCACGCACGCACGCACGCACGCACGCACACACACACACTGCGCAGAGATAAATAGGAAATGGTTTGTGGACACACTGTACTTCCTGATGTGGAAGATGATTTCCTGTTTCCTGTCTGGGGTTTTGGTGGGAAGATGTGAACACCCCTTAGTGATTTATCACCATGGCAACAAAAGGTATTATAAGAGGTAGGGGAAACAGACACGCACACACAGGAGCTGATGTGTAGTTGTTGGATGATTACAAACTGCTCTGTTAACACAATGCAGCTGAAATTATTTTCCAGATTTACCTGAATCTCAACTTTTACAAACCTTTGACTTCAGGGTTTATATATAAAGTGTTTATATTTTATATATAAAATAACAGATTTCTCATGTGATGGTGTTTATAAGTATGTGTGTGAATGCTATGTGTACAGGTGTGTGTGTGTACCTGGGTCCAGGTGGAGCTGTGCAGGGTGAGGAGGTCTCCGTCTCTTCTTCTGTGTTTCCTTCCTTTTGACTGTTCAGACTCTTCAGGAAACTCTTGGCCTCTCTGGAGTCGGCTGACACCTCTTTATCCACCCTGACAGACAGACAGACAGACACATACAGGTGAGTAACTCCAGGTAATAGAGCAACTTTACGTGGAGATTAAATTTACAAAATTTATAAATAAAAGACTCCACAGCTACTGTGGAGGACAAAAACCACTAAACTATAGATATTAAAAAAAAACTGATGATTTGTTCATAAATCACCAATTTATTTCTTTTTAGTGTTCGCTGTTATTTGAATTCTATCATTTATTAGCGTCTGTATTTCTATATCTCAATCTCATTATTTTTAATGTCTGAGTCGTTTAACAAACATTCTTTAAAATCCTAGTCAGTTTCACTTTGGAGTCAGACAGTCCTCCCTCTCACGTCTCCAGTTTGTACAAAACGCAGTCGCTCTTAACTGGAGTACATAAGAGGGAGCACGTTACTCCCATCCTGGCCTCCCTCCACTGGTTACCCGTGCATTTTAGAGTTCATTTTAAGATTCTTTTATTTGTTTTTAAATCTTTAAATGGTCTGGCTCCATCTTACCTCTCTGAGCTTCTCCACCCCTACACCCCTGCTTGGTGCCTCAGGTCAGCTGATCAGCTGCTGCTGGAGGTACGGAGGTCCAAACCGAAGCTCAGAGGGGAAATATCTTTTTCTGTTGTGGTCCCAAAATTATGGAACGAGCTACCCCTCCAAATTAGACAAGCCCCCACACTGTCCATTTTTTAAACTCGTCTTAAAACCCATTTGTATTCATTGGCTTTCAACCCTGCATAAGACTCGGCTCCTGTTTTAGTGTTTTATGGTTTGTTTTTAGTTATTTGTTTCTATGTTTTTAAATTAGTTTTTAAAAACATTGAAACTATATTTTACTTTTTAATATTTGCTTTTATTTTATCCATTGTTTTTTGTTTGTTTGTTTTTTATGTCTGCGTTGTTTTGTCTATTTATGTACAGCACTTTGGTCGGCTGTGGTTGTTTTCAGGTGCTTTACAAATAAAGTTGAGTTGAGTTGAGTTGAGTTGAGTTTACTCTGTTCCTAATTTAAAACATGAAACACTCTCAACAACAGTCCTCTCCTCACTTAACTTACACTGAATAAACTCAGATTATTCCAGATAATACAACATCAATAAACATGAATGAAGTAACTAAACAAGGGAAGATAATAGTGAGATTAAAGTGTAGTGGCCTCCTGACTTGTTTATGGAGGTTTTTTATATGTTAACAAAATAATAACAAATATGTTTAACAAATAAAATTTTAACAAAAGCATTAAAACCCACACATACTCGATGAGAAGAGGCAAACTCAGCACAGAGAGGCTCCTGCACAGCAGTTCTGACCAGAAACCCGCTTGCTGTGAGGCAAAAGCACTAAGACCTGAAGATCAGGTGTTAGCACATAGACTGCTAATGTGTGCGCACAGATTAGCTTGTGCGTGTGTTTTCTGTGGAGGTCTCACCTGTCCATCTGAGACAGGTTCTACCTAATGACACTGCTGATGCACCCCATACTACAGGAGCTGGTTCATGATGAAGCCCACACAGCACCCTAGACAGCTACAGAGCCCACCAGTGGGATTCTGAAGGTGAGTGTCACACCACCAATTTTGTATCTTTCTCAGCACCACAGGAAGCACATATCGACATCTCCTTATATGGTGTTCACTGGCTATTCATGGGCGAAGATGTATGCTGAGTTCTGACTGGCAGCCTGTACATCCATGAACAAACATGTGCTTACAGTCAGATTAGAGTTTCTGCAGTGATCATGAATCAAGTGTAAGATAAGAGGAACTTTATTTATCCCCAAAGGTAAATTCAATAGTGTAGGTAAGTTCAAGAGTAGGTTTGTGGTACAGGACTTCTCTGTGCACATCTACACAGATTTACTGACGTTTCATGAGGAGACCAAGAGTTATACAGCCTGAACACAAACCAAAGGTCATCCAAACGTTGATTATTTATTGAAATTTCCTTATAGTATAAAAACAAACACAAAAAATAACCTCCTTCAACATTCATCAACACCTATCTCACAAACACAGCTGCTGAGTCTCTGCATCTACAGCTCAGAGATAAACAGTGAATTATGAACTATGAGGAATGCTAGCCGCTCCCTCAGTACACACACATACACACACTCCTGTCTTGCTGAGTGAGTGTGTGTGTGTGTGTGTTTGTGCGTGTGTAAGTGTGGGGTAACATATTGAAGCTATAAGAGGAATAACCGCGGCGTCCTCTGGGAACATCAGCTCTGCACAGACTCCACAAACAGCAGCATCCATCATGGCGGCTCTGAAAGCCTCTGCCTGCTCTGTATGCTAATTATATGCAGCCATAATTACACAGAGAGGACACACAGCTCTGAGGATGAGGAAGAGGAGGAAGAGGAGGAAGAAGAGCGTTCTCTTAAGTGTCAGACAGGAGGAAGAGCTCTGAGTTTAGAGGAGGATAAACTGAGAGGACTCGAGGACAGATGTCCACAGATGAACCGAGATATATTTGTGAAAAAACTTAATCCACAGGTACAAACATCAGTGCGCAGTATTACTGCAGCTGGGGGAACCATCATCCATGTGCTAATGTTATGCCTGTGTAATTACAGAGCAAACAGCTCCATGCATAATCAATCAGATGAGTTATAGGTGGCATTATGTCAGGAATAAAACACAGACGGATGTAAACATTTAGAAGGAGACATGTTTTCTGTCTGCAGGGAGTGTCTGTCTGCGTCTTTACTGTATGTTCACGATACACAGTAAAAATGAGACACCCGAAAACCCTGTCTGTCTGATATACAGCATGACTGTGACAGTGATAATTAGGGATGTTTATGGGACACACACAAATATTTGTGAGTCTCCTGATCTACAGCTACCAAAGCTGTGAGCTCACCTCCTCCTCTCCACAGTCTTTTTGACATCATTCTCTACATTTGTCTTTGAGCTCATCTCTAAAGAAACACTTGTGACTCTATCAGATATACTTTTAGAGGACAAGGCATTCTGGAGTGGGGAAAGTATTTTTATCCTATAAAATAAAGTAAATAGGGTAAAAAGTGGGTTTTAAAACATCCTTTTAAACCTCAAGACTTGAAGTTTCTTATGATTCAGAACATCTCTCACTGTTAAACACAACAGTCTTTAGATTTCTGGGGCTTGAGATCACTGCAGCATCTCTCCTCATTCTGTCCTTTCACTTTTCAGACACCCACCTGCCTCCTCCTCCCCTTACTCTCCCTGCTCTCCTCTCTCCTCCCTGCTCTCCTATCTGCTCCTCTCTCTTCCTTGCTGCTCCTCTCCCTGCTCTCCTCTCTGCTCCTCTCTCTTCCTCCTGCTCCTCTCCCTGCTCTCCTCTCTCCTCTTCCTCCTCCTCCTCTCCCTGCTCTCCTCTCTCCTCCTGTAGCTGCCTGATGGTTAGTACCTGTTGCTCCTCCTGTTGTAGACACAATGGTCCTTCAATAATCTTAGCAGGAGCAGTAACTGCCTGCTGCTCCCTGAGCTGCTTCAGATGAAGGTAAAGTTATTGTTTGGGGGGTGGGGGTCCACTTTTGTTTAGTCCCTACCATCTATTAAAGATTTTGGTGAGTTATCATTAGCCACATTTAGATGGCAAAATTTCTTGATCCGATAAAAAATTTGAGGGATCGGATAATCTGAATCCACTGTTTATATGGGTGCAAAATCAAATAATCAAGTCATGACGTTCATATACATTGAACGAACTTTTTTCAGATTAGAAGCATTTGGACATGCGCAGAGTTGTCTGATTTCGCTTAAACAACCAGTTGTATTTACGCCTGTGCTGTCAACAAACCAACAAATGCAGTAGTGTCTCACTCCATCCATTCAGGAGTGTTGCCTCTGTTAAATGTTGTCACTAGATGGCACCCTTGCCTACTTATTTTACTGTCCTGTCAAAGGTTGCACTATAATAATAATAATAATAATAATAATAATTTTTATTTATATAGCACCTTTAAAAACAGAAGTTTACAAAGTGCTTAGACAACATTTGTAAGCACAGAGCATCAGCACATTGAAAATAAAAACACATAAAAACAAAAGCTCAGTTAAAAACAGGCCTCTGAATTGTAGGCCTGTTTCACTTTTCGTAAGAAACCCAGGCAATACAAGAACCCTACAAAATAAATGGGACCATGAGGACCAAAATAAAAGCAAAAAAAAGAAATAGAAAAGGAGGGAAGAAAACAGGCTAGTAAGTATGAAAGAGGATATTAATAATAATAATAAAATCATAATAAAATAAAATGATGGTAATATAAACGATAAAGTGGAATTAAATATATATATATAAAATAAAGGAAAATGAAAACATTAAAATCAATAAAAAGATTATAAGTAAAACAAAGGCTAAAAAGGCAGTAAGTCTAAATAAGAAAGAGGTGAAAGAGGTAAAAGAAAAAAGGAGAAAAATAAAAACGGTAAAAGGCAATAAAAGATGAAAGATGGCATCACATAAAGGCAAGTCTGTAAAAGTGAGTTTTTAAAACTGTGCGTACAGATGTGACAACATTACGTTGTATGTACGCCTAGTTATGGTAACAGAGGAGCAGACACGAAACCTGCGGTTGTGTTTAAATCCAGAGTGTTAATAATGAACTGGCCTCAATAAATAAACCAAAGGCTAAAGAGTGAAGATCGAGTCAGGTAAGAGAGTCACGATCGGAATAAGAGTTTACATGGACACTTTTCGGAATAATGATCGGCATAAACCACCCCTCTCAATTGGGATACAATTTTTATCGGATTGAGCCAAATTGGATCAGAATCTTCAGCTCGACTTGTTTACATGACACTTTTTTATTCTGATCGGGCATTTATTCCGATTATTTGTCCGCATGTAAACACAGCTAGTGTTATCAAAATCAAAATCATCTCTAAAGATGAGGAAGGCTGTTTTCCACTGACAAACCCACCAATATCCGTCCTCACTCCCAGGATCTCCAAAACACCAAAAGAGTCCAATGAAGAAGAAGAAGAGGAGAGAATGCTCTCTTTTAAGTTGTAACATCTCAGCCAATTTCTCCAAATCACACAGAAAAAACCTCACCACGCTCACCATCATCCAGCTCCTAACTGACTTCACCAAATATTAACCCCCTGAAACTTTTCATTGGACCATCACACAGAGAATTACACACTGGCGGGGAAACGAGATGACTGATGCACAAAGGCAAAAATAGACAGGGTTTCAGAAATAAAACTGGACAGAAGTTGGTGAATAAGAAATGCAAACAATTCAAAAAGTGTTTCTGTGAACCCCCCACCCTCCCAGTTATGCTGCCTAATTTGGGTCTTTACAGTAAACCAGGACTACGTGAAGGAAATGAAACCAAAAGTAAACCTGTATGGTATCAAGAAAAACAAATCACTGCAGCGAGTCAATGAGTGAGTTTGTGACTGGTGTCTCTTTGTGTGTCTGATGCTGTTTACACCTGAAATATCACATCAGCAGTGAACTCTTTGACCACAGACTTTCACTAAAATCACTTTTACACGTCTTTTCAGAGAATTTCTTTGAGTGGAGCAGCAAAGTTATCTCTGCAGAGGCTCTTTTCCTTATTTAATCCTTGAGAAATCTCAGATTTTCACTCTTCTCTTTTCATTTTACATTTTGCTGAGTTGCATGATTGGCTTAAATACATTTTAAGGCTTTTCCCTGGACAGCTGGAAAGTTACATTACATTACAGAAGAATGAGTGGAAATTGGGGAGGACTTCTAAAAAGCCTGAGCCAACCTGAGCAGCTGCATCCTGCCCTAAGCTCTCACATGCCTCTCCTCCATACACAGAATCTAATTACTGAGCTGCTCTGATCAATTTTAAAGATGTTATTGCTTATACTTTAATTTTGTAAAATGCATCTGCTGTGCTCTGTTTCTGCACTGTTCAGATCCCTGCTCCGCGAAGCACATTTTGCTGTGTGCCTGAGAGAAAGGTGCAACATGAATAAATAAAGCTGCGCTCAGATGAGTCGTTATAAATTAAAAAGTGACACAGATTTACATAATGCACTGAAAATCTGTACAGATGCTCCAGAGACAACGAGAACACCGAGTTCCATCTATAATTCACAGAGGACACTCATTACACTGAGACAAAGACACAAAATAAACATGACAGAGAGCTCTGACGATCAGAAACCTGCAGATGCTGTCATGTTCAAAACAAACAGAAACTTCTCATGAATCTGCAGAAAGTTCTGGTCAGAGTCGGCAGGATTTTGCACAAGGAGGGGGAAATGCTTCAGGCTGTGTGCAGCTCTCTGAGAGTTTCACCAGATTTTCAGAGGTGGGCCCAGGATGCAGGTACAACAGCATCAAGGTGGAACTGGTTTCATGGACACTGCTTTGATGGGGGACTTTCACATAGAGCAAAGAGACCTGTCCTCGTATTCATGTGCTGTCTGAGAAGTGGTAGATTTATGCTCATGTCCAGTCAAGCTGAACTTGGAGAACACGACCTGTGGAGTTTACAAGCTGAAATCAGAGATGTGTCTAAATGTTTAAATGTCTCGTACAGAGTCCACATGTCTGTCCAAGCTTCAAAAGAGAAAGCTCAGACTGTAACTGTTGTCATCACAACAACCAGTGTGCTTTAATTTGCCTTGTGATCCTGCAGAGGGCACTCTAACACTAAAGGATTAACACTCAATGAAGTTTGTCCTAGTGTCATGACAGGAATTAAACAAAAGGACTGTTTTCACAGGGGTGAAGATCTTTTCCTGAACGCTGAACGTTCAGAGTCAGTTTGTTAGCATAGCAGTGACTTATCTTGAAGGTTAACCAGACTATTTAAAGACACCAACTTTGACTCCCTTTAAAACATAAGAGGTCAGATTTATTTATTATGGTTTTCTAAGACTGAGGTAGTAACTAATTATTGATATAAAATTAGATGAGTTTAAGATAAGGTATCCAAATTTTAACGACTTATGGAGGAGGGTGGGATATCTTAATAGATGTTTCCATCTCCTTTAACTACATAATCATAAGTGACACTGAATCAAAATTTTCTATTTAGTGGAAAAATCTTGTTTTTATTTGCTTTTACTTTCACATATCAAGAACAACAGCGCTCCTCTTTGTCTGGTTATGACAGAAATCTGAGAGGAAAAGCATTTGAACATGCTGTAGGTGAGTGTTTGTGTTCATGCAGATACACTTTTTCTGAGTGTGCAGCAACACCTAGTGGTCAGAGTTAAAACCTACAGCCAATCAGAGAATTTTTTTTTAATGTTTGCAGTTTGAAAACTGAACAAATACAGATCATATGAGGACAGTACAAATATAACATGTCTGAAATTAAAAATTAATGGTTGAACTTTTTCACTATATTTACATTTCAATCTAAACCAGCTTTTTTCCTTCACAGTTACAGAGAATAATTGTGTATCTGTGTGCTCATGGTTTTGTGAAAGTCGTTCCCCAAAAGTTCAGAATTTATTGAAAATACTCTTCATAGAGTTTTTCTCTCTTAGACTTACCGTACTTCTTCTCCAGCGAAGTCAAAAACTTTAGTGATGGTGACTTTTGCGGGCTCTTTTGTTTCTGTGCTTGGCGGAGTGACCTTCTTTAGTGAGAGATCATCCTGGGGATAAAAACATGATCATGGTTCAGAAATCTAGAAGCCCATAATGGTTTGGTTTTTGAATTTGCCCTCTGGTTTAGTGTTTACCTTTTGGGTGGAGCTGGACTGTGAAATCGGTTTTGGCTCTTTGGGTCTGGATCCAACATCAGACAGGAAACTGGCCCAGAGGTCATCTGACTTTTTTTTCTGCTTCTCCTCTTCGTCCTGGTTGACTCCAGACGGTTTTTCCTCCTCCTCCTCCTCCTTTGGCAACTGAGCCTCCTCCGCTCCCTCACCATCCTCCTCCTCTTTGTCCACTTTCAGGACTCCTTTCTTCCTCTTTCTGTAAAAACAAAGACCCAGTTTATTGACCTCTGATCCAAGAACCCTAAAGATTTAAAGAGAACAGGTCTCAGGTCTAAAAGCAGCGTGAATTACACATAATTGTACACTGTTATCTGTTTTCTCCGAGGTCTGATCTGAGTACACGTGGTTTTCTCCCTGTAGTGATTCAGCAACATCAGCTGACAGATACAACAACCCGGTCCAGAGGAAGAACTCCAGACCGTCTGTACAGATGCAGTGAAGGTGTGTGAACCACATGAGTCAAGATGCTGACCTGAGGTGACCTTCTTCCTTCCCCACTGTGAGTAAAGTGACCGCAGATGCCCTTAGAGCTGTATCTAAAACCCCACTGTGCCGTCAAGACCTATCAGACCACTGCTTTGGAGTATCAACCAATCAGAATCAAGTATTTAACACGGTTCATGAACTATTCAAACTTCATTACGACCAGTATAACCATAGACAACTGTATATGAACTAAAGCAGGCACTTTTATACAGCTACAGCTTTACAGCTCCAGCATAGCGACAATAGTGCAGAAACATGAGACCTGATGAGGTTTGAAATGTATTTATATTGGGGTTAAAAATAATCTGAATGAGTAAGAGAGATATTCTTTATGACAAACTTTACTGTGTGAGTCCTCTGACAGTGGAAACCATTAAACAACAACTATTCAACCATTTGACCACATTAACAAATATATTTAGCAAACAACTAAGAAATATTGGATGTAATTCAAGATATTTTTAGTCATTTTTCCCTCATTCTTCAAACACTGAACATGATCCTGTCTGGGACCTTTATGGAGATCTTGCATGTGTTGTATTTGAACCAGAACGTTTGTTTAATGACTCTGTAACACTCTAACTCCTTCAGTCCCTACTTCTCACCTCACACTCAGGTCTTTCTTCTTTTTCTTCTTCTTTCCGTCTTTCTCAGGATGTGGCACATCGTCATCCCTGTGCAGAGGCTCTTCTTTCTCACACTCATTGATGTCGTCCTCACTGAGATTGTCATCTGAGGGGGACAAAGACAGAAAGCTGACAGTCTGGCCCCATATAATATAACCGAATAAGGACCAGGACATGTTAAACAGAGCTGCAGTGGGTCTCAGAGACACAGCGCTCCTCTATAAACTAGAAAACTACAAACAGAAATCCAAAAAATCTACTGCTGGAGGGAATATGGAGGAATAACAGGCTCATGGTTCACAAATCTCCAGCTCTGTCTGAGTGATTCCTCTCCTCATTAGAGGTGACGCCTGTCTAATTTAAATCACACTACTTTCTTTAAAATGTTAACTTTTGGTGTAGGAGCCTTCAAAACACATTTTTACTTGTTTGTTTCAGATAAATCTTTCATTTAAATTCATATTTTAACCAGAAGAAGGACGGCACTCATTGATCAGAGACATTTTTCATCTGTTTCTGTGTGATGTTTATCGCTGTGAGTTTTCTTATTTACATCATTTTACTCGTGTTTGGAAAAGCTAATATTACTGTGTTTATTTATTAGATGATAACTTGATTGTTTTCCAGTCTTTTTCATTTATGTACACATGATATATGGTCTGTTTTAGTCAGCTTGGTCCTGACATGAACAAATCCATAATGGGCCTCAGTTAACAAAGAGATTCAGAGTCAGTAAACAGTTTCAGACACTAAAGCTGAACAGCCACAAGTCAACCTGAGCCCCAGAAACCACATTAGGACAGAGTCCTAATGTGAGGACAGAGGACCCAGAGTCCTCACCAAGACCAAGACTGTGGTCCACATCAGTCCGGCTCTGAGTTCTTGTCCTTACAAAGTTTATATTATTATTATTATTATTATTATTTCCATTATGCCTGTTGTATTATGTGAGGACCGTCATCATCAAGTGGAGAAAATATGGCATCTGTCAAAAATTGATGACGAGACGAGACGAAATCTGGTCAGGAAGGCTGCCAAGAGGTCGACAGCAACACTGAAGGAGCTGCAGAAATTTCTGGTAAGTGCTGGCTGTGTAGTACATGTGACAACAATCTCCCACTGTCTTCATATGTCTGGGCTATGGGGTAGGGTGGCAAGACAGAAGCCTTATCTTACAAAGAAAAACATCCAAGCCCGGCTTAATTTGCAAAAAGACATCTGAATTCTCCCAAACGCATGTGGGAAAATGTGTTATGGTCTGATGAAACCATAGTTGAACTTTTTGGGCATCACTGCAAAAGTTATACTTGGCGCAAAATCAACACTGCTCATCACCAAAAGAACACCATACCTACAGTGAAGCATGGTCGTGGCAGCATCATGCTTTGGGGAACTTCATCTTTCAGCACGACAATGACCCAAAGCACACATCTAAATCAACAAAAGAATGGCTTTACCGAAATAAGATTGAGACTTTGGAATGGCCCAGCCAGAGTCTAGACCTGATCCCATCGAACATTTGTGGAGTGATCTGAAGAGGGCTGTGCGCAGGAGATGCCCTCGCAATCTGTCAGATTTGGAGCGGTTTTGGAAAGAAGAGTGGGCAAATATTGCCACATCAAGATGTGCCATGCTGATAGACTCCTACCCAAAAAGACTGAGTGTTGTAATAAGAGCCAAAGGTGCTGCAACAAAGTATTAGTTTAAGGGTGTGTATATTTATGCAACCAGGTTATTTTAACTTTTCTATTTTTTATTTTTCCCCTTAAAGGTTTCAGTTTGTTAATCAATTGCATTGAACAGATTATAGGTCACATTAAAGGTGGAAAAAGTTGTAAAATTATTTATCTTGATGTCATTTTCTTACATTTACATTTTCTCTTCATACAATCTAACTGTCCTAATAATTTAGAGTAGAAATTTTATATTTTTAAATTCTCATAAACTCTTATTGATTTTCATTGAAGCAGCTGATCATTATACAGTATCATTCTCGTATCTTTGGGTGAATAAAGTGAAATATTCTTGATGTAAAACACTGAAACATGAACCCTCTCACCTGCTCAGAGTTTTGACCTGTTACCTGACAGGTACGTCTGCTACTCACCTGACGGGACGTAGTCTGCGTCCTCGTTAGAAGAATATCCATCAGAGTCGTAATCAGAATAATTCATCATTTTAGATCAAATTCCTCCAAAAAAAATTAAAAAAATACAGTAAACAGATTCAGACTGAGCGCAGTTAGCTTCCCTGAGACAATAACAGCTCAGAAAGGTTCACCAAACCCTCCTCTACGGCTTCATTTCTACACAATCGAGAGATCAAATTATGTTTCACAACAGGAATATATTCAGATGCTGAATTTATGTTAATCAGCGCAAAATAAGAGTATGAAACAGATAAATAGATGCTTCAATCAGAGAGCTTTTCACGCGTTTACTGCAAATACACAACACAATGCGGCTTCCTGCAGAACGACGGCAAGTCAGATCGGTCAAAAATGGTCTTCATCGCTCTTTGTGGAGGCGATTAAACGATGTTTACGCTGATTACCGCCACCTACCGGACAGGAGTGTAGGTTTGAAGCATAAAAACGACTTATAAAATCCAGCAACAAATATATTTACAAAGTATTTGGATGGAGGAATGAGGTTCCCTACAATAAACTTTTAAACTAAGGACTTCACAAATCAAATGAAAACAGATTCAGATAGTCAGAGGATAAAAAATGTCAGTGATCCTGACTGGAATTGTTAAAAAAGCAGCATCTGAACGTCTCAGATAAGATTCAAGACTTGTTTATTTGTCATGTGCATGTTAGACAAGGTCAACAGTACAATCAAATGCCCTGGATGAGAGGATCGCTTGACTCAAAAGGGGTACAGATAAAACACACAATAGCACTGAAGGAATACAATAAAAAAGGATTAAAAAAAAGAAATTATATATATATATATTAACGAATAAAAGTATAGCAGAAATATTTACAAAGTGCGAGGAATATTTACAAGTGTTAAAGGAGATATTTACAAAGTGAACAAGCGAAAGTGAACAAGTGAACAAAGTGAACAAGTGTACAAAATGAAAAGTTTGTACACTTGTTTACAAAGTGAAAAAGTAAATAATATCTCCTGTGAAAGCGCATAGATGAAAATGTGGTTAGGTGTTTTTAAAATGTGTTTTTAAAACAGGTTTGAAAGATGATAAAGAGCCTGACATCTGTAATTCCTCTCAAACTATGACATAAATCTTACTCATAAAACTAAAATTATATCAAATATCACTATCATTACAGTCAAGTTTCATTTCTTTCCCTGAAGAGCAGTACCACAGTGAACAAAGTTATAGGTTTCTGTCCAGCAGAGGGTACTGTGTAGGCAGGTTTACAGGAGAAACACTCGGCAGTACAGAGACTCAAGCTAGTGAGGGAAGTCCTTCAGATGGTCAGACAAAACATGAAGTGTACAGAGTATAGAAATAAAACACGGTCCTACACATGTGCCACTCTTTTTATAATACTGACTTTTTCCAAGTGACAGTTGAGTTTCAGCATTTCTCTAAAAGGGAGAATTTAATCTTAAAAAGAAGAAAAAATGAGGTTGAAATGAAAGGTCTCTCTGCACAGATGAGAACTTTGGCTGATGTGAAACCTGCTACAATAAAAAGTTGAGGCTTTTTCTCACCTCTGCTGATGAGTTTACTGCTCTGTCTTTAATTTCTCATAAAAGTCTAATAATAAGGGTTAAGTCCAGCTTTTGAACCGCTACTCTACAGCTGAAAAAGGCCAATATTTGGTACAACAGAGTACCAGGACAACATAAAGAGTTATAATTTTCTGACAAAAATAAGGTGGCAGTGTGATTATATTAGGAGAACTCAGCTGTGATCTTGTGAAATTAAAGACGTATTATTACAAAAACAGTGATGATCAGTCGGATCCTCTGTTTGTCAAGTTTTTACCATCAAAAACTTTATTAATATAAACTTATTTACACACAACAACCACAGTCTCTGTCCAATCAGTTATCTTACTGTCTCGCTCAGATACACAGGAATCCACAAACACCTAAAGTTTTTGCTAGTTGGTCCGTTTTGAGCTATTATCGAAAATACGGCGGTCTAACATGACAGCCTCTGTAGCAAGGACCCACTGTTTCAATCACATAAAAGACTTTTTCTAAATGAGAAATTAAATGATTTTGATATTTGATATCAACTAATTTAATTAGGCATCTGCAGAAGACGGTCAATTTATTTGGAAAAATAGTACTAAATTTACAAACTGTAACTCAATTTAAAAAAACAAAACTAATAGAATTCATCCATTAATATCCATTGTGACAAGATGTTGTAATTTTAAACTATGAGTTAGCCTGTATAAAGAGACTAACCAAGAAAAGAGAGTCTTTTAAACTCTGAGTAGATGACAGATGAAGGAAGCAGACATGTCTCTGTTATTAAAGGGTCTGAAGAAGAAAAGGTGAATTTTAGGATGTTTCCTGCCAGCCGTTACAAAGACAGGATAATCTAAAAGAAACCTTGACTGCGTGTGACCATGTGAGTCACATAATGATCACCGTCGGCTGTTACGTGGAGGTAATTTACTGTTCGTGACTCACAATAATCATCCAGGACAAAAAATCCCCAACAAAGAGGACAGAGAGGAGGAGACTGGAAGTTATCCTGCTTTCAAACATTGTGATACATCAACAACAGCAGAGCTTCATGGAGCCTCTTATTTCCCCTTTTCTCTGTCAGATGTTACAGGAATAAACATCTTGAATTTGATTCATCCCCCCCAAAAAAAAGAAATCCTCGACTGTGGAGAAGAGGGACACTTTCAGGGTATTAGACGCTTGATCAGAAGTCGTAAAGAGAGACTTTTCCACAAAGAGAGAGACCATTACACCTTCTCTACCAAATAACACATAATTGTTGTGTCACGGCTTAATGTGTTTAGATGGCTGACGTGCGACTCCATGTGAAGATGACAGAAATGAGCAGTGATTAAGTGTAATTTGCACATATTAAAAGTAGAAGGTGATGAACTCATTTGTCAGATTTAATGGAGAGGACGCTTGATTACCCCATTGATCAAATGTATAGATCATAATGGTTAGTTTGATTTCAATATAACCAACTCTAGATCCAGCTCTCATGGTATCATTATTGTCAGATAAAGAACATGTTTGATGCTGATTTAGTTAAAACATATAGACAAATTTAGTGCTTACATGAACAAACTGTGACACCAGTTTAGTACAATAAGAAATACAAAATTCATATTGATTCTTTGTTTGTAAGTTTAACATCAATAGACTTATATCTATCAGTTTTTAAAAAGCCGTAAATAAACCTGAGCCATTCAATCAGTCTAAGTGTAAAATATTCATCACAAACACAAACACAGTCGCTGTCAGACAACTCTGAAAACAGGTCCACAAATGGTTACAGATAATCCCATACAACCTCATTTTAAAGAGAGAAAAGTTCACTCATTTAACACACAAATAGACCCTACATTTATTAAAACACAGACTCAATTCAGCTCAGACCACAGAGAGTGAAAGGAGAGACCACAGAGAAGAAAATTACCTTTATGGAGGACTAAGGGGGGCACCTCATAGAACAGATTTTTAGAGTAAAGCCTTCATGTTATGAAATTAAAGCCACAATTTTAAATGAATAAAGTCATTATGTTAGCAGAATATTAATTGTTATGTTAGGAGATTAAAGCTGTCATATTATGAGTAAGGTCAACACCCACACAATGCTGCTGTGACTGCAGCGAGTCGCCCACATAATGACAACGGTGGTGCATTTAAAGTTCTACTTCAGTGTAGGATTCAGAGCACTCAATACTAGGTTTGACACTTTGACTTCAACTACTATGTCCTCAGTCCAAGTGTTAATCCTAAGTCTTCAGACCTGAAGCTGATGCTGAGGTGCTAAAAACTGCAGTTCTCTGAGTGTCCACTGGAGGCTGTATGCAGAAGCACCAAAAATCACATACACATTAATTAAAAAAAGCAGTTTTGAGCACATTTGCAGCCTGGTTAAAAAATGTCGTTCTACTCTTGTAACAATATAGGACTTGAATCTCTGTGGCTTTAGAGGAAACAATCAAAATTTACAACTGTTCAGCTCTTGGGGGGCAATTTTTTAATCTCAATTTTCCATATTTCAATTCAAAATGAACATTATTTTTTGTGAGACCTGTGGTCATTGACAAAGGCAAATGGTGGATAATAATGCAAAAAAAGTCTAAGAAGACTACAATTAAATACACTTAAGAGGCAAAAGTTCAAAACCAGACAACAGCCTCTTTACTTCTTTCCCCTAACCATAAAACACAAATCTCTACAGCCTTTACTAATGATAGAAATCAGATTTACTTTCAGCTATATACAGAAAGTCTGATAAATGAAGTGCACAAACGTTTCCATCTCTGTTTTATACACTGTGAGTCTGAAGATATCTGCATCCAGTCCCATGACCTACTCACAGGCTCTTGATATAAGGGAGGAGAGGGGGCAGAGGACAAAATGCAAATCAGTTCATTTCATTAAAAAGAAATAAGAGAAGAGAAAACATTTATCTGCAGTCAGAAAATATGTAAAATAGAGTGCTGTAAAGAAGCTCCCTCTGTTGACAGTAAAGTTTACACACAGGTACAGGCTGTACAGGTGTTCTCACCTGCCTTTTTTTTTAATGTAAAAGGAGCTGCAGAGGGACGCAGTGTCTTCTCCTGAAATAAAAGGTGAAAACTCGAAAATCATCAGAACTACATATCTTCTAATGTCCCTATTACTGTAACACGCCCTTTAAAAGAGAACATCCAGGATGTTTTTCTCTTTGTTAAAGCTCTGAATTTGCACATTAAAAGATGAAGAAGAGGAGACGTCAGTGACGAGGACACAGAGATGAATGAGTGAGGAGGTGACTACAATAATCCGTCCTGATGTGTCCTCCTCCTGAGGAAGCTTTCACTGATGGAAACCCGTCATCAAACAAAAATAGACCTTGAATCTGAAACTTCTGCTTTTCTCCTGTTTCTGCTTTTGTGTGTGACTGTGAGGGTCTGAAGACTCTGCTGTGGATCCCAGGATGATCCCGGTCTCTCTAAATGCTAATGATGTGTGTGTGTGTGTGTGTGTGTGTGTGTGTGTGTGTGTGTGTGTGTGTGTGTGTGTGTGTGTGTGTGTGTGTGTGTGTGTTACAGAGAGAGTCTCTGCTTTGGATCAGCAGGAGGCTTAGAGGATGTAATCAAACTGCAAACACACAGGCTTCTCATTTCACTGCAGAATAATCACAGTGACCCAGCGAGAGCTTCCATTTCAGCCGCAGATTTGAGAGCTGGATCACCTGAGGAGGCCTGAACAGCTCATTGGAAATACGTGATATGCTTTCAGCTGAATTTCAGAACAAGAACTCTGATATGAACCAATTTGGACCAGTTCATACCTGAGAGTTAGAAAGCTGTGCATCACTGGAGTTAAGAAGGCTAAA